ATGTGGTGTATATTTGAGTTGACCCAGCATTAAAGTCCAACTACTGCCCAACTGACCATTTTCGATGTTTTGGGTATTTGAACTTTCCCACACTCAATTCCTTATCTATTTCACTTCCTCAGGACTCAATTCTTGTTGGATTGTTCTGTACATTTAGGCCTATGATTATGAATATATTTGACATCTACTCCAGGTGTCTGATTATTAAATTTTGATGTATTAAAAGTATGGGCTCCTTATCAGTAGAAATAGCAAGCATTCACACTAACTCAAACTCCTGGCCTATTTTGAGCTGATCCTTGTCACAAAGAGCAAGTATATATACTATAATAATGATATATGAACAGGTTGTATTACTTGTGCAAGAGTAAGATACTGAAAAACATCAAAAGTGTCAAAAATGCGATTTTCTATGTTTTTGTTCCTGTAGCAGGATCCTATGTGTGTCCTGGGCCAGCTATATAATAGACCTACCTCAAATATATGTAGAAATAGACCCCTACCTCAATTGAGGTCCGGTCCTACAGGAAAAAATTTCACAGGGGGCAAATTACCAGGAGAGGGGGGGCACACCATGCAACAGGGGATTATCCTATGGTCCTGGACTCCTGATACATTGTTCCTATTGTTGAATAGATGCTGGGAATCATTTTTACAAGTCTGTTCACCCAGAAATAATTAAATGGGAGCATATTCTGTGTTTTCTTGCATATATGGTATATCTATTGATGTAGGATGCTTCAGGGGGTCCAATAAAGATAGGAATATGCTCATATATGCTCATAAACATGTTCTGAAGATAATAGAACACACCCCTATCAAAGGGGCAAAAGTGCGAAAATGTTCTGTACCCTACCCTATGTTGAATTGCCCCTGGAGGAGGAGCAATCACACAAACAAACAAAAAAAGCGGTCTATTATATTATATTATACATATATATACTAAACTACTACTTATATATAAAGGGGGAGCTATTGTGGTGTGGTGGTGAAGCTGCAGTGAGGTGGGGAGGGTGTGGGAATAATTGATATTGTGGACATTCCCAAAATGGCCGATGTTTTTAGTGTTGTGGGGAAATTCCCACGGTAGGTGGCCAAAAATGCGTAGGGCATGAGAATAATCTGAGAATATAAATCCCTATTATGGGATCAGTGTGATGCAGGCACCATTATGCATAAAGGAGGATGATGGGGGATTAGTGACAGCCATGCATAACAATAATGTCTGTAATTAGCCTAAATTATGCATAAATATGACAGCATTGCCTGACCACGTAGGAGTTGGAAAACTGCTTCCGCGTCGGTGTAGACGGCCCCCATTCGTAGTAGCCTTTCCCGATAGGTCGCGTGCTTCCCAACATAGTTGGGAGCATCAGCGGCATCCTTCATCTGGAGCGCATATAGGCTCTGGCGAACAACATGCTGTGAGCCCATGTCCGTGCGTCCGAAATGATCCTCGAGAATCTTCCATGCATCGCGGGCTGACACCTTGTGGCTGGTAGACACCAGCTGCTGGACGGAGATTGACAGACGGCGCGTGATGAGTGATTTGGCCTTGAGATCGTCAATGAGCCATTTGCGAATGGCTTTCGTCTCTTCCTCAGTAGGGAGTTTGGGGTCAGCGGGCACTGGCTTAAACGAAGCGTTCCCCAGGATGTCGTCAGGATCCACAGTATCCGTGACGTGACACCACTGATCCTCAACGCCAAGTGCATAGCGGACCTCCCGCTGCCAGGCAAAGTAAGTGTCCGGGCCCGTCAGCTCCGGAATATGATCTAGCTTCCCCATGTCGAAGGAAGATAGGATGACGAGGAAAGGTGCAGCGATTCCGCTGAAAAGAAAGACGCGTGTTGAGTCTGGTTTTCCCTAAGTTGGTTTCGTTTTAGAAACCGGGGCTCATAACCTGTTGGAACTAACACAGAGGCACGCTCAGTGGTTGTGAACAACGACTGAATTAATATAGTACCTAACACAGAGGCACGCTAGAGAACTATCGTAAGAGTGCGGCGTGATAACGAGAAGCTACGAAACATACCTCAGTGGTTGTGAACAACGACTGAGGTATAATGAAATGAGACGATGCGAGTGATATACGAAATGGCACGTGATGAAACAGAATAAGGAAATGATAACGAAGCGATGACGACGATGATGATTCTACAAAAATGATATTTCAAAGGTCAAAAATTGTGGATACGACGTCCGGGTGGTGAAGATTTTGCAATGATTCGGACACAATGTGATGAGCGGGGTGTATGGATGATACGATCAAGACTGAGATCAACCGACTGTTGACTGCGAAGCTTCAAGTTTCGCTTAGCTCAATGGATTTCAGTATTGTTGCAGCGTCCAGGTAATGAGAATTCTACAGGGAAGACAAGAGGCAACAATTCAGGCACAAGATGGCAAACGGGATGTGTGGGTGTTATACCTGTCCAGTGTCAAGACAAACACATGGCTAGTATATATGACCTCGTGTCCTGGGCGTCTATGGAAAAGAGTAGCTTAATGTAGTGAAGTAACGTAAAAACGCACAATACACGCACCACCTCTGCAGCTGAGACACAGACGCTCACAAACCTTCTAAAGTCCACCCCGACCGTGCTCAACAATACCAACCTGCAGTAAAATGTCGAAGCTCATTCCAAGCACCACACCCCTTCGAACTTTTAAAAGTCATGAAGGACGCGTAACCGCAGTCGCAGTTTCCCCCGATAGACGAAGAATGATTACGGGCTCAGACGACAAGACCCTTTGTCTTTGGGACTTGAGGACAGGTGTTGTGTTGAAGAAGATGGAGGGGCATCGCGATGGAGTGTTGGCATTGGCGGTATCACGAGATGGGCAAATAATAGCAAGCGGTGATAAAAATGGAGAGGTCATTGCTTGGAACGGAGAAACAGGAGAATCTCTCACCCAACCCATCAAAAACCGCACCAATTGGATCTACTCCATGGACTTTTCTGCGGATGGTACGGTGTTGGCCACTTGTTTAAACGACTTGACGGTCAAGTTTTGGTGCACCAAAACATGGCAGCAACAAGAAAATCAAATTGCAGCGAATAGTAAAATCCTCCAGGTTCGATATTCGCCGTCTGGTGAACTTCTTGCCATCGCAACATTGGACAATATCCAAATTTATAACTCAGGCACACGGGAACGCGTCGCAACCTTGGAATTGGAAACTCACGCCAACTCATTCGTGTGGATGCCCGATGGCACACGCCTTCTTTCTGCCGCGGATGACGCCATAAAAGAGTGGAATACATCAACCTGGGAGAAGGTCGGTGATTCCTGGAAGGGCAATAGGTATGAAAGCATCATCGCCATCGCCGTCAATCCTGCTGGGACGCTTGTCGCTTCCGCATATGACGAAGACCATGTCCGTCTCAGGCGGCTCTCAGATCGACAAACCATTGCCATCTTCGAACACTCATCCCCACCGGAATGTATCACGTTCTCCGTAGATGGCAATAGCATCCTCAGCGGAGCCGGATGTGAGATCTCAGAGTGGGACGCACGCAGGGGTTTTCATTCAAACGTGAATTTCCATCCTTGACTCGTGTCACGCAATTTGACCATGCTTCACGCAGATCCTCACTGCTATCACGCCAGCCCGTGGTTCATCCATCACTGGAGACTTGTCTACCGCTGAACAGATACTCACGCAAGAGATTGACGCCGACGCCAATAACTATACCTCGTATGCCAACCTCTCTTTCGTTATGGCGCGAAAACAAAACTGGGACCACGCCCTTGAAGATGCAATCAAGGTCAGTCATACCGTCCAATTATGGTCCTCTTACGAAACGTTCACTTTCATCCGCGACATAGTCCATCAGCATTCAGCCCTCATTGACAGGCTACATCTCCAAGGGCATTGCCCTCTGCGGAAAAGGCAATGTCCGGGACGCGAGGGTAGCATTTGACGTCGCATCCATATTCACGAACCAAGACTCAGAAACTATTAATTTTCTTCTCTTGATCAAGGTAGGTTAACTTCCTCTCATATGCTCTCTTCTCCATTCCGTATTTCAGGCCATTGCCCTCTTCAATGCAGATCAACATGACGAGGCAATGTTGCTCATCAACGAGCTAGCTGCCGCTCGTCCGAATGCTGATACCCTCACGTGTCGCGTCGTAGAAGTAAGTATCATGCGGCTATGCTCGGTTATCGCTACTGATCTTTGCAACTCGCACATTAGGCATATCTACGCGTTCAGCTTGGAATAAAGGCCTTGGATGGCGTGCGTCACAACGAAGCCATTGACCACTTCACCGCCGCCATCAACTCCAACACTTTCCAATCAAAAAACATCCTTGAACTATGCGAGGACCTTGTCGTGGTACGTTGACATCATGCACCCGAAAATAATATCGCTGAGTGCTTTATACAGCTTTTCGGTTGGGATCTTGAGTGCATCTGGCTCACTACACACCAGAAACGCTGTCAGGCTTTCCTTTCGGCAGGTAAAGTTGAAGAAGCCCTCGAATCATATCAACACATGATGGACGCCATTGATGAAACTGAGAAGGCTAGCTGCCTTGATTGGTCCAACGGCAAGTTTTTAGTTGTCACTCGAGGCTATCATACTCACACACGTTTTCACTCAGATTTCAAGGAACAATGTAACGCGCTCGCTGTCAATGATGACCGTATTCTTGGCGTATGTAGTACTCCCTTCCTCGACCTTTTCGCTACTGACTTAAGTTATGCAGGCAGAGATCCCTGGCCAAGATCAAGATGGTTATGATGCGGAACCTGATTTCTTTCGGGGAATGCATGGTGTGAGTGCAACAGTGGATTGTTCCTTTCGTTTCTCTCACACACACAATTCAGCATTCTCAAATTTCCAGACTGCGACCTCAGCAGCGCCCGAGGCACTTCAAGAAACTCAGGTTCGCTATGACAAAGAACCCTCATCCAGCTCCTCCACCTGCATCACCCACCACCCCATCACCAGCCGCCGCTACTTCCAACATCAAGGCTCAGCTAAAACACCTATTCACTTGGCGGTCCGACCATGCAGCGCCATCCGTCGTCGATGTTCCTTTCGCGAAGGGTAAGGAGGTGCGTCGCGTCGATTTTAGCACTGCGTCTTTAATGTCTCATGCATGAATCTACAGCGTAATGCTGCAGCAGATGACCCTGGCCCGGACAAGGACATGGTACCTGACGAATATTTTGATGATCTTCCACAGAGCTCCAATACACAACAGCCGAATACACAACAGCAACAAGTAGTAGTACAGGTAGACACTGGGGACCATGGAGGCGGCAAGTCATGTTTCTGCTGCTAGCAGTTTTCGCGGATGTCCTCCGGTATTTCAGTCCTATCATTCCTCGTATTGTGATGTCTACATTGACCTGAAGGAGGTCATGACTACATCATTCAGGTTATTTAGCGTCATCCATATGTAACGTTTGGCTTGCGCATAGCAAATGATACCCTTTTGAACGTTGCTCGAGGAGAATTCCCAAAAATCAACAGAACGTTCCTATAATAATAATACAACTGTACATCTGCGCGCGCATACCAATACCAATATCAATTATACAATCGTCATCCCCAAGTCGCGCATAAATTTGAGTGCAGTCGTCTCACACCACACGTGCACGCGGTTTCTGTTAGAGTTTTGGCATTCCACCCTTCGTCATCGTTTCATTGTCCGGATAGTTCCGACTACGTATATATACCTACGTCGTAGACTATCCTCTCTTTGTCGTTTCCCGCTATGTCGTAGACTCTCCAGTTCCAACAGTTTCTACCGGGAATGAGTTTTCGCTCATGATCGAAAGCACTTCAATTGGGCTTTCACAATGTATAACACGGCCACCCATTCCGTTCTACCACAGTCGCTTCCAGTCCTCCTCGCATCTCTTTTGCTTCGTGCAAGTTCTTGCATGCACTATGGTAGTGGGCCACGTCCAGTTCTGAACCGCGGTTCGAAGTTCGAACCTGAGCGAATTCTGATCCAGAATTCCATCATGGGGAACCGAACCGTTGGTCCGACGGTCCACGGTTCAAGGACTTGCGGTTCCGAACCTGTTCGAACTGATCAGTGTTGTGCGCATGCTGCAGGTGCAACGAGCTCAGATACACTGATCTGTTATTGGCAGAAAGGACACACCAACCTGAACTCGTCCAAGTGGGCTTGGTGTCATTTCGTTAGTCAATGACACCAAGTCTATTTGGACGAGTTCACCGTACGGGACGTACCGTACCTACCGAGACTGGCGCCAATTTCCCGAAGCGCTGTCCAAAACAGCTTGGGCTCATATGTTCTTCTGCCTTGCTGCAGCGTGGAGGACTGCCCGCATCTTCATCATATTAGGCACGATTTTCCGTGGACCGCCAATGGCGACTTTATCAAATTCACGGATTTGGGGATATCAGCATTTCCGAGCATGACATGCTCGGCCCAGTTACTCCTCGTCAAGATCAATGACATAGGCTCCGTTGGAAGTTTCGGCATAGGTTTCTGTAAACTGCAGGTCTGGCAATATCATAGCTTTGTCTGCCGTTGTCTACAGCGCGATAGATCGAATGATTTCACTTTCTTCTGAGTAGCACAGAATCTTATCACCTTCTGAAAAGACCGCTTACCTTGTCTGTTTCTGCCCCTCGCCACTCAGTGGCACTCATCACTGGCAGCCCGAATGTATTCTTTGCGCACGCTTTCAAAAGCCGTGACTGGGCCGTTGTCGTGTATGCCTCCTACTTAATATGCTCTCAAGGTCACCTGCCAGTGCGTCTAGCTCTTTGGTGCGCTTCGTAGAGCCCCAACCATCCGATATAATCTTTGCGTGGTATCCGCGACCTTGATAGCCATCTGCGCATTAATTCACGGTCTCAGGATTATTTTGTCGGCGACAATAATAATATTTGCCTGTCTGATCTCTCGTACCCCACTACCTCTAAGTACTTAGTGGTACAATAATTATGGAGTTTCCATTGCCTATACCTTGCTACACTGACCTGGTACCTTCACCAAACTGCCGCTCTTCCTGCTGTGATACAAGTTTATACCAAGCTTCACTTGTACATGGGCTGTGTTGCACACTTTGATAATAATATGTTATATCTCGCACTCGATGTTGTGTATCTCACAATTTATTCAAGTGTCATATGTTTAGAGCATCATAAACGAACAGCGAAAATGTTCGCTGAAAGTAACATTGGCAGAGTTAGCCCAGCCTCTAGTTGCATACATTCTAAGCGATTCAGTATCAAGACAGTATATATGTACAATGTTAATGGGAACTGCAGCACGCTGACACCATTTTTGTACATTCGAAATCAAAAGATATGTTAAATACCATGATACCTAAGCTCGGCGTTCAGCTCACGCTGCTGCTGTAGTACAAATGACACATACCGAAAAGATCGTAAGAAATGCTACCAGCAGGACCGCTGTCTAATGGCTGAAATTCACCGAGTTCCGAAGCTGCTGTTCTCTTGTAGAATTCACGATTTCAAACGAGCACTGGAAAGGTAGCGGGTGACTTCGGAGTCAAAAGTTAGCCGCAGGTTGTCGCATAATCTCAAGGTCACTTACACTCCCAACCCAGTGGTGAATTCCGGCTTGATCTCAATCTGGTTTCCGTTCGAGTCTTTGGCATGATTGATGCGCAAGACAGCGAGGATGGCAGTGGCAGCAGTCCAAATACCGTGATCTCCGAAGTAACGACCTGTCAGGGGAATGTCAGCCCATGCACTTCCAGATGAACCATTAAAAAACTTGCCAGGACAAATGCGCCTGCCATGACCAAATGCAAAATGAGTGGTGAAAGGTTCCTTCAGCTGCCCATCAGCCGTTAGATGGCGGTTAGGGTCGAAGCGTGATGGATCGGGGTACACTTCTTCATCCCGAGACAGAGCCCTGGGTCATGCTCAGCTCAAGCTGTTATATGAATTCCACCGCAACATACCATTGGTTAACCATTATGATCGTACCTTTGGGTATAAAGTACCCGTCGTAAACATCATCATTTGACGTCGTATGCGGAACACCTGTGAGGGGTCAGTCATGCAAACCCAAAATCGTACTACTGCGAACTGACCTAGGGGGGCGAAAGGATAGCATCTGAGGACCTCCCATAGAATGGCATCAATGTAGGGTAGCGACGCCCTATCGTCAGCAAGGCACGGCATTGCATCAGGCTTCACGACTCTGTTAATTTCCGCACGAGCCCGCTCTTGGATCTCAGGATGAAGAACCATAGCCAGCATGAACATGTGCATTACGGATGCAACCTGCGGAATATCATGGTAAGGGACAAGGCGACCAAGAACTCCCAAAGTGACGACTCACGGTGTCTATACCAGCTAAGATACGGCATGCGGATCAAATTATGGACTACGCTTCCAAAAAAAAACCTTACCAGTGTATCCTGTCAATGCAACAGCCTTCATCATCTTTTCGCCAGTCTCGTCATGGGGTTGGCTAAGGAAATCAGCGACTAATGACTGCTTGGCAGTACCATTGGCCTATAGAGAAGCAGATCAGACAAAACGTCGACCCACAATGCGCAAACGTACCATTTGTGCCTTCACCTCATTAAAGAGTCCGCTCAAAAGCTGTTGAGCTAACGATCTACTGCGCTCTATCTTGGCATAGACTCCGCCAAATATCCAAAGTGGCATCTTTTCGACTGCACCAAATGTTCAGACCTTTTGTCATTGACAACATGGAAACACTTACGGATAGGGAAGGCTGTGAACATGGCAGCCTTCTCAGGAGATGTAATATGTTTGCCGATCTCCCCGAGTTCATACGCGCCTGCAAGGAAGGGGTCATCATGTCCGTGTGCGGAATGTCCGTATATCACAGCCATGATTAGGGAACCCGCGTATCTGTTAATTTTATTTGATCGTCAGTTGGATCAGACGTCGCAAGACTACTGTTAGGTACGAACGCATGAGTTTGTGACTGCAGATCACCAGTGGCAGTCACAAGATTAAGGATGAGTTCGTTTGTGTGTTTCGTGAACATCTCATGGTATGAAGCGGATGCTTCTGCCCGGAGGACGTCATGGAAGATCTGGCGATGTTGTTTGATGGCTTCCCCTGGGTACGGAAGGAGGACGGTATTGAAATCGAGTCCATATCTGTATAGCCCATCAGCTGACTAAGAACTTCGCGGCTGAAATGATAACCGGGGCCGCAAGGCGTACATTTCATTGGTGGGAATAAACGGGCGTCCCGAATAATTTATGGAGCGCTTGTCCAACAACTCCCGTGCGATGGCTTCAGAGTTTATGACAATCATGTCGATGCCGAGGAGGCGGGAGGAAATGATTTTTCCTATGATCAAGTATCAAGAGTTTGTTGAGCAAGAGGTCATTGGGTCTACTACTAACCATATTTCTTCCCCCACGCAGAATATGTGAGCCAAGGGTGCTCAACGTCCAGCTGGAGAGCGTTACCCAAAAAAGGTAACCCCCGAGGGCCAGGAGGCAGAGGCAAAGCGTGGCCTTGGACACGTTTGCGAGTACTTAGACGCACAGCAGCAGCCAGTGCCACGATACATGGGATTCCTAAGACCAGAATCTGAGTAGTGTCAGTAGAGAACATGGCCATTGGGGAGGAGGAATAATGAATGAAAACTGCTGCTGGATGATATCATATTTATATTGAGTGCGTCTACTCGGCTGATATCTAATCTTTTGTCTGGGACCGAGTAGGATGGGATCTCGTCAACAGTGCCCTTGTTTCCAACTCTCCGAATCGGTTCCTACATGAGCTAAAATTCATGCATCGGTGACGTTTGGAAATTCTAGTCAAGAACTCAGCGAACAGTACTAAATTAAGCCTAGTGAACCGTAAGCGACAGGCGAGGGAGACCTCGCTTGATGTGACTAATTCTTCCTGCTAGAGCGTACAATGTACTGTCAGTGGGCGCATCAATTTCTTATCATAGCACACACAGGCTCGGCCACATTCCTCGGCCAGGTACACTAATAGTAATTAGGATTGATTAGCCTTTAGGCCGGCCTGTGCAGCGCAACCAAATGGTACTTGTTTTCAGTCTCGCCATCCATACACACAACAGTAAAGACCTCAGAACTCCTTCAAAGAAAGTGCATCACAGTACTGGTGTAATTCCTGTAAAGCCTCAATGACTTTGTTTCCACCTGTACCTAAACAGTAAACCTTTTACTGATTAACATACTCCGGTAATTACCATCACGGCACCTCGCTCCATTTTTAGCGTGACGGGGATGTGGTCATCCCAACGTTCCTACTAGTATACACCACTTTGGAAACCCCTATACATGTCCTAGTCGATAACTCAGTTGAGACACATACAGAATATCGCCATATCAAGATGAGCCTGCATGATAGTGAACCACCTAGTAGATACACCCCGTGTTAGTGAACCCCGAGGCCCGGCTTCAGATACGACTTCATTTGAACAAGTGTTCAAAGTCTCGACAGGTATGCGTCCGTCAACGTAAACGTCTTGAGCCGATGCCCGAGAGATCGTCGTTACTGATCAACAATTTGATATGATCTATGTTTTAGAATGCGCACCACTTCTGAGGTATTTTACAGACATATGACAGTGGATCACAAGAGATCACAAGCCGACCCTACACAATCACCTACGCGGTATACTTCCGTGACATTATGACCCAGGGCCAGCAACAAGCGTGGGGATGTATTCCGTGTCAACCGCGTTGATAATCTGTCAAGATACTTAGCATCACCGTGATATCCGCTGGGCGTATCTTACCACTTGACATCGCTATCAAAAGTATATTATCGAACACAGCACATAATGGCCCCAATGCAGATAGAACGCACCGTGTTGCTGTTTGCGGTTCTTGAGCAAGTCCGCAGTCTGTAGCAAATTGGATCCAACTGAACAGAAAATATATTCATGCGTCGATAGGTCAGTGTTACAAATACTATCGAGACCAACGTGGCTCACCAGCGTCTGGGGTAGAGAACACATTAAAAAAACCGGCTACTATCGTGAGGATCGAGTATCACATTCGGCTATGGTGCGATTACTTCCTCTTGGCCTTTCCACGGGCTGACGTCCCCGCGATATAGCACGCGACTTTACGCCACTAGAGACCTAGTTGTCACCTAATGGACGTAGTGGACCGTCTGTCAAAGGTAGCAATATCAAATTGTGATGAATAAAGAAAAACCTATGCCATTGGGATTGCACGCTGATTCATTTCAGGCACGGTGGATGCTGCCAGCACAACGAACCCGTCGCATCAGTCCACAGCCCTCGGGATATAAAGATGTGCCACCACAAAATATTCGCTGCGCACCGTGATTTTTCCTTGACTCCAGTCATACTGCGTAACATCATTTATGCAGACTTACTGATAGCGCTGCTTGGATGAGCATCACCGAAGCTCAGGCACTCTCCCCCAACCAGACGTTTGATAAATCATACCCCATGGTTGGCAACTTGAAGGTCCCCGGGTTGTCAACTCGCCTGTAGTCACGTGAGACAGGCACGACGATAGGAGACTTGCTCTATCAAGAGAATTCTACCCATGGCGGCAATGTCCTCGGAGAAATGATGCGGTCATAGGTCCAAGCGTTAGATAGCCGTAATAAAAATGCCGTCACAAATCACAGGGATTGAAGCTTTGACATTGGCCGTGTGCACGTCGGGTATGATAGTGGAGACAGCGGAACAAACGTGCAAATGTCGCTGAGAATATACGCAACGCGCAGTTTTGCCAAGGGCTCTTGCAGTCCAAAGCGTCACCCGGCCTAAAGAAGGATTGCCGACTGACGTTAGCGACGACACTTGCTTGTTCTAACCTCTTGGAGCTACTACACAAGGGCGATATGCGGATTCGGAACCGCCTCTTGGAAGCGAGTTTCTAGGGCGAGAATCTATTCGGCGGTCGCTCAAGCCATGCGGCCTCGTTTGAATGGCGAAAAACATACCTCCGAGTCCCACCAGGTCCCACCAGGTCCCACCTTCGGCGATGACATAGCTCAGTGAAACGATTGATTCAACCCCTGGACGCTTTGCCGGTTGGCATCTGATCTGTCAACCTAATTTTGAGGCGACATGACAAAGCTTAAGCAAGTTCGGCAATCTCCTCTGAACTTGAACGCCTTCCATATTGGGAGACTGCAGGCTCTTTTCATGAGTGAAAGCTACAGTTCCGTCCGCTGAGCCATGATGAGACTTCTAATCGCCCTGCATTCCCATCAAATGGTGGTGTTCGTAACCACACGGCGATTTCTACAATCGAACGAAAATTCGCGAGCCGTTTAAGATTTCGTCAGTTTCTGCGCCAGCCCTGGGAACCGCAGCAGTCCCCATTTCGCAGCCTATTGCTTTAGGGGGCTAATCCGCCGGAATGCCTCTCGTATGAAAAGCCTTGACCGAGTTGTTGACCGAAGTACACCCCGAGGAGCATGAGTAACGCAAACTGTCTGCGGTCCTGTCCTTGTATCATATATATCTGTCCTATCATAGAGCTCGAGTTGGTGCACATAGTTAGCTAGTCTTTGCTAGACAAAGTTTAATGGTGACCGGCGATACCCGCAATATGGCCAGTGTAAATTTGTACGCGCGGCCGCCAGGTGTGCCATGTCGTTGGTGTTTATAATGAAAAGGGAATGAAAATTGTGGTGCGCAGGCGGGCCGCAGTGCGGCAGTCGAGATAGGCGGCGATGACGTTATATTTACGGAACTGAACGTTCGTCACAATAGACAATGCCGCAGAAAATAATATGATCTAACTTGTTCTATTGAAGAACGCGCCACAACTTAAGTTGAGGAGGATGTCGGCTGGCCGAGGGACGAGCCCGAGCCGATATGCTTCCTGTAGGTCCTTAGTCTCAGCCTGCACTGGCAGGTGGAGCAATAGGAAGACCGTCGTTCCTAGGAGAATCTATCAAGACACATTAATGGCAGCGGGCGTACGTTATAACCTTAATGTGAGTCATGCAAAGCTGAGAGATAAGCAAGCGTTGACAGCGCTGACGAGTGTATATTGTGTGAAATAGTTAAACGATCGCGAATCACTGGCCAAGACCTCTTGAACAGGGTCCATCACTACCCCACACAAGAACAAGCGCGCGGCGCGGATATGTCGCACAAATAGTTGAAGTTGCTCTACTCGACATCCATTTGAGCTGACAATGTGAATCTATGCGATACCTACTTACAGGCAACCATACAGTCAAGCGCAACGACAAAAGAGGCTATGATCCCGATTCCTGAAGCCCACCGAAGTCGAATTTAAAGGACGGGATCGATGATGATGCGACGTGTTCTACTATGAACCTCAGATGTGCCATTAGAAACCCACCGCGCAGAACAGCCAGCCACGAAACGCAAAATACCAGCATGTCAGTCCTAAATATCCAAGGCTTCAATATCCAAAATCGCGAATGAAACACTCGTTCAGAACCCACCACCTTCGACTGCTGAATGATTCGTCGTCCTCAAGTTCGCAATCTCCTGTTCGATTCTCCCTTGAGATCCTGCCTACAGCTCTCATCCCGCGTCCGCCCCTTTTCCAAATTAAAATGCCAGCCTGAGTACGTGTAAGCTCTTCCCGGAGTCGCTATTTCGGCCTCTCTATATACCCGCAACCAACCGGTCGTTATCAGATTATCGACATTGTGATCGTGCTTCTCTATAACCTGCAGCTAGGATTTCCGCCGTGTGAAGTGAATAATTTAATGCACGAAGAATGGTGAAATACACACGGAAAATGTCGGCAATGACAATAGGTAAAGATACTGCACGTTTTAGAAATTCTGTGAAGTTGTGATGTTGTGAAATGATATGAGCTACTAGCTAAAATAGATGTGTAATGAACCGGGCGCATAACTGCCTGGTGCTTTACTTTGGGGGTTAGGTGAGGATCGTTTTTTTTTGTCGGCTTTGGTTCTCGTCGTCGTCGTCCTCTTTTTCATTGTCCGTATCGCGCCGTCGTGACCGACACCATCGCCTCATACCGTGCAGCATACCGATCAAACGAATAGACGAGAGAAGCCACAGAGGGCTGGTTAACCATGCCAGGTGCCGTCGTTTTCGTCGTCAATTTCGCGTCGTCATCTTTTCCATCCACCGTCTCGCAATCATTTCCTTCCTCTACACTCCGGCACGCTCGCTCAAGGCATACGCGCAGCTTAGACTCATACATAGAGTCCCCCACAGTCTACATCTACATCATTCAAACTCCATTGTGTATCGGTGCTTTCATCTACTGTAATCGACTCCATTACGCGGGTCTCGTTGGTCGTGGCGTCAAGTGAATCTGTACTACACTTACTCTCTCCTGTAATAAACCGGGCGCACAACCGCGAGGCCTGTTTAAATTCTCTAAATATATGTATACAATCCAAATGATAATCCTCGAAGCTAGGGCTAATCATCCATAAAGTGCGCCTTCTAAAGTACTGAACTGCGAGACGGGAACACAGGTGAGGTGAAGTGGAACTAACGAGTCGTCGAACTCGCTAGTCACGAGTGCAGAGATATAGTTGTGTACAGTATGCTGCGGCCACAGACACGGCTCTGGTACTCCTCTGATGTCTGGCTGAAGGGCATTCATGAGATGATGGTACTGGTGTTAACGGTATGGTTCTTCGGGGCGCTGGTTGCTGCAGGGCATCATGATGCGGCATGGCGTGATGTTGATAATCGTAGTGTTGGTGTCCATTGCCTGCGGGTTGCGCCAATGGAATTTGAGTGACGTGGCGGCGCTGCGATAGGGCTAAATCGCTTTTAAAAAACTGAATGACATGAGTGAGAATCATATATACCTTGACGAGTGATACTTCTCGATGCACGGTAGGCATGAGTAGAATCACGATCACGAGTGTCAATACCCAGTGACGTGTGAACGTCAACGCTCTGTGCCGCTCGGTCGTCAAAGGCTCGTCCTCTCGTGATGCCACCTAGAAGCGTCAAATTTATGCCGTCACGGTTGACATTGCGATGGGCCTGCTCGTTGCCGTTCGTAGTGGCCGGACACGCACGCCATATATCTTCATACTACAACATTATGCTGGAGCGAAGATGTCGAACGGAGTCTGGGATCTTTTGGTTGTGAATGTCGTGAGGGTGTTCGGACTTTGTTTACTCAGGGTTTGAAGTTTCTCAAAGAAACCGAGTAACGCCCGAGTGATAACAGGGTACCAGAAACCGAGTACAAAGGCATACCGATAACGTATGCCTCAGGGATGTATCCACGTGTCTTGGGTGCCACTCCGACGAGCTAGTGCAAAGGCCAAATGATAACGTAGAGAGATGTGCCGAGGAGCTAATACAAAGGCAACAAGAAGACACAGAGGGCGCCCACCTTCCTCGGGTGCGAAGAGCTTTACTTTTCGCATCGACGAGACATGATGTATTAAGATGCATGACGGGTGGCATGAGGACGACAGCATACGCCTTATCCTGATTCAAGCATCGGTCGGTAATTAGCGGTCGAGTTATCCTTACACAGTCACTCAATGGTGGCACTCACCTTCTCCTGCTCAGCTTTCGCGAACATCTTTGCTCGTCATACTCCGTATACTCTCATCGATGACATCTGCCATGGCACACATTATGCCTTCCGCCTGTGTACAGTTGAACACCTCGCGCTCAAGCCGCTGCACGAAATGGTGAGTGTCAAAACGAAAGTCGTGCGGTGCATGGTCGGGCAAAGGCGGATGACTCGGCCCGAGGAAACCTTAGGTTCGACGGACCAGGTACATTGGTGTGAAGAGGGAGCGTAGAGCTGGATGATGAAACTGAACAGTTGACAGGTCTGAATGTTCCTGCATGTAGGGAGTGGGCAATGCGGCTGCTAGATCTAATTTGTGTAAAGAAAAAAGTGATCATGCCATCGAGCACGAACCCTCATGCTCACCAACATCCGCATGTTCAAAGTACGAGCCACAATCCCTGGGGTAGCACAAGTGGCACATGCTCGGTACGTCCCTGACAGACACCTTCACACATACTAGCATTTATTGAGATGCTATGCTGTGTATGTAATTCTGTCGCCGCCGTTGTCAACGATGAGCAGCGTGTCACCACCTGTCACAAAATGGCTAGAACATGTCACGCCGCGTGATTTTTGACCTTAGCAGGTTGGTCTACTCAGACTAACTTTGATGTCAAACGGTAAAATGCTGAGAGCCCTCCACCTTGCGGCAGATTCTAGGCACAATTGGCATTGAGCTGTAGCTGCTCAAGGATCCGGCTGTCATAGATACATATGACGCGAGAAGCTACGACAGGAAACTTTGATGGTTTAAATTCGACAGCGGATTAGTCTCCCATAGGCCTAGCCAGACTATATAGGAGGAAGACAGTCGTTCCTTCTTGATTATGACAGCGGTTGACAGTATCACTCACTCGCAGGCGTTGCGAATGCCTCAAACAGCCTTTCCGCGCATTTTTGCCAGTGCAGCAACACGGTGGGGGTGCATGAGAATCACATCAAATCACGATATCATTGCACAAGTCAAAGACATGACTTCGGGTTCATCTCGTGTTCATCAATATGTATTATACAGGTGATTTCCGCTGCGCAGCTAATCTTGTCAACAGTGTGCTATTCATCCTAGACCAAGTACATATAAGTAGTTTGTTTTTTAATACGGAATGTTGGAGGAAGGTGAGACCATAGTCCATCTTGTACCGTCTGTGAGACATGTCGCATACAGATTTAAATACCAGTGATCAGGGAACCTTGGTTGAGATGAAGTTCGTATTAACTTTCGGAACAGATCCAGGGCTTGATATCGCTTGATGTTGAAAGCTACGGCATTCATACAAGATAACGTAGAACAGGAACAGGGGAATTGCATATATTTAGCGTTCGCACAGGAAGATTGTATATATCGCCCTTCCGAAATCATGGGATATGGCGTTACGGAGATCTAGATGGTCATGGACGCGAGAACAAGGAACCCACACGTACTGTGTACTACTTGCTCTTGAAAGTGCAGAGGTCGACTAGTTGTCATACTGAGGAATCGGGCAAGCGTGCTTGTCATAGCACGGGGACACAGGCTGCTCGTTCATTTGTGAGCTCTAAGGACTCCAAGACGATTCACGACTTCAAAGCCTAGATCCCAAGCTCTCATTTGTTGACAACAGGCCTGAAAGACCCTCCCGTAGAGGCTCAGCCATGGGGGCACTCTTTCTAGACCCCCGTTCAACAAAGACATGGGTATAACCCCCAACAGCTGCGGGTACATCTTTTCCCTCCTCAAACACCGCGACCTCGTACGTCACGGAACTTGAACCAAGCTTCACTACCCGAAGACCGAGGTCCAGAACCTGAGGAAATGACAGGGGAGAGAAAAACTATGGCCGGAGCCTGTTGTTAGTGTCCGATCGAGGCGGAGAGCCGCTTGACACTAGTACTTACCTGACAATGGGATGAGACCACCAATCCGATTTGGGCAGAGTCAGAGGTGAGTCCACATTGTTGGATGAGAAAAGTGTTCACTACAGAATCAAAGAGGTGGTAGTATATAGAATTGTTGACGTGTGAGTACTGGTCGTTGTCGGTCCTTGGGATGGGGTAAGTTTCACCGGTATGTGAGATGTGGGAGGAGTGGACTGCACCAGCGAGTTCGGTAGGAGAGGAAGAAAAGGTAATCGGAACGCGTGTGCGCGCGATGTGAGCTCATGGCAATCTGACTCCACCAATTCCTGACTCGATTGCGAGTCACACACAGATGCGAATTCGAGCAAAGTTGAAGAGTGTGAATGGAGTAAGTAATGCAAACGACCACGTGACGTTCAATTACGACGCGTTCGCCGTTGGTTAATTATACGTCTTCTTCAACCGCGATCATCAACCACCTTCACCTAATTCATACCCCAGCAGCCTACAGCTATGGAACGCCTGTATGTTCCGTTTCTTAGAATCTGAATAATACCTGAGCAACCATTACAGTCGCAAACAGATGGCATATGACCCTAGTTTATACCCAGAGTTCAAGAAACCTGGACCAACCAATGGAAAGACCTCCGAAACGCCAAGCGTAATCGTACGTCCTCATGTTCAACTTTATTTCTCAACTTACCAGGATATCGCTTAGTCAATTTCAAGCTCCTCAAGCTCTTCGACATCTTCGGCAGCATCAACGGTGACACCGGCAGCTCGACACAGAGGCCGAACGACAATCGTAATTTCTTCCGACGAAGAAAACGAAGACATGTACGTACTCGATTTCCTCCACCCTCCTATGTGGCGTGTGACTCACTAAACTCTTGGCGATTCTATTAAATAGACCTCCTAGTACCCAGTCGCAATCCTCAGCTCAACCCCCACCAACTGCTCCTAACAACTTCGTCATGGACGCCTTGAAACAGGCCCTTCCAAAGCCTCCCCCACAGCGCACACAAGTCCCAGCACCTATTCACGTCCCTTCGAACCGTGATATTCTTCCGGGGCCTTCCAACCCGACGATAGATGCGGCCCATCAAGCATACGTCTATGAGCCTCGGATGTCCGCTACCGAGACCGAAAAGGCATTGCGCGCTCTCGTAGAGGACAGTATCACTCCCGATGACGTTGAGATCAACATGGAGGAAGCCATTGTGGAGGGCTTCCAAGATGGTATCACACTTCTCCCTCATCAGGTCCTTGGTCGCGCTTGGATGCGTGATAAAGAAACAGATAAGAAGAGGGGTGGAATACTTGCAGACGATATGGGGTAAGCCTGTCGATACTGCTCTTATTCGCATGCAGTTAAGCTTTTTGGCGTAGTCTTGGCAAAACCATCCAGACCCTTACGCGAATCGTCGATGGTCGTGCCAAAAAATCTGACAAAGCAGATGGTTGGGCTGCCACAACCTTGTAGGTTCAATTTTCCTCGATATTTCGTTTTTTAAATTCATGATTTCCAGGGTTGTTTGTCCAGTTGCACTCGTCTCTCAATGGGCCTCCGAGATCACGAAGATGGCTGTGGGATTACGTGTAATTGAGCACCACGGCCAAAGCCGTACCACAGGTTTGTCTCTTATGCTCTAAATGGCATCCGATTAAATGCAGCACAGACCCTCTGAAACTTAAGGCTGCACACGTTGTGGTTACCTCGTATTCCATTGTCGCCTCTGAATACGCGACCTTTGCACCTCCTGCAAAGGATGAATCAAAGTCCAAGTCAAAATCCAAGAAAGCATCATCCCAATCAGATTCGGGCTCCGATTCTGACGATGTCGTCACGAAGAAGAAACCTGGAAGGGCAAAAGGCAAGGACGCATTATTCCGCGTGAAATGGTTTAGAATTGTCCTTGGTGCGTCACCACCTGAGTTGGCGGAATAATGATCTAACATGCACACAAAGATGAAGCGCACAACATCAAGAACAGGAACACGAAAGCGGCTATTGCATGCTGCGAACTCGAGGGAAAGTTTCGCTGGTGTCTTACAGGCACACCGATGTGCGTCCAAAGCTCGCATTATGCAAAGGCAGTTTTACAACTTTCTTTTCAGGCAAAATACAGTGGATGAACTGTTCTCTCTTCTCAAATTTCTCCGTGTGCGTCCGCTAAACGACTGGCAAAACTTCAACGAACAAATTGCTCAGCCTATCAAGGCTGGGCGACCCGTACGAGCCCTTAAGCGACTTCATGTGCGTCCTTTTATGTTTATTGAGTTAACTGCCCTACAACTCGGCATCTTGTGTAGGTCGTTCTCCAATCCATCATGCTTCGACGCACCAAGGATTTCGTTCTTAATGGAAAACCTATCATATCCCTCCCGGCACGCCATTTGTCTGTCGTTCAATGCAAATTCGATTCAGACGAGCAAGCATTTTACAATACGCTCTCACAACGCATGACCAATGAACTCGACAAACTTGTTCAGGCTAACGAAGCGTCCAAGAATTATACCCACGTGTTGCTTATGCTTCTGAGACTAAGGCAGGGTGGGTTGATTTGTATACTAATTTTGCATCACATGCTAATCCGGAATCACTAGCTTGCAACCATCCTTCCCTCGTATACAAAGACTACCGCATCGACAACGAGGCCGCCGAGCCTCGCCCCGCTAAGAATGACGAAGCTGATGAAGATGCCGACGAGCTTGCGGCGCTTTTAGGACAGATGGGCGTCTCGAACGGCAAGAAATGCCAGCTATGTCAGACAAAGTATGTTGCTTCCGCTGACGTACAGTATGAATCCTAACTCATCTTTGTTTTGCAGCCTTGACTCTTCTGACTCAGAACACTGTCCCGACTGTGAACCAATTGCTGCAAAGGCCCGACGCAGGTCTGTGGCTGCACCAACCGCTCGTGATCCCAACCTACCTCCAGATTCGGCGAAGATTCGCAAGTTGCTTGAAATTCTTCGGGACATTGATGAAAGGAGCGAGAGTGCTGAAAAAACGATCATATTTTCTCAGTTCACCAGCATGCTGAATCTCATTGAGCCCTTCTTGACTGCAGAGGGGATCAAATATGCGCGATGTATGTCTTTTGGGTTTATTGTGTTTTGGCGTTTCTGATTCTCTACGACGGCGCAACTAGATGATGGAAGCATGACCAAGGATAAACGTGAGGCATCGCTAGAGAAAATCCGAAGCAGCAAGAGCACGCGTTGTATCCTGATTTCATTCAAGGCCGGAAGTACTGGTACGTACTCTCAAACTCACGGTGAATAGCGAGTCCCTAACCTTTGCGCTCCAGGGTTGAACTTGACCTGCTGCAACAACGTGATACTTGTCGACATGTGGTGGAACCCTGCGCTCGAGGTCCGTCACAAGCTTAGCTTTTTTGAACTCAGAATTGAACGTAGACATAGGACCAAGCATTCGATCGCGCCCATCGCTACGGGCAAAAACGTGACGTCAATATCTTCAAGCTCACTATTCCCGAGACTGTCGAAACGCGGATCCTTGAGGTAAGCCATTTGATATTCGCGGTTTATGTTATACCTGAGCGATGGCCGTACAGCTTCAAGAGAAGAAACGTGAGCTTACGAAAGCGGCGTTGAGTGGAGAGAAGATGAAGAACATGAAACTCGGCATGGATGATCTGTTGGCCTTGTTCAGGCCTGGGGCGCACCATGATGATGATGATGATGAGGAATGATCGGATGTGCGTGCTGGACACGTTGATGTCTTGGTCTTGGTTTTGTGAGTTTGTGTTGCTCTGTTGCTGTTGTCGCGAATCTCGATCTACATAACATATCGTAGTTGCGTTTCATCAAAATATCTGATTTTCTTTTTCTGGTGTTGATTTTCAGTCACGTGGTATTATTCGCCCTGTCTCGTAATATTTGGTATTATTCGCCCTGTCTCGTAATATTTGGTCTGATTCATCCCCAATCTCGCCTACTCCTCCGTTCATTTGTCTGGGGGAGATATCTTAGGTACGCCTACATTCCTTTGATGCTGCGACTTACCTATATCTTTATCGATGGATTCTAGGCCCGGGACGCTTTATGGACTATTTCGTGCTGAGGCGGGGTTATTTATGGTATCGTTGACTGACCCTGCACCAGAACGAAATAGTGACTCAGGGTAATTCTGGGTGGTCTCTCTTCGGCTTCATCAATCTCTTCATCTCTCTACAATCGAATTGGAGGGACAGATTGGTCTTCCTGTCACAAAGGTCCTTCCTCAGTCTAGCAAAAAAGGCCGGGAACTGGCATGAGCTCTAAATGTCATTCGCGGCTTGCTGACCCCGAGTTCGGTTATCCTCTAGACACTGTGACAACTTCAGATTGTCATGTTCTTGTCCCGTCTTCAGGGACCGTTCGTTGTACAGCTGTTGACGGAGAGCATGCAACTTACGTGAGAGTGGGAACAACGGAGCAGTTGTTGGCAAAGCCATTATTGGGCTTTGTGAACTTTCGGCAGATCGGAATCGGAATTGATTTGGATTATGTCTATGCTGCGCTGGGGCGATCATTTCATGAAGGCTGCATGTAAGGTGCGGTAAGTGCATTTATTCAATCATCGGCCATCGTTGTTCCTCGCAATACAGGTGTATAACTGGAACTGTGGCTCTGGAAGTCCGCCCATACAAAGGTGATCCCGTTCCTGTTGGCTAATGGAACTACTAAATCACCGCGGAATTACGGTGTTCTGTTATCGTCTCTTCATACTATTGTCATTTCTCGTTAGCTGACGTTGCCGCCCCTACTGCAAGGCATTGATATCAGCAATCTCATAGGCAATGAATTAAACCGATGAATCGGTATGTACAAACTTCCTTTCGAGATTGGGAATATTTGTAGCCAGACCAATATCTCCGGTCTGCGAGCAGACGCTGATTGTTCTGTGGAGACTGTATTTGTGTCGGAGCACAACCGGGTCTGTGGCGTTGGCCAGTAGTCACGTGCTTAAATTTAATTGAGCCAAATATTGCTATTCTTAGCTTAGCGGAGCCTCAGGCTTGCAGAGCCACCGTGACCGATAGTGATCTGGGCTATCATAGACGCTTCGTGATAGGCTTGAGTTGAAGCCTAGAAGGCTAGATGAACATGATCGATACCAGCTCTCAGGGATCCACATCTGCAGACGTATGGGACCAGCCCAGTGCAAGTAATGATGTTTAATAGCGGGTGACCACGAAACCTGACGGGGACTCTCTTCCAGGATTACACTAGCCTGAGCTCGTACCCACCAAGCGCCGCAACTAAATCCCGGAAGGCCCAACAAGTCGTCCCAGACGACTGGGATAACGATGAAGATGAGGAAGAAGATAGCGCCAAAGTCTGGGAAGACGCGTGAGTCTACCGTTCTCCTTCAGCCGTCAGCCCCAGCGCTAACTCCTCTGTCATCACTATGCACATTGCAGAAATAACAAAGCACCCATGCCAGAACTGATCATCTCCCCCTCAAGCACCGGGACATGTGTCGTCCCCCCTCCCCCAGCTGCCTTCCAACCGACTATGCGCATCCTGAAACGGCCGTCTCCCTCCCAATCAGCCTCAAATTCCGCCACTTCGCTCTCTTCGCAGACGCGCAACACTCTTGCTGAGCGTGAGGCTCAGTATCAAGAAGCTCGTAACCGAATATTTGGAACTACGATCGAGCGTGGTGGCGATGACCAGGAAAGCCAACGTGGGATGAGGGATGGTAGTGGCAAGGGATCAGATGCTAGATCTGCGGCGTCTGCGGTACTGCGTACTCCTACAGGCCCGTCAGATGTGGAAACAGAGGTGGGTCGGACCGATGACTCCCCTCCAAAGGGATTTCGTGACAGGAGGAATGGGAAGAACCAGAACAGCGCATCTTCGAGTGTGTTACCACGGACTTCGAGTTGATTCCTGCCCCATGTTTTTCAGATAGGTTTTTGCTGTTTTATTGATTGTTGTAACATTGTGTTGTACACGTCCAGCCCCAACTTGATGCAACTCACATTTGAGCCGGGGAGCTTTTTTGCGCCGACTCACCACATGTCAACTACACTGTATGCACCAATTCTTTCAAGCTCGGACTTCTCATATACCGCAGGTGTAGACAACAACATATAGAGCCTCAATACCTTTCAGACTCGAATGACTTGACTGCATACATTACATCTGTTCGCCATTCCGACCCTCCTGATCTGACCACATTTAGGCAGCAGCAAGTTCGTAGAGATAAGTACCGAACAGCTTAGTCTTCGTGATATCAGTGGAAAGGCATGAATATTTATTCGAGGAAACTCACCCCTTTGAAGAAGTTGTCTTTGTCCAGTTTCTCATCCGTGGAACTATACGGGTGTTAGAGCGAGCGAAGCCCGGGACGACGGAAGGACATACTGGGCACCGTCATCAGATCGTCCCATGGGTAGTAACATCACGCTCGTATCCTCCCCCAGTTCCTCCTGAAAGGTGAGGGCAACTCCAATCGACCCACCTTCACGTGTGTAGTCTGGAGCCTGCCGATATACTGCCTGTGGATTTTTCGACAATCAGTCATCCAAATCACCCCGAAAACAGAATGTACCTCTGTTGCCCTATGTGCGGCCTTGAAATTCAAATCATGTTTGTTAGTGGCGACCCACGGCAGGGCACCACCAACGTATTCAACCTCCATCGTGTTCTTGGAGTTGAGTTTCTTGAATTCTTCATTGAGGAAGTTGGTGACAAGCGTTTTGATGATGTCTGTGGTCTGAGGTTCCACAAGGCTGCATAATTTGGCCAGGATCGGACGGTCAGCACGTTGTAATCTAGAAAATTGGACAAGGGAAAAAAATGAGCACATACCGAAGACTAAACCTTCCCTTTATTGCCGCAGGGATAACTGTCTTGGAGCCATCTCCGTCGAACGCCCCCTTAATTCCATGAATAGAAAGTGATGGAAAACGCATGCGATTCATGACAAGTTGAGTATGGTCCTCGGATAGTTCGATCTGAAAATCGTAATATATTAACTGCAGGTATGATCAAAAAGAATTGAAATGCACCGCTTTTCCACCAACAGCGTCACGAAGGTCCTGCACTGTATAGTCCATTTTCTCATACTCTTCCCTGTGGACGTAGGTTTTAGTAGGCCAGCAATGCCGTCTATAAGCCGTAAGAACCTCTCTTCGGGAGCCACTGGATTCACCGTCTCTTCCACACCCGGAACAGTGATTATACCATTAGTCTCGACGAGCTTGCTCAATAGCTTGACCATGTCGGTCATGGGCTCGTGCACCATCCTTCCGAACAGCCCAGAGTGTAGATCCGTTGCTGGACCACTGATGTTAATACTAAAATAGGCTGTGCCTCTGATGCCGAAAGTCAGTGCGGGTTTACGAGTGTTCAGCCAGTAGTTGTCAGTCTATCTGACCACCGTCAGCACACCAAAACGCCTCCGATGAGTGGTACGTACGATGCAAACATAAGAAACACCATCAAACCATCCTTCTTTGCCCTTATTCGCCTCTTCTTCGATGAATTTGTCGAGGCCGGTACTCCCACTTTCCTCCATTCCTTCAAAGCAGAAGCGTACATTGACGGGCAGGGTAAGCGGAAGTGCCTGGTGCGCCTCCAAGACATTTAACCAACCCACAACCGGGCCCTTGTCGTCTGTCGCGCCACGCCCGATCATGCGCTCGTCGCGGACCGTAAGTTCAAATGGGTCCTCGGTGGTCCACCCATCCGATTTTTTTGCCTGGCAAGCGTGGCTTGAACACTTTAAGGTCCATGGATAAGAAGACACTCACGGGCATCACATCATAATGCCCGTACACGAGCACCGTTTTTTTCTTTGGGTCGCTTCCCACCCGCCCGATGACCAGGGGCGGGAGCTGCAGGGTCTGGCCATCAACATCTTCATTACCGAGCCATACGAGTTTCGTCTCAACCCCAAGGGCTGTGAGCTGGCCGTGAAGCCATGTTTCGCCCATGTCAATGACATCCTTGCGCAGCGTGGGGTCGCCACTGACACTGCATGTGGTACAAGGTCAGTTGTAGTGGTCAAGGATGCGAGCTGAATGAACGAATAGAGGGCAGATACTTGCCTTTTATGAGACACGGCATCAGTCAGGCGCTTGATGAACGCCCCCTGGTTATCATCTATGTACTTCAGAAATTCGGGTGGAGCTGGCATGTTGTATTGAATGTTGTATTGAGATGAAATGGCAAGAGGTGGTCATGCATCCTACTTATACTTCCCACTGATGGCCGTACAACAGGCTAGCGCGTCTCGACTTCCAAGACGAAGACATTCGCATTACGTTGCGGTTGTCAAATCATTCCTGCGTGTCATATAGGAGTAAGCACACGAACAACGTGGGGCATGGAAGAGATCCAGAATAGGCGTTTTGTATTATCTTGTATTAGTACGATGTCGTATTGTTTTCTACGTACACCCCGTGCCAATTTGAAGCCTGGACACAAGAAACCAAATCTTGTACTTACCTTGTATCATAACCCAAGATCGTAGTGCTCCTTACAACAACACACAGTAAACATGACTCGAACTGATCAGCCAGGAATGGGCGTTGACCAGATCCAAGAAGGTACCGACGAATGCATTACGTCCGAGAATTACAGTGATTCAGTGACGGGCGTAATCCGTCACATATAGCAATTGTGGAGCTTCATATCGTGGGGCAGCGCCAACCTCGTACTCGTATCAGTTATCATCGATTCATCGATGGCTTCTCGGGATTAACACACCCATCCCTTCAGTGAAATTCGACCGATCCGATCTCATTGGCCAAGCTGGCGAATACGTCAATGAGCAAATAGGAGCATAGAAGGAATAGACACGTAGTAAGATCCGTCAAGGACCGTCATGTGCTCTGCCCATGAGCAGCAATAATACGTGTACCAGGTTCAAGGTTTTCGTTTGGTAGGAGAAGAATTAAACTTTCTTATAGTTCCCACGGCTACACTGATGACAAACCAAAACTCGGAACCACTCATGCATATGCATGCATACCTCCACATTGTCCTCTCCAGTACGTGCTACTCAGGCTTCCCTCATTCTGCGCAAACGTTTACAAAATGATCCTACCAGGCCAGTCAGCATGGTTAAATCTTCGATGCAGAGAAAACTATTCATACTCCACTACTTGACAAACATTTACAACTTGTTCCTACGAAACCGGAGTCAATCCTTGATGAAAAGAGAAGAAAACTGCTCATGCTCACACTGCCAGGGATGTATATTGACAGACATTCATAACCAAGGCAGCAATCTTCAAATGTCTCGCAAACCAGGTGACTACATGCATCGTCATCCGCACTGGTAGACATGGATGAGACAGCAATGACGGCGAGGACCTGCCAGACGAAGGGGAGACGCATTATTTGTGCGATGTGATATACCTGCGCACTGCGGCTTGCTTTTACATGTCCTGAAAATAAGGTTCTCATATGTTTTACCTGTACATATCACACTAACATGAGCTTGTGCCAGCAGTTTGCTAGCAGATGGTTGCAAATGACTTTAGAGGTAGCCAAATGTGACTTTTGGTCACAAGTAGTAGGCCGAGTCGTTGACCGAACTGAATTTTAATCTTTACGTCCACCACCCGGGCGTGGAATAAAAACCTCCTTGCGACGAGGCCCGCGTTCAAAACAGGCTGAGGCCTATCTATTAGGTATTTTCATTCTAGCTCGCCGAGTCGTAGGCCTCTTTTCCCATTCTGACTCCTCCTCCCAGTCGCATATCTCTTCATCAAGTTCGTTGCACTGTCTGCCACACGGTACAACAGGCTCTCTCATCTTGCATTCGAGCTGTACTCGCACACACTGTTGCTTTTGTTTCCACCACGCTCTCGATCATCCACTCCCGTGATATCAGTTCGTATAGGCTGGATCAGCTTTTATGTGCACTCGATGTCGTCTGCAACGGTTTGTATTGTTTGCACTATGAAATACCATGGATTCTGCGTTTTGCCTCATAGTGTGCTAAATGAGCAGTCTGACTCGAATTGATAACAGTCACGAATAACCTAGTGGCAATGAATGTCACAGGGCACTCTGAGACTCGCATGTCTGTTTCAGCCAGCGTTTACTAGCAGCCTCTGGCGCTACTTTCGCTGACGTGACTGGCCTTGACATTAATGTCCACCTCTTTAGCACAGAACGCTGCCGTTAGTCTGGACTTCGTATATTTTGGTCTGGCACTCACTAGAAGCGTCTACGGTGCCGAACAGTTATCGACATATACATGGAGCAGGCTGAATCCCCTTCTCAATCTCTCACCTGAACTTCACCCACAATCCCCATATCCATACTCCGTCTAGGCCTACCATTCAGCTCTTCCTCTTTGTCATTTTCTGCCATCATGACCAGCAGCTCGGAAAGCCGATCTACCAGACTTGAAGGTCGGTCACTCCATATCACCTCAGTGATTGTTTCGTGATCCTCACACTCTGCCACAGTCGTCAGTGGAAAAAGACTCAGAGTCCCCTCCGGGCGCACACCCGCTGGCATTTACGTGTCTATCAACGTCGACTCGGGGAAATGCTGGAAATCAGCTGTCAGAGTCTTATCATCCGACAGTTTTGTAGTGTGGGGCGATACCGTGAACTTGTGAAGCCTTCTACAAACTTGCGGATGCCTTTCCAGTACTCATAATCGACTTGCAGACCACCAGATGCGTCACCCAAATTATCAGTGGAGATTCGGGCATCTTTCGAGCTCGGTCGAATGTTAGGCCGTGGAGAACTCATTGGAAAGCTTGAAATGTCGTTGGATGGGCTGCTCGATCATGGTGACGAGCCTTTCGGTAAGTGATCCGCTTCACACTCATCTACATATCCTCACTGGTCACAGATCTGTCCTTTCCGCCCATTCGAGGTGTCTGCCCTTCTCTCACGCTGAAAGCCGCCCCTGTGCAAGCTTGCGCAAACGACGACAGTGCAATGTTTGATGTAAGTGATACCAGCCTTTGTGCTGTTGGCTTTTGCTGATGAAACCCAAACTGTAGTCCGTTGATGACTGCAGGATTGCTCGAGACACAGATGCGGGCCACACACGATTATCCGAGTACATGAGGGGCAGGAGTGAGGTTCATATCCTGGATGATGCTATGAACCATTTTGAGTTGGTCCTGGACCAATGTCCAGTCGACCATCCCGACCACGCAGCAGCTCTCACAAACCTCGCGTGGGCCCGCCTCCAAGGCTATATCCACAAAGATCTTCGGGGCATCTACATTGCTACCTCTCTGTTCCGTGATGCCCTTGCATTGCGTCCTCAGGGCCACCCTGATCGTCCCATCTCTCTCTATCATCTCATCGAAGCATTGATTTGGCGCTACAGCTACCACGCCACCACCGTCGATATTTATAAATCCGCTCATCTCTGTCATGAGCTACTGCCTCTCTGTTCCGACGACGCCTATCTTCGTAGCATCGCGATCGGCAAAAATGGTGTCGATTATGTGATCCGAGCATGCAACAATCTTCCCACGGATGCATCCGATGAAGGCATCCGCCTTCGACTAATCGTTCTCGAGCTCTGCCCCTTTGGAAATCAACACAATCCCACCGCCCTCGACAAGCTTGCAAAGGCACTAAAAGCACGCTTTCGACAATGCGCCAGCATTGATGATTTAGACCAGAACATACAACTTGGTCGTGACATTATTTCTGTATGCCCCAAGGAATACCCTAACCGTGTCGCCTACTTGATAAACTTGGCCGAATCACTCAATCGCCGCTTCGATTACCAACGCAAATCTCATGACCTCGATGAGGTCATATTTCTCTACGAAGAAGCGCTACCCCTGCGTCCTGTTGGGCACGAATATCATGATGCGTCATTGGACGGTTTGGGGCGCGCCCTCCTCACCCGTTTCCATGAATGCAGTGGCATCGATGACATAAACAGAGCTACCGGCCTCTTTCGCAAGGCACTGGCGGCGTGCCCACCTGGGCGTCCAAATCGTGACACCAGGCTTAACAACCTTGCCGCCGCGCTCATAACCAGACATGATAAATTGCATGCCAGCGATGACCTTGACGAGGCCATCGACCTGTGCCGCAAATCGCTTTGCTTACTAAAGCAGGATGATCATCCAGAGCGACATAGAAATCTATTCAATTTGAGCATGGCACTCTGCTCTCGGTTCAATCAAACACGGAAGAACGAAGATGTTCAGGAAGCCATTGGTCTCTGCCAACAATCATTGTTAGCTTTGCACCCACTGCACCCGGACCGGTATTTCAGCTACAAATGGCTGAAGGAGGCCTATCTGTCTCGTCATCGGATTCTACCCAACACTGCTGATTTGTCACTTGCAATGAACAACTTCAGACTCGCGTCAAAACATTCCACTCAGGGATTTCCAGAACGCATCAAGGAGGCTATCCAGTGGGCTCGCCAAGCAGAAGTGTATGGACATGAATCTGCCCTTGAAGCATACCAAACATCCCTGGACCTTTTTGACAACTATGTGACGACGCGATCTTCAATTACCTTGAGGCGCGATGTTGCAACCATCCTTGACGGTTCACAATCCCTATCAGTGGATGCGGCATCATGCGCCGTTCGTTGTAATGATATGCAACGAGCGGTTGAACTTGAGGAGCAGGGCCGCGACCAACACTGGTCGCTAGCCTCTCGACTCAGGACTCCGATGGACGACCTCAAGTCCACCAGTCTCCCACTGGCTCACAAACTCTCAGAGATCAGCAAGTGCATATCTGATGCTCAGAGTTCTGCAGGCAGTGCAGACCGGGCTGCTGCTGATCGGGCAGCAATAGCGTACAGGAGACTTACGACGCAATGGGAAGCTGTAGTGGCTGAAATCCGCAAACTCCAAGGTTTCTCGCGGTTCCTGCTCCCACCGTTGTATGAAGATTTGCAAGTAGCAGCGCGCCACGGCCCAGTTATCATTCTCATTGCCAGCAATTACTCGTGCAACGCCATCATCGTCCCAACGTCAGGGGATCCCCGCCATGTTCCCTTCCCGTCTCTCGATCTGACGTATCTGGAGGTGCTTAAGAGCGACTTCGCGAAAGCGATACGGAACACGGCTCGCATGGGCCCAAAGGAGCCAAGGACAGAGCTGATAGCACTGTTGCGCAAGATATGGGACGAGGTCATGCTGCCCATTGTCAACGTACTCCAGCATGATCTGAAACTGCCGAGTTGGTCTCGAATTTGGCTGTGTCCGACGGCAGCCTTCACATCCATTCCTCTTCACGCAGCTAACCCATTTCGAATGAAGGCAGATGGCTCTGAGCGGGAACTATGCCTAGAAGATCTCTACATCTGTTCCTACACTCCAACGCTTTCTGCTCTGATCAGAGCTCGACAAACGACGATGACACGTGTCACTCCGTCCTTCGCGGTGATCGGACAAGGTCGGCCTGGCGCGGGGCAAGGCACGGTCCTCGCTGCTGTAGATGACGAGCTTGAGCTAGTCCATAAACTCGTCCCTCCCAACATCAAATTCACCAATCTTTCTAGCGATGAGGCTACACGGGCAGGTGCACTCGATGCCCTGCGATGCAACACTTGGGTGCACCTCGCTTGCCACGGCAAGCAGGACTGCGAACATCCCTCCAACTCACGCTTCGCCATGAGAGATAAACCTCTCACGCTGCTTGACATCACGGAGAACAATGCACCGCAAGCCGAATTCGCATTTTTATCGGCGTGTCATACCGCCCGTGGCAACAAGATGACCGACGAGGTCATTCATCTCGCAGCTGGTTTGCAATTTTCGGGGTTCAAAAGCGTCGTTGGCACTCTTTGGGATGTCAATGACGCTGTTGTTAAACATGCTGTTGAAGCTTTCTATGAGATTATGTTCCAGGACTTGGAGGAGGGTGTCATGGACTGTACAAAGGCGGCCTGGGCACTCAACAAGGCTATTTACGCAGTGACAAAGACAGTGCCGCTCGAGCAGAGAATCGCTTTTATTCATATTGGTGTATAATTCTATGTCGGAGTATCACTTTCATCAGTGGTACGGTTTTGGATTATCTCGAACTCTTTCTGCGGTGGACTTCAAGTTGTTATTGTACTATAAATTACCCCTATACTGTTGGTGCGTTAACTTGCCTCTTGGCCCAAGATCGTAGAGCTCGAACTTAAGTGCTTAGTGCTCCTTACGAAAACCGAATAGGGCGTTGACTAGAACCGGAGAGTATACTAGACCAATGCATGTAATCTGGAATCCGCACACCTGTGTGGCCCATTCAAAGTACAGGGCCAATACGTCCGAGGACTTCAGCAACGGGGACGGTAGACATATGTGGCGTAAATTTACCAAATACAACAATTGTAAAGCTTCTTCTGTTACTCGTATCATGCGGTAGCGCCGACCTCGTACAAGTAGGTACCCAATACCTTTGTCTGTAAGCGGTCCATCAATTATCACCGACGTCTTCGTGACTAACCCACTTACCCCTTCAATGAAATTCGATCGATCCAGCTTCTCGTTGGTTGAGCTGGGGAATATGTCAATGAGTAAAAAGGGGTCAGAAACAGAATCACGTACTGAGCTCCGTCATCTGCTCTGCCCATAGGCAACAACAATACGTTTACGCCCAGGCTCTCCGCAAATGTCAGCGTCACAGGGATTGAGCCTCCCTCGCGGGTGTAGTCTGGTGTTTTCTTATACACAGCCTGAACGCTTGCTGGTTCAAAACGTGAAAGAGGACAAGTGCTTCAGACGCACCTCAATAGCCTTCTTCGCGGCCTCAAAGTTCCAGTGTTTCACGTCTGCAACCCAGGGCTTACCGCCGTGTTGATACTCTACCTCCATCTTGTTCTTGCTGTTGAACTTCGCAAACTCGGCTTCGAGGTATGCATTGACAAGGGGTACGATCTTCTCTGGAGTTTGCGGGGGAACGAGGCTGGTAAGACCAATAAAACGTGGACGTCGTACCGAATACAAATGCAATGCCGCGAAAAGAAGAGTTACTATCAGCGTGTGGAGTTGAATGAAGTAGGGAATAGATTCACCGAATACTGAACTTCCCTCCTACTTTGGCAGGGATGACAGTTTTACCGCCGACATCTGAGAATGCACCCTGAATACCGTGCAGGGACAAGGATGGCTGACGCATCCGGCCCATTAGCACGACAGTTTTCTCTGATGACAAGGCAATCTGTACAATCCAGTCAGATGCGAACAATCACAAAATGGATAAACACTTGCCTTTCCACCAGCAGCCTGTTCAATATCATTTATCGAATAGTCCATCTTCTCGTAAAGCTTCCTATATAAAATAAGTCTAGATTCCAATGAAAAGTCTGGGTACACACAATTCCTCCTCATCATGAGGTGGGACCATGTCGTCGATACCAGGAATCAGAATGTTGCCGTTATGATCCACAAGCATACTCATGAGCTTGATTAGATCTGTCATGGGCTCGTGCACCGTCCTCCCGAACAAACCTGAGTGCAAATCCTGACCAGGCCCAGTGACATTGATGCTGAAATATGCAATACCACGTAGCCCATACGTCAATGCAGGCGTCCGGGTGTTCAACCAGTAATTGTCGCTCTGTCCCGCGTATCAGTACATATCTCCACACTGGCAGGCAGAGATCACGCACGATGCACACGCAATCAACCCCATCGAACCACCCGTCCTTACCCTTCTTCACCTCCTCCTGGATGCACTCATCCAGCCCCTCACTCCCATTCTCCTCCATGCCCTCAAAGCAAAATCGCACATTCACAGGCATCGGAATCCCCAGGTTCTTATGCGCCTCGACGACATTTAACCAGCCCAAAATCGGGCCCTTATCATCCGTCGAGCCACGGCCGATCAAGCGATCCGAATCTTTGTCCACCACAAGCGTGAACGGATCCGTATTCCATCCGTCCGACTTCAGTGCCTAGTTTCTGCAGTTCAGTGCCATGCTTCCAATGCCACTCTGCTATGGAATACTCACAGGCTGCACGTCATAGTGTCCATATATCAGCACCGTCTTCTTCGAAGGGTCGCTCCCCAGGCGGCCGATGATGGCCGGGGGGAGCTGTAGCGTCTGCCCCTGCATCTCATGCGTGCCGAGGTCCATTAGTTTGGTCTCGACGCCGAGCTGGTTCATCTGGCCGTTCAGCCAGTGTCCCATCGCAATGACGTCCTTGCGTCGACGAGCATCGCTGCTGATACTGTATGAATGGAGTCTTGAGTTAAAGTGGAAAGTCGATAATACATAACTGCGGGACCTGCCTTTGAATAGCAACAGCATCGCCTAGACGCTTGATAAACGCCTCTGCGTGCGTGTCGATGTAATTGCTGAAGCTCGCTGGGGCTGGCATTGTTGTGGTTGTTGATGAAGAGGTTATGTGCTACGATCTAGCCGAGTCACGTCACTGGACCGCCGATAAGATGAAGTGTGCACCCCAAGGATCCTACTTATATCGCTCTGGGCTCCGGATCTACGTAGGAAAAGAAACACACGCTCAATTGTCCATCGTGGCACTAGGCCTGAAGTTATTTAGGAACGACTATATATCATTTCCTTCATCTAATCGTCTCATTACACCGATACCATCATGATCATCGCGCACAACCTGGATCCCTCTCATTCGAATTGGTATATCTAACAAATAAGCAAAGAAAATGTAAGACCAATAATTTATCTGCATGAAAAAAAGTGGATAAAATGTTTGTGAACAGAATCAGCCAAAGAACGCAAGTAATGACATCGCAGTCGTGTGGTAGTGTATGTACTTGATTGAAGGAAGAAGGGCCAATATCCAGAATCCTCGTTAATGTATGTATGTGATTTTTCTCGTCGCTTTCATCGTCTAGCCTGATCTTGCCTTGCTTCGTCGTGGTACGCCGGATCGTCGTCGATATAAACTTACATGAAGAGGGTGATAAGAAAGGGGGCAGTCATGAAGGTGTTCACACAGAGTGAACAAGCTCCACTGCGCGCCTGCAGACCTCATCAATCCCCCACCGCTCGCCCAGTCCGTGCTTCAAGTCCAGGATGCCGCCCACCTCATCGCACGCCCGTAGCACCATATCGATATCCTCCTTTGTGTGAGCTGCGCTAACACAGAACCGCACCCTACTGGCCACAAGCGGAGTAGCGGGGTAGGCGACGACAACGACAACGATCGGTGTGCTCCGCGAACGCATCATGCGCGAGAACATGCTCATCTTGCCTGGATTGAAGATGAGAAGGGGAACAATCGGACTGAAGGGATGCCCGTAGGTGATAAAACCGAGTTTCTTGAGGCCCTGGTGGAGATACCGCGAGTTGAAGGCAAGACGGCGGATACGCATACGTGCTTCAGAACCGTCTGCAAGAGACGGATGAAGGTTCATCCATGTCGGCAGCATGCTCGCGGGTGCCATGCCTGGGAGCTCCTCTGCACCATCCTTCAGCGTGACGATGGAACTAGCAGGACTGAGCGTGAGCGCGGACTTGGTCGGCTGTGATGCCGGAGCGACCCCCATGATGCTGGCCATTGACGAGACGACCTGAGTGAGAACGGGGGGCGCCATAGCTTCTGCATACGGGCCGGAGTGGCCATGCAACCGGAGACTATCTATGAGGGTTTTAGGCCCTGCGATGTATCCGCCAGCAGCGCCAAATGACTTGGTGAAAGTGCCCATCAAGACATCAATTGAACGAGGAGGGATGTTAAAATAGTCTGTGACTCCGCGTCCATTGGGACCGAGCGCGCCGATTGAATGTGCCTCATCAACAAAGAGGGAGAACTTGAATAAAGGATCAACATCGCAACACAACACGCTGACTGCAATACGGACCTTGTACTTTTGCTTCAGTTCAACAATCCTAGGAAGGTTCACGAGCGTTCCCTCCATGGAGTACAAACCTTCGACGATGACTAAAATCTTCTTCCACGGACGATGCGTCTTGGGCTGACCCTGGCTGATCACCTCACGTAGCAGGGATTCGAAGCTTGACATATCATTGTGCTTGAACATCCGGACTTGCGCACCACTATGACGCACACCAACACGGATACTAGCGTGGTTCAGTTCGTCAGAAATGACAAGGGATCCCTTTCCCACGAGTGCGGGGATGAAAGTAGAGTTGGTAGCGAATCCCATAGAGCTGATCAACGCGTCTTCCATGCCGACAAAACGTGCAACAAGAGCTTCAGCAGACACATGGAGCTCGCTGCTGCCGCTCTCGAGGCGTGTACCACAGGTGGAAATGCCAAAACGACGTATGCTTTCTTCAACTGCGTCTGCGCAACCACCACGGGCCTGGGCAAAGCCGAGGTAGTTGTACGATGAAATGTTCAGCGCACGCGACTTGCCACCGGTGTAGATCTGCGTGTGATTGTTATCCGTAGAGTACCGGTCGAGGATAACAATAGTGCGTCCTGCCACTCCGGTGACAGGCTGGGAAAAGCAGTCGTCCATGCGACGCTTGAGCCGACGGGTGTAGAACGAATCAAAATCCGAGTTCAACGGCGCGTAACCCTGGGTAAGAAAAGAAATTAGATGAGAGCGGGGTTGAAGATGAAAAAGGATACACGTACATTATGGGGCATAAGGTGGGTGAAATAAGACTTAGTAAAACGCTTTCCGAAGAAGTCACGCATATGGCCAAAACAGAGGAGAATGAGGTAACTAATATAGGTCGTGAGGAGGATATAGTATGGGGGCTCCTCGATGGCATGCTCTTGCACAGGTTTGGAGTAGTCATGCTTGGAGACGCAACGATATGCCTCGTTTGCACAGTGACCAAACTCCGTGTGAACGGTGGTGAAGACCTGTTCAGAGGTTGGGGGAGTAAAGGGGTACGCGAGAGGATTGTTCTCATCGTCCTCGTTAAGAACGGTGTCTTCTGATGAAGCTGTGACAGAAGAAGAAAGTGAAAGTGCAGGGGTTGATGCAACAGAAGAGTTGTCGTGACTGCGAGCGCGGGTGTCTGCTTGGTGAACAGCAGAAAGGTAGGACGCTGCGGTCGTCATTGACGACAACTGGTTAAGAGACTTTTTCTTTTTGAAGATGGATGGAGAACGTGATGGCGGATTTAACGCCATTGGAGAAGGCATTTTGTTGTCCTGCTCAACAAATAAAGCGCAGGATGAGGACGATGATGAAACGGTGTCAACGACTCGAAAAGGGTTGTTATAAAAATTTGCTTATGTCAGTAATATACACGCCCCCGCCCCTGTGAGAACTTTGTTTCGTCTATCTTTATCATTCACATCCTAAGCCCTCTACTAACCATAGCTAGTACTCACTCTTGGGAAAAATCCCTTGTCAGTGAGACAAATCACGTCGTGCCGTTTGGGCACATACATCAATGTCTTAGCCATCGACGAGCTAGACCCCCTTGTTCCTTTAAGCGTAAATCAACTTCACCGCGGCGACCGAGAACATTCGATGTGCGCAGTTATAGTTAATCGCAGGTCATTGAAACATCACATGCATCACAGGTCATTTTAACGTCCGAGACAGGTCGTTGAAACATCACAGGTCATTGAAACAGTCATTGAAACCCGTTTACTCAACATCCGCACCATCAGCATCCATTCCTCGACAGCCACCCCCGAGTGTCTGGAATATATTTAGTTCCTCGTGGCCCCTGACCATCGAAAAATATCCTGTGCTTCTTTTGACTTTGGTTCGTCAGGAACAAGTAAGCATGTACGCACTCTCATTTTCCCATCCAAAATAAGTACGATCTCAAGGAAGGACCGGTTAGTTCGGTATATGACATCCATATCTCGACCCATTGAGCTCATCCCCCTTCATGCACGCGATTTTCTGCATTGCACATAATCTCACAAGGAACGACTGTCGTCCTTCTCGAATTGACTGTGAGAGACTAACACAATCACGCTGACAATGTATGTACAGGGCTGCAGGCTGTATTTTTGTGTGGCCTGTTGCGTGCGTGCGAGTTTGACAGCCTGAGACGAGCAAAGTTTGAATTTTGAAGCGCGAAATCAGAGTTACAATTGAATTGGCACAAACTTTGTTTGCATTTGATACTCCTGAACTTCATTGTAACAAGCTATCAAATTTGCTAACCATGGTTAACCGGCACCTCGAGTTTCAACGACACGCGCAGCTGCAAGAGAGCAATGAGGTGTGTTTGTTTTGTGGAGGACGTTCATTCTCAAACTATCGTTGATCTGAAGCGCAGTGAAATTTCCCCAGGAGCAACTCATTCTGCCATGACAGAATCTGAATGAGCTCGTGCACACGCATCGAGTTTGGCCACCAAACCCGATACATGGACTCTGTTCGGAAATCAAGATCCAGGTAGAATCTATAGTTCGTGCTACCTTTGCATCACTATGGTAATCCACAGGTCCAGTACACGACTGGGCGAGAGCACAACAGGCAAGGACAAGGCAGGGCAAAGCACATTGTACGACCTCGAAGGAACAACGAATCTGCAGTAGACCTCCGCATCTGGCTGATATTGTATATATGATTCATTGTATATAATAGCATTGCGTTTAAAATAACAACTCGGAAAATACAATGTTTGCAGAATCTTGTTCTTCGTTCGTCTCCGTAAATAAGGATAGTGTGTCTCTCCGTGTCCTTACTCTCGATAACGCTGTATATAATTGACCGTGAGCAAAGGGGTCAGTCACCGTCAGTGCGGAGGTCGAGAATAGTCGTTCGTGCACGTCCAACAGATAGATACCATCTTCTTCGGTGGAAGCTGTATTCGCACCAAACATAAATACATTGACACGGAGATCACCACTGTCTGAAGTGGCGATGAATTCGAATCTGTCGTATCGCCAGAAATTCTTTTCTGCAGAGCGCCATTATGAGTGCAGTGCGCGCAAGGAAATAGGAGAACGCAGAGCAACGATATCAAATGACGCGAATTATTCAAATGCATCGGAACAGACCAACGGCAAAAACGCGCGTCAGCATAGCATGACGGGGTGGACGCAATAGCCACCGAACCGTCGGTTATTCAAGCTTAAATATTGTAGATGGTGACACTGAAACGAGATGACTGCGGTGAGTAATGCATTTCAGAAGGTCAAATAACCTATGGATACATACAATATTAGACAATCTGCGGCTGGTGTATACTATTGCAGGTAACAAAAGAACGCGCTTCTATCTACTTGACACAAGCAATATCAATTTTAGTGATTACGGACTGGTCATCAACCAAAGATCCACCATCGAATGATGACCAGCCAAAAGCGAACAACTTGAAACAAAAACCGAGCAAAAAACAGGCGAAACAGCCATGCAGGCGTTCATACAGAGTGCACAAGCTCCACTGCGCGCTCACATACTTCATCAATTCCCCACCGCTTGCAAGAACCATGTTTCATGTCCAAAATTCCGCCGACCTCGTCGCACGCCCGCAACACGATGTCTATATCCTCCTTTGTATGCGATGCGCTAGGACAGAGCCGCACACGACCCGTCTCAAACGGAGTGGCGGGGTACGTTACGACAACGACAGCGATTGGTATAGGGCGTGCACGCATCATACGCACGAACACGGGCAATTTGCCCGGGTTAAAGATAAGCAGAGGAACAATAGGGCTGGAGGCATGTCCGTAGACGATGAAGCCGAGTTTCTTGAGGCCAGTGTGCAGATAACGGCAGTTGAAGGCAAGGCGGCGCATACGCATGCGAGCTTCAGATCCGTCCGCGAGAGACGGACGAAGGGTCATCCACGTCGGCAGCATACTGGCAGGCGCCATTCCTTGGAGCTCCTCTGCGCTGCCCTTCGGCGCGACGATCGAGCTATCAAGGCGTGCTGGGGCGACGCCCATAATGCTGGCCATCGACACAACAACCTGTGTGATCACGGCTGGCGCTATGGCTTCCGCATACGGACCCGAGTGACTGCGCAGGCGGAGAGCATCAATAAGGGGTTTCGGTCCTGAGATATATCCTCCAGCGGCACCAAAACCCTTGCTGAACGTGCCCATAAGAACGTCAATTGAACCAGGAGGGATGTTGAAGTAGTCCGTGACACCCCGTCCCCGAGACCCGAGCGATCCGATCGAGTGTGCCTCATCAACGTAGAGATAGAACTTGAATGAAAGCTCAGTATCGTAACACAACGGTAGCTGTATTACATACCTTGTATTTCTGCTTCAGCTCGACAATCCTAGGTAGGTTCACGAGCGTTCCCTCCATGGAGTATAAACCCTCGACGATGACCAAAATTTTCTTCCAAGGACGATGCGTCTTAGGATGGCCCTGGCTTACCGCCTCACGCAGCAGAGACTCAAAACTTGACATATTATTGTGCTTGAATACCCGGACATGCGCACCGCTCTGGCGTATACCGACCCGCATACTAGCATGATTCAGCTCGTCGGAAATGATCAAGGACCCCTTTCCCGCGAGTCCAGGGATGAAAGTGGAGTTGGTTGCGAAGCCCATAGAACAGACCAAAGCGTCCTCCGTGCCCAAAAAACGCGCAATAAGGGCTTCGGCGGCCATGTGAAGATCGTTGCCCCCACTTTCAAGACGCGTGCCGCAGCTGGAGACGCCATAACGGCGGATGCTCTCCGCGACTGCATCTGCCCAGCTGCCGTGGCCCTGAGAGAAGGCGAGGTAGTTGTACGATGAGATGTTCAGGGCGCGTGTCTTGCCACCAGTGTAGATCTGCGTATAGTTATAATCGGTAGAATAACGGTCGAGGACAAGAACAGTGCGGCCAGGGACACCCGTGATAGGCTGGTGGTAGCAGTCACTCACGCGACACTGGAGCCGTCGGTTGGCGAACGATTCAAAACCCGGGGTTAACGGCGCGTAACCCTGCACATAGAAAATTAATTAAATGTGACAAGCAAGGCTGAGGGGGGCCGAAGATGGGACATACATTTTGGGGCACAAGGTGGGTGAAATAAGATTTGGCAAAACGCTTTCCGAAGAAATCCCGCAAATGTCCAAATATGTGGAGAATGAGGTAGCTTATGTAGGTGGCGAGGTGAATATAATATGGAGGCTCCTCGGTGGTGTACTCCTGGAAAGGTTTCGAGTAGTCATGCTTAGAGACGCAACGATAAGCTTCATTCGCACAGTGACCAAACTCTGTGTGAGGGGTAGTGAAGACCTGCTCGGACGTGGGTGGCGTGTGGGGGTTCACTAGACAGTTGTTCTCGTCATCCTCGTTGAGGACGGCATCTTTGGATGAAGCCGTAGCAGAAGAGGAGAGGGAAGGTACAGGTGTTGATACCACAGAGGAGTTGCTGTGACTGCGAGTGCGAGTGTAGGAATCTGCTTTCTGAACAACAGAAAAGTACGATGCTGCCGTCGTCATTGATGACAACTGGCTGAGGGGTTTTTTGTCCTTGAAGATGGACGGGGAAGGGGAAGACGAATTGAATGCCATGGAAGACGGCATTTTCTTGTCTTATTCAACGAGTAATTCGTACGTCAAACCTCTGAGATGGAGTAACGAGGATCACAGTGATGTTCTAACACTTTGCTCGTGTTATAATATCATGCCTCGCCAGCATCTACCGTCGGTTGTACATGTGATGGCCCAATTATGCAATGTTTTATGGAACAGTTTGGCGCTGGCAGAACAATTGATGACGTGGGGCACCATACTGCATGACGGGGTAGAGGATCTTCTCCTACACAAGCTTTCAAGTCAGTTGCCACGTAGCCAATGTATAAAATGACAGCATCACCGTGAACGCCCCTGCGGATATGATGGTGTGTTTAACCGCTGTAACGACAGTCATACATCGGCTCGGATTTGGTCGCTTTGTTCATGTGTGAGGCATTAACGCCACGTCTCTGATCATTACTGACAATACCTATTAGACCTGCATCGGGGTGATCGATCATTGGACAGTAACATTCCACCCAACAGTACTGAAAGGAGTTACGTACATGCGACCCAATGGCAGAAACGGTTCGATGAGAGTGTCAGAGCGGCCGCACGGACACACGTACCGGGATTCATGCAAGGTGATACAACTCACACTCGAACCACTGCGGGTCCCGGATGGTCGATTCTGTTCTGTGACGACTGCCAGCGATATCCCCTGGCCCATTTTGTTTAGTATGTAGTAATTATATCCTTCTGTCTCCAACGACGATTGAGATTCTGAATCGATCCCAACATGCCGACAAACGTTCGTAGTAAATGCATATACACTGAAATCATTGGTCACAATCAATGATAACATTGTTGCATTATGATTGGCATAATACTACTCCGTGTCACATCAAAATATCAATTTGCAAGACCTGTCACACTATATTGTGACATCAAGTTTGTCGGCGTCGTCGTCGTCGTCGTCACTGAGTACTGAGTACTGAGAACGTTCAACATCGATAACTTCACCCTTTGCAACGGCAATTTCAACACAATAGACTTCTATGAGGGACCGTATTGGACAAAATAAAATCAAAACGATAAAGTAAATAAATCGACGTTATAACTAAAACTCGAATTGATTTCACAAAAGTCATCCACGTGGCTTCTCAAAACTCTAAATCATTTCAGAAAAGTCGTCCACGTGCCTACCAAATCAGGATGTTACGCACAAATGTCGTCCACCTGCTTATTTATCGATTTATCCCTTACTCACTGTCATTGATGGCGAGCTCGAGCCCGCCCATCGTGTGTCGGGTCACGGGTCACAGTATGGCAGGTGCGCACCTGCCGTTTATAGTAATTAATTAATCACCCATTCTGGCGACACTTTGTTTGCACCCATCAGCCATATGTCAACTTGAAGCTTCGTCCCTTGTCGTTTCGATGACTATCCTCCACCCTTGGGAGAGGAGCCGAGCCGGCTAGAACGACGCCTCCAGGGCTGGGAGAGATACACCTCAGTGGAGTCGTCATACTGGTGTGTGATATCTACCTCCGTTCAGCACGTATTGACGACTTCCCCCAAGCCATTCACGCAACTAATGTCACTCTTGGTCTCCGACGCATCTCCACTGGCTTCCGTCTGACGGTCAACGCTGGATGGTGCTGAATGCCAGACAATCAACAAACCTGTAGACATAGACCAGGCCGTCATTGATTAGAACGAGCGCATTCTTCTGTAAGTTCAAGTCCTTATTCTGGTTTTTCCTGCAGGGATTGAAAAAGACTTTAGGCCGTGCAAGCCATCTTCTAAAGTTCGGGTCAGCGTGTATGCCTCATTTGAATTAGGTCCCATGCCCAGCCACGGTGAATTCCTCCGCACATTCAAGATCTCCGTCAGAGAATTACCGGATCACAGTGAAAAGTCACATCGTCAGTATTCTGAGGAAAACGACGCTGCAGTCCTTTGCCCCCTTACTACTGTGAGTGATCAATACAATCTTATGTTCTGATACTGAGAGCTTGTGATGCGCAGGCTACGTCCAGCGATGTCGATGTGTTAATACTCAGGACGGACGCTGGATACTGTCTTCTCGCACGATACCGCAGGACACAGAATGGTAGTGATCTCGACCAATCTATAATTCACTTTGAACGTGCCTCTGATCTCTGCCCCATGGATCATCCATACCACCCTGCAGCACTGTTCAATCAAGCTACTGCGAAGTTTGTTAGTTGCCAAGCCAATGTAATTTACCTCGTCCTCGACATCCCTGTTGCTCTTTTTCAAGACGCCCTTGATTTGCGTCCCACTGGTGATCCGGACAGGCCCATCACCCAGCTCTTGTCATTGCTCTGTTGTCTCGCTTCGCGAAACGGGGATTTCAAACGGATGCTGAAGAGTCGAAGTGGCAGAACCTTGGTTGTAAACACACCTGAGTACTTGACCTTTCAGACTGACTCGCGCCCGCGGCTTCCTCGATAGGTGAAAGGGGTCTCAGCCAAGTCCCGCAAATCACTAGAGGGAGCAAATTTCTACCTCCTCCATGCACCTTGTCGTCCCCTATCGAATCTAGCTGCGGATTCAAGGCTCTACTGAATAGGGCAGAGCCTACAGCACGGAGCGCGGAACATACTGCGCGGAACATATTGCAGAGTGCACACCACATAATCATAATGTAACATGGGGAGAATACGACGAGGGAGATGTTGAGATAACGACTCAGGCCCCTGAGGGTGCGAACAAGATAGAAGGAACCTACTCATTCAATGGTGCAATGATAGGCATTGTTTCATACTCCGAGTCGACCATAGAAATAATCGTCTTGATAATCCCATTTGTCCTATCGACGTTGGTCTGGTTAGAATGCTATATGGGATACGACATTCTTTGACCAGAATTATCAAATCTATTAGAGAAAATATTAGCATGGCACGCGATGTCGAGTGTTGCTGTTGCATTCACCCGTTCTGACTCCCAGGGGCACCATGCAGGTCAATGATGAGCTTGAGGTTGTAGTCCGACGCCCAGGTAATGGCCTTCTTCACATAGTCTAGCCAGCCATTTATGTACGGTGCTGGAATACTCAGTTCGGAATCTGATTAACGCACTTCTTGAAGGAACAAAGGACTTGACTTGATTGTATCTTTGGACGACAAACCCGAGTGTCGGAAATTGACAGGGACCTACTCAGAAATGTGTCATGGGGTAACAAGTGGCTCGAGTGATAGATAAACCATGCGAAACAACTTCTCTCTTTTCACGAAACTGGGCGAGCCGTGTCTGCAGTGTAAGAGTTTGCATACACGTGAATGCGGCACCTATTCTTAGGTCAAGGAAAATGCGCGCCTTAACAACATGGGCCTGAGCCATGTCAAGATCGATGGAGTTCTGAGCAGCACAATGAATTTGTCTGACATCACGAACCTTTATTGGCGGAAAAACTCTGGCCAAGAACCGGATACTCACTGAGGAATTATAGCGCTAAACCTTGCTCTCTTCACAACGATCTGTGGACGTGATTTCCTGCATACCTTGACAATCTCGTTCCCAATGTTCTCTCCCTCGCGATCACAATCTGTCCAAATCATGAGGGTATTTGCTCTATGCGTCTCAGTCAAGAGAATTTGTGAGTTGGTCTGTGGGTAATCGAAATAAAAGTTCTTGATGAATCTAATGGTCATTCAAGTACGCTGGAAGTAAAATACATGGATTTAAGAACGGTAGGCAGGTAGAGCAGCGCCAGTAGGAGCCTTGTTCACCAGGCTGAGCGTCTACTTCTGCGCTGATGTGACAGCATCTGGAACTGTCGTTCTTCCGAGTCTAGCCAGTGAATCACCCACACCTACCGATGTCTTTGAACAATTGGCAGAAGAAAACGAGAGCTCATATACTTACCTGAGACGTCTCCATGTAACTGAACAATATATTGGAGGTCACTCAGCGCGCAGGTCAGTAGCAAAATGGAAGCTCGATAATGTCTTGCTCAAAGGAATGACGATCCTTGATCCGTAATGATGACTGGAGGCATGTTCAAGTTTGACGAGCTGGATGTACCGCTGTCTGCGCGGACCAGAGAGCATAAACAGATCCTCGTTGTTGCCTCCTGGATCCACGCACATGTCACAGGAGCTCGCGAGGGTCAACGTGGACGACAGTGCCAAAGGTGGAGTTCCAATTTGAGGACACAGTGGACTACAGAGGGGGTGTTTTCTGTTAAAATGAGCCGATACATATACTTTCGCAGCGAGGTTTGCCAACTCTTGGCGCCCAAAAAACAGCAGCCCTTTCAGCTTGTCAGATACAAGAACACAATCAAAACAAAAACATGAACCAAGACTCCCATTTCATCGAAACATCTCCGGACGATCCTTGATTGACACAGCCACTAGGATCTTCAAACGGGCAGGGTGCTTGTCGTGGGTGGAAGGATGCAAACGTGACGTGTCCTGAGCTTCCGATAAAAATGAAGGACTTGAATTGTGATTTCGAGCACCTACCTCAATATTCTGATTTGATGAACCACGTTGAGGGTTGACGTCCACATGTTGAGCGTGAATGAGCTGGATGTTGAGGGAGTAAGGGAATGTCCCATTGAACAACGCAAGTGAGCAGAACGCAGGTACAGGTATGCTCGTTGTGGCAGAGGGAACAAATCGGTGTTGCCACACAGTCGTCTGCCAATCCGGGTGAAGCTGCCTTAGGGTTGGAATTTGGTACTAGGTGCTAAGATACACTGCATGACCAGTATAGCAATCGTCCAACTTGATATTCAGTAGCGTGAAACTCATGGGACTTCCCTGTGGTGTCAATCCAAGAATCACTTTTGGCGCCTGAATATCAGCTTACCAGAGAACGACAGTGCAAACCACACAACTTTTAGCGCGAATGGTAGCATGGGGGCCAGTTTCAACCGACAATCTTTGACCCAGCGCAACTCCTGGCGGCTCACTGTGCCGGGATGAGATTCACGACCCCCTAATACTTGTAAATTGTCCGGATTTAATTCACTCCTCTGCCCTTGTAGCTCATTTCAGGCCAACCGACGTCATGGCGAAGGGTATTCTGATAAGGAGCACATGGAAAAAGCACAATATGAGCCTACATTACACCGTCCGTCATAGCATCTATTATTCCGCCGCGACTGGCCCTCGTGACTGGCTGAGATATGGAATAGATAGAAGTTGTCTTCCTGCGACGCAGTGGTTGTATATCGAGCGAAGGGCACTGAGGCTGCCGAACGCAGTCTCGAGTGCACGCTTGAGGTCACCTTCTCGGGATTCTGAGTTGCCGTCAGAACCATCGCTGGAAGAAGTCGAGTTGAGGAGCCTCTCAACAAGCGCTGTGCCCTTGGCGCGGGATTCTCATCGACGAGCAGCGATGCCCTTGGAAAGAGTTTCGCATTTAGTGCATGCTCGGAGAGTGGGTCCCTATTTCACGACGAACACAGTGTGATGCCAGTGCATGCAATTTTGTAGGATGCAAGGGCGTACATCTGCATCTGGAGAGTCAGTTGCTCTTCGATCGCTGGGGAGTCGTTGGGGTCATGGTTGGAGGAAGGCGCAGTGTGGATGGGATAGCCAGAGTAGGTGTTGTTGCGCAGAACGTGCGAGAACGGGTAGGAATAGGGCGAGCAGAGGTGCTGGGCTGGCTTGCATGCTAGATGTCAACGGTGATGGAGCAGCAATAGGCTGGCTGTGAGGTGTGGGCGGTATCATAGGGTGCGACTGGACGAGGTGGTGTTAGACAAACTTGGACAAACACAAAGTTGAGATTTCAAACACCAATAAATAATTACCATAGAAGGAAGGTGCGGCACCTGCCAGTACTGTGTGACGCGTGACCCGACGCGCGGCGCTACGTAGCTCATCGTTGACGACAATGAGGACAAGAGGACAACGCAGTAGGACTCTACTGAAGGTACCATGTGAACGACTTTTGTGCTAAGAATAGAGTTCTGAGAAGCCACGTGGATGACTTTTGAGAATGAATTAGAGTTTTGAGAAGGCACGTGGACGACTTTTGGTTATCCGTTTGAGATTTTCGAACATAACACGACTTTTGGGTTATCAGGTAGATATTTTATATAAAAATGATTCAATTTATTATTGTCTCCTCTGGGCCGTCATAGACTTCGTCCGCGACGGCTTTCTCACCACTGTTCGAATGGAGGAAACCTTTCCCATCTCTCTCTCCTCTGCAGGGTGCCGAAAACATTGCTGGGCTTTGAGTTCACAGACATTTTTATGTCGTGATCACTTACTACTAACTAGATGCAAACTGGCATGCAGCAATATTTGTGGCCTATACTCTGGCAATTTACGACATGACATCGAACTCGAGGAGCAAGGGCCGTGACCAGCAATCATGTTGGCCCGACCTCGAATCCATGAATAACTCACAAATTCTCGGAGCGGACTCAGCACAGACTGCGCTGCTGCACCGTGTCAGCTGATCGATCGAGCAGCAGGAGACTTGATTAATTAGCGGGAGTGCCAGTTACTGGAATTTCTGTTCCACCGTTTTACACGACTTGTAAGCGGCAGCGCTCCAGGACCCACTTGTTATTTTCATCGCGACCCCGTACTCATGCAACACCATCAAATGACGTCCGCGCTGCTGCATCATCAAAAAGAAAGATCGCGGATTGTCACCAGGTCTCAAAAAGTATGGACGGTGAGCACATATATTTGATCGTAGGATTGATACTGATTCCCCTGTAAAGGAACTTTTGTGCATCTCGTTGGCTTAAACAAGCCGTCCGGTCAACGTATACTACCCTCAAATAAATTCCGAGCAAATTAAAGTAGGTTGCTGCTTTTCATTCATGAGTGCTGCTGAACTATTTTCTTGATGGGCTTAGAATACCGAGGCCGCGCAGCTACTAGCCTCAGCTTGAGCAGCTATCAATTTCGATCATCAAGGGAGCTGGACGAATAATAACAACGTTGCCGACGGGTGCTGTGTGTCAGATTCGCGCTCATATATGCTATGACTCTTCTTTGTTGTCTCTCCTCTCTTTGTCCGACGTCGCCTCATCTCCTTGGTTTCCAAGTTCTTCTGTTCTCTTCCTGCCTCACGTTTTCGCAGCACCACATTATCGGTATCATTATTTTTGGCACTGTGACAATTTCGCATTTCGTGTGGCCTGTCATGTTTTCTGGCCATGTATTGTGTACATACGTAGGCTTGTGCTCTGGTCCTGTACCGTATTTTCTGGTCGCCTGTCTTAGTTTTCATATTACTGAATGGCGACGGATGAGAGTCGAATGTTCATCAATAATAGCAAGCGATTCCCTTTGGTCGGCACTAAGCAGCACGCATTCTGCTATATAGTTGACGTTCGATGACATCGAGTTCGCTCGGAACATTGCAGACCAACAGCAAGAGTTTAAAATGCGCGCAGCGACATAGCATGACGTGGACGCAGTAGCCACCGAACCGCCGGTTATGCGTGCTTATATATTGTCGAATAGATGTTTGTGCGTGCCGCGCACCCACCTCCTTGGAGATCTCACTTCATGCACTCCCTAGCGGAAGCACAAGCCAATCGAATTTGATCAATGCAATACCCCATCCCATACTATACTACATGTACCTGTCGACATTAGGGCTAGCCTAGAGGTGTAACAGTAAACAGGATAAAAATCAGCCCAAGAAGACAGTAGACGAGACAGACAACCAGGTGTTCACATATCACGCGGAGTGTACAAGCTCCACGGCGCGCTCACAAACCTCATCAATACCCCACCTCTCGCCCATGCCATGTTTCAAGTCTAGAATTCCACCCACTTCATCACACGCCCGCAGCACTAAATCTATATCATCCTTTGTATGCGATGCGCTAGCACAGAGCCGCGCGCGACCCTTCTCCAACGGAGTGGCGGGGTATGCCACAACAACGGCAACAATTGGGGTTCTCCGCACACGCATCATACGTGCGAACATAAACAATTTGGCAGGGTTGAAGATCAGCAAGGGAACAATCGGGCTGAAGGAATGACCATAAATGATGAAGCCGAGTTTCTTGAGGCCCGCATACAGATAACGGGAGTTGAAGGCAAGACGGCGGATACGCATGCGAGCTTCGGATCCGTCCGCGAGAGACGGATAAAGGTTCACCCACGACGGCAGCATGCTTGCAGGCGCCATTTTTGGGAGCATATCTGCACTGTCCTTTGACCTGACGATTGAGTTAGCAGGGCTGAGGGAATTTAGGGACTTTGTCGACTGTGGAGCGACGCCCATGATGCTCGTCATCGATGCGATAATTTGTGTGAGCACGGGGGGTGGCATTGCTTCCGCATACGGACCTGAGTGTCCGCGCAGCCGGAGAGCATCAATAAGAGTTTTCGGCCCTGCGATGAATCCACCAGCAGCACCAAAGGACTTGGTGAAAGTGCCCATCAAGACATCAATTGAACGAGGAGAGATGTTGAAGTAGTCCGTCACACCGCGCCCATGAGGACCAAGCGCACCGATTGAGTGCGCCTCATCAATATAGAGGTGGAACTTGAACAAAAGATCAAAGATTGTAACCATAGAGCTGTAACTGCAAGACGGACCTTGTACTTCTGCTTCAGCTCGAGAATTCTAGGCAGGTTCACGAGAGTACCCTCCATGGAGTACAAACCCTCGACGATGACCAACACCTTCTTCCACGAACGGTGCGACTTGGGCTGGCCCTGACTGATTACCTCACGCAGCAGGGACTCGAGGCTTGACATATCATTGTGCTTGAACGTCCGGACATATGCGCCACTCTGTCGTGCGCCAACGCGAATACTAGTGTGGTTCAATTCGTCGGAAATGATCAAGGACCCCTTTCCCACTAGTGCAGGGATGAAAGTGGAGTTGGTGGCGAATCCCATGGAACTGACCAACGCGTCTTCTGTCCCCAGAAAATGCGCAACGAGGGCTTCAGCGGAAACATGGAGCTCTGTGCTTCCACTCTCAAGACGCGTACCGCAGCTGGAGACGCCATATCGGTGGATGCTTTCTTGGACTGCATCTGAGCAGCCTCCTCGGGCTTGAGAAAAGCCAAGGTAATTATAAGATGAGATGTTTAGGGCGCGTGTCTTGCCACCAGTGTAGATCTGAGTATGGTTATAATCGGTGGAATATCGGTCGAGGATAAGAACAGTGCGACCGGGGACACCTGTGACAGGTTGGCCGAAGCAGTCATCCATGCGACGCTTGAGACGTCGGGTAAAGAACGAATCAAAATTCGAATTCAACGGCGCGTAACCCTGGGCATAGCACAAAATGAAGTAGATGTGATAATCAAGATGGCACGTACATCATGGGGCATAAGATGGGCAAAACAAGATTTGGCAAAACGTTTTCCGAAGAAGTCACGCGTATGGCCAAAACAGATGAGAATGAGGTAGCTTATATAGGTGGCGATGAGAACGTAGTATGGAGGCTCCTCGATGGTATGCTCCTGGAAAGGTTTCGAGTAGTCATGCTTAGAGACGCAACGATAGGCTTCATTCGCGCAGTGACCAAACTCCGTGTGAGGGGCAGTGAAGACCTGCTTGGACGTGGGCGGTGTAAGGGGGTACACGAGACAGTTGTTCTCATCATCCTCGTCGAGGACAGTGTCTTCGGATGAAGCTGTGCCGGAAGAGGCGAGTGAAAGTGCCGGTGTTGATGCCACAGAGGTGTTATCGCGACTGCGAGCGCGGGTGTCTGCTTGTTGAACAGCAGAAAGGTACGACACTGCCGTCGGCATTGATGGCAATTTGCTGAGTGATTGTTCCTCCTTAAATATGGACGGAGAAGGGGAGGGCGGATTCAACGCGATGGGAGACATCATTTTGTTGCCCTGTCCAACAAATAGTCCGTGAGTCGAGCCCCGACGATAAAGGAAAGAGGGAACACAGGGGTGTTATAACAACCTGCTCAAGATATCGCAGACTCCAACCAGCGACGACCGTCAATTGTTTATGATTAATTCCCGCAATCACGCGGTGAAGATAAAAAAATGGCCAGAGTAATTGGTACACCAAGACCAGAGGATCTTTTGCTGCTGATAAGTACGCAATTCCTCATCGCCAAAAATGCTTTTAATTAGCCGCCTTGTAGCCGTGGCATGATAACGGCAGCACCAACGTGAACGCACATGCACAATCCCTGGAAGAACCAACACCGCGGCTGATGAGGCTGGACCGGCTTCGGTGTAGTCTCCCCTAGACAGACCATAGACTAATGCAGATAGTCGTTCCTTCTACACGCTTCAGAGTGATATTGGACTACAGCGTAAACACTTGGACTAGTGCTGGTAAACCGGTGGTGATCCAAAGTATACTATAAGATTCGCATGAACGGTTCAAGCGCCAGAATGCCCAGGATTAGGGTGCAACGTTGCAGATTTGGAACCACCACGACGTGACCACGTACCTATTCTAATCTGCTGGCCGGTCTTAGCCAACTTGCTCCTGACCGCTATCTACACCCAAATGAATGGTATTGAACACTAATCAGTGCCTTACGGAGGTGAAAGGGTGGGTGCTCACCCGTTACTAGAAGTACTTATCAATTGCCCATCTCATGATGCCGCCAATGCCCATATTTCCTCATTGTGATGCCCACTATCTTCTTCAACGCTACACCGTGACCTGTCTTCAAGTATTTGTGCTTCATCATTTTCAAACACTCGAAGGGGCGTGTTCCGCCAATGCACTTCGGAACAAATGAGCCGGCGCTCGTGGGACGAGATGATGCGACTACCGCAAATACCTAGTCTCCTGTAGTCAGACCATATATAAGGAAGGCCCTCCTCTGAACAAACCTCGCAAACCCCATAGGGGGTGCTCCAGTGCCGTTCACTGGGGGTTGATTGTGTTAACACCACGGGTCGAGGTGGGGCAAGGCGGGCCTGTGTGGGGTAATATCCCTCCACTCAAGTCCATCAGAACTCGTGGTCAACTAGCACTTGTTCTGCCACGACAAACGAAAAATAGTAGGTGATGGCCAGTAAGCGCAAATGGTGGAAAAATCCAAGAAAAATCAACGACTTAACTGGTTATTACATAATTTATTGGGCGTCTATTGTATTTCGTCCAGGCGCTTTGTAAATTCACCCATCTCTCGGATGGTTCATTTTGTACACTAGCCCATGGGACCTTCGGAATGAGGACATGTCGCCTCCATACCGGATTCACCAATGCTGCAGCAAGAATATGATTCTCCCCGTCATCATACCGTGATTGTTTTGCTCGATGCGTATCATAATTCACGCTGATACATGCCCCACTTTTATCCCCACTTCCAAAATGATAGATGGTATCACCTCGCACCCATTTGTGATAGTGCTTGTGATGGTGTAAGGCCCAGCCTCAGACCATGCCGAGCCCATTTAGGTTGAGTCGAGCCTTGGGGCGGCCCATGTGCATGAGGGCTTAAGGCCCGGCTCAAGGTATCCTACATGTACAAGCCTAAGCCGGGCCCTCGAGCCGTGGCTTTCAGTGGTAAGTAAAACATCGGATATGGACCTTACGTACTAAATGACAAACGTTAGTACTTGCTTGCACTGAACGACCCTCACGCTGACACCTACCTACCGCTCTTAGGAGTGGGACTCAGAGCAGCGAGCTTTTGGACCAGGGGAGGAAGAAAGAGGACAGGACAGAGCTGGCTTATTTGGTACGTCGTTATTTGTTCATTGTGTATCGCTTTTCCTTTCATTCATCCTTTTGCAAGCCCTCTAGCACCCTTACCCTCCCTTTGCCAACCCATCCATGGTTCCGCCTCCGGTTGCAGCTGTCTTGCTGTTTACAAACAATACCATGGACCGCGCTGCTTTTTCTCGTCTAGCCAGTCCTCACCTACATGTGCGCTCGCTGTCTATACAATACCTTCTACCCAGCTCATATTGTACGGCGTGGCGGGAGCGACAATCTTCCTTCATCTATAAAGGTTTGCCTAGGGAAGACTAGGTGCAATACAATCGTCAATTTTAACTTGTTAACCTCGGCACGCTCTCACCACAGCCGAAACTATGCGAAGTTGCGAACCCTGCGTTCAATTATTGGCCGACTGCCTTTGGATGTTCTTGGATGCCATCTACGACAAACAGGCCCTATCCTTGGATCACAAGGGAGACATATTCATGCGGCAGTTGAATTTGGCCAGCGCAATTCTTGCCCAATGTTCAGACCGACCCCAATCACCATGCGAGAAGCTTCATGAGTCACCTCGCGAACTCATTCACGGAGGTTCATGGCTATTCTCGAATATCACGTCTTATTTCCGTCATGAGCAGATTAGCGCCTGGGTGGATATGTGTCTTTGAAAGCTTCTTCACCATCAATGTTCCATGGGTGAAATGAGGTACTGCAGGCTTTGTCTGGTAACTCCTGAGACGAATTGAATGCAAGTGTGGATGACAGAGGTCGATAGCACTAGGCTGACTGGGTTCCCAGGTTTGATTAAACACGGACTCCGATCTAGTCACCGACCCCCTTCTGCTGGCTTTTGTGCTGGCGGCGATTCCAATTTGGGCTCGCCCAAGCACCCGATTTGTCCCATTTATGACAAAGTTAAGGTAGAGGTTACAATCTAACTCTCGCATCAGATCAGTCAGTACCTGCGTTCCCTCCATGGAGTACAAACCCTCGACGATGACCAAGATTTTCTTCCAAGGACGATGCGTCTTAGGATGGCCCTGGCTTACCACCTGAGGGATTATTCGTCCTTGAAGATGAATGGAGAAGGGAAAGACGAATTCAATGCCATGGGAGACGGCATTTTTTGTCTTGTCCGACGAGTAATTCGTTGGTCAAGCCTCGACGATGAGGTAACGAGGAGCACAGGGATGTCACCTAGCTTAAGACCAGCATCAATCATATGGTCAGTTGGCGCAATCACGCAATGTCTGATGGACCTGATGGACGCTGGCAGAATAATTTATGACATGAGGAACCAGGAGGAACCGCATGACGGGGTTGTAGCATCTTCTCCTACACACGCTCTCAAAATGAGACGAGTTTAGCTGCCACGTATGAGCCATGGTACGTAAATGACTGCATCGCCGTGAACGCCTATGTGGCCCAGGATGGTGGCGTGTTAAACCATTGTAGGACGCGATATAGCGACTTTGACAGTCATATATGTTGATTTTGGTCTCTGATATTTTGTTTGCGCAGGACACGCAGCCGTCACGTCTCCAACAATTCCGGTGGGTCTGTCACCGACAAGATTGGACCTGCGGCTTCGGTGAGTAACATCCATAAAGTCACATTACATACAATAATATGCGATCCAATGGCAGAAACGGTTAGATGATCGTCAGAACGAACCGCACTGCCACATCATGAGGCGTGATGGGTTAATCGGCGGGATGTATGTTTATCGCCTGCTAAGGGTAAATTTCCGTCAACCAGGGGTTGTTATACGGCGAATGCTACCAGTATTCGCCATATAAGAACCTACCAACACGTTTGGGCTACTCATAGCCCTAAAGCTTGAATACGCTTATCTGGATCAATGCTATGGTGAGACAGTTTATTGTAACTTACACTCGGACCAGATGAAGTTCCGGGAACTACCAAGTTCTGTTCAGTGGGCCAGCGGTGTTCCCTCAAATCGTTCACGTAATTCTGGGTAATGCCGACTCTATAAATATGCAACTTCCTGACACGACGATCGGGTTTGCCCGTATGTCTATCAGACCAATCGAAGGAAGCCAGTCATTCCTCATAAAAGTTCGTAGTGCTTACCGGTACGGCATTGTGACGCGTATAATTGCATTATGATGATAGTGTGGCCCATACTTTGGCAATCTATGACAGACCATCGAACTCGAGGAGAAAGGGCCGCGGCCAGTAGTTATAAATACCAGTATGCCTCGTTGGCTTAGGACACCACTTGAGGACCTACCACTTGAGGACCTCGAGTTCATGAATCCAACCTTGCTCACAAACTCTGGAGCGAAGCAAGCGGCGCCTTCCTAACGTTCATGCTTCTACGGTCAGCACCAATTGAGTTGATGATCAGGCCGCAAGTTATCCATCACACAATGGGAACTTGCTGCTCTCACCATTTTGCACAATTTGGAAGCACCAGCGAGGGACCCAATATTTATTGTGAGCCATCCATCATTCGACGTACCAATAAAAGTGCAGTGATTCCCTCCATGCAGGTGATCCCTTTCGAGCGGAAGCGTATGGCCATGAGTCATAATTAGGCCAAGTTATATCTACCATAAGGCTCCCAAGAAGAACAGCCCAAGCAAACTGTCGCACTGCAGTCCGCACACGGCACAAACACAGATTGCTTCCACGAGAACAAACACTCCGTTTTATATAAGTTAAATTATGCATATGGAATATGGATAGATGGACCTAGATAGATGGACCGAACACGCACTAGGCGAGACAGTCACGCAGACGTTCAAACGTTACACAGAATGCACAAGCTCCACCGCACGCTCACAGACCTCATCAATGCCCCACCGCTCGCACGAACCATGTTTCAAGTCCAGAATTCCGCCTACCTCATCGCATGCCCGCAGCACCGTGTCAATATCTTCCTTTGTGTGCGATGCGCTGGGACAGAACCGCGCACGGGCTGTCTCAAACGGAGTGGCAGGGTACGCTACGACAACGACAACGATCGGTGGACTGTGCGCACGCATCATACGCACAAACATGGGTAATTTTCCCGGGTTGAAGATGAGCAAGGGAACAATCGGACTGAAGGAATGTCCATAGATGATGAAACCGAGTTTCCTGAGGCCCGCGTGGAGATAACGGCAGTTGAAGGCAAGACGGCGAATACGCATGCGAGCTTCAGATCCGTCGGCAAGAGCCGGATGCAGGTTCATCCACGTCGGCAAGAGGCTTGCAGGTACCATACCTGAATGCTCTTCTGCACTGTCCTTCGGCGTAATGATTGAGCCCACAAGGCTGAGGGAAAACGTGGAATTGGTTAGCTGTGGTGCTGGAACAACGCCCATGATACTGGCCATCGACGAGACGACCTGGGTGAGAACGGGGGGCGCCATTGCTTCTGCATACGGACCGGAGTGTCCGCGCAGCCGGAGAGCATCAATAAGAGTTTTGGGTCCTGCAATGTATCCACCAGCAGCACCAAAGGACTTGGTGAAAGTGCCCATCAAGACATCAATTGAACGAGGAGGGATGTTGAAGTAGTCCGTCACACCGCGCCCATGAGGACCAAGCGCACCGATTGAGTGCGCCTCGTCAATATAGAGGTGGAACTTGAACAAAAGATTAAACATTGTAACCATAGAGTTGTAACTGCAAGACGGACCTTGTACTTCTGCTTCAGCTCGACAATTTTCGGCAGGTTCACGACCGTGCCCTCCATGGAGTATAAACCCTCGACGATGACCAGCACCTTCTTCCACGGACGATGCGACTTGGGCTGGCCCTGACTTATTACCTCACGCAGCAGGGACTCGAGGCTTGACATATCATTGTGCTTGAACATCCGAACTTGTGCACCACTCTGTCGTGCACCAACGCGAATACTAGCGTGATTCAATTCGTCAGAAATGATCAAGGACCCTTTTCCTACTAGTGCAGGGATGAAAGTGGAGTTGGTGGCGAATCCCATGGAACTGATCAAAGCATCTTCCATGCCGACAAAACGTGCAACAAGAGCTTCAGCAGACACATGGAGCTCGCTGCTGCCGCTCTCGAGACGTGTACTGCAGGTGGAAACGCCATATCGGCGGATGCTTTCCTTGACTGCGTCTGAGCAGCCGCCGCTGCCCTGGGAGAACCCGAGATAGTTGTACGATGAAATGTTCAGCGCACGTGTCTTGCCACCGGTGTAGATCTGAGTGTAGTTGTTATCGGTGGAGTAACGGTCGAGAGTAACAATAGTGCGGCCTGGAACACCCGTAACAGGTTGGCACAAACAGTCAGTCATACGACCCCTGAGCCGCCGAGTGTAGAATGAATCAAAATCCGTGTTCAACGCAGCGTAGCCCTGGACGTGGAACAAAATACATCAACTATTATCAACAAAATAAAAATAACACATACATTATATGGCATAAGGTGGGAGAAATAAGACTTCGCAAAATGTTTTCCGAAGAAGTCGCGCATATGACCTAATAAATGGAGAATGAACAGGCTTATGTGTGTGGCGAGGAGGATATAGTATGGGGGCGCCTCAATGGTGTGCTCCTGGAAAGGCTTCGTGTAGTCATGCTTGGAGATGCAACGATAGGTCTCATTCGCACAGTGACCGAACTCCGTGTGAACAGTAGTGAAAACTTGCTCTGACGTGGGCGGTATGAGGGGGTACACGAGACCGTTGTGTTCATCGTCTTCGCTGAGAGCGGTGTCCTCAGAGGAAGTTGTGATGGAGGGCGATTGGGAAAGTGGAGGAGTCGATGCTACAGAGGAGTTGTCGTGACTGCGAGCGCGGGTGTCCGCTTGTTGAACAGCAGCAAGGTACGACACTGCCGTTGTCATTGACGGCAACTGGTTAAATTCTTTCTCCTTAAAGATGGATGGAGAAGGGGATGAGGGGTTCAACGCGATGGGAGACGGCATCTTCTCGTCCTGTCGAGCGAATGGACCTCGGGTCGAGGATGATGAAGGAACGGGAGGAACAGCGATGTTATAAGATCCAGCCCATATCATGATATATGCGGGGAAACTATCGCCAGCGTTGGCACCCGGTTCCTTAATGTTGCAGCTCGTTTACCATAACAACCTCTTTTGCATATGTATTGGAGCAATCACACTGCAAAATTGTTTTAATCACAGGTGCTGTCCGAGCGATTGATGGCGTGGAGCACTGTGCCGGATAGCATTGACGGAGAGATTTTCCCTCCTGCTGATCAGTACGTACATTATTATTCCTGAACCTTTTTTCAATAATTCCGCAAGCTGCAACTCTGGTTATAAAAAGGACCGCGTCATCATGAACGCGCATGCGGATGATGGTACATACATTCGGACACGATATGACGCGATATCTCAACCTTCGATCGTCTAATGCAATACGGGCAATTGGGTGGATCGTTAGTCCCCCTTAGCCAGACCTTTAGAAGAAGGAAGACCGTCAGTCGTTCCTAGTGAATCATTAATATTGGATCACACCTGATCACATCTCGTTTATCTCGCGTATCGATGAGTATTCCACCAGACCCCGGAAGGCTTCGGATAGTGTTGTTGGCGGAGTACTGTATATGAGAGCAATAACGGTAAGTCTAAAGCCATTTAGCCAAAGTAGGTCCATTTAGCAGAAGTTACTGGGTCCGTTTTGCGGAAGTATACAGTTGATGATAGTTGACACGAAATGGGGGCATCGCCACGGCGGTTTCAACGCGGCACTGTCACAAATACTAGCCAGCCCGACATATTCCACCACGCCAAGTCGGCGTAGCCATCTCAAAACATTGAGGTATAGTCAGATTGGTTACAGAGTGGAAGTAAGCCATTACCTTATTTTTGTATTTTTGCGCCCACGTGAGTCACGTGACTGCGTCAACATGCCAAAAGAGCGCTAAATACTATTGCTCTCCGTTAATCGTTTGCGATCATCAATGGTCTAGCTGCTTCAGGTCGTGTTCCAGTGGCACTTGGAACCCTATTCGACGTCGCCATCTCTCGTAGGTGAAGTGATATGATTTTATTCAATGCTCAGTGGCATCGGCTGGCCTGCATACTCTTCAGCGAGCGAGGCTCTGGACAAATCAAGAGTAGCCACAGCCCACCGCATCCAATCTCTGGCCGCATATGACCATCAGGGGCCTGTTGATAAACTCATACTCCCGCGTCTTGCCGTTAGCATCTGCAGGGTGCACTTCCGATCTGTCGTAAAGCTCAGTTGCAGAAAAGAACGCGCGCGCAGCGGACTTCCACGTGCACTCTGTCTCTCGAAGCCAAAAACGCTCTTATTCTCATAGTTGAATCGATTAATATCCATTTGTGTACAGATACTGGGCAGTGGTATGCTGAAACGAACTTCTTACCCCATGTGGCATATACATTTACAGTATTTGAGTTGTCATGCACACGGACTCCATCGTTGCACAGCTCGGGGGATCTATCAGTTTGTAGTATGTTTCCTGTATTCTCTCTAAATGGTGGCCAGACCTAATGATTTCAGTTGAGTCGCCGGTTGAGTGTCATCGTGCCAATTGGCTTGACACCATGCCAAGTTTCATTCAAGCACCACCCCATGCTGCGTGTCAGTGCCTCCGAGTTGTGAGTCAGTGCTTCGTCACACTTCCCACATACCCGGGCCGCGTCAGAAGTACTGCCAGAGTTTGTCCAGATTTTCTTCCATCACTGTTGGTCCGATGCTGCGCATTTCAGTGGCAAGTGCCCCCTTCTGTGACAACAGAATTGGACGTCGTATACACCGTACGTCCGCGGGCAATAGCGACATGATTTGCCAAGAGACATATCCTGTGATGGACTGCCTGCATCATCTGTCCGGCGTTGGTGCTGGGACACAACATCCCTTCTTTTTTTCGGTGGCATCTCCAAGTCATCTCGCGAGTAGTATGTTGGTGCGTGCTTTCACTCTTCTTGTGACTTGTTGTTCATCGAAAGGCTGCGATTTACCGTGCGCAAGTATACGACAGTGAGTTGTTAGAGATGGTTTGCGCTGATCTCATGATAAGTTATCCCACTGACAGCTTCGTGGCTGGCGTAGACCTCGACTGCCTGACTGAGTTGGAAGCAAGGATATTCGTGGCGCTCACGACTGTCTGCAACGGGCTCGTTCTCGGTCTTGGACTCGATCCTTTCGCAGGCCAACTCCGCTACTTTTTCTGGAGACAAATGATGTACTCTCAAGCTCGACGCTTGTCCACTCAACACCTACCAGGTGCCGCATCTCATGACGACAAGAACCACGAGCTACTGTGCACACTACGTTGTTTTCATGATGCTAGTGGGGGGCATATAATACCTCTCACGCTATTTGATATCATGGAGAATGATTTCCTTCCTATCGGTCCGATTAGTACCATTGGGTGGTTGATGAGTCGATGATGTGGAACAATTTGTTGTCACAGCCAAGTCACAGCACATTAGTTTTGTTTCAGAGGTACCATTTCCAAGTCATTGTTCTCGGACCCCTTTTCATCCTGTATCATCCTGATACTTGTACTCTCATTTTGTCTTGGTCCCTTTGCCTAGTCCCCCCTTGACGCAACCTGTGGAACAACATGAATTGACTGCAGGTATGTCAACGCTTCGCGGGGCATCGCTTCCAGAATCGACTCAGATCGCGTTCACGACTTTGACTAGTCAACTCTTCACGCCAGCGAATCGGACTGGATGAGAGCAAAGCTGGTCATACTGTGCAGATTTAGATATCAGATCACAATTATGCAAGGAAATTCTATCAGATGCATATCTTGCAGTACCGGTACGCTTTGTTCTGCAACAGTGAGGAACAGCATTGGAGGCAACACATTCAACGGGTTTACATCCATACACCTTCATCGCAAAAATTGGGTGAGGAACCATCTGATCCCCCGTGTGGCGTGCGCAACGGGGCACGTGGTCTCCGGAAGTATTGCAATTATGATTATCCTCCTGACTCTGAATCCTGAGAACCAGGTTGTGTACTCATGATCAGGCTAAGTTAGCTTCCGTCGCTGTTCGCTTCAACTTTGAATGATGTTCTCTCCGTCCGTCGCTTCTTCATACGCTCGAGTCCTGCGCTCGACCCTCAAGTCATCCATCAAGTCATTCTCCACATCACAGCCCACACTAAGCACCGCTAGCTCAACCAACCCCAACTTCGTAAAGATAGTCGAAGTCGGGCCTCGCGACGGTCTCCAGAATGAACCCAGGCCAATTCCACCTCCCATCAAAGCAGAACTCATCAATCAACTCGCTACCGCAGGGATGCGCAACATCGAAGCCGGTAGCTTCGTGAGCCCCAAATGGGTACCCCAGGCACGTCTCCACTCTCCAAGACCTCCAAGACTTCAACGCCTGTGCTTATATGTGAACGAGGCACGCAGATGGCAGGCACGGCAGAGGTACTAGCTCTCATAGACAGTTTCCCGAAAACCGGCTACTCGGTGCTCGTCCCAAATCAGAAGGGGTTAGACGACCTCTTAGATATACTCAAGACTAGTGCCTCTCCAAACTCACATGCAAAGCCCCCACCGCCGGTCACCGAAGTCGCGATCTTTACTTCTGCGACAGACGCATTCTCTCTAGCAAACACCAACGTCCCTATCTCAACCTCCCTCGAACGTCTCGCGCCGGTTGCGCGCAGAGCGCTTGATGCTGGATTGAAGGTGCGAGGGTATGTTTCAGTGGTCGTCACATGCCCCTTTTCTGGACGCGTGGATCCGAGGCGGGTCAGGGATATTTCGAGGGAGCTCGTGCAGATGGGGTGCTATGAGGTGAGCTTGGGAGATACGACAGGTGCAGGGACGCCCGCTAGCGTCCGTGGGATGCTAGAGGAAGTTGCCAAAGAAGTAGACGTGGGGATCCTCGCTGGACATGTGAGATTGAGATTCATTCACTTGTGTTTTATCTTATGGTTGATTCAATCTTTTTTTTTACTATATAGTTTCACGATACGAATGGCACAGCGACCGCCAATATCATGGCTGCTCTTGACTTTGGGTTGCGGACATTTGATGCGTCTGTTGGTGGCCTTGGAGGGTGCCCGTATAGTCCTGGCGCCACGGGTAATGTTGCAACGGAAGATGTTGTCTATGCTCTCACTGGGGATAAGTTATTTGGCGACATTGGTGAACCATACGGTGAAGCATCCCTGTGTATATTTTTACCCTTGTAAGCTGATAATAGAATATATCGTAGGCAATGGCGAATCCGCCAAGACAGTACAAAGTCGATGGGATGTAGGTCCCATTGACCTAGTCCGGCTCGCAGAAATCGGGGGGTGGATTTCTGGGATACTAGGGCGAGAGACTACAAGTCGTGCTGGCAAAGCCCTGTTGGCGAGACGGAAGAGAGAAGAGGAACGTAAACGGAAGGAAGGAGCAAAGTTGTGACATCGCGATAAGGCTTCGTTTATAATGCTTGGCGAATGCAACAAGACCGTCATCCTGTCCTGCGTCCCTTTCAATGATAACGATCAATGTATCCCTCCCCTCTAAGACATTAACTGCTAGGAACGAAATAAAAACTCGGGGTATCACGATTCGTAATCAGATGTCCAGTCCTGAAGCAAGGTGCAATTTTGTAAGCGTCCATGCATGCGCTTAGTGCCCGAGTAATCCATGCTCTATGGCCTCGCCCCGTCCTCAGGCACTCTTACTCAGGTTTTGAGCTTCCAGCCTCTACATCTTCCAACGGAACACGGCCGTACTTTTCCCCATCTTTGGGAACCTGCTGAGACTCGACGTGTTTCACCCATGTGTAATACATGGAACCTAGAAGGATGATCGCGATGGAAGAGGCACGGCCACTGTGGAAAGAAAATGTCAACATGAAGAATCCCGCCAACAAAAAATAGGATGCAACCCGCAACAAGCGGAAGCAAGAGGAAGACGCAGTCACATGACAATATGAAAGCGGAGAACACGCACCTCGAGATGATGTCCCCAAATAACCACATTGCTAATAAGGAAGCTGCTACGCCTCTTACTGCGGACGACACCATGTGGGTGATGGGTGAAGTAACCTTGATGGACAGCAAACTTGCAAGGCTCATCATAAAGCCAAGCGCACCCTGATGATGCGTCAGTCATCAATGGTGTAAACCACCAAAGCTGAAGTGAAAGCGCACCGTAATAAAGGACCCCCAAATGAACGTCTGGAAATCGCTCAGTTCTCCTTCCTTAGGGACAACACCTACAGGTCCGAAAAACAAATCCGTAATCGCCGGAACCTCGCCAGCGAATATGATGATGGGGATCATCACAATCGCGCTAAGCAAATTCGTATACCAAGATAGGTTCATGGCGCTACCCTTGACTATATCCAGACTCTTTTTGATGACTACACTGTGCACTGCTGTGATTGCGGAACTCGCAACACCGTAGCCAACACCGGCGATAACCATGGGGACAGAATCAAGAAAGACGCCGACCAAGAAACCGAGGGTAACGATGGAACAGCTAAAGAGGATGCGGAGGGACGGGCGCGCGGAGAGGAAGTAGTAGGATGTAAGGACGGTGAAGGGGAGGACGAGGCCACGTGCAACCTGGTAGACAGATGCGTCAACATTCTTGAGGGTATAGTTGCTAAAACTGGTAGCAAGACAAAATCATGAATGTCAAAACTGGTATTGATTCATAGGAGAGTCGTACCTCAACCCCACGACATTCAACCCGATTGTGGGGGCTAGCTGTATCAGAAGCTGGGTGTCCACGTACAAAGGCACAACTAAGAGGCGAGTTGCATGTGCGATGATGAAAAGAATGACGGCAATGACGAGCTGGGAAAAGAGAAAGAAGAGCGGGGCCTTGGTCGTTTGGAGAACCCATTTATTCCTGTATTTCAAGAAAATTGAGACGGGTGAGCGAACTTGGTAAACATTGGAACGGAAGGGTAAATTACGCCATGACCATCTGCATGCAAATATGTCAATGAACGGGAGGGTGGAAAGTAGGAGATAGAACGTACGCATAGTGCTGCTACAAGGTAGAAGAGCACTGTACCAATCTGCAATTAGAGTCTCTGGTCACTGAAAAGCGATGAAATATAATAATTGGGGACGTACGACAAGAAGTCTACTGCTCTGCTGCGAACGAGGATCATGCTTGGATGACATAGCTGGACTCGGAGGAGGATTATAACGTGTTGAATATGTGCGAAGGTAGCTTATCTATATCGTCGAACTCATGAACTGAAGTGGGAAGAGCGGAAGAACGGTGCTCGTAAGTAGGAAAATTCACAAGCCGCAGGTTAGTGCGTGGAGCGGGAGCAATTAATATCGTGGCAACTTAGGAACTCGCCGACAGGAACCTTGACTAGCTGCCACTAGCAAGCACTGTCACCGACTACGTACAGTCAACGACAATGCGACAGCGTCGTTTTTCTAGCGAGCGACCTCCTGGTGTGGCCTCAACCTAATGATGAACGCTACCTGCGGATTCCATATAACATTTTCAAGGCGTGTCTTTGGGTCGGTCACCGTCGGTGTTGTCCTAAATTCCTTCGTTCAACCTGACGGCAGGATATCACGAAGTCGGAAGCTCGCAGCTTTGTTCACAGACCCTCTTGGAGGCACATTGATATTACTTCACTGAGGGCCAGTCCCTTTGCCACACCTTGTTCCTTCAAGTTGCTCTTCCTTACTTGACGGTGCAAACGTAGGGAAGGGGCCTCTTTCTTCTCACTTGCCCTCGTCAGGCACGTCGAGATTGCTTTCACCATTCTACCGCTTCCCGCTTAGTCTCTCGTCATCTGACTCCCCTCACCAAGACACTTCCTGGGTCGACACCCGACCATTTCGGTCATGGTTTATATTGTAACGTCTGCCGCATTCAGCTCATCATCTGAATCCGACTCATACTCTCGCAAACCGTTTCTGGTGTTTCCATAATGCGCTCGATCCTCCTTCCCCCCATGGCACTAGTACTATCAGCTCATATATAATCGTCCAGCTTTTCTGTGTGCATTGTTTTCATTTTGCATTACCTTGCGAAATAAACACGATGCTACATTTTGCCTTGGTGTACTCAATGAGTCGTATCACTCAGTTCAGGAGTAGCAAACATCACAGGACACTCAGAGTCTCGCATAACGTTGGCGTGCCACTTTCGCTGATGTCTGACCTTGGGATTCAGATTCTCCCGCTAATTCTACTTGGTCATCTTTGGTCTCAGCGCTTAGTCTAATCATACAAGCGTCTATTGTGCTGAACAGCCCTCAACAACATGATCCAAATACACGTGCAGCATCACCTGAACCCGAACCTCTTCTCCTCTCGGCTGATCACCATTCACGGTCCACATATCCCTACTCCGTCTTCTCCTACCACTCATTTTACCCATTACTCAGCCCATCCGAGTCGATCCTCATCCTTTGGCTTCATCGTTCCATCATGCCCGGCAGCGCAGAAATCCAATCTATAAGACTTGAAAGTAGGTCACTCCCTATCACTTTGGGATCTCCTTTGTGATATTCTCGCTCTATCTACAGTCATCGGCGCAAAAAATCTTCGAGACCCTTCCAAGCGCGTACCCGCTGGTATCTACGTGTCCATTGATGTCGACTCAAGGAGACGCTGGAAATCAGCCATCAGCGTCTTATCATCCGACGGATCCGTAGCGTGGGGAGATACCATGACCCTGTAAAGTCCATAGAAACTTTCGGACGCGATTCGACACTAATCTTCGGTTTATAGATCATCTCACGAGTCATCTGTATTATCGATAGAGATTAGAGCGTCTTTTGAGCTCGATCGAACGCTGGGCAATGGTGAAATCATCGGAAGACTTCAAACATCGTGGGATGAGTTGCTCGATCATGGAGATGAACAATTCGGTGAGCAACCTACTTCTCATTCCTGCACATCTACTCAAATCCCGTAGAACTGTCCTTCCCTGTTCGTGGTGTCAATCCTTCGCTCATGCTGAAGGCCACCGTTGTACATGCCAGCGATAATCAGGACGGCGCACTACTTGACGTGAGTGACCCCAGACTTTGTCCTGTTAGTTGTGCTGACAGAACACCAACTGTAGCCCCTCGTAGAATGCGAGATTGCTCGAGAAACAGATGCGGGCCATGTACGATTCTCCAGATACATAAGACACGAGAAGGTCTCTCACCTGAACGGTGCTGTAGAGCGTTTTCAGTTGGTTCTGGACCGCTGTCCAGTCGACCATCCTGACCACGCAGCGGCTCTCACCAACCTCGCGTGGGCCCGCCTTCAAGGCTACATTCGAAACGATCTTCAAGACATTGATACCACTACTTCCCTCTTCCGCGAAGCCCTTGCATTGCGTCCGCAGGGCCATCCAGACCACATATTATCTCTCTTTTATCTCATTTTCGCATTGATCTGGCGCTACAGCAAGGAGTGCACCGCCGTCTTCATTCATGAATCCCTGCAGCTGTGCTGCAAGCTACTGCCGCTCTGTCCAGAGGGCACTTACCTTCGTAGCATCAGCGTAGACATTGCGGTCGATTATGTGATTGCCGAATGCACCAATCCTCAGATTGATGCATCTGACGAAGGCATCCACCTTGGACGAGTCGTGCTCGAGCTCTGCCCTCTGGGCCAGAAACACCATGCCAGGACCCTCGACAACCTCGCACGATCACTCTTAGCACGGTTTACACAACGGGGCAGCATTGATGATCTAGAAGAGAGCATACAACTTGGTCGTGAAGTTATTTCTCTGTGCCCCGAGGGACATTCTGACAGTTGTCTCTATCTGAACAACTTGGCCTTCTCACTGCAGTCTCGCTTTGATCACCAAGGCAAATCTCATGACCTCGACGAGGTCATCTCCATGCACGAAGAAGCGCAGCGCCTGTGGCCTGTTAGGCACGAATCACGTGATTTCTCATTGGACAACCTAGGGCGCGCCCTCCGCACCCGTTTCGACGAACACGGTGACGTTGATGACATCAACCGAGCTGTCAGCCTCCATCGCGAGGCACTGACGTTGCGCCCACTTGGGCATCCACATCGTGACAACACGCTTAACAACCTTGCCGCCGCGCTCCAAACCAGATATGGCAAATTGTATGTCATCGAGGATCTTAACGAGGCCATTGATCTGTATCGCGAATCTCTTCGGGCAAGGCCGCTTGACCATCCAGAGCGCCATGTACATCTTTACAATTTGAGCTCGGCGCTCTGCTCTCGTTTCACGCAAATTCGGAAGAATGAGGATGTCGAGGAGGCTATTCGACTCTGCCAAGAGTCGTTGGTGGTTTTGCCTTTACTGCACCCGGATAGATACTTCAGTTTGGCGTGGCTGCAGGAAGCCTATCTGTCTCGTTACCAGGTACAACACAATCCCGCTGATTTGTCGCTCGCTGTAGAAAACTACAGACTCGCCTCACGACACCCCACTCAAGGATTCCCACAACGCATTATTCAGGCATGTAATTGGACTATCACAGCGGAGCAGCATGGTGATGGATCCTCACTGGAGGCTTACTCCACAATTTTTGAGCTTCTGGATGCTCATTTGGGAACACGATCATCAGCCACTTCGCGCCGCGAAGCTGCCGCTGCCTTCCACTTTCCCAGATCACTACCTGTAGACGCAGCATCGTGTGCCATCCGCAGTGACAATCTCCGACGTGCAGTAGAACTGGTGGAGCAGGGCCGTGGCCAACAGTGGTCATTGGCCTCCCGACTCAAGACTCCAGTCGAAGACCTCGAATCAGGACATCCACATCTAGCCCGCAATTTTTTGGAGCTGAGCAAGCGCGTTTCCAACGCCGCTCAGGTTGCAGTCATGACCGACAGAGCCGCTGCTGATCAAGCAGCAACAGAGTATAGGAGACTTACCGCGCAATGGGATGCTGCTGTAGCTGAAATCCGTAATCTCCGTGCTTTCTCGCGGTTCCTACTTCCACCTTCATTCGAAGACTTGCAAGCAGCGGCGCGCAATGGCCCGGTCATCATCCTCATTGCGAGCCAATACTCGTGCGGCGCTATTGTGGTCCCGACGTCAGGAGAGCTCCATCATATTCCCTTGTCGTCTGTCACTCTCATAGATCTGGAGAACCTCAAGAGTCGCTTCGCCAGAGCAATACAGCTAGCATCCCAGATGGGCCTAACAGAGTCAAGGACAGACTTAATAGTCCTATTGCGGATAGTATGGGACAACATCATGCTACCCATCGTCAACGTGCTTGAGCATGTCCTCGAATTAAAGCGCGGGTCCCGAATCTGGCTGTGTCCAACTGCAGCTTTCACTTCCATTCCTCTCCATGCAGCTCACCCGTTTCAAACGAAGGCGGACCGCTCTGGGAAGGAGCCATGCCTGGAGGATCTCTACATATGTTCTTACACGCCAACACTTTCAGCGCTGATCAGATCTAGGCAGATGATGAAGGAACGCCGTGTGCCTCCATCCTTTGTGGCAGTTGGGCAAGGTCAACCGGGCGGAGGGAATGGCAAGGCGCTCTTAGCTGTCGATAGCGAGCTCGAGCTTGTCAATAAGCTCGTCCCCGCGACGGCCAATCGTTCCACTGTTTCTGGCGATGCAGCCACACGAGCAGGTGCACTCGAAGCCCTGGAACAGAACACCTGGGTGCATCTCGCATGTCATGGCAAACAGGACCACAAACAGCCTTACGATTCTCATTTCGTCATGAAGGACGCACCTCTCACGCTGCTCGACATCATGGAGAAAGATATTCCACACGCGGAGTTCGCGTTCTTGTCGGCGTGTCATACCGCCGTCGGTGATGAGGAGACACCTGACGAAGTTATCCATCTCGCAGCTGGACTTCAGTTTTCAGGGTTCAAGAGCGTCATTGGCACGCTGTGGGAGGTTGACGATGCTGTCGCCAAACATGTCGTTGAAGCGTTCTACGAGAATATGGTTAAGCATGTGGAGGATGGCGGGTTCATGGACTGTACGAAGGCGGCTTGGGCACTCAACCGTGCTACTCACGCTGTGAAAACGAAAGTGCCGCTCGAGCAAAGAATGGTTTTTATTCATATTGGTGTGTAGTTATATTGCTTTCGTCTGGCACGGAGTTACGAGTCATTGATCATGGATTCTCTACCATACCTGTGTACATGAAGTTATGTCTCGCGGTGTAGTCATCTAGAATTCGCATCTACCTGTTTCTCACGCTTTATTAAAGGTAACATGATGCATTGTTATTTGCATGAACTGATCCTATGTTGGCCATCAACTCTGTCTTGCACATATATACTCCGCGATGCAGCCCATCGCTGGGCTACCCCTTGATATATAACACTTTCAGGTAAGCTCCTGCACGATGACAGTAGTAGTGGCAGCATCACCACCACCACCGCTTCCAACCCTTCAGTCAGCGGTATCACGGCCGGTATCTGGTGAAAGCCTCGGGCCCAGGCCGTCGGTCTGTTGATTTATGCAGCAAGTCAGCGATTCCGGCGGCACAGCGCATCCACGACCGCTCCTCTCTGCGTCCATCAACCATGCTCGATGTCGTTGCCAGCTTCCCGCCTCCATCTTCACTAGTTCGAGAAGCTTACTCATGTCAAACGGCAACGACGTATCTGCCTGGATGGCACCCACCACGTACGATCTGTTTGAGCTACAATTCAGCATTGAACACGATGTAATAATGATGCTACATACATCACCGTACTCTCTTTCAGAGGCTCCACACGCCCACCTGTCTTCAATACGTCGCACATCTTATCGAGTGGCGTATTGCGGTGGTGCCATAGGTTATAAGCCCGCATGTATTGCGGGCGGGGAGGCACAGGTTCTAACGACGGAATGTTCGGCACGTTGGATTCCGGTGGCATATGTGACGCCATGACCTTGTTACCACCTACCCTTAGGCTAGGTGGTTCGACTGAGCTAGTATACTTGGTCGGGTCAAGTTCTTTGTTACAAGCTTTAGCAGAGTCCAGGAGCTTGAGATGTACCATCAGTGCTGCATGCACATCATTGGCTGCATCTTGATGGGTATGATTAGTTGCGCTTCTCCTGATTCACATTGCGGAACTCACAATCCACCATCTTTTTATTTAGGTCTCCCTCCCAATTACTAGTGCGCTCTTTGCTCTTCACTAGATTGCGCTCGAGGTACGTGGCAGTCATTTTGGCGAGACTGACTATTCGTCGCTTGTATACACGAGAGAAAGCATCATCTGCCACATGCGCAAGTGCACCAAGCTCGACAAGTCCTCGAGCCATGATCCCAAAGTCACGATACAGTTTCTCGCCATCGTCTGCCAAATTTCGTCAGGAAAATCATGGTGCATAGATCCGAGCTACGCACTGTGGATGTTCGCCCCTGTCTTAACGATTTTCGGCGACTCAATCACCTCCTTGTGGACCGTTAATTGACGGCATTGGTGTCACCAGGTCATTCATTGGGCTTACCAAGACTTTTTGCGGAAACCCTGCCACGGTCAAGTTGTCAGGCGGCAGCGCATCATAATTAAATAACGACGCACGTCTCATATGACTTACATGGCACAGCAAGATAGTCGATTTGTCGCACAGTTGCACCAGTGCTGTTTGTCGCTCCTGGGCACCAGATTTCCAGAGTACACGCCACTCGAGGTCAAATCCGAGGGGACTATAATATGTTCGGTACTGCTTTTACTATAACAGTTACGGATGGACACACCTTTCAAGTGTTTGAACCAATTTGTTGGCCTCGTCCTCGCAGCGCGTGTAGACAACAGCGGGGGCGGGGGCGCAGTAATCCGCGTAGGAGTAGTCAGACATTGAGCTTGCTTCGACACTAGTAGATTTAGACTTTGACATTGTACCTCGACTACCTTTTACTTTGCAATCTTCTGGTGCTCGCCCTAAGCCTCGAGCCACTGCCATGCTGGTGAAGCTCTCGCTTTTGTATTCTTCTGTTCTATTCACGTCACCACCAGTTTTCTTTGGTGCAATTCCCCGTCTAATTCTAGTAAGGATCTACACTCAGCCATGCGATTGAACATGAGAAACTGACCTTGATATCCCGGTCTCCATATTATGATGATTCAAGGATCTCTGGAGTACTTTATCGGTTCGCAGCGCAACGCATTCTGCACTTCTCAGGTTCTCGTCGTGATTTGCCACCTTCTTGTTATCCGATTTCGACAGTGCAGAAGTAAGGGCAACTTCACGCCTGGACTGCCCCAAAAAGAATGGGTGGATTCTATATACCGAAATTGTTGAATTTGAGGTATAGAAAGAGCCAAAAAGACGCGTACGGCTTGGGTTTCTTCTCATTTAAGAACTTTGTGTCCTTCAGTTTCTTCTCTGCGAAGAGGTTACCTTCGAATATCTCAATTGAACTGTCAGAATCCACCGCGTCGTTAAGGTTGCCAAATGCTTTCCGTGGTTGTGAGGTGTGTTCGGAATTGCGTGCCTCTGCGATGGTATTCCTCCGAATGTGTGATTGAAAGGCACCTTGACGAGAGACGATCTTTGTCGCCATTCCGGTAAGTAGCAGCTATCGCAGCTGGGATGCAACCTTGGGTTGAATTTCAATCGGAACGCGTCTCGCGTCTTGTCACGTGATGGGAATATGCGATAATGGCCAAATATAAATCACCTTCGATTCAGAATTTCATTGATTTCATTGATGAGTTTACAGTTTCCAGTGTTCGCTCACCTGAGGCTCTTTGCAGGTGAGTACATTGTACATCGAAATCCTCTGAATTGATATGAAACATAGGACAATTGGCGTTGCAGACGTATTTGTGTCTGGATATCACATGACATCACACATGACAATGGATGACAATTGACATGACTCCGCATCTTATATTTATGTAAAAAATCCTTCAATATATAATTGATCCGGATGACCCTGATGTATGCTAATTTTTGACTCTAATTTTCACTTCCCCCCCGCGTTATCTTCGGTCTCTCACTCCAGAGCACCTTGAAGATTGGTCAAGTTCATTCGACAGGTAAATGATTACTGCAATCGAACGTCGACCAACACTCATCTGTCACTGTTCAGGAGCTTTTGTCCTTTGACTTGGAGTTGCCCATACCAGCACAATGGCGCACTTATCTCACTTATCTGGGACGTCATCGTCCCTTCCTCAAGATTATGCCATTCTATCTCGTTTTGCCGCTCCCCCATCAGAGGAAACGCAGGAGGAGCTTGAGGTTTCTCCTGCCAGGAATGATCAGGAGGAATGTGGTGAAGAAGACGGCTTGCTTGCATCACGGAAGCAGGTTAGGCGCACCAGCTTCCCTTCATCGTATATCCTTCCCCCGCAACCGTCCATGAATATCATTCCCACAGCACAAAATGTGCCTCAGCCGACTGAGAACACACCCCTCCTGGCACCTTTTATGCCCCGCATCCAAGAAGATGTGGACTTTCCTTGCGATGGACAGGAGCCTACCACCGCTCAAATGTACTGGGAAGAACTTCGTATCTTGTGCAAATACGCTTTGCCTGTCTTTGGGTGAGTTCATACTTCAAATTTACTGTCGCCCGAACTAGACCTTCTGTTAGCACGCACGTCTTCGAGCACAGCATGATAATGGCGTCTGTGGTCTCCATAGGCCATATATCAACCGTCGCTCTTGCTGCCGCAACTATTGGGTTCATGACTGCTAACGTCACTGGTTTGAGCATTATACATGGGCTTGTTTCATCTTTAGACACAATGCTTCCCGGGGCTTGGACTTCCGATCAGCCGCAACTCGTTGGACTATGGACGCAGCGCATGGGTGAGAATCATTTACTTCTTATTTAATGATAGCTACTTACTATCTATCATCAATAGCGGTCGTAGTGGCTGTTACCCTCATAGTACGTCCTCAAATCTTGTAGAACGTGTTTTTCGCTGAAACGCGGGCTATTAGCCTATGTTTGCTATTTGGTTCAATGCGGAGCCTATCCTGCTTTTATTGAGGCAAGATCCGGAGGTTGCGCGGCTCGCTGGTATTTACTTGAAATGGGCCTCATTAGGTCTACCGGCCTATGCATTCAATACTATTTCCCGGTGAGCTTGGCTTTCCAACCTACAGGTTACTGTTCTGATTGGAATCGTCAGCCGATATTTCCAATCCCAAGGTTTGTAAGTCTGTTCTGACCTGCGGTTCGGTGCTCACATTCGACACCCACCAAGGTCTCTTCGATGCGCCAACTCGCATCATCGTGGCAGTAGCACCTATCAACGTGCTTTTGAATTATCTGCTGGGTGGGTTCCGACGCTCGGGTTTGATTACTCCACTCATGTGTCACTGCAGTATGGGGTCCAGAACCAATCAGGTTGGGTTTCATCGGCGCCCCGATCGCGACATCGGTTTCCTATAATCTTGTTTCAATAGTCTCTGTTGTTTACGGTGTTTTCTTTGTTGAGAAGACCGCTTGGCATCCGATTTCAAGGCGGTCTTTTACCTCGTTGGGTCTTCTTGTCCAGCTTGGATTAGGCGGCGTTGGTGAGTAGCTGAACAATATCGCACGTCCCTAAGCTCATCCGTTGTTAGGTCAAGTCGCTTCAGAGTGGTGGTCATGGGAGCTGGTTGGGCGTACGTACATTTCACCGTTGTTCGTTGTCTGGAGGCAACACGCTGAATTGAATTTCAATTTCGCAGTTGCTGCTAGTTTGTAAGTGTTCCACCCTAGCATCATCAAATCAATTGACGCTCCGTATATAGCCTTGGGCCTACGGCGTTGGCAACTCAATCAGTTCTTTTGTCGACATGTTCATCCACTTTCCAAGCCCCATTTTCTTTGGGTGTTGCGACCTCCGTCCGGTTCGTTTTTACTCTGTGGGTGGCAATACGTGTCTAACTGAAAACTAAGTATCGGAAATCTTCTTGGAGAAAAGAATGCAAGGCGTGCTGGAGTTTCTGCGAATGCAGCTATCATTCTCTCCGCTGCAATAGCGGCATTCTTTAGGTTTGTTTTGCCTCATTTATGTTTGACGCTGTTTTTTTGAGACGTTGGCCCTAGTGCCGTTTTGTTGATTTTCCGCAAGTCATGGGGTTATTTATTCAATAACGATATCGGTATGTCCGAATACTACATAGCGGAATCCACATTTCTCACGTGGGGTTAACATTGACACAGAGGTCGTGACACTTGTGGCATCTATCCTCCCGTTATTGGCGTTGTTCCAAGTACCCGACTTTGCATGTGCTATTACAGCCGGAATACTGAGAGCTAGGGGCAAACAGGTATGTGCTCTATCATGCTCCGGCCATCATGATCTAACTGACAAATCCTTATCAGTTCACGGGAGCTCTAATCAATCTTAGGTAAATTGTGTCCAGTCCCACTCATTTGGTTCGATGTCTACTTATGCATTCTTCAGCGCGTACTACATCATAGGGATTCCGTTTGGGTTGTGGCTCGCCTTCAAGCAGGACCTGCAGCTCGCAGGACTTTGGTGTGGTCTTACCGCTGCTCTGGTTTACGCATCAACTCTTGGCATCTGGCTCTGCCTCAGAACAGATTGGAAGAGGGAGGTTGAGAAAGTAGTTGAGCGCCTAGCTGTTGACAAGCTCCGTGATGAACATGCGGACTGTGAACATTTGGCGCAATGATGGACGAGCTAGCTGATGATGGCTAGTGCGGCTCGGTTTGGTTTATTCATGTCTTTAACGATAATCATGAGGCTTACTTGGACTAAATCATCCCCTTGTGGGAAATTCATTATCAGACTGTGCCTCGTCTGCAGGCTGCATTTGCGAGCACATGGCTTCTCTGCAGACTTCTTTCCCTTGACGTGACTTCCTGTGACTGCTTCTTTCGAAGCCTTGTCAGAATGTGAACTTGGGTGTTGAGCGGTTCAATGGAGGCGCATCACAGCCCGAGTCGGGCTGGGCAGACTAGGCCTCGGTGACCTGACGTTCTGATTGACGGGGGCAACGTCATTCACGCTCTTTCTCATGAAATGTCAATCAAATGAAATTAGGTATCTCGAGGAAGCACATCCAAAACTAAAGGTGACGTTGAACAAGCGTCAACGGGCTGGACCTACCGCATGTCTCAGTAGGTCTCGTTAGACCGAGCGACCCATGCTCAAAAACCTATGTCCAATAAGGACAATCCCGCATACTAACTACACGTCCTTGATCGTTCCACCTTCTGCAACTTAACTCTGCTTCCTTCCCCGATCGGTTCCTGTCTCGCAGCTCCTACATTCACTGCCCCCAGGATTCACTGGCACTCTGGCATTTCTCACCCACTCTCATACACGCGTTCTTTATAGCCGAAGCTGACGGCTGCTGTCGTGCAACGCTACGTTTCTGCTCTCCTTCTAGCGTAAAAATTCTGCATTCTCACCAGTTGTCGTACGCGCGTGTTCTTTGTAGCGGAAGATGGCGGCTGCTGTCTTGCAACGCTACATTTTTGCACTCCTTCCTTCGTAAAATCCCGTCACCAATTGCTTCTCAGGTCCGTTCACGGACCGCGGTGAGTACACGGCTTGAGATCCTTCGACCATCACATATATGTATCTTATCAATTGGTCAGGTAAAGTCTTCGTCTGCCGCCCAACCAAGAACTATCACACGATGGGCGATAATATATATATGTATTATGGAGGTTTTTTTTTTTATTCTAATCTATTCTAATCGATATCTGTTCGGTGACGTTCACAGCAAAAAGACTGGCAATTGCTTGAGCATTCCCACTGATGGATTCCAGGTGCGTCTCGTCAAAAACATGACATCGGAAGGGACACTGATGCTTCTTATGTCCACGATCCAAGGGCACGCAGCCTCGATCGGCTTCAAAAAATCTCGTTATAATGCGGCGGACTACAATACACACATTATAATGAAAAGCTCCGTGAAGCACACCCACAATGTTCCCCCTTGGCTTGGTGCGGAGATAGCCGCGCTAACTTTTCTTCGGGGCTTCTGATCGCATCAGGTAACTTGTACTGGAAACCGGTCACCGCAAGAGCGGTATTCAATCGATTCGGGATACTCAGGGATACTCGCGTCCTCACGGTGTATAGCATGAGTGAGTCGCTGTTCATTTCTCCTTTCGTTCATGAATGCCATTGAAACCTTCGGTCCGTCGGCCGATTTTGACGCAGCAGTGAGGGGACAATATGAGAAAAACGTCCTTCAAGTTGTTGGTGATGTCCCTTGAACGAATCTGGGTGATCTCTTTATTGGGAATCGAGCTTTAAAATCCATAGGGAGGGACATCATAGTTAGAAATGACACTGCGGCCTGCTGGGAAATGTAGGTTGTTGGATATCGTGTCTGAATGTATGTGCCACCCGATGGATACAGTATCTGTCTATGATCATACAAGCCTATTGATTATACTTGGTGTGGTACATTTGAGGAGAGATTGCTTTCGATACAGTGTCTGGCAGAAGTCTATGATAGAAAAGGGATGAAAAACATCAAAGCTTTGAAACGGTGGGTTGCATTTTGTTGAGATATGCAGAGGCAACTACACTGCCTGTTTTCTTGTTAATGACCTGAGTAGGGCAAGTAATTAATCAATTGTCAATCGATCGACCAAATAAACAAACCTCGCATCGAGCGCTCATAATTCGGCCGCCCATAGCGATTGAGGTACTGATGATACGCAAACACGATCCACTAGTGATAAGAGTGAGTGGATAGCGATGGGAATTAGTCACACCGACATACACTGGTGCAGGGGAGTGGAACATGATGTTCATCGACTGAGTGACTCCCACTCCATTGATGTTTTGTATGAGTCCCAGAGCGACTAACGGAGTGCTACAGCAGCTATAGCAAATTGTCAGAACATCCCGAAGAGCGTCAACCATGTCATACTGACTTGTCAATGAGAAACGCCAGGCAACCTCCATGAAGCATTCCCGCGCCATTCAACATGTCTAAGCGACTCGTGAGCTCCTTAAATCTGGCTGATCCACTATGGACGTACTTTTTGAGACAACGATTTCTGATATAGTGGTTGCCTCCATACGACCTTGCTTTTCGTGGCTTTCATGGGCACTGATGTCGACGAACTTGACTGCTTTGGCAACATGATGACCAAAACAGTGCTCGTCACCAGCGCCGTACGCAATAAATGTGTTGAGAATTAGTTGCTTGACGTAGGGAGATACATTGCCCTGTATCTGGGACGCATCTCCACAGTTGGCCAAGCTCTTGGGATCTACCCATGCCTTGCGCGGTGGCGAGTACGAGGATGTGGTGCCGTAGATGATGCTCTCGGAAGAGGATGAAGAAGAAGCGGAAGTGGTGTATGACTCATAAGCAGGAGAGGCTGCGCTGGCGTAAACGGGAGATGAGCTAGTAGTAGAAGGCATGATTCAGAGGCTCGGTTAGTTGTATGGATTGGCATACCTGAAAGGAGGACCCGATATTTATCGAATGAGCGTTGACCCAGATCAAGACTTTCGCTCGGCTATATTTAAATTTGTTTCCTGGCGTAATGAGAAGGTGTGGTCTGAGCAAACTTCTTGATGCGGCTTTGGTTGTCTCTCTCTCAGATCTCCGCACCAGGTTGAGTAACACGTCCATATATGGAAGGTCTCGTGATCAACGTGAGTTCACCCAGGTTTGTCACACCGTCACACGCCCTGGCTTAGTGCAACCAGGGATGCAATGGGTCCCTGTGAATCCGATAGTCAGGCCAACATCTTACGGTACGTACTGATAGATAGGGTGCACGAATATTGAGGGCAACATTTATTATCGTAAATATAAGGGTAATGGAAATGCGAGCCTACATTCTACGAGACACCGTTACGGGATGCTACGTGGATTACAGTTCCTAATTCTGGGGGATCCACCATGACCAGACGAATTCCCAAGTTGAAGACGGCCACGTTGAGGTGACGAGCTCTGTGAGACCGGCGGAACGTATTGAACTGGAAAGAACGTGTGAATCACTTGCTTGACTCCTGGACACTTTTTTCTGACATTCACCAAGATCCGCGTGGATCTAGTCATGCAATCGATGGATGGACAAATTTTAGGGAGTCTGCATACTAAACGGGTCCTGCAGATACGACGATCTGATCCTCCTCATTCACACAGCCGGAGACCCTACCAGACCTTCTGTCAAGGGGAACCCGGTGTCCTACGCTCAGTCACTACTGTCACCCTCACGTCAACCTCTCCCAAGCCAATGGTTCACTACTTCCTTTCATCAGCGGAATCGCAACAGGGGTGTTCCTTTCGCGCTTCGGTTGCCATTGGCCTGCGAACCTGAAGTTGTCTCAGAAGGAAATGCAATCTCTGCTAGTCCTTCCAAGTACAGTAAAATTTCAGCAAAAAGATGCCTGCAGTGCAAAGTACGGCGTCAACAATCGGATTCTAGCACATAGCTGAAAGCGATGCCAGTGCGAAAACGTAAGGTAGATAACTGGCAGATAGTGAACCCGACAAACGTGGTATGGCACGACTTCTAGATAAGCTATGCATAGAATGCAGCACAGCTACTCTTCAAACTTCAAGCTTTAGGTTCAATATTCAGACTGATGGGTTCTTGTGCTGGAGATCCCCTTGTTCTCCAAGCAGATTAGCAGATAACCTAATCTACCGCGGGCTGCAGCACATTCGCGTAGTACTATCTTTATTGATGTGGAAAACGTGGTTTCTTGTTGGAGATTGACTAGAGCTGTAATCAGAACTTGCTTGAAGAGCGGTCATGGGTACTACTTACGCATCGTTAAGGCGTCAGCGCTCAGCGACGAATTCAAATCTAATGGTTGGACCAGGAAAGCCACCACGCTCGATGTGACATTCATCAAATAAGCATATTGTACCACAGTTTGACCAATATCTCACGACTGGATGGTCCTGCCATCAGAAAAGCTCGAGTTACATTCAAACGCACAAATGACATTGATTATTTTCCATCTCACAGGCTCGGAGATGAGCTCGGAAAGTATGATGGGCAACAGAGGGGAACCGACGAAACATGGAGGACGAAAATAATCTGATCGAAAGGCGTATGAGGGCGTTCAGAGGCATCCCCGGGCCCCTCGGCGGGCTACCACCCACGAAGAACCGCAGGAAAATTCGGAATACGGGTCCGGCTTCGCTTGCGTAGGCGGGGCAGAGTGAATTTGGACCCTTGAGCACAAGGTAACTCACGAATGATTGACGCTGCCCACAACTATTGATTCGTTCGCGTGGCTTGTAATGATTTTGCCGGAAAATGATGACTGATTGAGGAAAATAAAATGCGGCACTGGGGATAAAGGTAAGACCGAGCGGCCGGCGAATTATAACGTCGTATCAGTTTTCTAGAGAAAAAAAGGGTGGCATACCAGGGACGTATTGAAACTTCGCGGGGACCTACAGTAAGTGCATAAGAAGAAGGAGAAGCCCTGTGAGCCCTGTGTTTTTTTTCGATTCGGACGATGTGCTCGGATCCAGCCCCCATGCGAAGATCGGTGAACCGGTAGAGCGCAATAACGTTTTTCAGCGATCTAGAGGGCCCGCATGCCCGCTCACCAGTAAAGGTTTGCTAGACAAAAAGGAGGTTCAGGTTGGACGGATTTGAAGGTATGTAGTGGTGAACCGGTTAAGACAACCATTAATTCTAGCATTTTCAATGCTAAGGGAGTTGGCTAACAAATTAGGCAAAAATTGATGGGGTGACGCGCGTCCTGTCCTCCAAGTAGTACGCGTCGTTAAGCTTCACCCAAACCACCACAAGTACAACATGGAAACGTCGTTTGCATTAACTGGCAAGGGCTACGTGATCGTAGCCGCTGACACTACTGCTGCTCGATCCATTGTCAAGATGCAGATTGACCAAGACAAAATCAAGGAGCTCAGTCCTCATCTTCTCATGGCGTACTCGGGTGAACCAGGTCAGCACAAACCTAACATGTCTATTTCATTATTTCTGACAATACATGCACCTGAAACAGGCGATACCGTCCAGTTTGCTGAATTCGTCGAGCGCAACATTCGTCTGTACCAAATCCGTAATCTGTATCCTCTTCGCCCAGCCGCGGCCGCATCCTGGATCCGCCGTTCACTAGCAGAATCTCTGAGATCACGAAACCCGTACTCAGTCAACTTGCTACTAGGCGGATATGACACGTCCTCGCACACACCGAACTTGTATTGGATTGATTACCTGGGAACAGTAGTGGAAGTGCCATTTGCTGCGCATGGGTATGGTGCTTACTTCGCTCTGAGTTTGCTTGACCGGTACGTTATTGTTCTTTACCGTGATTCTGCATTTCAGTTCTATCGGCTCCTTCTTTCTTGCTGTTTTGATATATGCTGACCGTTCTTGCTCAGTTATCACGATCCGGAAGCATCCCTAGAAGAGGGCCTTGCCGCCCTAAAACGTTGCATCGACGAGGTGTCGAAGCGTCTAGTGGTTGACCCAGGTAAATACAAGGTCAAAGTAGTTGACAAAGATGGTATTCGAGAAGTCGAGATATGATGTCCGGGCAATGTGTACTGAAATGTATCACCGCCTTCTACTCCCGTTCTGTGTATATCTCTATTTCTACCTCTACATCGATGCGCTCAAACCAGAAAGATACTGCCCTCCACCCGATCCCCCCCAATGATGCGCTCCGTCTTCATCTCGCATGTAAGTAGCTTCCGAATGCGTGAAAGCACACCTTCAGACTGTACCACATCCTGAGGAAACATAATGATTTCGGCTGCCTTCTCGATATCAGATCTTCGAATTCTGGAACCCCAAATACTATCACAGTAGGCATCCACGAGCCTCACCCTCTCCAGGCTCGCCATATCATTGACACAGAAAATTGCCGCAACAGACCCTGGACTCAGGAATATCGCCTGACCCACGTAGAGAGTGCGAAGACCGGGAATCTCTGGAAGTAATGGTGTCACCGAGTCGTCCGAGTCAACGCCCGGAAGTTCTGAGGAGAAGGTGATGTTGGTGACTGTGATATCTTGAATGTTTGACCAGATGCCAAATATTCTACAAAGACGGCTTGCTACGGGCGCGATAATCTTGAGTGTTCCCGTCAGACTTCTATACCCAAGACTTTTGGAGTACACGTACTGCAGTGGAGAAGTGGTGCTCTGGGTCAGGTCCGGTCCACTGAAAGACTCGGGGACTGCAGAATACAAATTTGGTAGCAACATTGATCAGGGCCATGACACCTCTGGGAATACATCCAATATTATCTACTCACTTGACAACAGACAGTGCCTCCTCGAACACATGGTGGCTGGCATCCTGTGAGTATGAATGGAGTCTCAGACAAAGGATCTCCAATGGGATCTGCTTCTGCTCTACCCCCGGTGTCTCAGTACGATCGCGACACCTGCACATCGCCTCCCGGAGATACTGCCAGACATCTGATGGTCTCGCATACTTGCCTGTCAGGTCGACTGTCACCGAGCGCGGCACCACACCCGCGTTCTCACTCGTCTGTGCAAAAAGCCTTAGCTGCTCTGAAGAGCGAAAGCACAGGTTCCTATAAAGCCATTCCACGCCGGTGTTGCGGAACTGGTGGTTGACGCACAGGATATTGCTGGGGACGGATTCACCGGAGAGTGTGTATGCGATTATGGGGAGTAAGATCTCAGGAGGCAGATCATCAAGAGTCGCATGCATTATGGCTTTCAGAGGGCAGGTTCAGGCTGAATGAAACGAACGAATGGTAAATGAGCGCCGGGCGTGAGTCTATCTGATGGCCACGGTGGGAGTTGTTAGTCACAAAGAACGGCATTTGGGATTTGATTCGTAGCCTTTGAAAAGGCAAAACCTTACGCGCCTCGCGAAATCAGAGCAAGCAAACCACTGCTTTCAAAACGGGTAAATTAGGCAGAATAGTTCATTCGGAATGATTCCGAGAAATTAGCGAGCAGCTTGAACTTATGACCGCACATCATTGTCCATAGGCTTTTATTTCATAAACTTAGAGCCTAACTACCAGTTGCACCTGCGGGCCCCAGTGCGTCAGATTTGGTAATCTGGTAAAAAGTGTGAAGATACCATTCTTCTGGTGTATTCTGATGAGAAGAAGAAATTGAGCAATCAATCGCTATCCACCTCGATCTACAAATCACGGAATCAGTCGAGTTGAGTCTGAACAATACTACCGCAATAATACATACCACATTGGCCATTTTCCCCTTTGCCCGTGTGGCCGCGGCTCGTGTAGAGGTCCGCCCTGACGGCGCAAAACTCAATGTGTTCTGTGCAGACGACGATGCCTTCCCTTTCGTCGTAGCTGTCTTCTTCGCAGGAGCTTTCTTTGCTTGTTGGCTAGAGTTAAGTAGGTTTAGTGTAAGTATACTATTGTAGGGAGATGGCCGGAACCCACCTCAATACCGCAGCACGATTTGTCTTCTTCATAACTTTCGGTGGTGCCTCATCTTCCTCCTCATCGTCATCTTCGTCTAATTCTACAGCTTCCTCAGATTCACTCTGCGTTAATTCTAGTCAGCACTCCGTGTACTATATCACAGTTTGTCAACTCACAACAACCTTCTTTCCCCTCCCTTTCTTTGCCGGCGCAGCCTTTTTCGCAGGTGCAGCTTTCTTCTTTTTCGGCGGGGGCGCAGGTTCTTCAAAGTCTGACCCGTCCTCTTCCCCGCCATCAACGTCCATGAGCATTGAGTCGGCGTCGGAGTCGGCTGGGGCGGAGGCTTTTCCTTTGCCCTATATAGTGGGGTAAGGTGCGATTTCATGGGATGGGTGGGGCCAACGTCGAACGCACCTTTCCCTTGCCTGTCCTCCCCATCTTTGCTTTTTCCACGTATTCCTGGTTGTGCTGCTCCTTGAGTTTGACGAGCTACACGAAACGGCTTGGATTCAGTAAAAAGTTAGAAGGAAAGCGTAGGAACATACAACGTCATCTAGCTCCTCCTCGTCTACCTCCCCATTCTCCTGTACACCTTTCATGAGCGCGCGCAGAGCGCTCGAGACGTGTCTACATGAGCCAACAATATTAGCACAGTGAATTGAAGGAGGACAAGGAGAGTGACGACATTAGAACAACATGCGCGGCATGATTAGGCCTCTATGAGAAAACAAAACCTGAAAACACTCACGTTTGTATAGCCCACCCATCATCTTTTTCCACAAACATTCTAATCGCCTCATTCATCCCTGCCTCACCAAGGACCTGCAGTTCCTGCGCCGCCAAATACTCCTGTACCAATGTTTGCACACGCACTTTCGCCAATTTTTCGCTTGTCGTAAGGTCTGGATCGTCGATGGACAGTTCGGGCTGGTCCGCAGAGGTTGCGGTACGGGAGGCAGTGGAGCGTGCTTTGGATCGGTGGAAAGCGAGCACGTCGCGTGGGTTTGCAATCCGCCCAGTGAATTCTTGTCCGAATCGGATGGGATTGGACATTGCGGGAACGTTAGTGGTGTCGACCTACCAATGATGAATATCAATGTGGGTCCTGCAATTTTTTGTATTGTATGTATAGGATAGATCGACGGACCTTGAGCCGTACAAGCGGCAGCATACGTGGGAGCTCCTCTTCGCCTTCTTCCACCGCGTGTGCGTTGCGCTCGTCCCATAACTGGTTCGCTTGGTCAATGAGAGCATTTACCTGGATCATGCGGTGAGTCCGCAACCTACGCATCAGGCATAAGTGAAAAGGCACCCACCCTTGCTCTTAAAAACTTCCCCACAGCAATTTGGTCGGTCACATCAAACCCCTCCTCTTCGGCCGCCTCCGCGAGAAAAACGTCGCCCAACATAAACGGACGTACAGTACGCAACGGAAGGGGTTTAAGCTCGAATTCTTTGTGATGGATTTGGAGCAAGGCAACGTGTCTTTGTCGCAAAATTCATTGTTTTCGAGTAAGAAAGAGAGATACAGAAGGGAGATGTTGAGTCAAAGGAAATATGGGAGGTCTCTGACACTTACTTCTCCAATCCCTCGCCCTCGCCCAAACTCGTAGCCACACTCGACCCGGGCTGCGTGACATGGTATGGACGACCAGCGACGGGTTCAGGAACAATGCGGCAATCGTGCTCGTGGCCCCAAACGACGAGGTCGATACTGTCGTCAAATAGGCCTTCTGGTACAGCTGGAGTTGGAGGGTGGGGAACACTACCAATGGATGTGGATGATCAATTTGGGGAACGGAAGGACGTAAAAAAGAACCATGCAAGAGTAAAGATACGCGAAGCGATGAAATGAATTAAGTAAGACGTGTGCACAGGGGACAATATTCGCGTACCGATTTTGGTGTACCACAAGCACGTTGAACCAGTCATCCTTGTCCCTAGGCATGTACATCCGCACACGATTGCTGCGGAGTTCGAAGTGCATCCGTGCATCTTTGACATTGCCAACTCCGTAGAGACCAAGGCGAGTTTGACCTTTGCGAAGGAGAACGGGGCGGATAGATATACCTAGGTTCCATTTCAATTACGGAGATAGGTTTACATCGCGCGAATAAGAGAACGAAGGCGAAAAATATCAGCGTCAAATCACCGCGCGCGCAAAATGTAAGCATACCCGAATCACCCTCCGCAGGGTTGGGATTCGACGCGCTGGATAGTGGGAGGTCGAACTTGCCCATATAGTTTATGAGCCCGGATACAGAGAGGACGTCGAGTGCACAAAGAGCACCTTCCTGGTGAATATGAATAAGTGCTCACGCGTGAGAGGCGAGGAAGGGAATTAGCGCAAAGGACACGAGGGGCTGAGAGTAATGGGAGGGAACACGGCTTACAGGCCCAGCACCTTGTGGATCGTCGTGATTGCCGTGAATGCTAAAGACGGGAATGGCAACGTTGAGATTCGGGTCTTCGTAATTGACCGCTGGGAAGCTGAGAGGCGTGATCCTTTGTTCAAGGAAACAAAAAAACTCCAACATACCTGTATCCCTCTGCTCGTCCGTCATTTGGATCGCTAAGGAGTTCAATTTGAACAGGCTTGTCTCCAAGTGTGTACTCCCGGAGAAGGGCCATAACCTGGTATAAGCAGTCGCGTGACGGGCGGTTTTCGTGAAATAGATCACCGCCGAGTAAAATCATATCAACCTGTAGACATTTTGGGAAAAGAGATGAAATTATCAAGGATAACACGGACATCGTGCTTGACAGCAAGCTGAAGAATTTCCTTGAAGGTGTTGATAGAATCTTGTCCACGAATTGGGTCGCGCTCAAGATACCCGATATGATTGTCTGTTGCAACCAAAATCCTCATGGTATCCTCCGGGTCTGAACGCTGTGAGTGGATGAGTGGGCAATGCTAGTAAGAGGGGCGTACAGGCATTGCCGATTGTCGGCGGCGGCGCCTCGTTGTCTGACATGATGTGAAAGACAAAGCCGTTAAAATGGTCGGCGTCGGCGTCAGGAGACTTTCGTATATGTTGTCGACGTGCAAGTAAAGTGCCTCTCAGTTGGCCGCGTTGGACGCGTCGCGTCGCGTGGCTGTCACGCCGTCACGATGCTGGCTACTTAATTTTAGCCCCTGAGCGTTGCTTTTACTATGTAGTACTAGTAGACTCTGATAGGTAGACCTAAAGTCTCATTTTGCAGGCAATAATGGTAAACGTTAAAGCCTTAAGGTTCGGTGTCGTCTACGTCCGGGGATATATAATGTGAACTGTTGTCGCGTTCGTGACTCCCTCCCCCTTCAAGCTCAGCCACCGTCCCAGCCGATGCTCCTGTCCAAGCCCCACAACCAATAATGCAGGTTGGACTGGGCTCTTTGTGGGAGGCCGCTGTTCCTTTTCTCTCCAGGGGGCATTGTCCAGCGCGCCTCTGGGTAAGACAAGAAGTTGCAGGGAGTTAACGACACCGGGTGCAGGTATCGAGCCGACCAGTGAAAATGATCTGAGTTTTTGGTCGAGCTTCCAAAGTCGCACCTCGCCATCCCATGAGCCTTGTAGTTAAATTGAGCGACGTCGCCGTTATAACAACAATAAATAATGGGCTTACCGGAAACAAACATGTCTGAGTAGCGCAGTGATGCAACGGCCGTTATCCAGCGGGGTGTTCGCACGAGCCCTTCGGTTGATGATTGTACTTCATGGAACCCATGGCACAGTGTTTGTGTGTAAACAGGTTTTTTCTTTTGGGTGTTCCAAAGACATATCGAGCTTCGGGCGGTATTCAGTGGTATGAATTCTTATGACGTTGAACAACATACCCAGTATCTCCCCCACTCACAAACGTAGTTTCGTCAATCAATGCGACACACTCAATACTCCCTTCCGCATATTTGCTCTCCTTCATCTTGTCCTTGCCTTTGTTTGATTTCGGACCGTCCACCTTCATCCCATCCACGTGTTCCTCATCCTCGTGGCCCTCAAACGCGCCTCCTTCAAGCAACTCCCGTATTGCACTTTTTCCACCGCCACGAAAGACCAGCTGACTTTCGTCTGCAATTTTCCAGAATCGAATCGTTCGATCTCTTGCTCCAGCTGTAACAGCAGTCTCTCCTCGAAGCGCATCCAGGGAGAGAATGGTATCCTGGTGTCCAAATAGCGTTTCTACGTATCCCATTACTGAGAGATCGAACAACTTGATAGTCCGATCAAACGAGCCAGTATACAATTGTTGTGTGCCTTTCCGGAATGCGACGCTCTAGAGGAGACAAATACAATGTTAGCGTCGTATGTATCATGCAAACAGGACATACATACTGAAACCGAATCCTTATGCCCTCCGAAGCCTTTCACCCATTCATCCTTCTCTACATCCCACACACCCACTCTCCGATCTTTAGATCCACTGGCGAGGTATCGACCGTCACTACTTACGGCGAGTGAGAGGATCTCGTCCGTGTGTCCTTGAATATCTTGAGGGAGCGCCTTCTCTTTGCCTTTGGCAACGCGCTGTTTATAAAACGTCGCAATCTTTTTCCCGGACTGCAGACACCACTTATTTATGGTCCCCTCCTTCCCTGACGTGTATAAATACTGGGCATCTTCCGACGCGACTGCAGAAGTAACAGAGAAACGGTGACCCCTGCATCGTAGGGATGATGTCGACGTGAAATCGTACTGTAAAAACTATGTCAACCAGACTATCACCGCAGATTAAAAGATACCAACCAAGTCTGCCACAAAGAGGTGAACTTTGCCAGAGTGTTCCAGGACGTCTTGTCGCAGTCGTTCTGATATTAGTTCTCTGTCGATCTCAGCAGCATCGAATTCTCCATCGGCTGATTCCCATAACATTGAGCAAACTCAGAACACAAATTCAGCCGAACTGTACTTGCCTAGGCCATCCTTCACACTTTCCAGGTAGAGTTTCGCCAACCGTAATCGTTTTTCCGCAGGGGTTTCCTGTTCATCTTCATCACCACTGGTCTCGGGCTCGACGTCCGCGCGCAATTCAATGTCATCTATGCCACCATCCTCCGAGTCTGTCCTATCCGAGTTCAATTCTTCATCCGCGGCTCTCCTCACCCCTCTCGTGCTTGAATTAATAAGTTTTGAGTCCTGAGAGCTAGATTTGCCCTTGCGGAGGATTTTCTTTGCGCCCCTAGCTCCCTCAGCCGTGCTGACAGACCGCTTCCTCTTCCTGTTTTTTGTTGACGAGAAGAAGGAGTCTGGCATGATCTTGTCTTGTAGATTGAGCTCATACCGATACTTGGCCAAAAAAATCTGGAGGCGGAATATGCCGAGTCACGTGCCGCTGAATGTCTGGTACCATATATGGGTCTGCAAGCCACAAACTCTCACTGGTACAGAAAAAGAAAGTTCAGGCCGAGCAATCCGATGATCAAGGCATCCTCAGGCTTCCTATCGTCCTTTCATTCTCAGTCACACCCTTGGATAAAAACCACCATGCGATCTCTCACTGTTGACTCTCTCAATCCCGCCGTTCGCAACGTGCAGTATGCCGTGCGCGGCGAGCTGGCAATCAAAGCAGAGGATTATCGCGTTTTGCTCAAGGAGAAGGGTCAGGACAGCGGTCTGCCATTTGATCGAGTTATCTCTTCGAACATTGGAAATCCCCAACAGAAGGGGCTCGACCAACCCCCCATTACCTTTAATCGGCAGGTTAGCTTCATTTTATGTGTTCCTCCTCTCAAAGATGCAGAGGGGCCGGAAGCAAATCTCACTGTCGTAACAGGTAGCTGCACTCATGGAGTGGCCACAGTTGAGCCAACTTGCACCCAATGCGTTTCCGCAGGACGTCATTGCCCGTGCGAAGGAGCTACATGAGGAAATTGGTTCCATCGGCGCATACTCACACTCCCAGGGCGTCCCTCTCATTCGTCAGAATGTCGCAAAATTTATTCAGGGTGAGTAGCTAGTCTTAGTGCCACTGGGTCTGACTGCAACGTTCAATGCGCTATGTTCCGAGTTGACCCGTCCAACCGAGATCTGTTAATTTCTCGAGGAAGTCACAGCTCGTATTGGTTTGGATTAGTGCATATATTCTACGTACTTGCAACACGGCGTAGCGCCAGTCTCATGTGTCTTTGGGTTGGGATACTCTTCACGTAACTGACACGTAATCACAGAACGCGATGGCCATCCATCCTCACCAGACAACATCTTCTTGACGGGCGGCGCTTCTGCGGGGGTTTCGCTTCTGATTTCAATGCTTATCTCGGAACCCCACAAATCTGGTGTCCTCATCCCTATCCCGCAGTACCCATTATACACAGCAACCCTGGCACAATTTTCGGGCGTGGCGGTTCCGTACCATCTTGATGAGGCACATGGCTGGTCGACATCAATTGAGGAAATCAAGGCTGCTATTAAAAAGGCAAAGGAAGATGGCGTGGACCCCAAGGCACTTGTTATCATCAACCCCGGAAATCCGACGGGTGCGTTGTTGCAGGAAGAGACGCAGAGGGAGGTGGCGAATTTGTGCGCAGAGCATGGACTCGTGCTCCTCGCGGACGAAGTCTATCAGAGCAACCTGCACCGTGCGGCCGAATTCCCATTTACGTCATTCAAGAAAGTTGTCTGCGACATGGGCTCGCCAGTCCCATTGGTATCCTTTCATAGCATCAGCAAGGGTGTAACAGGGGAGTGTGGGCGGCGTGGTGGTTACTTCGAGTGCCATAACATCTCGAATGATGTCCGCGCGATGATGTACAAAATGGTGAGCGTTGGGCTGTGCCCTCCGCTGCAGGGGCAAATTGGTGTGGACTGCCTTGTGCGACCCCCCAAGGAAGGCGGTGAAAGCTACCCTCTGTGGAAAGAGGAGACGACGCGAATTCACAAGGTACTCGCGCAGCGCACCAAGCTCATGGCAGACCGCCTAAACAGCCTACCTGGCGTCTCATGCGTTGATTCCCCGGGGGCATTATACCTTTATCCAAAGATCACACTCCCAGAAAAAGCGATCGCTGCCGCGGGGGCTGCCGGCAAGGAGCCAGATGCATTCTATGCACTCGCGCTTCTAGATGCAACAGGCATTTGCGTCGTACCAGGCAGCGGATTTGGGCAGAAGGAAGGAGAGTACCATTACCGTCTTACCTGCCTGTGTCCTGGCGTAGACGAGTATGTTGGGAAGTTAGAGAAGTTCCACCGCGAATTTTGTGCGAAGTACCAGTGATCTCTCGTGTTATTAACCCAAGGCTGTAATGTTCGTTAGACTAGATGTCGCTGCTGACTTTGTGCCTTGCTGTGTCGTACGTAGTACTGCTACCTGCTTTCATGTTGGATATCGATAGACCTATTCATGTGCATCATTTTATGGCCTGGTTGGCACGCGACCCCAATATCAACCTAAGCTACAAGCTTGCTACATCAAGCACGTTAACGTTACTCGGTTGGATTTTCTGAACTATTGCCAAAATTAGGGGTGCCACCTTTGCGAGCGGAAAGTTTTGCGGTCAGGTTGAATCTTGATGTCAGTGGTTCCAATTCCACTCCCATGTTCCACCGCCCACCGTATTCGCATAGCATCCATCATCTCTCCTCTCAAGCGTGTTCGTCCAAGAATTCCATTCTATAAACTCTCTGCTCACCGTGTTCCGACACTCTGGTCGCTATACCGGGGTTTGCTCAGACATGCACCAGGAGAAAACGTGAGCAATCTGCTTTTTTACCCTGTGTTGTTTAACATCGTGCACAGATCCGGTTTCGCGTGCGCCTGATGTTCAGGAAGAACCAGCACGTTGTGAAGGCACATTCTGCGAAAGAGCGACTCGTGATGGGATACAAGGTATTACACTTCTCTTAAGCGTGATGACAGGCCTGATGCAAAGGATACACAGTGGTTAGAAACCTTCAAGCGCGCGGAGCAAGGTGATATCAAACTTCAGAGCGTTCTCAGCAGGTATGATAGAATGATTGCCACCAAGCGCGAGAAGACCGCTTGGAAAAGGCGCATACGAGAAGCATTCGTACGTATCTTGGTGTCTCTTCGTCGTTGTATACTCACAACTCAATCAGAACTGGGAAGCCAAGCTCCGCAATCGTCCTATTTTCAAAGGCTCTTTCATCCGTCCCTCGTTTGACAACAAGCTTCTTCCTCGTCTAATACCCCAGCCTGCCCACATAACTGGAATGATTGTGCGTCGGCGTATCGCACGCGACCGTCGATGGCAGCAACGAGAAACATTGAAGAGCTGGGCACATGACTTACGGTACGAGAGTCTCTTTGAGTACGCGCTGCTCAAGAGTGCACGAGGCGAGACTGTGAGAGTGGCTCGGCAGATGAGGGGCAGGATGTTGTCGGATCATGCCAACCGATGTGCGGGAGAGGTTGAACGACTGCTTCATGAGGAGCACATGTCGTGGACCCCAGTTTACACGGGAGGGGCAAAATATAATTGGGGTGAGTTGTGTATTTGTCCGGACATTTGGCAACGCTAACAACATATTGCGAGTTAGATGAACCCTTCGTCAAGCGCCTGGCTGAACTGTATGAATGCACGAAGCGTGACATATCACGGCTTCGTGCTGCACCGCCCGCTGGACTCATATTGCAAAGCAAACAAGCACGCCGAGAAAAGGTGGCAAACAAAACAATTCAGAGACAGCGCGAACGTTCTGGTGAAGTTACTGCTTACACCATTAAACGCCGGCGGGGCGCACCTCCTGCACATATCCGAGAGCTCATGACCCCAAAGCAACTTCTAGTGGACAGGGCGATAAGGGAAGTAAGTGAGGGTGGGTGGTCGGGCACAGTTAAGGCACACATGGGCGTGCATATGCACACGCCCGAAAAATGGAAGGCCGAGGGCGGGTGGGAAGATGAAGAAATGAAAAAACGTCTGGATGATATGGAGAGGGAGATTCGAGCGGAGAATGAGAGACGAAGAAAAAACAGCAAGTTGGAAGCTGTCCCTCTTTCTGAGTAGTCAAGAACTTGCAAATATGTATGGCGGAGTGGCAGAGGCTTAATAGAGAGAGAACGACTAATTTCATTCGACTAAGGTCTGCCTAGGGGAGACTATAGCAGAGGTAAATTGTACAGCCCAATGGCTTTACTTCTCCTGGACTTCCCACTTTGTTCCACAAAAATATATCAGCCCTGACTCTCCTCACCGTGTGCATTGCTCTTGTGCTTCGGTGTAAAGAACCACGTCTCGGGCGCAGGACCGAGGAACATCTCCGAGATTTTGACCCAATCCTGGCTATTCGGACTTGCAAGGAGTGTTTCTACTCGTTATAAAGTCATCAGTTTTCAGTCCCCACAAGGCCGACGAAGCACATGCCTAGTTCATCTCTTCCTTTGAATGCTGGAGCTCGATCGTTTATCTTGGCTGGGAGTCGTTCCAGTAATCCGATAGGGACGTAACGGTATTGGAATGAAAGTGCTTCACAGAGGAATCGGCGCGTCGTATTCACACCTGTTGTGTCTGTACCAAAGTGACTGACGATGCGCACTTAATCAGTTATTCTCGTCGAGTTGAACACATGACAAACTTCAATCCAAATTCAGCGAACTGTTCATAGAGTATGAGCCAGGATAGATATGCGAGTAAGGGAAAGGAAGGCTACCTTGCCAATCAACTGCAATCGCTCCCTCGAGCTGATATCCCATTCTCGGTGCTCCTTCACTTCCGTGAAAATCCACGGTTTGATGAGTGCTCCCCGTCCGATCATGACTCCGTCCACGCCAGTGGACGAGACATTGGTCCAGTAATCGTGCGATGAGAAACAATCACCACCGCCAAAAATCGGGACCGGAGATACTGGGTGAGTGTATCGTAGGTGTTGCGTCAGAGCCGACAGGCAACCCGTCAGAACGGTTGAAGCAGGTCATGTGGATAGAACTTACGACCCATGTCTGCCTCCCGAGCACGCACGGCGTCAACGCATTGTTTTATGTACTCCCAATCAGCCAATTTCGTGTACCGTTGCTGGCGCGTACGGCCATGAAGCTATTTTCTGTCGCATGAGCCGATAAAGTATCAAGAGAAATTGATAGCGACGCACTGTGATACAACCAACCCCCCACTCAGTGGCAGCGCGAAGCATGATCTTATGTGCATTATTACGACCGTCCTTGACACCCGTCCGTAGTTTGATTGTAACCGGAATTTCGCCCAACGCCCTGGACATCCCAATGACAATTTTGCCAAGTTTTGCTGGTGCATCCAGCACTACGAATCCAACTAAGCTTGTTACCTGGGAGACGCTGTGCTAGATCACTCACAAGCGCTTCCGCTTCCGCTTTTGAAGACAAGATCGATCGGACATCCACAGTTCACATCGACGAAGTCTATGCCTCCTGCATCACCGAATTCGCGCCCGAGGATTTCGGCAGTTGGGACCAATGTGCTGGGCTTATTTCCTGCGAGCTGAATTCCGAAGATGCTCTCCGATGGATGCCGCCGAACAAGGGAGAATTCAGACGCAGAAGCGGTGAGAAATGAGGTCGCAAGGCCCACTGGATGAGGATTGCGATTTTAGTGCACAAAGTTGAATGGTGAGGGAGATGATGTGAATGATAGGGAAATTGACATTTAGTAAAAACGCACTTTCACCACACGTTATGTCCGCTCCGAGGGTACCACATAGACGTCTGAATGGCTAAAATACTTGGTTAACTGATTCACCAGTCGTGCAGTGATATTCATACCAAGTTGCCGACCGTTGTTAACGGCGCAAGATCTGACCACAAGTGTCCGGTGAATTTAATTTCAATCTATTGGGCAGAGAGAATGTCATACATGATTTACCACTCCAATTCAGCCTTCGTTTCTCTTGTACGCGATACAGAACATCGGGAGTATCAGTCTGAGCATTGGGATCAGAATTTCCAGTGCGCTTTTCAACGAGAGCTGATGGATTAAGTGGAGGAACATTCATGGCCACGTCTTCTTCCGGTCCATTGGGGTCTTCTTTAGCAGCTTCCAGTCCCTTGAGGTATGCGTCGGTTATTGGCCTAGGGTACTGCAATGCATGCGTCAAGTTCTGATGCTAGCGGGAAATACTTGCGCCCATGGCTAACCTTCTTGGATCTAAGTAGTTTCAAGGTGTCTGCACTAACAAAATTGAGTTCCGTGGTGCTCAGCGCTGTCTGAGCCCTCTTCTCCTCATCTTCGATGAGCGTGATTACCCCACTGGTATCGCGCTCAGTGTGAGCTCCGAGAAATCGACACTTGAGTCCTAGACGACAGAATCCAGATTCTGCAAAGGAGGGACACGATGCGTGTTGGTCGAGCGAAGAAAGACTATTGTCAGCCGTAGAATTATCTTCCTCCGTGCCCATGATAAAAGGAGGAACATCTGATATCGTCGTGATCGAAGGGAAACGAATATCTCTTGGTTTTGCTGCCAGATATGCGTCGACGTCATGCGTGAAGCGACATCTAAATATACAGCATAAGAGCCATCAAGAGAGGTGGCAGAATAAAAACACGCACTCATCTCCATGCTCGCATATTTTCCCATTGGCTACTCTCCAGCATAGCTCCAGTTGATCATGTACCTTGCCAAACTTGCGGCCCTTATTGGCACCACGCTTTTCTTTCTTTTGCGCCTTGGTCCACTTTTTGCGGCCACCCGTGCCCCTTGCGTCAGTATCTACCTCGTCCCCACGTGGTGCTCTGGAGTGAGATGTTGAACCTTCTGCTGCATCATCATCAACCGGAGGAAGGGCGGCGGGGGATAACAGAAATCTACAGACGGTGAACCATTTCAAAGGCAGTGGGAAGCCCGAAAAACGTACTGCTGTTTTACGGGGGCGGTTCCCGGCGGGAGAGACATGCTACTCGTCTTGCAATCTTAGAAGTACTACCTTCCAGGCTGTCGTTGGCTCGTTGCGTAGTAAAGAAATAAGTATACATAGCGTCTAAAATGACTTATTTTTCCCAACAACAAAATCTTATCGCACCGCCACAGTGTAGTCCAAACGAAGGTGAGAAAATAGCGTCCAGCGAAGTTATCACCAATTCATGCAGCTGTGCAGCCCGGACCATTATTTGAATGTGTGACATATTCCATCCATGCAAACACGCACATCTCGCTTTTTAGTCTCGTCAGATCTGATGCTGGCTGTGGGCTGTGACCATATTGATTAACCGCTTCAAAGCCTACTACGCTTATTCTCAACCAACCTCACTCGATCATTCACACAACATCACATTCTTCCATGTACAATGGTCAATCAATATCCCGTTTCTCGCGCAAGTGGAAGCCTCGACCCATCAGGCCTCAGGACCCGAGCATAACTTTGTCGCATTCCAGCCCAGAACAGCGTACCGTTGTCTGTCTAGGCAAAGTGTTGCGACTGCTGCCCGGATGGCAGAAAGCGAGTTTTTGTCAGCTCCTGTCTTCTCGCGTGACGCACTGTCTGACAGCAGTGGGATGGGGTTGAGGCCTGAGGGCGGTGATATTCATGCTGTGCTTCGCAATATTCGAAAGCCTGGAATACTGTGCTGTTCTTGAGCCTCGCAGCCTCCTCGTGTTGGCTGCGTCGATCAATGGCGCACCTACAACACACCTCTGCTGTACAAGTCTGACGCTCATTGATGAATCTATAGGCAATTCAATGCGCTGCGAGCCGCTTCTGTCCCTTTGACCTCAGCTCTGCACATCGCAGCGCAGTGTGGATGCTGCGCGCATGCTATGGTTCCTTCCTTTATAATCCGTCAGGCATTTGCGAGCACTGCAGTTTTCCGTGACCTCTAGTACACATTTTACTCTCAAGTGCTATTTTGCATCTCTCAGCCATATGTCAAACTTCGTTCCTGATCCTCTTGATGATTGCACTCCACCCTTGGAGGAGCCGAGTCACCCAGCACGCCCCCAGGACCCCGAGACTAACCTCGCGATTGGTGAAATGCTACAATTCGCCGTCAATAGTATGCACCATCTTTTTTCATTCAGCACATACCAATGATTTCCCAAAGCCATTCTTGTAACACTTTATTTCGTCATTACTCTGCTATTTCGTTTCGCCACAGACACCGTGCCAGACCCACTCGAAGATACCCTCCCAGCCTTGGGTGAGGAGGCAAGCTACCCAGAACACCCTCAAGACCAGGGAGAGGCACACCTCAGTGGAGTGCAACAGATCGTCGTTACTGGTATGTGGTATCAAACTCAGTTCCGCATGGATTGACAGCTTCTCCCAAGCCATTCGCGCAACTGATCTAACTCTTGGTCTCCAACGGATTCCCGCTGGCTTCCATGTGGTAGTAAAGGCTCGCGGTATCGAATTCCAAACAAGCAACAAGCCCGTGCACGTAGACCAGGCTGTTCTCGAATGGAACGAGCGGATACTTCTGTAAGCTGTCCTTGATCCCTTCTTTCCTTCAGGTGTTGAGAAAGACTCTAGGCCATGTGAACCATCTTCTCTCGTTCGGGTCAGCGTGTATGCCTCATTTGAACTGGGTCCCATGCTTGGTCATGGAGAAGTCCTTCGCACATTTGAGATATCCGTAGGCGAATTATTGGATCGCAGTGAACAGTCACGTCGTCAGTAATGTCTGTTGCAAATTCCGCCTGACAGATGTTGACGAGTATCACAGCCATTGTTTTTCAGCCCAAGCAGGAGGAAGTCGTTTCCCCGTGTACTTCGCTGTTCATGACAGTGGAGCAGCGACGATCTGATGAAAACGACGCTGCAGTTCTTGAACCGCTTACCGCCGTGAGTGATCAATGCCAGTCTGATATGCTGATGCTGAGAGCTTGTAATGTGTAGCCTACGTCCAGCGATATGAATGCGTTAGTGCTAACAGACGCCGGACATCGCCTTCTCGCACGATTCCGAAGGACGCGGAACACTAGGGATCTCGACCAATCCATAATGCACCTTGAACGTGCGTCTGATCTGTGCCCCATGCATCATCCCTGCCGCCCTGCAGCACTATTCAATCTAGCTTCCGCGAAGTTTGTTAAATGCCAAGTAAATGGAACATATCTCGACCTCGACATCCCCATCTCTCTTTTTCAAGACGCCCTTGCTTTGGTTCCTACTGGTCATCCTGACCGACCCACGACCCAGCTCCATCTTGCCATTTCTCTGCTGTCTCGCTTTCAAATAGATGCTGATGTGGCCAAAGAGTTACTGAGCGAAGTCCTCGAGGTTTGCCACGCCAACAGCCACATTTACAGAGCAGCTTTGCTTGCAATCGATACGTTTGCTCTACATCGAGCTGGAGGCATGGATGGACACGATATTGGGCACATGCAGCCCGCTGCATCAATGCTTCCGTTGTCGCCAAATCAACTTGCTCATCGTGCAGAGCGGTGTTTGCAGAGAGATGATCCCCACGACTTAGATGCAGTGATCTCCCTTCATTACGATGCCCTGCAATGCTACGACACTGTGCATGCTTACCGAGGGCAATTGCTATGCAATCTAGGTGCAATGCTGGTCACCCGCTTCCAGCGCCGAGGCAATGACCAAGACTTGGATGACGCTGTCATACTTCTCAGGGACGTGCTGGCTTTACATCCAGTCGGTCACCCAGATCGGTCCATGTCATTAAATAACCTTGCGGCTGTGCTCTTCACCCGCTTCGAGCACCGAGGCAATGCCCAAGACTTGGATGACGCTGTCATGCTTCACAGGGACGCGCTGGCTTTACATCCAGTCGGTCACCCAGATCGGTCCATGTCATTACATAACCTTGCGAATGTGCTCTCCACCCGCTTCCAGCACCGAGGCAATGCCCAAGACTTGGATGACGCTGTCATGCTTCACAGGGACGCGCTGGCTTTACGTCTAGTCAGTCACCCAGATCGGTCCACGTCATTGAATGACCTTGCGATTGTGCTCTCCACCCGCTTCGAGCACCGAGGCAATGCCCAAGACTTGGATGACGCTGTCATGCTTCACAAGGATGTGCTGGCTTTACGTCCAGTCGGTCACCTAGATCGGTTCATGTCATTAAATAACCTTGCGAATGTGCTCTCCACCCGCTTCAGGCACCGAGGCAATGACCAAGACTTGGATGACGCCGTCATGCTTCACAGGGACGCGCTAGCTTTACGTCCAGTCGGTCACCCAGATCGGTTCATGTCATTAAATAACCTTGCGGATGTGCTCTCCACCCGCTTCAGGCACCGAGGCAATGACCAAGACTTGGATGACGCTGTCATGCTTCACAGGGACGCGCTAGCTTTACGTCCAGTCGGTCACCCAGGTTGGTCCATGTCATTAAATAACCTTGCGACTGTGCTCTCCACCCGCTTCGAGCACCGAGGCAATGACCAAGACTTGGATGACGCTGTCATGCTTCACAGGGACGCGCTGGCTTTACGTCCAGTCGGTCACCCAGATCGGTCCATGTCATTAAATAACCTTGCGAATGTGCTCTCCACCCGCTTCCATCACCGAGGCAATGATCAAGACTTGGATGACGCTGTCATGCTTCACAGGGACGCGCTGGCTTTACATCCAGTCGGTCACCCAGATCGGTCCTCGTCATTAAATAATCTTGCGAATGTGCTCTCCACCCGTCTCGGGCACCGAGGCAATGACCAAGACTTGGATGACGCTGTCAAGCTTCACAGGGAAGCGCTGGCTTTACATCCAGTTGGTCACCCAGATCGATCCTCGTCATTAAATAATCTTGCACATGTGCTCTACACCCGCTTCCAGCACCGAGGCAATGACCAAGACTTGGACGACGCTGTCATGCTTCACAGGGACGCGCTGGCTTTACGTCCCGTCGGTCACCCAGCTCGGCCTGACACATTAAATAACCTTGGGGGTATGCTCTGTACCCGCTTCAAGCGCCGACGCGATCGAGAAGACCTCCACGAGTCACAAGAGAATCTCCGCTGTGCATTGACTCTCTTGACGCAACATGATCCTCGTCTATTAACCGTCCATGGATCGCTAGCTATCGTCTATATGATGTTCCATCAATCGGGACTTAACGGCACTGGTGAACACATTGACAGTTCCGCTGCTGCCATGCATCATCTCCAGGCAGCAGCAAATGTTGTCTCTGGAGGTTTGCTACCTCGCCTGCGAGCAAGTCTACGCTGGGTTAACAAGGCCCACGAACATTCACATGCTACCGAACTGGAGGCTTATGCGACTTCCATGCAGCTCCTCGACACTTATATGTCCGCGACAGCTTCAGTATCATCTCGTCACGATGTCATGAAGGACTTTCCGAGTACGCTTGCCGTGGATGCTGCATCATGTGCGCTTCGTAGCGGTAATATGTGTCGCGCTGTCGAGTTGTTGGAACAAGGTAGGACTATCATTTGGACCCAGATGACACGACTACGCACGCCTCTTGACGGCCTCCAAGATCTCGGTGATCATGCAGTGTCCCTGATGAAGAAATTCAGACACTTCAGCTCCCTCCTTAATGCACCTCCTACGAATCATCCAGAAGGGACCCCAAGAGTCAATGTAGAAGCCGAAGCAAGCCGGTACCGACGTTTAGTAGAGGACTGGAATAGAGTTGTAGAAGAGATTCGTGATATCGAGGGCTTCTCTCGCTTTCTACTTCCCCCGTTGTTCTCCGATCTCCAAGATGCAGCTCGTGATGGGCCTATTGTCGTGCTCGTTGCAAGCGAGTCGTCTTGCGATGCCATTATTATCCCGCACAAGCAACCTCCGATCAGCATCGAACTCCGTATCAGTTTGGAGAAACTACAACATTTGGTGGTCAAACTCCAACGGGCAAGTCAACCACAGGCCACTCCCAAACCCCTCATGAAAGCTTTGACGGAGTTATGGGACGACGTCGTCCGCCCAGTGGTCGACAATTTGGGCGGATTTGCACCACCACGTTCCCGGATATGGTGGTGCCCTACGGGTGCCTTCAATTTCTTGCCGTTGCACGCTGCTGGCGCGTATAGGCGAGGCGGACAGTTGCTTTCGAAGCTCTATATCTCTTCATACACGCCATCGCTTACCGCCCTGATCAGGGCTCGCAGAAGTCATGATAGATCCCTGCCAATACCCTTTGTTGCCATCGGTCAGAACCACCCAGCCGGTCATTCATTCACTTTGGATTTTGTGGAGCCTGAGCTGGATTTGGTGCAGAAGCTTTTACCCCGTCCCCCAACTGTTTCCTTTACCAAGATAACGAGCGTTGATGCAACGAAATCGAGAGCACTGCATGCATTGCGAGACAATACTTGGCTCCATTTTTCGTGTCACGGGACGCAGAACCTTGATGAACCATTCAAGTCGGCCTTTCTCATGCGCGACCAACCGCTTTCACTCCTCGATATCTCACAAATGGATCTGTCTCGGCATGAATTTGCCTTTCTTTCTGCCTGTGAAACCGCAGTCGGTGATGTCAATACGCCTGACGAAGTCATACACCTGGCCGCTAGCCTTCAATTTGCTGGTGTGCAGAGTGTGATTGGGACATTATGGAGTGTCAACGACAGTACGGTGCAGCGCTTGGTCGAGGCATTCTACAAGAACTTATGCGGGGATGGCATAATGGATTCCAAGCGGGCTGCCCAAGCGCTGCACCAAGCGGTCCAGTCGTTGGCCGGTGACGAGAATATGCCCTTGGACCAGCGCATAGTGTTCATGCATATTGGCATATGATCAATTTCGTACGTCCCCCACCTTGTTAATCACCGCTTTCTTGATACCTTCTGACGCTATCGCGTGTAGCATCCAGCCGTGGCTTTTCGTTATTTCAAAGTTTGACACTGTATTAGTACCTTCCGGATCCCCAATATGTACACCTATAATTCCGACTTGTATTCTCCAGCCTGTTGCCTCAGAACAAAACGTGACCCCTTCTACATAATATGCACTAGTGATTTGTGCGTAAGAGTGAACAAGTTGTATCATTGGTTCATGTATGTACCACTCAGGGTACGAGCGAGCCAAATCATCAAGATCTGGAGACAAAATGGTGCAATGGTGGATATTTCTGCATGTGTGCGGTTGGATATATACCTGCCAGCGGCTTAATGTACGTACAATCGCTAGCACACTCTGACAAAGCAACAAATCAAACATGTATGCAATGCACCATGCTTGAGTTGATAGGAAGGAACCAATCATTCACGATGACCTGCATAAAACCTACAGCAAAAGAAAGAAAAGGAAGACAAATCAAGCATCAGATCAAGAACTCCTCGCGACAACAAGCGCTTACCATCACCACCGAACTGAAAATCATCGATCATCCCATCCTCCACTTCCTCCATCTCAAAATCATCGACGTCTTCATCCACTACGAGATCCCCTCCCTCCCAATCGTTCTCCTCATCCTCGCTATCGAGTCTCGCCCAGACCCAGCTTCGTGTTCTTGATTCAACGGCTATGAAAGTCGCATCAATCCCAATGGACGCATTGCCACCAATCCTGTCTCCTTCTGCCCACCCCATCGAAGCAAGCATCCTGAACCCAACATTCGTTTCTCCGATCTTTGGAGCAGCCTACGAACAGAGAATGTAAGAGCTGCATTTAATTCAAAATGTAGGAACCCCATACCTTGCCAACTTCGTCTCCGTCTTTGTGTCGAGGCATCTCATCATTTTCAAATCTGCCTCCGTGTCTCTTTATGACATTCCTGACTTTATGCTCATCAACAGCACGGGTCTTCGTGGACTTGATGAGAGTGATATATCTCCGAGCTTCCTTGCCTTTACTCTGACTCTTGAGGTTAAACGAGTTAGCAAGCTCATACTAAATAGTTACCAAGAGATTTTAATGTGTTCACTGGTTCACTGATGTTCTTGATGATCATCAATCATTGATCACTTGGTTGAAAGCGCACCCGAGGAGGGTTAGCTACCGTTACCGGCTTGCGATCAAGGTCAGGTCACTAATAATGTTGCCATTGTGCGACAAACTCGATGCAGGGTGGATGGCATGTAGGTCGTTCATGCTATTGGCGGATTTCCTATACACTAGGATCACGAAGAAGTAACAGAGAAGTACCTAGAGCGAGAAATGCAATCGCCATCAAGTAGTAATAGACCAACCATGCATCATGACCTTCCCGCATCGAATAAGAGAAGACCGAAGCTGCAGACGCTGGGGCAATGATCCTTGCTCCTGCGGCAACCATCTGGGCAATTCCATTGGTTGTCCCAATCGAGGCGCGATTGGGAGCAGCTGCTCGAATAAACAACGCCATGCAGGCTGTAGGTTCTTCTCAGTTAAGTACCATGCGTGAAGTACTGGGGTTAACATACGATAGCACATCATCAGGCTAGTCGTCAGCGCATGTTGCACGGCAACACAAAACCACACTATCAAACCCACTCCATGGACTCGGGCTAGAACATTGATCACTGGGAATAAAATGACGATAGGTATACCGGAGCTAACACCGGCGGTATGGATGGCTCCTGCGCCAAAGCGATCATTTAGACGAGCGTAGAAAAGTAGCTGGAATATGCCATGTGCGAGACCTGATGCCGCAAGTGTAGCGCCGATGCGAGGAGGATCAAGGGAAAGTCCACCGAGTTCAATCGGCGTCGCATAAAACAGAGGTAGGATCGAGCTAAATGCCATATATAATACAGCCATAGTGACGTAACTGGCTGTTACAGTCAGGACTTTTGGTGTTAGTGAGGCACGCAATGGAAGCGGCTTTGATGGAACTTGTTCAGAATTCGCTTCCCCAGAGCTGACCATGGCATTGTTCGATGGCATGGAATGCTGTGTATGCGATTGTCGCGAGAACCATCCTTTGAGCAAGCCCAAAAGTGGCGCACTTGTTGAAACGCTCTCATTACCACACTTAGTGTCATCCAGACATGATCTTTGAAAAATCAACCTCACCTCTTTGAAACGGAAATACGTGACTAGCCAAGCCACCGAGGCAAATATAGCCGGAACAGCGCATGGCAAGAGGTATGGGTAGGTTTTCAGGAGTTCTGATCGCCCAAATATATTAGGGAACCTATCTGCGGGTCGGGAGAGCGATCCCCCGACGAGTGGTCTAGAATTAGCATTGTCAATCCCACTCCCAGAGCAAGCAGATATATTGTAAACGCCTACCCAACTATGGTTCCCAGCATCAATGGGAGCGGCATGTAGCCGTATGCCTTCGGCAAGTTGGTTGTGTCAGTAATGTCCATCACCATGCTTTTGACGACACCATTACTCCCATTGAATGCCCCACAGAAAACACGACTGATCAATATGTCAGTAGTTGACGGTTATGGTCATTATTCAACACACAAACCTGATCACCAGACCGACAAATGTTTTCGACATTCCAAACGAGAACGTCGAAACCGCTATTGCGAATAGAGCGGTCAGTATCAAAGGCTTCCGCCCAATGTGATCTGACAGTTGACTCCAATGGAGAATAGTCAGTGCTTGAGCCATATAATACGATGATTGCTTGGAACGTATCAGGTAGGAACGCAGGACAGTGAAGGATTGCGACATGCTTACCAGGATGCCGACATAGTGTCCAACCTGGGATTCGTCTCCGTGGGTCACGCCAATGTCCCAGATTAGCTTCACAAAATTCCGGTCTTAGCCTCAAGTCCAAGCAGAGGGAATATACTAACTTGGGGAATAAATGGGGCAAGGGTCTGAAAAACAAGTGAGTCTGGAAACTGCAAGAACAATATGATCCAGAATTGATCCCAGGGCAGAGGTGTGCTGGTCATCGGTTGCTCTGGCTGTTGCAGAAGAGAAGTCTCCTCATCATCCTGACGCGCAATCATGGTGGTACGAGATGAAGACGAGGGGTGCGACCTGCTGAACCCATTTCAATGAGCTGGCCGTTGATCGGGCTCATCAATGATAAGTAGTCCAAGGACATGATGCACCTATTTCGGTCCTTGGAACCTTCTTCATTCTTGGAAGGTCACAAGTTAACATCCCCCTATGTCCGCTCCCTTGGAAAACCCTTTTGAGATTGGAAAGAGTCAAATCTTCTGAAAAAAATAAATGCAAGCAGCAGTTTAATGGCATTACGGACGCACCACAACCACTGTCCAGATACGGCCAGTAGAGTTCAGGACAGTGAGGTGAGGACAGTGAGTTTGAGGGAGGTAAGTTTCAAATGTTCGGCAGGAACATAAGTTAGTGTTCGAACTCCGTTCGTGACCTAACACTATTAATGTATTGAGATCAAGCTTGAACCTACTATCTAGATTCTAGGACATGTGCATGTGATACTATCTCTTGCCCAGAGTTGCAAAATTTTTGACCCGTTTTTTATAACACAACAACTACACAACATTAAAATAAAGCAACAACATGAGCAAGTAGGATTCAGTACATACTGTAAGGCTCTGCAAAAAAAAATGTAGAAAAATGTTAAGGCTACGTTGCCAGAGAGAAGCCGGTGCGAAACAGTGTTTGAGCACAGAGTTGCAAAAATTCTCACCCGCAAAGAAGTCGTCGCGTCACACCATGTCACACCGCCGCTTTTACTCTCCGATGCCGTCAAGCACAATTGAGCGAAAATGGGTCCCGAATTGTGCAAGTATTGGCCGAGTTGCCGAGCAGCGATTTATGACTCCGAACACAATCTCACACCTCCTGTCACGTCTTGCATCTCAATGGTACAACATTTGTGTCTCTCAACACCACTCAGTTATCATGTCAGAAAAAATTAGAGTGATATTAGAAGGCAATGGGAAACCGGTAGTAAAATTCCTGATTTTTTTTAGCGCATGTGGTGGCTTCCCTCCGATGGATTGGCGTGGAAAGTGCACATTCTTAGCAGTGTTTCGCTGCCGCAAGTACTTCTCGTCCATTTTTTGTAGAATAAAAAATACACACAGTAAGCTATCAATCAATCATCCTCTAGAATCATTGTGCTAAGGAAAAGAGTGAAATATGAGTGTGCTACATCGTGATTTGCAACTCCGGGCCATTTTGCAACTCTGGGCAAGAGATAGTAGACCAAGCGATTGATTAGACGAAAAAGCTTGATGAAGAGCGCAGAGGGACTTTGCGGTGCCGTGACCGCCTGATATGATCGTCGCTATAATCAAGTTAATAGTAGGCCCATCAGAAACGCCCAGCCTGGCAAGTTGATCACGAGACACCTATATATCCTCTTTCCAGAGCTAGATCTTCCTCCCAAGAGTGCGCGTCCATCGCAACATGGAAACCATATTTGAAGCTCAATGATGTTGCACTAGGAAAACTAGTAAGATGTATACAATTCAAGAGTCCAATGTTCAAAGTTCAGGAAGATATCTCCGTCGTCGGGCCTAATAATGAACTGCAGTATATGATGTCCCATGTGGTAGACTGTGGACTGCATAAGAAACGTTTGAAAACCGTACCTAATACATAATTGGCCAGGACACTGTAAAAGAATCGACGCATCGAATGAGTATGAAAGCGCAAATAAACATCTATATCGCGAGGGTGTGGGGATAATAAAAGTTCGAATCCAAACGAAATTTGGGGCCTGCTGTTTAACTATCCATTAGAAATTGCCATGCATACCCTGCCACCCTCCATAAGCCCCGTTGCTCATGAACGGTGGCTGCTGCTGCTGTGCTACAAATCCTGGTGTAGCCGCAAATGGCGGCTGCGGGGAGTACTGTTGTTGAATTGCTTGTGATTGCATTTGTGCATACATGAAGCTGGGATCTTGCATATGACCAAGCACCGGCTGAGAGGGTTGCGCAAATGATTGAGCGAAGTAATTCTGCTGAGACAGGGGTGTTGCAGCAGGTGTCCCGGCACTCATCTGTGGAGGAAACGAGTTGAGAGTGTTAGAAGATGAATAGCCCGAAAATTGATGTTGGAACGGAGTCTGTGGACTTGCGAGTGAGGTCGCACTAGCAGCTCCGATATGCGTGGGCACTGTAGCTGAAGTGGTATTCCTCATCGATGGCATCGACGAAGGCATCATGTGAGAACCCTGAAAAGTCGAGAACGGAGTGGGCAAGCCATCAAGAGGTGTCTGGGCAAGGGGCATAGCGTGGGGCTGGGAAGGAAGCGATGGGAAACCGGAGTTCTGTAATTGGTATTGCAACGGAAGAGAAGACATGTGCGAAGGGTCTTGTAATGAGATTAAATCATCCCAAACCTGGTTTCCCGGAGGCTTCTGGATCGGAATAGAGGAGTTGGGTGTAGACAATGGCTGTGAGATGGATCTCGCGGGTTGCACGGGTGTAGACCCCAGAGATGATGCACCAGGAAGGAAATTAAACGCTCCAGGACCTCCATGGGTGACATTTTTGGCAGGGACTGGGGGAGGAACAGGAGAGGATTTGCGTTTAAATGGTACAGGGTCCGTTGCAGGAGTTGACTTCGGCCGTATATTAACAGCGTTGGAAGATGGACGAGCAGGGGGGACGAATTTGGAAGGTTTGCAGTTCATGAACCACTTAAATTCGTACTTGGCTGTTGGAAGACATCAGACATAGGAAGACAAATTCCCAGAAGACTCGCGGACCTCGAATGAACTTCTCGATTTCGCTATCTCGTTCTGCTTCCATCATGTTGGTGGGTGGGGGGTGGCGAGCTTCATCAGGATTGTAGAGGGCATTTGATGTTATATTTCCGTTTCGCTTCATGACCTGTGAACAAGAAAAGAATTTCTCCGAGCTTAATATCTGGAATCAGTGGATACGAAGATGCAGCCTACTTCGACCTGTTCTTTGGTCCACGCGTCCAGGGTGATGCTCTTTCTGTGCGGAATTGCTAGTCAATAGTTGAAATTTGAAAGGTGCATATTTCTGACGCACACTTTCGTGATATGGGTACCAAGCTTGCGATGGATGCTCGCGCAGTTGACGCTGTATCTGATGAACGTCTGCAAGTACACGACGGAATTGCGTATAATACATACCATATGAAGATGCCCAAATTGTGAGAAGCCCATCGCGGGTTCCGCGACTTGCAATCTGCGCAAGTGTCTTGAATATTAATGAGCTCATGACTGACTGAGTAATTTCTGAGAAGTAGCATTACCGTTCCCTGGTTGGGTTGCTAACTCCAGCAAAGTACGCTGGTTTCTCTCAGTTGTGATTTTAGAGACTCCCGACGACATCGTTGCAGTGAAAAGAGAAAGGTTGTTTGACCTGGACACCGTGACTGTTCGGGTGGAATTGTATTAGGGTGTTATGTAATACAATCGGCGCTTCGAGAATACCACTGGTGCTAGACGTTTAACATCTCTTCAATGATCATCGATCATCTCGCAATCGAGACTGAAACTCAATTGAGGAGAACTTGCTGCGACTCACTTCCATGTGAAGCCCACAACGAGTCTCCTGCTTTTACTATGCTTACTTGCTCCACAGGGACAGAACTAATTCCTCAGAACAAAGCCCACTACGATCTGATACCGACGAGACTAGTGGAGAAGAAACCGCGTTACGTAGTTTCTTCGCCTTTCCATTCTCCTCGGACGATGTTTATCAGGTTGGTGATTACTTTCTGAGACGCACATGTCTTCTTTACCTATAATTACTTGGCAAGCAAGGTCTAGCGGACTTACTTGCGCACGGTGCACTGAGTGGGAAGACAGACGTCGAGAAGGCTGAAATCATCCTCCGAACGCAGCTGTTTTACTTCAACAGAGTGGTCGACCAAAACTTGACCGTAGAGGATGTTCGGTCCTATCAGAATACCGCGGGCTCCCAAAACATCACTGGGACCATGGATTTGTCACCTCCGTCCTCGAACTACCGAGACGACGAAACTCGCCTGCTGACGTTCGCCGAGCTGACGGCGCTGATACAACAGGGGAAGACAGATAGCATTCCCAATAACAAAGTCATCCCCGATACGCTTCATGTAAGTCTGTCGCACGATCAGACATTACATATATGGTTATCACGCCCGTCCAGGACGCACCTCCCAGTACTTCTATAGCTTTGGCGCGGAAGAAACCCTGGGAAGTCGAGAACTAAAATTCTGACGTGTGAGCCTTCGAATTGTGCAAATGACGAAAACATACGTTTGTAATGATTACTTTCATTAACCGACACACATGTAGTGAGTGGTTATTTTTTGCTCGCAGCATATTGATCCTTCAATGAAGGCTTCAGCTTCCGTTGCCGACATTATTATGATTGATGCATCTTCACTCGCTTGAAATATTGGCCTCAATTTGCTACTCATGTCGACGTCTGTCAAGCATTCACAAACCCACTCTATGTTTGTCTCATCATCAAACCATGGGCGCATTTTGATATGTTCAGACGAGATAGCATTACGTGTTTATATGGGATCCAGGTTTGCACGGACGTGAGTGTTTTCGGCAAGTGGAAAAGTGTCGTTATTTATTCTTCGGTGCCACAAATGTCGATGCTTACAAAGTCACTATTCTTAACAACAGCATGTCAAGCAATGACAGCGTTTGCCTGTGCACCTTCTGATTCGCACCGCTTGCAAAGATCCGACAGTCATGGATAACATATTGCATATCCTGCATAATTGCATGAAGCCAAATAACACGATGGTCAATAGTATGTGCCTAAATTATCCCAACGCTCCGCCAACGAATACGGTAAGCTCTAACTGGAATACTTGTGACAGGAGTACAATCCGCTGCAATGATACAGTGTCCCAAAATACACTTATCATTTCACCCTCTATACGTGTTTTGCCCTGAATGTCCCTGATATAGTTATCCCTCTCCACCCTCCGTCCAGAGCCGAGGAACTCGATGACGGCAAGCGGCCACTCCCTCGGCCGCTTATGACCCGAAGTTACTTTCCTCCTAGCTTTTCTGATATCCACTGCATTGACACATGCTTGTCGATATGATATCCTTGAACTTTCCGCAGAGCGGCTATACCCTCCATGACCCAGTTGTGAGTGCTCCAGGAAGCATCCCCTCGAACGACAGGAATGGACGCGAGCGTGGTGTGGAGCGTATGTAGTTTCTCGGAGTCCACGAGTCCTATAGGTGCCCTCCCCAAATAATCATTCTCCCCATCTTTGAGTGTGACTGATTGTGGTGCTTCGAGGCTGTAGTCAGCAGCCGAGCCAGCGATTTGATAGACCAAGGAATGGCTTGATGGTGTGAATACGACGACTATTGCCCATTTGGCTTTTGAGGATGATTGACCAAAACGGGCGACAGCCACTTCATAGAACGGAGGCATCGGGTGGGGGACGGATATGCAAGTAAGTGGGTTGGCAACTTTTGAGTATGTGTCGGGGACGAGGAGAATGTTCCGTTCCTGCTGTTGATGGGAGGAGATGGATTGCTGGGTAGGACTTTGAAGCTTTTATAACAATTCCCCGAGCTAACGTGTTCTATTGACAATCAAACCCGTTCAAGCATGCAAGAATAAGATATCTCAGCACTAGATTTTGGTGGCCATGTAGCATGGGCTTGCATCCAAGATTGGTCGCTTAATCTATCCCGAAAAAGTCTTATTGAAAGATTCCAGGGCACGAACACAAGCTTAAGCAAAGTTGCGATGGCGTAGGAGAAATGACTTTACCAAAAGGTACCCTCAAGCGTCTTCGATCCGTCAGATTCATTTATGGATGGTCCGAATCGAATCAAGCTGAAGCGAAAGTGCGGGATGTCAGATTCACTGGCAGAACCGTGGCTGCCCTTCTTCGATAATGAAGGAAGTCGTTTGTCCACTTCCAGCCTCCGGTGAATACAACTCTACGAAAGATGCGATGCAGGGCATTACTAGGTGTCTCGAGATTCCATGTGGTGGGAGCTCTTGCAAGGATGCTCTCTGGAACTCGATCATATAAATAGCTTATGGAGCTCTGGAGGACGGCGTCAATCGTTTGGCCGTGAGGAAAGACAGCTCTTACCGCAGTCAGAACAAACGTATTCTCCCATCAAGGGGAAAAGTGCCGCATAGATTTCTTTAATTGCGCATAATTTAGCCCTATCAGCGGCTGATCACGGTGTCAATGGATCCGGAATCTGATACGGGCTTTGCCAGCCCACAGCGAGGACAGCTAAGCGGGAATATCCATACGAAGGACACGACGCATTCTAGACCCGATGGTGGCGTATTCGAGTGTCTTGACGGAGTCCAAGTTGTGACGAGATGAACGTCAGACAAAGTGCGGATCTTGAACCGCATACTAGCGGCTTAGCACGCCTCACCATCCTACTCTCACGGTGCAGAGCTTATCACGTAATCAAAACACACTCCAATCAAGGTTATGTGAGTCAGTCTCACGGTTGCTCATCATCGCAGACGACTTTTGAGCGCTGGTTCTCTGGATTTTGTCTTCGACGTCCGTGAAGGTAGAACAAAAAAAATGGACACATAGTCCATCTAGACGCGCTCACCCTATATACAATGTCCGATTCCGCATCCCAGCTTGCAAGGTGCCTGGCTGCTATCTTAACATTTCTTTGATCCACAACTGATCCTCAACTTAGTGAGGCAAAATCAACCCACCAAAGTCTGAAAGAGCTTCTCAAAACTCGCCTTCCATGGGATAAAGAGGTTGAGTTTCAAAGGAAGAGGTATTCCCATCCAAATATCCTTTTTCGCAACACGTTTCCCTGACACTAATCCGTAGTCTCCGACGTCTGTATCTTCGCCTATTATTCGTCGATCCATACGCAAAAGAATCCAAAGATGCCGAGACTCATCTTTGGATGCAGACCTCTTATCAATTCATTTCAAACTACAAGCAGAGTGTCGCAACTCTCGATCGGACCCTGCAATCCGCGCCCCGCCATCAGCCCAGGCAGAGTAATCATGGCCCGGTGGAGTATCGCAAACTGATGCAACGTTTCCGCCAGTTTCTTGCTGAAGAAGAGAAATTTTGGACACAACTGGTAGCTCGATATCAGCGCTCCTTCTCCCTTCACGAAGCACAGCATATACTCTCTACCTTGAACATTGCGATTCCAGATGACCTTGGTGCTCCCAATGGCTCCATTGGGGTACACGAAGGTGTCCCAAACTCCGGTTTCGGTCGCAACCAATTTCAATTCCCCCTCGAAGGCAATACGCCTTCTCCTACCAGCTCTGCCGAACGTGAAACAAATCTCGCCATCCTCAGCAAGGCTATAGTATGTTTGGGTGACATGGAACGATATCGGGAGCTTTACAACGAAGGTGGAGGGCGTCCTAGAGCCGGTCAGGAAGATGGCACAGGGTCTGCTAGGAGGGGTGGCCGCAACAGGAGAGGTGGCGCACCAGGCTTTGATTCGGTACCACGCGCCAGGAACTACGACAAAGCTGTCCAGTGCTACGAACAAGCGCGCCGTTTGGTCCCTTCGGAGGGCAATCCATCCCATCAGCTAGCCATTCTCGCTTTCTATCAGAATGACATGTTCAGTTCGCTTCTCCATTACTATAGAGCGCTCTGCGTTCGTCAGCCTTATGACACCGCATCTGAGAATGTCAAGAAAATTCTCAATAAATCGCTCGATCAGCACGCCAAGAGGACACGGGAAGGGGTGCAAGCCGCACCCGAGATTGGTGATTTACCGCCACGCTTAAGAGTCGAGTCCTTTAAGGAGAAAGTTGTGCTATTGCATGCATTATGGCGATTAGGTTCAGATAAGTGAGTCATTGAATTCGGTTGATAATATGAGTTGTCAAGATGAAATAATAATTCCGCACCACCCTTTAGATCAAGGTTAAATCCCATTGTGCACGCAGCAGATGTCGTCAAGGATTTCGCCGCTCTTGTTGCAGAGCGCGTTCTTCCAATTGAAAACGTGACCAAGGTCATTGTTCTCTCTGAGGGAGCATTATGGAAACATATCATGATCCGGGACACGTCTCCGCCTTCGAATAGGAGATCCGGTGGGATTCCTGACCCAGCTACCGTCGAATCCCAGATTCTGAAGCATATTCTTGCCATTCATCAATCTCTCCTGAAGATAGGCGCCGGTGAACTTGACATTCCACCAGAAGACACAACTGAGAACGACCTTGCGCAGTGTATCACAGCGGCATTCAGGCGCACTCTACCTGCGTTGCGTGTTGCGAGCAAGTGGTTGTTAGCAAATCTCAAATATGTGGCGCGTACCACATCCCCTGCGGGGTCAAGCCAAGTCGAAGAAACTCCAGGAGTAGTCAACTCAGACATGCCAGCCTTTTGGGAGGATTACTTGCGTTTTTACAACGCCCTCAAAAGGTTATTCCCAATAGAGAAGCTACCTTCGCTGCTCTCTCCGCTGGAAGAGGATGAGGATCTTAGGGGCTTTCTTCCATTGCGAAACCTCATGATTGGCGATACTCCTATGATCGCAGACGTTGATGCGCGCAGGGGGAACGGATTGACCACTGCGGGGCCACAGGGCCGTGACAGCGTTCACCCAAACGAAGAACAGCTAATGAGGATATCCGATTTGCTCAAAGATGTCCGGAAGCTCGCGGAATCACCGGTGAGAGCCGATTGCTCTGTTTTTGAATTAATTAAATTTACCTTACCGTAGGATTCTCCGATCCACTTGCAGGGTGATACTTTCAAGTCTCTGCTTGAACCCACCGGAACTGCACCTGTGGCTCAGGCTCAGGCAATCGGTGCGGATGCTGTACAAGGGCTTATTACGCCTGTAGTCTCGCGTCCTGATGCTTTCGACTTGATGCCATTGGAGACTTATGCGGATGAGGATGCTATGACTGATACAGGACGTACTGACAACGATGATCCGATTGAAGATGCATTCAGAACCGTACTGAACGCTGAGGTACAAGATGAAGGTGATGAACTGGACGATGACGTCGTAGTTTGGGACCCAAGGTAAAAGAGTGCCTATTTCATTTCCATGGATCTGATGTTATTTCTAGGGCTTCCACTTCGCCGGTGGGTGTGGTATCGGCCCTGCCGATGACACCTATATTGCCATCAAGCATGATAAACGGCAACTTCATCAGCCCCAGTGCATCCTCTATTGTGTCCCCAGGCCGCGCGGCCCCGCCATCGCCACCTTCTGCCTTCACAGGAACGACAGCTCAAGATTTATTAAACAGTTTCTCCAAAGCTGGTGGTGACATTGCACGATCTCCCCGCCGTCAGCCTATTGCACCCCCATCTCAATTTCTTTTCGGCTCTGGGCCCGAGAACATATGGTCAACGACTCGTGATCAGAACCCGCCAAATCTTAGTCCCAGGCCTGCATACAGTGTCGAGCACAATGTATCGACGCCAAACAACCGCGCTATACACCCCTCTAACCGACCTCCGCCCCTGTCCTCTTTTGCACATTCACAATCCCCGTGGTCGCCTTCCTTTGAGTTTACGCACGATCCGTCAAACATTCACACAAATCACTCCGCTTCACAACCATCCGATCCCGGGCACCACCATTCGCTATACTCGGCTAATACAATTCAGAGCTCCCCTTCATATCAGGCTGCAGCATATAGTGGAGTGAGTCATCAACCCTTTGCGTACCCACAGGAGTCGTTGTACTTGAATGCGGAGATCGCTCCCGCTGCTCTTCCACCACAATCGGGGCTGCACTATCAACAGGGTGGATTCAACCTCTCTCCTTCAGTGCAGCAGCAGTATCCTCGGCCGATGCAGCATTATTCGACTTCGTCCATTTGGGGAAATATCGGGTGATGACCACCATCTGGTTGTCGTCGTTTAACTGAGACATTGCCACATGCTCGCGGATAGATACAACACGCTTGTGCAGAGCCCGCTAGCGGCCTGCATTCGTTATCACCGAGTCCAAGCCGGAGGGTGCGAGATGCCATTCCAGACCGTAGCAGAGTTGCACCTCCTGATCAAGGAGTATTAGTGACTGGTACTTTAAGGCCAAATGCGCCTTGAGAACAATCAGAAGTTTCATCTATCTATTTCATGCCTGTCAAACCTATTTTGTTTCTTCTTTCATAGCCGTGTCGTTTCGTTTCGTTCTCAGATCTGTATTATACTGCTTCAGTTTTCGTACTGTAGCATGTCATGATTCGGTCTTTAAAGCGTAAATTTTACATATGATCAGACTTTGACCCCCGTTTCGAGTTTTGTCATGTACTTGATATGTATACGTCTACTTGTTCGTGCTATTAGTGTCCGTGTCGTGCGTCATGCGGCGGCGTGTATATTGATTCATTATCTGCCTCGATGCCAATTTCCCGGGGGGAACATTTGACGTGTCAATGATGTCCATATGAATCCAGGCTGATGTGGGACGCTATCAGGTGCTCGGTGTACTGAAATGGTCAAATGATAGATAATGCATATGACTCTTACCCCTGTTGGTTCAAGCAGAGAATGAAATCATCAAGGGAAAATAAGATTCATAAACTGAAATGCATCGTCATTCGCAAAAAAATGTTTCTAACTCTATGCAGGAAAGTACAACCCAGGAGATCAAGTACAAACTCGGGAGGAACAAAGGATATCAAGGGTACAAGAAGATATTAGCACTGTGTCCATAAGCAGCTAAGAGGGTTTATATGTCCGTCCTATGGATGATATATCCTTTCTGGGGCTGAATGAAAATGGGGGTGGATCCTAAAGGCGTTCGCCACGGCCGATGACAGTCACCTGGACAAGAACGTGCATCAGTATAGGAAGGGCGGACATCTAATCCAAAAACCACCCACCTGGAAGCCGATTGACCTGAGCTTTTCTGCATCCACGAGCAACCGCCCATCAAAGACAAACGCAGGCTTGTTCATGCCCGCGTACACAGCTTGCCAGTCGATCGTCTTGAATTCGGCCCACTCGGTGGCGATGATGACAGCTTCCGCATTCTTGCAGGCTTCCAATGCAGAAGAGCAGATGAACACTTGGCGTTGGACTTGGCAAAGCATGCATGAGTTTACAAGACGTGACATGTAAAGAAAATCGTGGGGCTTACTCGTCGCAAGTGGCACGTCAGGGCTAGCCTCGTTGAGATCTGCCCATATCTGGTTCGCCTCTACTTGGGGGTCGTAGATGTTGACAAGGGCCCTTTCCTGCTGGAAGTCGCGGATAAGCGTGATGGCAGCTGACTCCCGGGTGTCGCCTGTGTCAGCCTTGAAGGCAAAGCCAAGAACAGCAATGCGCTACAACGGGTTAAAGTCGATTTTTGGCAGATGCGCAAGAGAAGTTGTGTACCTTGCCAGTGATAGTGTTGAACAGAGTATCCACGACCCGCTTACTGAACCTCCTCTTCTGGTATTCGTTCATCGTTACCACCTGCTTCCAGTACTCAGCTACTTCCTTTAAATTAAGACTCTCTGATAGGTAGACAAGATTGAGAATGTCCTTCTGGAAGCAACTACCTCCGAAACCAACGGATGCACGGAGGAATTTCGGGCCAATGCGCGAGTCCTGTCCGATGGAGTGAGCGACTTCGGCGATGTTGGCACCTGTGGCTTCGCAGATGGCGGAAAGTGCGTTGATGGAGCTGATGCGCTGCGCAAGCATGGCGTTCGCAGCCAGCTTCGAGAGCTCGGAAGACCACAAGCCGACAGTCAAAATCCTTTCTTTGCTATATGGTCGGTCAGCATAACATCAAATCCGCACTGCTACGGCTACACTCACGGCACCCAATTCTGATAAACCTCACATAGCGCCTGGCACGCCTCCTTACCCTCCTGGGTCTGCAAAGAACCGATAAGCACGCGATCAGGAGCAAAAAGATCGCCGATGGCGGTTCCCTCAGCGAGGAACTCGGGGTTGGAGAGGATGTCGAAGCGTGCGTTGGGCTTGCTGTTGGCATCGAGGATGGTGCGCATGGACTCTGCGGTCCTGCAAGGTACGGTAGATTTCTCGACGACGATCTTTGATGACGTGGCCGTGGCTGCGATGCGCCGAGTAGCGAGCTCGACGTAGCTAAGCTCCAGTTCATCAGCACACGATCATATAACGGGAGGACAGATGCAACGTCGAAAACTCACTTCAAGTCTGCGGCGAAACCAGCACCGACACCGCTCTTTTTGGTCGGAGTGTTAACAGATACGAAGATGAGGTCTGCATCCTGGATGCCCTTATCGACATCGGTGCTGAAGAAAAGGTTGCGTCCGCGAGCCTTGCGAACGACATCCTCCAGACCAGGCTCATATATGGGAAGGTTGAAGTCTGGCGAGTTCCAGGCATCGATGCGGGCTTGATTCAAGTCAACGATGGTGACCCGGATGTGAGGGCATTTCAGTGCGATCACTGCGCAGGTTGGACCGCCTGCAAAACAAGAGTAAACTCGAGGTGTTCAAAAGCGAGCGATCCTGTGAAGCAGCTGCTCACCGACGTATCCAGCACCGACTAGAAGTGATAAGTAAGAAGATAAATATAGGAGATACTAACTTAGGACTTACTGCAGCAGATTTGCTTGACTCTGGGCATTGTGGTTGTAGATCGAAAGAAGGGCTGGGTTGACTGAGAGCTTGGTATCGCGATTCACTTATTAAGTAGGCCGTTGACCTTGAGGGAGAGTGGCGTTACGCGGTGAAGCGAGTTTGAGTGTTGCCGTCGTGGACAGAACGTCATTCTAGGACCCAGGTACCAGTCACCGCTTGCCAATGGCCCTCATGACACGATTTCACTCTTTTATCAATTAAAAACATCAATGATTGAGCTGCTTTTTGTACGTCCCACTCGACGAACAGGCCTGCAAAGGACCAACAAACGAAAAAAACGTGGCGAGGAAGCACCGGGCGGAGTAGAAGGCCGAGAGCTCGAGGGAAGTTTGATGGCCAAGTGTAAATGCCCAGTGCGTACCACCTGCCGCTTCCCCACATGCTGCTATGTTCCCCAAGCTTCTACGCAGCTACCAGTCGAGGATTGACGATAGCCAACCTAGCAGTCTCCCCTAGGCAGATCAGAATTCAAGAAAGCCGTTCCTTCTGTATTAGGACAAGACCGTAACATTAAGGGTCTATCGACGGTGCGTGTCTTCGCCTTTATGTCACCTTGACCTCGAACATGGCGGCCGCATCTCTAAAGACGCAAGGCATATCTCCTTTCACGCATATCAATCGCGATTTCCGTCCCACACTTGCCTTGTAGACGGGTCCAGTCTAGTGAGCGCTGCGGAGAGCAAAAAGTCAGCCATGCTGCCGGTACCATGTGCCGAGATGTGATAAGACCAGATTAAGTACGGGAGATACAAAAGATTACTGAAAATAATGGTAACTTGCAGCCTGGACTCAATGGAGCACTGTCGAATCACATGGGCGTGATGTCAAGATCAAGTGTTCTGATGAGCAGATGGGCGAATATCAGATGAATACGACGTAGTAGAACTAAACACGTGCAATATGAATGAAAACAATGAACGGCACTTGAGCGCCCAGGTAGCCTTCGTACAGTCCACGACAGTGCCTTCTTTGAACATGTTCTCGCAAAATGCTTCGAAACATGTTCATTCCACCAACAGGCCTGGTACAGTAACGCTCTGGAACCACGAAAATTGCGGACAAACTATGAGGTGGATGACTTAGCCGAGTGTCTCCTCACACCGACAAGGACGCGAATGCGAGCGGGGTTCTTCATGATCACCAACCAATGGAACGGTAGAAGTGCTCAGCCTCGAAAAATGTGGTCCAGTCTACTGAGCTGAGAGGATGATCGAGAGCGTTGTGAAAACCAAAGAGACCATTTGCGCAAGTATGACAGCTTTTCACCATCACATTTTTCTGTGTTTTGAACTCATAGAAAAATCATGATGGTGAATGGAGAGAAATGATGTTTGAGTGGCTGTGCTGAGGACCTGGGCAACAAGTTGGGTATTTGAAATGACGTTCGGCGGTTCCATCAATTTCCATGTCCCAGGTATTCATTAACCTCTATGATGATAATATCCCTCTCATCAGAACAGTCATTAGTGAAGAGGATCAGGTAGGAGACACATCCATTCAGAGTTCTTCCCTCTCAAAAAATCTCACAAGATTGATCTAGTCTTTTCATCTATTAACCGTGATGAATATGTTTTGATCTACATACTCCTTTGAAGGCAGGTGGGGGGAACAGATATCTACAATTCTTCTTACACGCCAAACCTTTGGCTCTAGATCAGATCGGACCCTGGCAGAAGACGACGTTCTTTCTTTCGCGGCGACCGGAGAAGATCAACCGTGACAAGATGCAGGCCCACCTCTCTGGAGATGAAGCGTAAGCCCCACAGGTACACTTGACCCTGGGAGCTTTGTGGCGCAAAACAATTACAATGCACCTTTCGCCGCCAGGGATAAATCTCTTATGCTGCTTGATATCCCGAAGCTAATTTTATTGCCGTCTCACACTGCCGGCGGTCATTAGCAAAACTCCCTATGAAGTCGGTAATTGGCCTGTAGTTCAAGTGAGTCATTGGCACTCCGTGGGTGGTTGATGATGACTCTCGCACAGCAAGTTGCAGCATGTCCTTGTAGGAAGGTCATTCTTATTCAAGTTGGCGTGCAGTCTCTACTCGCATCACTTTCATCTGTTACAGTCTTGCATCCAAGCTAGCCTCCCTGGATTCTGATGTAGGATCATACTTTTCTACTCTAACTTTTGATCCTCTTGTGTGGTAGCCTTCGACAGACTGACAATTAGAAGACTTTACCTCCGCCTCCTGTGTCAAAAAGCACCTGGGACCTCTGTTCAAGCCAAGTGGAGCCTCATGAGGAAGCACTACCGTTCCATTGTCCTTCCAAATCTCCTCGTTGAACTTTGTCTTCACACGGACAGCATGGCTATATTCGCACTCGGTTTCATTAAATTGTTCAACGACTGCAATACAGCCCCTGGATCTCATTTTGGCACTCGCACGGCGTTTTTTTTTCCGGCAAGATGCACAGAACACTTGTCGAAACCGGCATCGTCAATGGCTTCACACGTGCGAACAAAGAGAATACGGGCGCCGCCATCAAGGGCCTCCGTCACACCGCGCTCCGCTCTCTTCGTCGCCACTATGCTATGGTATGCAGTGGATATGAGCCGCAGTAGAAGCTACCCAAAGGGAATCATGGTATACTGGTTCTGGACTCATCTACCATTTCACGGAATGTTTCGAAACGATGTCACCGCGCTAGCCGGCGAAGAATAGACACCATTGATATTACTGTTACAGCTGCCCCCTAGTGCCCACACAGTTAATGAACGCACCCGTCTAGCATAAACACTAGCGTACTACTTAAAGTAGTGCGCGAGAGGCCCCAAGTGTGACTCCAACCTTCTCTTGGCAACTCATCGCTTTCATGGCAGCCACATACCAAGTTGCTGGTCTCAATCTCCTCCAGGCAAATAAAACAAAAGCAACATAACCATTGGACCAGGGTGGTCGGGTGCAGGTCCTCCGCGGGAGTGCTGGGGTCCTGGCGCAGTGGCCGGAGTCCTGGCTCGTAGGTAGTCGCTACTCCATGTTGTAGTCGGTCCTCGATAGATAGAGCCGTCGCCTCCTGTTATAGAGGTTTGGCCTTGGTTTCCCTTGCAGTCCGTGCCGGTCCACCATTTTCTAAAAGCGTTATTAGGAGGAAAAACATGGGTATTAAATTCGCAAGACATAAAGTATGGGGTAAACGTTCCAAGTCCAAAAAATAAATAATAAAGAAGTCCATTGTCGAACACACGACGCGCAACAAGGACATCAAGGCGACAAAGCTTGAAACAACAGGGAAAACAGTCTTCCACGACTGAACACAAGAAATGAAGCAAGGAGGGAAACGGAGGGATAGATGTGCGAAACTATGCACTGGTTTTTCATCCTGCGGCGCGTTAACGCAGCACAAGGACTTTCGGATTTTCTGGGGCAAGGGTCGAAAGGGCGAGGGGAGGGGGAAAAAGGACCGATGCCAAAGTATGCCGAGGTCGAAGAAGGGGTGGGAGGCGTAAAACGAGCGACCTGGCGAGAAAAAAACAGCAACCACTCTAAAGAAAACTCACAACTCAACGCCAAAACAAGCAGCGAACGGGGACGAGAAAACGTGGAATAAAGAATGCCCCGGGCCAAATGTGGAAGACAGGATCCGCTGAAGAGGTGTCGCACTTGATGTACCAGTAGCACCCGGTGCTAGGGACGAATTAAGATGTGCGAGAAAGAGAAATATGAAGATGCTGTGAAGACAAGAGAGCAGGCGACCAAGATAAAGCAGGGTGAAGACAAGAGAGCAGGCGGCAAAGATGAAGCAGGGTATAGGAAAGAGCAGAACAAGCACCGGATGCAGATTCGAGAGATCCAAGGGTATAGGGCCTAACCGGCGAAGCAGAATGATCCAGGATAACAACCAGCAGTGAAACAGGGGAGGGCCTCGGGGGTACAGCGACAGCGCCTAGGCAGTGAGGTCAAGGGTCTTACGTTCATCCCCGACCATTTCATGAGCACTAGGAATAGGATGCCAGAGGCGACTGATCCATCGCTTGAAGCCCGAGGTTCGAGACGGGGAGGCAATTCCCTTTGGTGACAGATGCGTGGGGGACGCAACGAGGGTCGCATTAGGTGACGCGGTGGCGCGAGAAGGCAATGGAGTAACGCGTAGATTCCTCCGCCCCGGGCGAGGCCTCTCTCCTCGATCGATACGGCTGATGAAAGACTCCAGGCGTCGCACAGGAACTGGACCGGAATAATTGTCGCATGGCTGAGGTTGCGGAACACCTTGGTCCAGAGGTGCATTACGACGCATGAAATGGCGGAACGACCAATTCGATGAAGGGCACGAGATCTCGGCGGCCCCAGAAGCCCAATTAGCACGAATTTCGTCGCCGTCCACCAACGTTGTCACGGTCGTTGCACAGGCAGGACGGGCGGCTTGCTGCTCCTTCTTTTCAGGCGCTGGTCGGCGGGAGAAGAGCTTAGCGGCAATTTTCTGAAGACCTTGAATGCCACTCTTAGCCTTGACTCTCCACAAAGCTTGAGCACGGTGGCGCTCGCGCTTCAGCGCCGGGGAAATGAAGTTGAAGTTGGGCAGCGGATCGTTCGATGGTTCACATTGGCCGAGCGAGATCGGAACTGTGGTTGTTGTCGTGTCTTTCTGATCGAACATAGGAATGCAAAGCGGAGGAAGGGTCCGTTTCTCGACTTTTTTCCAATCACTAAAATTCTTTCAGCACGGGAATCAAATAATCAGAGTGGACTCGTACCTCGATGCAAATAATGGGTGATTAAGCATAGCCTCATATAAAGGCCTGCTTTTGACATCCTTCTGAAGCATCTGTGCAAAAAAAGTCAATGACCCTGAATGAACAAACACCCATGTAAGACTTACACCGCGCAGGAGATCCCGAGCCTCGGGATGGAAATTGCTGTCAAAGTAAGGATCAAACTCGACAATGCCATCGGCTATGTGAAGACCGTCAACCGTGGCCCAGGGAGTCTAAACCAAAGTCAGCAATGATCCATCGAAGAATCCAAGGCTTACCCTTCCGGAGAGCATCTCGTACAGCATGACACCCACTGCCCAGAAGTCAATTGCGAAACCATACTTGACGCCCATGATAAGTTCCGGTGCCATATACTCTGCGGTGCCGCAGAGTGAACTCGCGAGATAGGGCGCTTGCGAGAGGCTGGTGAACGTCCCCGTGGGGTTGTAGGGAGAAAACGATTTCGGATCGTCGAGCGTGAAGACCTTGGCTAAACCTAGATCTGCAATTACGAGGTGACCATCGGAGTCGATAAGGATATTGGACGGCTTAAGGTCCCTGTGGATGATCCCTTGGCAGTGGAGATGATAAACACCGACAAGCTAATTTGGTCAGAATGCGGACTACAATCGTAGGAAGAGCACTCACAAGCTCTGCCGTGTATAACCTTGCTCGATCAACTGGAAGAATCCGGCGCGGATAAGTGCGGATGACGTCATGAAGATCACCTCCTGGATAGAACGCCTGCCATAGAGCGTAAGCCAATCCAACCACAAGTTGACAACATGCGCAATCACTCACAAGAGCTAGATAGAGACATTGTGCATCCTGAAAGCCTGCCTCGACTTGCATACAATGACGATCACCTATGACCCGCTTTAGGGCATCCAGCTCGACTCGAAATTGCTGGAGATCGCATAAACCCGCGCCTTGCCTCTTGATGACTTTCAATGCCATGGTCTTATTCGTAATCTTGTCTTCGACGCGGTAAACGACGCCGTTCGCGCCAGCACCAAGCTTCGCACGGACAATGAAGTCACTGAGGCTTGTCTCATTCTTGAAATTGGACCGCGGTAGAACTTCATTCGCTGAGCCAGTCGAGGCGTTGAGGACTGTTGTGCCAGATATGCGTTGATGGGACGGCACCGCTGCATGAGCCTTGCGGTGAGGAGCATGGATAGGGCTCAAGATGTCCATCGCCTATAGCAACCCGTAAATAAGTGCCACTGAACATCATGGAATCTCACGTACTTTGTGGTCCCTGGCAAAGAACGCTTCAATGAAGTCCAAGACGAATAGTCTTCTCCGGATGTCGAGCACGTCTGGGTCGTGGTACGCATCGCCGAGGCCTTCAAGCCCCTCAGTCTCTCCAACTGCAGAATCCATACCGGTGAGGACAGGCGGAAGGATTCCAGTTGCAGAAATCATGATGCTTGCGCTAGAGGGCCATGCGACGATGGCAGCAGCGTGACCGCCAGACGCTGCGGGAGTAGAAACAGACACGTTATACGTAGGAACCGGGACGCGGTTGACCTTATTGAAGGCAAAGGAGTTCTTGGTCGACTTGATGCTAGTCCATACCTTGGACAAGGACTTGGCCTTGAAAGCGTCAGAATAGATGACGAGAACGAATATAAAGGACACTTACTGGCTTGGTGATGAGACGTTCGCCTGCTCGGCCTTCGTAGAATAGTTGAAGTGCAACCATGTTGAAAGCTTGATGTAGATAAAGAGTGTTACGTGTGGAAAGAACGTTGAGAATGTAGTAGATGGTGAAAAGAGCGGATGGAGGATTCATTGACAAAAGGCGGTCTTTTATACATCATGTCTCCTCAGTCTGAACTGCAACGAGTACCTTAGGAAGCAGCAGTCAAGAAAGAAATTTGGATTGAGACTGTTTGACTGGACTGGAAGTTGGTTCAAGTGTAGCATCAATGATAACATAGATTACTCACCACGGCAATCTATGATGTCATTGAAGTATTACGCGTGTGGGACCGGTTCGAAAAGACGTGGATTTGAAAATTTTGGTCTAGACCGAGCATCCCACAAGGAACAACGACAATAACATGGAACATTCAATGTAGAGCCAGAGGGAATAAGTGGTATAGATGAATGCGCTCGAATGTTCAGTCAGAATCGTTCTGGCACCTAGAAGATCTTGTTGACATTCGTGGACCACCAAAGTATTATAAAATAGCTTTGGAATACTGAGTAGCAATGCTGCATTATCTGGATCGTATCGTGTCAATACGCGCACGAGATACGACTGCCTGGCTGAGAATCAACCGATCAGTATATCCTGAATTTCTTTGAGAGATAACCTGCCTGCTACAAAGTACGCAGGTCGTGCATGGTACGAGAGTTAGTAACGAAGCTGTTCCCTGTGAATGTAGGATATTTGGGTGCAGGACGGCCACACCCATTTGTGAACAACGCTACCAGGGACTTCTAGTAGCACTAGTGTCAAACGACCATGTCTTCAGGGGATGTTTTGAGATTTCACTATAGAGACATGTGTAGCACCATTTGAGCTCAAAGCACGAGGTCGTTGTCGACTTGAAGTCAGCCTAACCTAATAATTTGCTGACATAACGATCATCGAAACTTTTTTTGCCCCATCAAAGTCCCACTACGCTTTCAAAGACTCAAGAGTGCAAAGTCCTCAGCAATGGCGACACTAGTAACGCTACCTTCCCTGCTTCCAACTTGGACCCCACCCTCTGAACCAGCCTCCTCCATTTCTCGTGAGTGTCTCGCCATAATCATCTCACTTAGTGACATATCCTCATTCACGCAGCCTTTCTCCAGCGCAGACTCATTCCTGCAGGCGCAGCCTACCTAGCTCACATAAAACGCGCACTTAACAATTTCACCTTTGCTGAGTATGACAAGCAGCTCGAAGAGGAGCAGAAGCGCCTCGAGTTGCTTAACGCGGATGGCCTGAATGGGGAGGACGACCTTGGCGTCGGAGATGAGGAGGAATCTCCCGAACTCCTTTTGCTTGACGCAAAGGAGTGGAAGGTGTGCATATCTCGGGGCTTGTTTGCTACGATCTAAACTCTAGATATCATTTGCAGAAACAAGACCACTATCAAGTCCTCGGATTGTCACACCTGCGATACAAGGCGACGCCCGAGCAGATAAAGATTGCCCGTATGTAGCGGACTGCTGTCATCCTCGGATTTTCTGACGTATCGCTACTCCGCAGATCGCAAGAAAGTTCTGAAACACCATCCAGACAAGAAAGCCGGTGCATCGCATACCACAAACGATGACGCATTCTTCAAGTGCATCCAAAAAGCCAACGAGGTTCTCACGAATTCTGAACGACGGCGCCAATTCGACTCTGTCGACCCCATCTGCCTATCACTCGAAGAAGAAGATCCATCTGCCTCTGACTTCAAAGGCCAAGAAAATGACACTGCGCTCTTTTTCGAAACATTCGCGCCTATCTTCGAGAGGGAGGCACGATTCAGCAAGAAAACGCCCGTGCCAATGTTAGGCGAGAACGATGACCCAAAGGAGCACGTCAGTGCTTTCTATGATTTCTGGTACAACTTTGATAGCTGGCGATCATTTGAATACCTGGACAAGGAGGTGAATGAAGGAAGCGATAGGTAAGCGATAGGAACCACGAGGCTGTGCCTTTTCAGCTCACGTATTTCACCCGCAGCCGCGATGATAAAAGATACACTGAGAAAAAGAACAAATCTGAGCGTGCTCGTCGAAAGAAAGAGGATATTACCCGGCTCCGCAATCTCGTGGACCTTACTCTTGGTCTTGACCCTCGTATCAAGCGGATCAAGCAGGAAGAAAAGGAGGCTCGGGAGGCGAAGAAGAAAACCAAGGGCGGAATGAACGCTGCAGAGCAGAAGGCCAAAGCAGAAGAAGATAAACGTAAAGCTGAGGAAGAGGCCAAGATGAAGGAGGAGGAAGAGAAGGTAGCACGGGCGGAGGCCAAAAAAGCCAAATCTGCGGCAGCAAATGCAGCTAAAAAGGCAAGAAGGCAGCAGCGCGCCGCGGACACCGGTGAGGCTGCACCGTAGTAAAATTATCTGGCTAGTCGTCTCGTGCCGATACCATGGGCATTCATACTCTCACCGCTGCGGAATGTCATCAGTATTGAGACCGCGCTTTGGCAATTCTGAATGTAGAGAACATTCTTCTTTGGCAACTTGCGGGCTTCGAAGATGTGATGTACCTACATGATGGGAGTTCAGGAAGTGGAAAGAAGGCAGTATCCGATGGGTCAAATTCCAGGTGTCACAGGTTTCTATCCCAGCTCGCTAGAATGCCAGTGCAGCCGCCCGCCCCTGGCACACGTCCAAAGCACAACAAGGAGCAAACATTGCTGCAAGGCAGATAGAACCATCGCGAGGATGGCAGATTATGATAGATTGGAATTTCGCGGACAGGGTGGCAGTGACGTTGACGTGAGTCAAGTATCGGACCATGCGTCACGAAGTTTCATGAGGAGTAAGATGACCCCATACTGCTGCTGTGATTGACGTGAAGACCGCCGATCAATATTTTGTTCGCGTATCTCCGAGTCGCGTCGCAGACCATAGAACAGGATGACATAGAGGACCCTTTAAGTGCAGATACAAACCAGAACAAGGAAGGTTCCATGTATGTCAGTGGGGAGGCCGAGCGCTCGATTACGAGTTGTTCCAGAAGATTGTGCTTGGGAGATGTGATGCCAGTGTCGTTGTTTGTTTTACAGGTGTGAACGGTTCAAACACGGATAACATTGGGCACGGGAATACCACGGAGTTCAAGCTCAAAGTTCCAGCGGTTGCCAGAGAAAAACCAAAATACAGCAACAACCGGTCCTCTGGCGGAAAGAGCTCAATCAGCGGGTACCATAACTTGGTGCATGCTAGTGCATGTTTGGTCGCTTATTGTGCTTTATTTGGACTTTGTGGCACAGAAGAGATGCGAGGAGGTCGATTAAAGGATGGACACTCCGGGCCTGTCAACCTTCGTCAACAGTCTTTTTCTTCCAATTTTATGGTCCTTAAAGACCCTCTCATCCTCGTATCAATGTTTCTCATATCCTGCTAACCTACACTCACGTCGCGGGCGGTGAAGTACCACCATTTTGTCCGGGACGGTACTACCCCCTTGATTTTTTTCTGACTTACCAATCTCATCTACAAACATGGTAGGATGACCCAGCCAATCGTGTTCATCGTCATGTCGTCTAATCCATCCTCCATTCAGGTTCTCCTCAGTGATAAGAAATACGCCTGGTATGTCTTTCATTTCCTCCCATCATCATGTCTTGTCCTCATTATAATCACTCCGTAGTGAAACATGCATAAAGGGGCACCGCTCGTCCGCATGCAAACACACGGATCGCCCCCTTTTCGAAATTAAGAAAAAAGGTCGTCCAGTCACTCAGTGTGAGCACTGTAGAGAATTACGAAAAACAAAACAAGTACACGTGAAGTGTTCATGTGGATCTCAAGATCAAGGCCCCCCTGGTGCCCACGAGGCGTCCCACAGCAAGAAGGGTACGCCTAATTCGTCTCTGAAATTAATCTGTCTTATCTTCAAGGCCCCTCCTTGTTCTTCTTCAGGGACGCCGAAGTTACCGGCTACTGCTGCGTTTCCGCATGGCCTTCCTGAGGCCCTTGAAACGCTAGCTACTGTGCTGCCGGCATCGGACGACTCAGACCATAGCGGTAGGCCCGAAGCGCCATATTTTCATCTTCATCATCTTCAGTATTGACTTTTTCAATAAGGTGAAACTTCTTCAACTGGCTGTAGATGTAGCTCCGGTGGCCCATGCAATTGCTGTATCCCTCGCAAGCCTTCCACCCGCCGTCGCTTCTCAGGCGCGGAGCCACCTAAAGGAGACAAGCATCATTCAGACTCTTCCAAACATCGTCGTGCCGCCGTATCCCCTCCTCTTTCATCTCACGTCTTGGCGCGCATTGCTGAGCTCCGCCCAGTACTTCCAAGACCGGCTCACAGGCAACTCCCTCTTGATGGCTCTTTGCACAATCCATCTTCGAGCGTCCCTCACGGCCATAGCGCCCGCCATCATAACTACGACTTCAGCCCTTACGGTCGCGCTTACGGGTACACTCACTCAGATCACGCTCACGATCAAAATGGGCCACAATTGACTGGTGATCCCCGCATGTTCGCTGGACGTCCTGTTCACTCCCCACAGCCAGCCCTGGGAAGCCAGCCAGATGCATGGTCGTCTGCTGGGGCCTTCCCCTCTCTGTGTGCCTGTGGTGACTCATGCATGTGCCCTGGATGTAGCTTGCATAACAATCCACCAATCACCGGCGGAGCTGCCTATGCCTCATGCAGTAACCCATCCACTTGCGCGTACTGTCTCGATTGCACCATATTGTCCATACCAGCAGGCAATCCGCCTCCTATCATTGACCCGTCCTCTGATCCCTCGCAATCACAAGAATTCGATGAATGGCTCAGACAAGTCGCGCTTAGTGCGGGCGTCTCAAATTCGCAGCCGAATTTCAACCCGTATGAACTGACCATGCCACAAGCACAGCCCTATGAAACCGGAAGCTCGCGGATACCTGAGAATCCGTCCCCGTCGGTAGAGTGTTGTGGTGGGCGGTGTAAATGCCCTCGTAATTCGTGTGCCTGCCCTCCAAATTGTCGTGGATGCTCTCAAGGTTGTCAGTGTGATAATCACTGTAATGATCTGCGGCCCCGAACAACGTTTGCGGTATCTGGCGAACGGGGTTCGTGTTGCAGAAAGGCTGACTCAAATACGAACATTCCTTCAGCTGGGAGGCGCCTCCCTGATTTTATGGCTATGACGAATATGCGCGACCAGTCGTCTGCCCCTGGGGCGGGCGCCGGCGGTCAAGGATACTATGGTCAGCAGGGAGCATTCGTGGATTACTCTGAGGCTCCAAGTCGTTCGTCGTCCGGATCATCCTCGTCAAGTCGCATGCCCACGAGACCTCCGTCCGGACCGGTGAGTATCCGATGTTTGCCATTTACAAACTTCGACTGATCTGCAGTGTTTACTATCATCGTTTAGGGTTCTAGGCTGCTGGGGCAAAGTGGCCCTTCCAGTAGTAGATCGCCGCAGTCGCACGTTGGACCTCCCGAGAGTACCCGCAGTTTTACTACCTACGCGGAGTCCGAAAGGGCTCGTGGGGCTGTACAGTACTCGAACTATAACCCCTCCCTGGATGCCATGCGCTTCGACTAGGGAAGTCTGCCACGGATTGAATTCTTATGGATTTGATGTTATTGTCCTCCTTTCGTTTTTACGTTGTGCTTGTCTGCTTCTTGTGGCTCGCTGGCTTACTGATGGACATGCAGTGGCCGTGATTGCCCCTTATCTATATTTTTCGTCTCGTTATGATTTTTTGCCTTCTCTCGACGCCGTGTCTTGCTCGACGGACGGGATAGAGATTCATCTAGAACGTCTGCAGGGCTTCATTCTTCTTCTTTACCATGTAAATTTCCATATACGTTTGCTCCAGCAGCAGATTTTATAATTTTTCATCATTGCTGCCAGGCCTGTACGAGCGTCCCCAGAGAAAAGAAAGTTCATTCGAGTCAGCATAAAATGTCCATTTGGTCCTCCTGGGGATGGATCAAGACGTTTTCCTTGTCCTGATTAACATTGCTCTCCGCTTCTGAACACTGCAACTGCTCCAATAACACACGATTATGATTCTCTACATTGATCTGTGTGGACAAGTCAGGTGGGTATTTCACCGTGCCCAAACAGTACTCGACATACCTTGATCGGTGGAGGCCACTGGAGATCCAATAGCTCTGCGCCTTCTGGGAGCGCCTTCGAATACAAGAGAAGGTAAGGTCCTGCGCCGAGATGCAGACCCACCGGGTCCTCCAGCACATTTTCCTCGGACACCTGTGGGGCGTGAGCTTCACAGCAGGTAGGTCATCGAGGTCTCTCATACCTGGCTAATGGATGAGTCCTCTATCCTCCACCACGCACCCTTCTCTTGCACATAGGAATAGAGGTGTTTCCTGCCATACAAACCGTCGTGTACCAGCGCTACGCGGAGGTCATACTACATACGGATTAATGGCTCATTCTGGACGGTGGATACGGTCACTTACTCTGGCGCGTTGGAGCTCAGGGCAATCCAGGATTGTCGCGGCTTGATCCCGCATCTTCGCAATATTGATGTCTGTAGCTACGACGGGGTGGGCATGATAGTTAATGGCTCGCCAAGCAGAAGTATGTGCTCGCTACCTTCGATTTCCTTTTCTAGCTGAGCGAGAATACTCTTTAGTTTGTTAGCCATAATTTGGTTGACGTGAGCACGTTCATCGGTGTCCTTCGCATCCGCCACGTTCTCATAATAGTATATAGATGACCGCAGGTCCGTTAGCGTGTCTTTTTCCTGAAAATCAGTCCAGGTCAGCGCAACGGATACAGCAAGCCGCAAAAAACGAACATTGAAGTGGGCCAAAGACTTGTTATGCAATATCAGCTTTTGGATTTCCGCATGAAGGTCCCGCTGCTCCCCCCTCTTGCTCTCCGCAAGCTCAACGTTTTCCTTCAGGAATTGATCGAGATAGATGTGCTTCGGATATTTAAATGGCTTGCGCTCGCCCATGACAGTGCCCGAGCGCGCAAGATGAAACGTAATCACCTCCGAGGGCTCGAAAATTACTTGGTGTTGCTTGATATCATTCTTATGATTGGAAAGCTGGGCAGAAAGGCGACCGACGAGGTCATTCGTGTCGCTTGGTCCAAGGGCTTCGACGCGGACAATGGAGGCATCTTGCAGGAGCTCTCCGGGCTCGTCGTCAAAATTGCTGTTCCCATATTGGAACTGCATGACGCGTTGTCTACGCATTATATATCAGTGAGACGGAGAGGAGTAGCCGATGCCATGTAGTACATTGCCTGTTCAGTGCGAATGAATTCATGGGAAAACACTTTATCGAGGGCGCCTGCTACCTTTTCGAAGAATCCTGGTTCTCCATTGATCATCGCGCATACAACCAGCTCAAAGAAACGCACGATGAGATAGGTCTCCTGGTGGTTGCGCCGGGTTCGCCCAGGGCTCAGGCTTGAACCCTTCGAGCACTTCATGAGCGTCCAAATCCACAAGCTTTGCGAGGTCCATGTTGGTGAATGTTTCGACAAGCTTCCACATAAGGAGCTCTTAGGCGCTGTCAGCAATGGCTATAGAACATTACAAAACACGTTTACCTGGTCCATTCTTTGGAGGTTCAGCTTCCGTTGCGCCTTCGGACAGAGCTGGCCGCCAATTGGCGACCCGTTCACGAATTTGTGGAACATAAAAAAGCGCCTGGAGAATCAGAGCTGCATAGACCATCGTGTGTTTCGTTGGTCGTAAAGTCACAGGCCTGCACAGATGCGTTTAGTAGAGGGAAATGAATGAATTAGAGACATACCAGCCTTCCTTCCGCCATTGCTGATCAAGGGGTAAAGGCTGGTATTCGTCGCCAGTATCAGCCTGCTCAAAGCTAGCTTGTATAGCACGATCCAGGTCATCCGCACCAGCAGTATTCTGCTGAACACGGCATGAACACCAAGGCACCAACATGAAGCACGGACTGACCTACATTCGAAGGCACCATCGCCCAATTGGCATCAGGAGGCCGCTCGCTCGGTCCAAACTTCGGACCCTCTTGGGAGGCTGTCTCGAGCGACGCTTTCAAAGCACGAGATAACTCGTCATTATGCTCGTCGTCAGCCGTGAGGTCGATATTGATCGGCGAGTTCGGGCGAACAGCGGGAGGAGGCAGCGGTCTAGGCTGTATTACTTCCATCTGCGAGTGCGACGTCCACAGCGACGACGTCTCCTCTCCCCTGTCGCCCTCGATCATGGCGGAGCCTGCCTTTTCTACATCGCCATCGAATTTCCGTAGGACGCGCCTAGCCACTTCGTGGTCCACACCTCCATCCATCAAGGTGATTAAGAGCTCGATGTTATTGGACTCTTTCGCTTCATCGTGATGGTGCATGCTTGGCCTACTTACGAATAGATATAGTTAAGTGTGCTGGCTGGCAGACTGAATTGCGTTAGAATCTAAGCGTTAGGCCAATATTTGGCTCAGTGGATCATGGAAATGGACATATCAGGCACCTTAATTAAGCGCCTACTTTAGCATCATGTGATGATTCAGATCTCAGAGCTCAAGGCATATATCGCACCAAGGTCTCACCACTACACAAGTTACGCATCGGCTATCCAAATCATGCATTTTAGTATCGAAGGTTCTAAAATATAGGCTGTCGGCAGAACATTTAGTTGAAACAAAGCGCCTGAGGGAAGTAAGGATATAACACATAAAAGACATAAGAGATAAAGTCCGTTCGAAGCAAATTATACAGTCAGGTAAGCAGGGGATAGAAAGGCTACAAACGACGGAATAGCACTGCGGCGAGAAAGTAACACAAATTCGGAGCTGTCTGATAGGATGTAATACAATAGGTTGCGAGAAAAGAGGCTCAAGCCAAAGAAAAGAATGTCTACTGGTGTCCGTTTGGGAAAACGTGGTACAATCCACTTGATGATTAAATTAAGCTGCAGGATGATTATCTGCGCGGGGCGTCAGGACATCACTACTTCCTCATGACGCAGAACACTCACTATAAATACCGCCATACTGCCCGCTGATATACATGGCATCCTGCTGTTGCGGCGGCTGTTGCTGTGGATGAGACTGGCTATAAGGCATCCCCATCTGTGGGAACGATGAATAGTCGTTCCAAAATTGCGGGTACCGCCCTGTCCCAGCTTGATCACTGGCATATGTACCAGAGACGCTCCCATGCGCAGTCAACCGCGTTTGTCCTTGATGCGAAGTCGAGGACTGCGAGTTACCTGCCCGACGGTTGTCGACCAAGCCTGTGCTATACATCTGTGGAAGCACAGATGTAGACAGTGTGCCCGGGAACGAGATGTATGATGATCCATCGGAGGTCCATGGGTAGTACGACGGCTGCGAAGTTGACGTAGGTGCCGCTCCAAAGTCAGCATGATGCCCCGCGCCAGATTCCTGAGCGTGACCGACATCATGCGACGTTCCGCTAAACTGAGTCGATCGCCAGGTGTTGGCATACCCTTGCCCCGAACTTGGTATGTGAGGTGAGCTGCTTGGCGGGAGGACCTGCGGCTGCGAACGTTCGTATGCATCCTCTGATTCTATTGAATGCTCGGCTGTTCGCTTCTGGCGCTCCTGAGAAGTAAATGCAAGGCGCGCTTGGCTACAGTTCGAGGGATTTATCATGACGTTTGAACCCCGAAGAAGTTCATGGGCACGTGCTGCGGAGGGCCAGATGACTTCCATGTCTTGCAGCGCGTCCATGCACTTGAACAGACCCATCCGTGATTGGGGGTCATTCGGATAAATAGACGCTGCATATAGGATGAGAATACGATCGGGCGAAGAAAATCAGATCGTGACGTACAGCTCGTGACATGCATGATACCCGCCGTAAAGATGTAGAAGCAGAGAAAAACGGGCGCGCGTTGCAGACAGTACTTTTCCCGATAAGACGAAACTAGACACATTTTACGTCAGAAATTGCTTGTCAAGGAATGTTAAAATAGTTTACCGATTGATGAGATGTGGTTTGCAGCACCCACGCACAGCTCATAATGTTTTTTGCTCGTCGCACACGCTTCCGCATCATCTGGACTATCCGGTTTCCTGAAAAAGTATTAACATCACTCAGCAGCGGAAAAAATTCGGAGCGCTCACCCCTTCTGAAGGTACGCGTTCCTTATGCTATATGACCAATTACTTCCCAAGGAATAGCAGACAAGCGAGAGGGCACTCACAAGGGGCGATGTAATAACAATGTCGTACACCAATATTGCATGTGCAACGTCATAATATGGGGCGGAACAGTCGCGCCCTGCTTCAATTGCAAATGCTCGGGCAAATCGAGGTACCACTTATTCAGCAGCTCCTCAAGTTGCGCCGCCTCGGCGTGCCGAGAAGTCACCGGATGGATGGCATACATCGACTGTACGAGCTTGGCAAGAATGGCCGCTGAGACATAGACTCAGCTATAGCGCTGGACGGTCAATGAAGGTACTCACAGAGAATTGCAGATGCATTAAAGCTAGATAGCACGCGTCCGGGTATTGAACACCGCATCTCTGCACTAGGCGGGTACCCATGTCCGCGGGCATCAGGCGGCAGCGACTCATGAGGGGTCCATAACTCCATCTCCTCCGCCTAAAAACAAACACCGTCATCACACCGTCTCATCAATATAACAATATTTCCGTACCTCGTCCTCACTCGGCAAAAGTGTATCGTAATCCCGCTCGAAGATGGCAAGCGGCCTTCCGATGTAAGTGCTCACATACCCATCAAGCACAACACATCCCCACCATATCCGCCGCCGTTCCTGTAGCTCTTGTGGGCCGAACAAACGCCCAACGTCTGCACGAGCCCAACCGTCGGCTGCGCGGTGCATACCGAGGTCCTGCGCCATACGTACTGCCATACCCGTGTACACCCAGGCTTGCGCCATGGCACCAATCCCAATCTCTCGGTACCCGAGTAGTAGGAGAGCTTGGACGGTGCTTGGCAAAGAAGATGCATAAGTGTTGTCGAGAAGTGTCTTGGCAACGTTAAAGTACTGATCGCCTGCAGTCCACATCGGGGTTGGCTCTCGGAGTGACGATGACGACGAGAGAGGGGGGGAGGAAGGTGGGAGAGAGGAAGATGGTGCATAGCGTTCGGCAATAGAAAACATGCTTAGGAGTAAAAGCGGTGAAATATGGCGGCGGGCACGGTGGAAGGGCGACGGAGATTTCGAACCCTGACCATCTGATGCAGGCGACGGCGCGTCGGCTGCAGATGGATTTTGATACCTGACATAGATGTCAGTGGCAATCAAAAGAAATTCGTCAGGTGACACTCACGCCTTGAAACCATCCCAGAAAGCCTCCTTGTGCAAGACTGGGAATGCCGGATGTACATAAGTAAAATATATCTGTAATAAATGCTCTTGAACGGCTGGATCGGGCATGAGGCTGCTCAGATCTCTGTCCACGACTGATAAACCCGTCAAAGAGATAGTAGCGGTGCTCGGGCTTGCGGCAGAACCCGTCAACGCATTAACGCTGGGAATTACGGGCGACGTCGCATTTGTATCAGATGGAGGGAGCGGCGGCCAGACACGGGCCTTGGGGAAGCGCCTGTAACATGTGAGCCATTGATTCAGCATATCGGTGAACAAATCGCTCACCAGATTCCACCTTCATTCCGAGCTTCCTCCTTCGCATTATACCCCAACAGGTAAAGACCACTTGCCTTGCCGTGATACCGAACTTGTTCGTCCTCGTTCAAGGAGAGCTGGCCCACGGCATCCACTACGTCATCTTCGTCCTCAGAATCCGTACTGGCACGTGCATGTGCTTGCGAGTGGTCAGAGAGATCCGGAGATGATGAAGAGCCAAGTCGCCGGCGTTGACGGCGTCCGTTATCGCTGAGTGAGGTAGACGGCGAAGTTCTGTGTTGTGAAAGTTGGATCGTGCGCGGTTTGTTAAGGGAAACGGCGCCAGCTGTAGGCGGGCGGGATTGCGATGGAGACGAGTGGGAGAGCGATAGAGATGATGAAAGGAGAGATGCAACGCGGTCCTGCCATTCATTCGAAGGGCTGTACAAATGAAAAAAAAAAAAGGTTCAACGCTGCTGCACAATGGGGATGAATTATACTTACTGTGTGGACTGTAAGTCAATACCACTACCCTCGATTGTAGTGGCAGTATTTGGGCGTGTTTTAGTGTTGCCACCTTTTCGTCCTTTGACACCGTAGGAGGATGAATCGACACGATTGAGGATCTCACGAGCAAGAGCGTCCTGATTGGAAATTTATCAGTATGCGTGTCCAATCAGATGTGTACGTTGTTAGCCAACGAAGGTGAGAATGAATGCGTTGGGCAAAGAAAAATGAACTTCGGATACCAAGGCACTTGTGAATACACTGGTGTCAAAGTGCAAATTCATGCACACAAAACCAAAATGAGCAGTTCACGAAAAATACTAACCTGTCTCAGGGTATGCAATACATCCTCCAACCCTGCAGCGCCGCCCGGAGGTGGCCTATCTGCCTCGCCAAACCTGCACAAAATTAGTGATTATTAAAATATATATAATGACCTATATGCACCTATCGCCATGCTCTGCCTCGACAGCGAGGAGAACACCAAGTAGGGCCTCGGTTTGGTGCAACCGAGCTTCGATGGCGTCAATGTACCCCTTAGGGGGGCCGCGCTTGCGCGAGGGTCCGAGGAATGTACACGCTGCAGATTGAAGGACGTAATCAGGTCAGAAAATGCCGAGAGCGAGCAATCGGATCATTGTGAGCATGACGGGTAAAGGTGTTGATACACGTAGAATAAGTGATAACCTCAATTACGGACGCGGCGATATGTCAAGGATCGTTGAGATGCGCCGATGCAGATACAGGGAATCGCCGGGGTTCCAGCACGCCAGTCACACGTGGCAGGATATCAACATCAAAGGCGGTGGTTGCGAAGGCCACAAAAGGGAATTCATGATGGATCGAGTGGTTGAAGAGGGTAACGAAAGGTGACCACATCAGGGTGGCGTCAAGTGGCGTTGCATGGATATGAATGGATACCGAGGACCGATTGAGTACAAGGAATGGGAAGAGGGAGGGAATGAGAAGGAAAGCATGGTCAGCAGGTAATCAACTATATGAAATTGGAAGACTCACGCGTCCCCAGCATGATGCAGCTTTTGCAAGCCTCGCCGTCTCCTGCGCGTTCGCACTTGCATTTACTTTTGCGACATTGATCGCAAGCTGACAAGGGATGAATTGAATAGACATATGAGAGGAACAAGTACCATACCTTTGCTGCTCCTTCTCCTAACGACTCTGTCCGAATAGGCAGATGAAGTATTAGGCGTGCCAGAGGAGCCCTGAAGATCTGTCAACTCGTCGCCATCGTCGTATTCGTCGGGGAATGACAGTGCATTCAAGTCGAGAGAGGAATTTCCTGAGCGTTTACCGAGCCAGGCGTCCTCTGGATGTGCCATGGATCCGAAGCGGTAGTATGGACGGTCTGGTAGAGTATTTGATGTGGTAGCGAAATTATGATTATGTTGCGCAGTATTAGACGCTGATGCAGATTGTGGAAAATGGAAAGAAAAGGTGTGGGGAGGTGAGGGCGAAAGATCAAGATAAGGTGATGAGGAGAGTTCGGATTTTACACTGGCAGACTGGGAACGTGCAGAATTACTGCCTGCACTATTTGGTGGATCAAGAGGGTAATGAGGCGATGGGTGTGAGTCTAATACATAGTATGCATTAGTTGGGATTGCCATGACACGGATGAAAGAGAAAGAAAAGGGATTGAAGGGAGACAGACATGAATCAAGGTCCCGTATTTCACAGATTTCTCGATCTCCGTGCCAAGCCAAACGACTCTGAATGCAAGTTTCTGAATCGATGAGCTGTGTTTCGCGGCTACTACGATGCCTAGATTTCAACCCTTGATTTCTCCTCGGAATGACATCGACCCTTGAAGTCCATCCCCGCCTTTTTTTACAAGATCAAGTCGTCACTCACCGAGAATACACTGCCCCCAATGGTATACGTTATTTGCGAATGTCGTGGCGTCAGAAGCTTCAAGGTCCAAAGTTTGGATCTTCAATTCTTCTATGACCACGTACGTTAAGGTAGGTAGTCAAGGTCACCCTTTGTTCATGTAAGCCCTCCTCTCAACATGCGAACTTCCTGCTTATTACAGTTCAATCCAGCCTCACTTTCTCCTTCTTCCCACTCACTTTGGCCCATATGTCGCATACTGATATACGTTATTATTAGAGCAGCTTTTCAACTTCGGTACGAACCTGAGAAGAAATTAAAATTCTCTTCTATCGCCTTCAAGGGCGTCTCCCAGTATCTGAACGGTCTAACGGCGTACGTTCACCGATGCGGCCCACTAACTCTTTACAACCAGTAATCCGTCGTATCGGAACCTCCAACTCTAACCCCGTAGCCCCGGAGCGTTCGAACTTCCGAGTCGACTCGTGACTCCAGTGGTCAACCGAACACAGCATGAATCTCACTTTTGGAAAAGAGGGCTGGTACTACGCGGTAGACCACATCTTGAAAAGGTAACCCCCTCTAGTCACAAAACTAATTTCTTGGCAAACACGCGACCTTCGCCTTATCCAAACTCATCTTCGAGCGGCTTCCGAGGACCCGTAATCTTCGCACTTCAACTTGGACATGTGTTCCGAGGATATTTATTCGCTCTAGTACTCATACTGACCATCATCTAGTCTCCAACGAGCTTCTATCCTTTGGCTGACACTGATCGATGTCTTACTCTAATTCCTTGAAAAGTTATTTGGTAAGGACAATCAAATTTTCACTTGGACGACTCAGATCAGCCACTGTAAAAGCGTCCGGCGGGTGAGAAGTCGTCCCCACGTGAGCCGTCTCCGTCTCCGCCATCCCCTGCTAGGGTTCTATTCACGTAGATTCTCCTATCACTCGCTTCCTTGCCACCCAATTGTTCTTTCATTATTTCCTGTCTGAACCGTCGGTACCGTCCCTCAAGGCACAGGTCCAGTCAAGTGCCACCTATTTCATATTTGCCCGTGTTTCCGTCTTCGATCGACCACGTGGTTATTTCCGTGATCTGCGCTCCGAGATCGACCCGTCTCCTCCCGCCTCTACCCTTGTAACCAGCCTCGTCACCCCAGATAATTTCTTGACAGATACATTTGTATTCTATCCATGCCTGGACATGTAGGCCAATTTTCAACGTTGGAAAAAAACGCAAGTAGGTACGATCCAAGTAAAAATATTTCGCGGGCTTGTACCAACTTGTACGTACATTCAATTAAATTTTCTAGCTCCGAGTCGAAGTACGCAGATCTAAAGTTCATGACGACCAGGGACGTTAATTCTTCCCTGTTCCTGTTCCCGATCTCAACACTTGGGTCGGGTATCTCGGAAGACCCACCTGGTCACCTATGGTTGCGTATGAGCAGCGTAAGACCATACGCATGGATCACCGCCGTGGACGAAATTTAGTAAACATTCGGCGACTCCCCAAGTATTGGGATCTTCCAACCCAACTCCCTAACGTAATATTGAGGGGTCGAATTTGAATGGCTTGTACCAGGTCCAGTGTATTGTATCATGTATTTTTGTGTCATGGAGATGATATGCCGGACAGCGCACGAATTCATGCCGATTCATGCTCCTTTTCCCTGCAATGTCCGTGCTATCAGAAATATCGTCTTATCAGGCTGGGAAACGAACGTCAGGGACTACCTCGACTATGTAGCATAATGTCAGTCCAATCCGCCATATTGGAATACCGTACCGCATGGGCAGTCAAGTTTCAAAGTCGTTGTGCTCTCTCAGAGGAGATGGATTAGGCAAGTGCCAACAAGACATTCCTGCTGGTTGCGTGTTAGCACAGCGCTACAGAATAAAATGATATGCAAACTTGCAGATCCCGCCGTAACTGGATTGCAGTTCTACACTTCGCACGCTCAGGGAACCACGTGGAAAGGGGAGGAAGATGACGATACATACATCTTGTTGATCGAGATGAGGTGTCTTCGAGTTCGATCGGCTAGAGGGCTGGCCCCATTGACTGGATTCTAATATCACACCCCTACATCCGGCAGGATCCCTCCCGCGAAAAACGATAGACACGTGTGATTTGGACAACGCAGGATTCCCGAAAAGAATGAGGCTTGCACTAGATCCCGCGGGTGAGTTACTGTTGCCGTCGGTATGGATGGTTCGCGGTACCTCTCGTGATGCCGCCCAATCTCGTGACGTCGTGAGGTGATGACCCAGTTCTCATGACAGAAGCAGAGACAAGGACCTGTGGAGTGGGTAGCCGTAGGGTCGCAGTGAAAAGGGCAATGATGCCCGCGAGCCTTGTAGGGCAAACATTCCCGCAAACCGCGCATGTGTGGAAAAGGAAGATATTCCCGCGAACCACGCATGATTAGACAAGGAGACCACTAGACTCGTCTGATCGGAGGGAAGATAATTGGATAATATAACTCGGTACCTCCCGGTGGTGGACGAGTTCCTGGACAATCTCGTAAATGGGCAAGGTGACTTCCGAAAGACGGAGGCGAACTATAATGAAACTTACATAATGCTTGGTTAGTGCGCGCCGCCGTACGATGGGAATGGCCGTACTGTTCTGAGCCGTAGGGTTGGGTTTGGTGACTTGTACGGAAGTCGGTGGTTGAGTAGATACATTGTATGCGTAGACATCATCTGTGCGTATCGGCAAGCGTTCAGTATGTAAAGAATATGTATACAACCACATGAGCGACTCAAGAGGTGTCTTTGGCAAATATGGCTCACCCAGTAATTTCAACCACGGTCATGAAGAGTAAATACTGGCAACCTTGAGTGGCTCAAGGGTAACTTTGGCAATCCGAAACATGGCACACCAATTCGACCGCGGATACCCATCCCCGTCGTATCATCGGTATGAACGCGCAAAAATTTCAGGAAACTGCCAAGATTCAAAAAAACGCACTGCGTGGTAGATGAAAACGACATTACCGGAGTGGGCAGTGTGCATAGCACAGACAGAGCCCTGTCCATGATTAGATCTGGGGTTTGGGGTATGTATATAACGAAGCGCCTAGGCGTGCATTGACCTTTGATCAAAAGATGAAGATGAAACGAAAAGTGGGTGTCATAGTGCGATGCTGTGCTCACTGGTTGATCAAAGTTTGACAGTTTTGATCACATTATGAATCTCCGAGACGACGTTAACCGAACCCTGGTGACCTTGTCGTTCCCAAACGATGGAAATTGAAAGAATGAAGCAGAGGTTAGTGGAACAATGGGGAAACATAGGGAAACATCCACTACAGTTGAACGGTGGCGGAGTTGTGTCACGGGTCTGTCCACATTTCATCATCGTCCATGGCCGCAACCTCAGAACTCCAACTTTCCAACCCCTCGACTACGGTTGACCGCGCCTATAAACTTCTTCTGCTAATCTGTGGCTCATCACCCTCATAAATCATACATCATGTTTGGCTGTTGCGTTGCTGGTCGTCTGTTGCAAACCGACCTGCAGCAGGTGGACGAAACACATGCACTATTCGAGATCCCAGCCGCTGAGAAAGTCAATCATGTGTGCGTCTTTTTGCTTGGTACAGGTCAGTGTTTCATACTCCATCGCTCCATTAAACATATGTGATGACTTATCTTATGCCGATCTGCAACGCAGTTCCATTCCCTGATGGATTTGGCGCGACCGTCCACTTTTTCTGGCCTGGAAAAGGTTCACAAATACTTGGCATGTGCGCTTACCTCTCCTTAACTGAATGCAAAGACCTTCGACCTTACTTGCGAATGACAGGCTCTCGAACGATAAACCATCAGCCATATTCCGCCTTCGGTCAGCCTTCTCCTCCACATCAGCGCCCCCATCAGGCATATCAACCCCCTCTGCGTTTACATCCGCAACTTTATCTTCTGCACAAAGTTCCGGTCAAGTCACAGCCATACTCGGACTTGCATTAGAACCTCTTGAAGCAATAGCCGCACAACTTGCATCTCTCCCCCAATCTCAAGCCCAGAACGCTATGAATATCACCCCGACCCCGACCCCAGCATCATCACTGGCATCAATAGCCAAACCCGCAGATCCATCTGTACTTGCGGAAAAAATAGCGAGGCACCTGTTCAACTATATAGCTGGCTTTGTGCCAGCAGGAACGAGCCTAGGCCCTGACAGTACTGTTTCAATGGGTGTCATTGCTCGATGGTACGAAAGCTTTATAGGGAAGGTGAGGGCAGGCGGTATCGGGTTTTTGGAACGTAATGAATAGCTCCAGTCGCGAATGGATATCTGGCATTTGATCGATTATGATGAATTCGATTTTCCTGTTCATCCCTGAGGGGCTCAGGCGGTTACCGCCTACTACTAACTTTGAATCTAGTATCAAGTCATCTGGGGTCTGTGAGCCTTGACGGTCAATGGCAACGAACCCACAGCATGCATGGGAAGTTTGCGAACATGAATTTCTTCATTTGTTCACTGTTGTGTCACGATGAACAATCCATCGTATTATTCGGGTTGTGGGTATGTTTTATCATATTGGTAACTCACATCATTGGTCAGGTGCTCTCAGCTGCTTCAGAATTATTCGCCAGTACCAGTATACTGCCTTGAATAACGTTTCAGGATCGGGCTCCTACATCCAAGCTAGCAGACAACTAACTCTTTTCGCGATTCTTTTATGTACAGCCTGCATCACCTGCGGCCTGGGTGATATAACGAGGTTAGCAGTACGTTACCAGTCATCGTAACAATTGTGCTTATTTCAAAGAGGCTTATCTCTGGGTCAGATGTTGGCTCCTGTGATCGCTATCTTGCAACGCCCATCTCCTTGCAAGTGCGTCGTGCGATCGAACAGCGTTTTTGAGATCTCGACACAATGATCCCCGTTGGTCCCTCCCCGCGCCACGAAGCTGGTGTGAATTGCACAGTTTTTTCCGCCGGTAGAAAGCCAGCAGGTTTTGCAATGGTTGCACTGATGTGTGAACATCTACTAAGATATCCTTAAAGAGGCTTAATGTGAGTATAAACATATCAATCCACTATATCATGACGATATCCGCTCTATAACTGAACCTGTCACTCATAGTGCGATGAATTCAATGTATGCATCATCTCATGACTATTCAGTAATACAGCCTTTCAGATGGCAGTTAATCTCTTTCACTCGTGACGTGTTTTTCAACCTTTGAAGACTCGTCAAATCGACATGCCCACCTCGAGGATGCCTATGACCCACGAGGCCTGGTAGACGACACGTAAAACAGGTTCATGCACGTTCACTACCATCGTTCTAAGCGTGAACTCTCCCACAGGGCATGCACTTGACCCTGCGTATAGCAGTCACATCATCATTGTCATCCCTCCACACTACAAGTAAGTGTATGATTGACGTAACATGCTGGTCTCCCTTTTGACTAACCACTCATTCATTTTCACAATCACCTGCTGCGCACACGTACATTAGCATGCTCGGCATGCTCGTGCTTTTACATCACCGCTTACCACCCTATATTTAGTAGACTGTGCCCGCGACATTGCACCTCAGTCTTTTCCACTTAGACAACAGAGGTGAGATCCTTACGTTTATCATCATGCTCGATCCTTACTAACGTCTAAGTAATCTTTCGTTTGTCTGTCGCAGGTACCTACTTCAATATCAGAGTCTTTTCCATTCAGACCGAGTCTTTCGATTTTCTATCGCACCCAACGTCCGTTGATCATATTACCCTGGTGCGTTCAAGTCACTAGCTACGATGTGTCATGTTAATGATACCAGAGAGTCAGATCACGAATTACCAATGGCAACTTGTGCTTCTGCCCCATTTGATCATGCTCAAGCAGACGTTATCTTACGGTCAGCTGACGGGGTTGAGTTTCGAGTCTTCAAGCTCTTCCTCTCCCTTGCCTCTCCATTATTTGAGACCTTGTTTGGCCTTCCCCAGGCACCTGATGGCGCTACCGATCAAGAGATGAAGGATGGCTTAGCAGTCATCGCCATGTCTGAGGACAGCAAAACACTAGATTCTTTTCTCAGGTTTTGCTATCCATCGACACTGGCAGAAGATCCTTCCCTCGAGAACCTGGAAGACATCCTGTCTATTCTCGCAGCTGCGAGGAAGTATTCGCTAGACCTGATCGAGAGAAAAGTGTGTCAGGCTCTGGCGAATCCGAAGGTTCTCGAGACGGAACCCATTCGCTGCTTCGCGATTGCCCAGAATGCACGACTCAAGCATGAAACCATCACCGCTGCCAGACACACCTTACGACACCCGTTAGTTCCTGCGCAATTCCCAGAGATCGGGCTTATCACCGCGTCCGAACTTCTTGCCCTGCTAACATACCATAAAAATTGCGGTATCGCCGTACAACCTTTAACGAAGGACCTGAAGTGGTTGACAGATCACTATGTCAATCAAAATGCCTGCCGTTGGCTATTAGGCCCCTACTACAACGGGACCTGTAGCTGTGGACAGGTTACCGACAACAAATTTTCGCTCTGGGGTATTCAGACGGTTACATGGTGGGCAACATATATGCAGGAGTTGTCCGAGTTGTTGATGGATAGACCGTCCGGCGACACTGTGAGGACAGCAACAGACAAGACAATCCAAAAGGTTAGAAGTAAAAACTGTGGCGCTTGTTCTAGCTCCGTGAAGGCAAACATGACGGAGTTTAGTGACTTGCTTGCTCTGAAAGTCGACGAGGCAGTCGCTCCGGTATGCACCTTGCTCTATATCAGAGAAAGATTCTGAGACTTCCCAATAGATCGAGCTGGAGGTGGACTTTTGACCCTCATCAGTAAGGCAATACACAGCATATGACAAAACATTTTCTGAACGCCTTTGGGCAGATGATGTCTGTGGGCTTGTGTTGAAGAGTGGTACCCAAGAGCCCCCGGAGTGTCCGTGTTGACTGGTTCTTAGAGAACGAGATGTGTTGTACTCGATCGAATTGTAAATATATGCCCATGTATTAGCACCCAGTGTTTGCGCGTGTACAACGGTGTATGCTTGAGCCCGTCAATCAGGAGGAACTGAATCTGTTCAGAGCGCTCCAGAGTCTCTCTCATAGAGCCAAGTATCCAATATTTGCGAAAAGAACGCCACAGTATTTAGCACGTACTACTATATGAATAAAATAAAATAAACCAAGTATTCAATACCCAGTCTAGATCTGTGTACGTCGTCTTGGTAGTCTCTCGCTGTCCAAGTAAATTCACCTTCGAATAACGGTTGGAAACTGGTCAACTTCAGGCTCTGAGAATGGTGTATAACGTGCATGAATCCCACACCGTGAGCGGCAAGTGAACCGTGTCAAATACAGTTGTAATGAACATATGGATGTTATTCTATGCGCTGTATCGTCCGTATTAGATTACAATATTCAGATCTCTGGTATCACAGGTGGAATAGCACCCGAAACTCGCCCAGCGCGTTCAAGAGATCCATCCTGTAGCTCATACGCGGGACGATACCGCGGTGGGAGGCTGACACTATTGGCACTCTTCTCATTAACCTCGGCATGGCATTGAGTATTTGGATCGTTTGCCAGAACCTGGAAAGGTCCCAATAATTCGATGGAGCTCCCAGGTGGCTCTGTCTCCCTCAAATCACAGACAGGGTCGGCAAAGCATGTCTGGTCGGGATTATTGGCAATGATGGTAAAAGAACCGAGACTGCCCGCCGAGCCGTTCATAAACGACTTCGGTGGAAGTGGTTCAGCAAGACACATGGTATTTGGATTGTTCGCCACAATTGTGAGTGAAGAAGGAAGAGTGTTGGACGAATCAGAATCCGTGACAAGTAGGGCTGGATTTGGGAATGTGTTATATGTAGATCCCAGAGACGTGTAACTGCGCGGGCGTCAATCAAGGTCTGCGAAATAAAAAATAATCCCCACCCTTCATCATATAACGTGCAGTACGGAATCTTGAGTTTCCTTAAGAATGTCCAGACATCTGAGTATGCCCAATTTATGATCGGGTTTACCCGTTCGAAGGCGGGCCATCCTGGGTCCGTCATATTTCTGTATGATAGGGTTGCTACTCAAGTCATGAGTACTGGCATCGCACAATAACGACGACACTCACCTCCATGAGGGTCCGTTCGTCGTGTGCCTACCAAAATCGCTTGAATGGCTGGGAAACGAAGTTTGTACAACTCCAGGGCTCGCCGCATCCCTTCACCGCCTCTAGCCGTTCCGACAGGCCGAGTCTGGAGTCTATCTCCTATGTAGCCGTCGCTCCCCTTAAGCGATGTTGGGGTCGAAACACCGGGTGTCACACTTTCCACGGGCAACTGAATGTCCGATGATAGGTTGCATGTGAAAATATCAAGGAGGTAGTCTTGCGCAGCTATCTTGACAAATTCCTCCAGTGTAGCGAATGGTGATGATACTGGAATATAAAATGCGGATATAGGCTTATGCGTGGACGAAACCTTTCTGGTGAGAACCGCAGCATACAGATGGAGTAGGACGGTGCCTACGGGGCAAATGCATCAGTAGAGGGTACATCTCAGGGGGTCCAGTTGACGCACAATCCTTCCCGCCGTTAAAACTCAGGGATAGATGATCTTGCCTATCGAGTAAAATCTCAGTCTGATGAATAGTGCATGAGCAATGAAAAACTACTGCTTACCCATATTGGTCCAGACACTGCTCGATGACCTGCAAGGCCTCTCTCACTTGGGGAGCTATAGGCTCATCTGACTCTGCGAGATTGTAAACGTCGCTCGCTATCTTCTGGTAGTCCATACTGCCCCGAATGACGTGGATGTTGAAGATGCTGAGGGGGCAACCCAGCGACGGTCTAACGTGGAGTACCTAGAGAAGATGTTGCCCAGTAAATACGGCTGAGAGTGTTTCATACAGCAACGGTGTGGGTAGTACGAGCCTGGGAGATCTATTGTGAGAAACTGGGTTTGGTCTATCTAAATCTTGCGCCAATACCATCATCTGATCAATCTCATATATAAATACTGCTCCTCTTATAGCACTGCACAGTTCTTTCAAGTTAACAGCGATGGCAGCCGTGGTACTCGTCACCGGAGGCACTGGACTCGTCGGCAAAGCCATCGAGTATGTTATCGAGCACGAACCAGAGGGCTCACGCTTCGGAAAGCGCCCGGGGGAGAAATGGATCTTTGCTGGCTCTCGCGAGGCCGATCTAAGGTACTGTCATATAACTATCGACCTGATAGCAAGTTTCAATATGTAGTGCAGAAACCCAGAGGAAACTCTAAAGTTGTTTGAGAAGTACCAACCCACTCATGTCATCCATCTGGCTGCACTTGGTATGCCTGAGTTCGGATCAGGATGAGCCCATCTGATCTGCCTTTCTATAGTGGGTGGTCTCTTCGCGAATAGAGAGCGGAAGGTAAGGATCAATATCCACTGTCGCATGCGATCTGACTCCTTGTAGATGACTTTCCTCCGTGACAATATGCTGATCAATGATAATGTCCTCCATACTGCTCACATCAAAGGGACAGAGAAAGTCATATCTTGTCTTTCGACGTGTGTCTTCCCGGACAAAGTCGAATACCCACTCACAGAGGAGAAGGTTCACCTCGGACCACCACACTCGAGTAACTTCGGATATGCGCATGCGAAGAGAATGGTAGATGTCCAGAACCAGTATGTCACAATTCCTCTTAGGTACCTGTTACTGTGGCTCATATTTACTGCGTAGTGCTTACAAGGAGGAATTCGGCTGCAACTTCACGTCTGCTATCCCGACTAACGTGTTTGGACCTCATGATAACTTGTACGCTTAACCATTGCAAATGTAACAACGTGCTAATTGATCCTTCTAAAGTGATCTGAAGCATGCGCATGTGATGCCCGCACTGATCCATAAATGTTACCTGGCACAAAGTCCATTTTCCCCTCATTCCAAATGTTCTGCACATTGATACGTCCCCAATATAGAGAACAACACATCATTCAAAGTTATGGGTGACGGCTCGCCCCTCCGTCAATTCATCTACTCCCGTGACCTAGCCAAGCTATTCATCTGGCAAATGCGCGAGTACGAATCCGTCGAACCTGTCATTCTTTCAGGTTAGCTTTCGTATATTTGCTGACGTGGAGGTTGCTGAATAGCTCCTAGTGGACGAGAATGACGAAATCAGCATTCGCGATCTTGCAAACTCCATCGTCAAAGTTATGAATCACCCTGACAAGCCCGAGGTACGCGTTCCGTCTTACTGCTTACCAAGTACCTGAGCATAGGTACTCTCATCATGAAGTTCGAGAACGAACTTAATGACAACGGCCAAGACCGCAAACCCGCATCGAATGCAAAGCTCATGAGCCTGATTGGCTCTGACTTCAAGTTCACGCCGTTTGAACAAGGTTTGTTGTCCTCATTTGCTCATTTCAGTCCCTGATCATTGACCGTGTCGTACAGCTCTTGAGGAGACAGTGACATGGTTCCTACAGAACTACGGCAACGCGAGGACTGGGCAATCTCACGCTTAGACAGGTTGGGGGGAAATGGACAATCGTAGAATTCAGTTGCGTTTCATTGTTTGCCTGCTTTCCAATTTTTTTTGCCTGTATATGGACAAGCACTTACCACTGCTGACCGAGAAGGAGTGACAGTTGTACCTCAAATATATATAAGTTGGACTATACATGATGTTGATCAATAGTCGAAGAATCTCTCGTGATGCTGCGCCCCAGCATCCTCAATTGACTTGATCCCCTCAGTCGTCAACTCCGGAACATTGGCTGTATAAAGATACCCTCTCATCCTATCCGCCTTGCTCAAAGTGCTGATCGATACTATGTGAGCCTCTGTAACATTATTAACATAGCACACTCAGAACGAAACTTACGTGACGATTGAAACGCAATACTGCTGCAACCACTTGTTGACCCGAACATCTGATACGGGCGGTCTTTGAGTGGACTCAAGACGTGCATGTTGTCATTGACGTGATCCAGGCCAGGGGGTTCTCTTGGTCGCGGAAGGGGCGTCAGGCTACCTGCAAGAGGCCGTAATGATGCTAAGTTCTTTGTTCACCACAATCACAGGCTGAAAGGACTTCCGCACATACGGATAGATCTCGACCTTTCAGGGTGGTGGTCAAAAACAGCAGTGACACTAATTAAACATGTTCATCACATCTCGTGTACCTGGTTGATCGAAGGCGGAAACTCAGCGCCCCAAAAAATCTCCTATGTGTGCAGGCGTCTACATCAGGATATTTAAAAGTAGGTCAGATCGTTGGCTCGGATTGCTACCCTATATGGTCAGGCCTGTACTCGCAGCGCCATGCCTCGCACGACGTTTTATTAGAAGGAACGACTATCAATTTTCTGATGATCCGAACTTGCATATTCGCCTTGCGCACTAACTTCAGTCTTTCGTCGTCGACTTGTCCTCGCTCAGTTGTTTTCCCAAATCGAAAAAAACTTCTTTCATTGACATTGACACCAGTGATCATGACGTACTGTACTTCCAGCAAGCATGAATCAGTCAACGCAATATGAATTGGGATGCTCAAGTGACATGAACCTTGAGGTTCATTACTTCTGGAAACCAAGTATTTCGAAGCCCTGTACAACTTCATGCTCGAAGCTCTGTTCACCCTACATGCAGCATCGTGATTGTGCTCGCGACTTCGAAGGATAGCAACGCCTCCCCGTTCGCTTCCATGGTCACATTGATCGTAAGGAACTTCTCAGTGGTCGGTCGTCTCGAGGTACGGGAGACCAGATTCATGTGGCTCCAAGAACAGACTCGAACTCCGTGTCTCTCCTTCGATAAGTCGTTGATTGAATTTAGATTCGTTCCTTGAAGTCCACCACTCGCTGGGGGTTAAAGTCGCGAATGCATAGCGGTCGCGACTCATGCTCCAACTTCTGGTCGCTGACCAAAGATACAGTCCGAAAGCCAAAGCTGAAATGTTTGCAAGGATAGTACGAGTTCTCCTTGAAGGGCCGACTGTGATTTGGGCCCCAACTCAGCTGGACCAATGCAGACTAGAGGTGTCTCTATTTGCTTTTCCATAAAGGCTCGTACTTGTAGACTCGAGTTCCAAGAGGGTATTGTGCTTGACAAAGAATGTGAAACAAGCCTTGGAGGTGAGAGGCTCTCAGAGAACAATGCCATATGCTAGTCGTGAAGGTGAAGAAAGTGCCGCTCGAGCAGATAATTTGTTTGTTTGTAGTTGTTGCTTGGATGTCATGATGGTACATTGACAGGTTAATATTTGGACCCGTTGTATGTGCTATGTCACCGTCCTAAACAGTGAACAGTTGCACAACCGCGTTTCATTAATTTCATTCATCACTATCCCTTGGAAGCCTTAAAAACGACTGATGGCGCTCCGCCCCAGCACTCTCAATCTCCTCCAACATCTCCTCGGCCGTCAATTCCGGAATGTCACCCGTATCAACATACTCTCTAATCCTGTCTGCCTTCGTCGAAGTGGTGGTCGATACCACCTGAGCCCTTGAACATACTGACAAAGTGAAAACTTACGGACGACCAGAATGTCACGCTGCTGCAACCACTTGTTGAGAACCTGACTGCTTGCCACCGGCTTTCCCCGTGTGGCCTCAAGACGTGCCCTGATCATGATCCAACGGTCCCTCTGGTGCGCAAAAAAGGGGCGATAGCCCACCATACGATGATGCAATGATACCGTATTCTTTGTGCCATGCAATCACAGGTTGCAAGTTATTCCACACACATACGGATGGATTTCGAGCTTCCATACCTCCTTCAGCCGGCCTGCATGGTCGCCGGGCACGTGTACTAGGTATGGATCCACGTACTCCAAGCCCAGTTTCTCTAGCGACGCATGCAGCGCGGTCTTGGCTGTCTGCCCGGGCTGCTGCAATGGACCGAGCTTCGTCGTGACGAAGAGCGAAGGGCGCGGCACCCCGGAGGCCCTGATGGCAACGCCTAGACTCACCTCATTCTTGTACATTTGGGCACAGTCAAAGTGGGTGAAACCGTTGGCAAGAGAGGATTTAACAGTGTTCTGTACATCTTGCTGGTAGAACGCCGTGCCAGTGCCAAATGCTATCCAGGGGACTTGGTTGCCATCGTTGAGCGGGATTGTGGATGACGTCACGCTGTGAAATAGCGTTGGCAAGCAGGAGAGTAACATACTGATACCTCAAGTGATGACGAGGTGCGAAATCTTTCCGCCAAATTGATGCACAGTCGGACCATATTCATACCACTCAAGCGGATCGAATAGTCCACAGAAGTCATTGTTGAGTGTGCAATTTATGGCCTTGCATTCATCAGATATGATCCATTGATCCTCCACGGCCCGGGATCATGGAACTCTATGTCGCTATCAACTATCTCCTTTACGGAGGGGATCAAAGTCGACCTGGCTCTTCCATCCAAGAACATGCTCGGCCTTGGCAGGTCCTTGGCCGAGGAGAAAGCTGCATGCAAGTATTAATATAGTAACTGAACAATTCATACTCGACTTTTGTGGGACGGAGTGGCCGCCGGGCCGACGCACTTCATAACTCTCCTGCACGCCAGAGTTTCACCTCAAAAAAATGACAGGCCTGTTGGGGAAATACCCGATGAAGTCACCTCACCGCTGGTCTGCAGTTGTCGGTGTTCAAGTGTGTCGTTGGCACGCTCAGGTGGGTGGTAGACGACACTATCGCAAAATACCTCTTTACGATCATATGTTGAAGGAGGGTGTCATTGGCTGTGCGAAGGTGGCCTCGGTACTCAAGGATGCTGTCGCAGCAACATATTGACCGTAAAAGGAAGATCGACGTTCCTTCTTATTACGGCTCTGACCTGTCTTCATGACTTGATTCGGAATGAGGTGGAGAGGGACTTGATAGCTCCGAGGTCCAATTACCCACACAGGCATGCGCACCCATCAAACCCGGTAGCTTCGTCAATCTCAGTCCTTCCATAGTTGAGTATTCCAATTATGATTATGATGTTTTACGCGTTACATTATAGATCTTTGAGACACATGCGCTTCACTACAGCTGGCTGTTTCCCCTTACCTGAGTCGCAGATGCACCAACATTGAAGGAGTATTTGGTAGGCTTAAAAAACGCCTGATGGCGCTCCGCCCCAGCACTCTCAATCTCCTCCATCTCCTCGGCCGTCAGCTCCAGAATGTCACCTGTATCAACATACTCTCTCATCCTGTCGGCCTTGGTCGAAGTGCTGGTCGATTCCATATAAGCCCTCGAACATACGGACAAAATGAAAACTTACGTGACGACCACAATATCATGCTGCTGCAACCACTTGGTGAGAACCTGACTGCTTGTCACTGGCTTTCCTCGTGTGGCCTCAAGACGTGCCCTGATTCTCTCAATGAGAGGATCCAGCGGTCCCCCTGGTGCGCGAAAAAGGGGCGATAGCCCACCAAACGATGATGTAATGATACCGTGTTCTTTATGGAACGCCATCACAGGTTGCAAGCAATCCCACATATACGGATGGACTTCGAGCTTTCAGGGATAGCAGGACGCGTCGTCAAAATTACTACCGCCAATATAATCAATTTATCACATTCCTCTCACCTGATTAACGCAAGGCAGGAACTCAGCGTCCTCCAAAATTTCCTGCAAATGCTCCACCCCAAAGTTTGACACCCCAATGGACTTTGCCAGCCCCTCCCGCTTACACTCCTCCATCACCTTCCACACCTCCTTCAGCCGGCCCACGTGGTCTGAAGGCGCATGCACCAGGTACAGATCCACGTACTCCAAGCCCAGCTTCTCCAGCGACGCAGACAGCGCAGTCTTGGCTGTCTGCCCAACCTGCAGTGGAGCGAACTTCGTACTGACAAATAGCGAAGAGCGCGGTACCCCGGAGGCTTTGATAGCAGCTCCTAAGACGGCTTCGTTCTTGTACCGCTGTGCAGCGTCAAAGTGCGTGAAACCGTTGGCGATGGCGCATTCCAGAATTTTTTGTGCGTCTTCTTGATGGACGAGCGCTGTGCCGGTGCCGAATGCGATGTTTGGGATTTTTGTCCCGTCATTGACTCGGAGATGGAATGTGGGTATTGTCATACTGTGGGTAGAATGTCAGAGAAGATTGGGGATAACTTTATACCTTGTGGAGAGGTGGCAACATTGTCGTCATGATGCTATGGTATGCAATGCTAAACGAACAGAATGTGGATTAGCGTTGTCGATCGGTGTCGCCACGTCGACCCGCCCTTCCGGAGTGGGATTCCGTCAAAATTACAACCTATCACGATTCAAACTACATTCATACCTACCAAAAGAATCAAATTGCAACAGTAATAGGGTATTTGTCCACAGAAGTCCTTTGTCAATCGTACACGGTTGTACCAATGAAATTTACGGCTTTTTCTTTTAGCCTCTGATCAGTTCTGGTCCTCCACGAGGCTCTTCGTCGCTTTCACATCCGCGTTCACCATCTCTTTCACGAGAGAATCAAAGTCGACCTTGCGCTTCCATCCAAGAACACGTTCGGCCTTGGCAGGGTTGCCGAGCAAAAGGCTGGGTACGTGCATGAATATTTACACGACGAGGCACGTTGATAGAGAGAAAAAGACGTACTCGACTTCTGCGGGGCGGAAATACTGCGGATCAACTTTGACGACCACTCGCTCTGTCTGAGCGTCATAGCCCTCCTCCTGCACGCCGGAGTTACGCCACCTGAGACATGTCAAACGTCAGGGGGTGACGTAGTACTTTGATAAGAAGACGGGTACCTTATCGTCACACCGACAACTGCAAAGGCCTTTTCGACGAATTCTCTCACAGGGTGAGTCTCTCCGGTGGCAAGAACGAAATCATCAGGGGTGGGTTGCTGGAGCATGCGCCACATGCCCTCGACGTAGTCCTTGGCTATCATAATCGTTAGCTGAGACGATGTGACATCATAAGGAGATCGTACCATGTCCCCAGTCTCGCTGAGCATCGATGTTACCGAGGTACAAACAGTGCTGTTTGCCGATGCTGATATCGGCGACAGCCCTGGAGATCTTCCTCGTTACGAATGTCCTGCCTCGCCTTGGGCTTTCATGGTTGAAGAGGATGCCGTTACAGGCATACATGCCGTATGCCTCACGGTAGTTCACGGTGATCCAGTATGCGTAGAGCTTGGCAACGCCGTAAGGGCTGCGAGGGTAGAATGGGGTGGTCTCGCTCTGTGGGGTCTCGACGACCTTTCCATAGAGTTCCGAGGTGGACGCTTGGTAGAACCTGGCGTGTTTCTCAAGCCCTACAGTGCGGATAGCGTCGAGGAGGCGGAGGGTGCCGAGACCATCAACATCTGCGGTGTATTCTGCCATCTCGAAAGAGACCTTGACATGTGATTGAGCGCCCAAATTGTAGATCTCTGAAGGGAGAACCTGGGCGAGGATGTAGACGAGGTTTGTGCTGTCGGAGAGATCGCCGTAGTGGAGTTTGAACTTGTTGGGACCTGGGGAGTGGATTGTGAGGAGGTCACACGATCTGTTGTAAATACGTACGTTCGTGCTGGTCTGCGTAGAGAGACTCTAGACGACCGGTGTTGAAGCTGGAGGAACGACGAATTATACCGTGGACTTCGTATCCCTTCTCCAGGAGAAGTTCTGCGCTGTGATGGACATGAGTGGAGTGTGAGATGGTGAGGAAGGGACTCACAGATAGGAGCCATCCTGACCGGTTATTCCTATAATTTATAGTTTTAGTATAGTATAGATAAAAAGAGGACACGCCAGCAGATAGCGCGTCACGAGAGTCCCAAAGGGGGGTGAGGATGATACGAACCAGAGAGCAGTGCTACTTTCCTCTTCCTGAACTCCTCCGGAGATGGAAGATCGATCTTCATGGAAGGTGAGCGAGGGACTTCGGAAGCCATTTGGATGAGTGAGAGTGGGGATGTGACGAATTTGAGGTGAGCTGCGGGTATTTATGGGAGATAGGACAGTAAGGGCGGTGTCGCGTAATGAAAATGAGGAACACACGGAGGTTCAATTACTTCAAATCAAGGACCTTCACAAGTGATGTAAAATGATGAGATCAAGTGTGAACTGCGCATGCGAGCACCCTGATCAAAAAATTAACCGCTCGTAGTTCACCGACTACCGACGACGGGGATCGAACCCGCAACCTTTGCCTTAGGAAGGCAACGCACTACCATTGTGCTACGACGGCTTGTCGACTGACCTCAAATAATATTACTTGTACGTTCAACTCTCGTAATGCTTATATTGACCCTATCTATCTGTATCGCTTCAACTCACAATGAATGTACTAGTGTATCCTAGCACACATCCAGCAACTCCTTCCCTCCTACAGATCCTTACTTCAATACTCACCCCGCACTATCTACCACAGTCACTAGCACCCTCTCAACTATCCGTGCAAGAATACCCATGGCACACCTCCTGCGCCCTTCTCATCCTCCTCTCCCCGCCCACAGATCATCCACCTGTTCGAAAATACCTCGAGTCCGGAGGTAGGATATTAGCATTCGGCGTCTCCGTCAGAAAAGGTTCTCTATTCGGACTGCACGACTCAAATCACGACTTTGGATCACTATCCGCGGGGCTTGGTTTGGGCATGGTCAAGGACACGACTATACTCAGAGTTGCTGATGGAAACGCCTCCCTCTACATCTCTTTTTCCACTGCTACAGGTACGAGCGCAGATGTATCGATCGACACCACCACAGTATCTGTATCAAGACTACCCTCGGACCTCGACCCAAGTGATGCACACATCCTCGGTCGTTACGTAGACGCGCCTGCCGGGGTCTTATCTCAAAGCGGGCTTGTCGCGATGTGGAATTGCATCCCACCCCTTCCCGATGTCCTGCTGTCACGATCCATGTCTGCACTTGGTCTGCGTTTCTCCGCGCAGAGAGCTGATCCCGATCTTCAGCCTCACATTCTTCCCCAACTTCTTCTGGCTCGTCCCGATTCGTGGGACGTGCAGCATCGTGTCGTGGAGGCACTTCTCGATCATTTAAGACCTGGGTCAGCTCACCGTGACAACGAATCTCAGCGCAAGCTGGAGCCCTTCGCGTTCGAAGATGCCAACGACGATTTCCATTTCCATTTCCCGTCCTTCCCTCCCGCAGACAGAACCGATCACCCCATACTTGAACTCATTCCACAAAATTCTCTTTCAAACCCGAAAGTAAAACACGTCCTCGTACCGCCGAAACCCCTAACTTCCGAAGACGAGAAGATATACACCCCACAATTCTCTTCTTCTGCATTCTTCCGCGCCATCGACGAGTTCCGCTCAAGAACGGAAAACTTCGACCAAAGCCCGGACTCTTGGCGCATCGGCGATGCATTCATGTATGGCGAAGTGGTCTCCAGCACACAAACAATGTTTGACAAGTGCGTGTCATCCAATCATGAACATCGCAACGCACACTGAGACCCCCTCAGAAACCCATCCTTCCTCCGTGCACTCCCCGCTCCTATCGTATCCCTCGCCACAGTCCAGTTGGCAGGACGTGGCCGAGGCGGTAACTCGTGGCTCTCCCCTGCGGGGTGCATGCAGATGTCGCTCAAGATTCGCGTCGGCCTGAAAGGCTCTTCGTCAGGTAAGACTAATCCACTCATCAGTAGTTTCAACTCTATCTAATACCGTCCAGTACCTGGCCCCTCCATCCGCCCCTCCATCCGCCCCTCCAACCTCGTATTCATACAATACCTCTTTGCGTTAGCAGTCGTCGACGCCTGTCAGGCCCTAGACCCAAACTCACAATGGGCGCACAAAGTCCGTCTCAAATGGCCTAATGACATCTACGGCCTCTTCCCGTCCGACAAACCATTATCAAAACCAGAGCCAAGGAAAATCGGCGGAATACTAGTTAACACGAGTTTTGGCGGCGGCGTGGCTGATGTGGTAATCGGTACCTCCATCTATCTCCTTGTCCTCATGAAGGCTGAGGCTCATCAATAGGATCCGGCCTCAACGTGCTGAACGAGCCACCAATCGCCTCACTCGCTCAACTTGCTTCCTCTGGTACATCTACGCCAGGGCTTTCTGTAGAACGCGTAGCAGCGGCAGTTCTCACATCGTTTGACCGGTTATGGAGTTCTTTCCTGGAGCGCGAGGAGCAGGGGTTTCAGCCATTCATGGATCATTACCTCAGGTCTTGGTTGCACACGTGCGTTTTTTGTATTGAGCGCACAATGATCACTCATAGCTCTCCCACAGAGACCAACTCGTCACGCTCACCAATAGAACTCCACACAGGAGTGTGCGCATTGTTGGCATCACTCCTGACCATGGATTGCTGCGCACAGTGCCGCTGAGTGGTGGAGAGTTCATCGATCTACAGCCAGATGGGAACAGTTTCGATATGATGAAGGGGTTGATATCGACAAAGAAGCAGTAATCATCTCGAGTGTAATCGTATCAGAGCAACATAAGGAATTCTTGAATCGGCTACAAGCTAGATCATGCTTCAACTTTTACAACCGCTGATGCCCCTTCACCGCCCGTACCCTTGAAGTTCAGCCACTCCTCGTAATATACGCACTCTTGTGGATTTGTGGGCCCCTTTTCACGACAGAAGTCGAATACAGGACATCTGCCGCACGGAGCCTGTGACCACCCTAGGGCTACTCGTTCCTGCCTAATGGCTCGGTAAACAAACGCTCCACCAACGCTGATGCCGTCGTCCGCCTCCGGAGACTCGAATTTGACGCGTTTTGAACTTGAGCTTGCTTTTTTCTTCGTCTTCGTCTTCGTCTTCACCTTCTTCGGCTTTGATTTTGATCTCGATTTCGAATGACGGTCATCGTCAGAGTCGGATTCAGATTCAGAATCATCATCAGAGGAATCACCCCGCTTCTTCCCCTTGCCCTTGCGTTTAGATGTCGAGGACTTACGGTCATCATCATCACTGCCCTCGCTCTCATCCCTTGCTTTGCGTTTCTTTTTCTTCTTACTTCTGCGATCCTCCTCCTCATCGCTGCTCTCTTCCTTCTTGCTCTTACTTCGTTTCCTCTTCCGTTTCAACCGCTCTTCTTCCTCAGACTCCGAAACACTATCGCTGTCTGATTCCTCTGTACGTCGCCGTTTACGCGTTTTAGTTTTAGTTTTAGTGTCTTTCTTCTTTTTGGATGTGCTGCGTTTGCGCTTTTTTCGAGTGGTTTCTGCGTCCGAGTCCGAGTCCGAGTCCGAGTCTGAGCTAGATCCGGATTCTGAATTGTCAGAGTCGACGGTAGCGTCCCAAGCAGATGCTGTGAACGCAGGCAGCTATAAAACCCAAACCAACGCATCAATCAATCAACCAATCGGCATACCATCCAAGCAAACGAAAAACACTAACCTTCTCAATCTCCCCATCCAATTCAAGCACCCTCAAAAGCATCTCAACATGGTCAACGCCCAACAGCGTCTCCGTGATCTTGCTCTTACTCAAGAAATGCTGGATTTGCTGTGCAGATGGGAAAGAGGGTGCAGCGCCTATGGAGTAGAGTCTGTATTCGTTTTGTGACGAGGCTTTGTTGCTTTGTTTGGGGAATGACTGTGTCATAAATCGAATGCTGTGAGTTTGAGTTTTTGGCGGTGGGAAAAGGGGAAAGGAATGGGGGAGACGCACACGGTCACGGATGTAATGCAGACATGCAGTTGAGAGAAGCTTGATGAATTCTGTGTCGAGTTCGTTGTCGGTGTACCATGGTCCACCTGTTAGTTCGACTGAAGGTTCTAAGTGCGCGAGCATGTAGATCTTGCGAGTTGGGTGCTAGCGTAGCGTGTTAGATGTAGATGAAGAAACGCGCCAGGGCACATCGAATGGAAGAGCGGAACGCACCCTGACGGCTTTGATAGCTTTCACGAGCTGCTTCTGAACGAGTGATTTTAAACATCTGTCGATTACGGTTTGGTGCAATTCGGTTTTGGCTTTTAGATGTTTTGTCCAGATTCCTGTGGAAGACATGGGATGAGTCTTTGCATTTGAACGTGTGGTATGCTATTCGACGCGTAGAGCTCACCTTCATTGGCGGAAGCTTGGATATGGCCGAGTACCATGGCTTCTTCACCGCTCATATCTTTTTTCCTGTGTTACAAGCATCAGGGACGTCATAGGGGAACAGATGAAAGTATGATACACACACTTCTATCTCCTTTTTCATCACAGCTCGAAAAGAGATGACGCCTGCCGCGTTGGACAGGACTTTGAGCATGCCCTGCCGCGTTTGTATGTCAGCTCGGTAGGAAGATGCTTTCTATGCGGGAACTCACAGCTCCCAGAAGGAAGTTGACTGCTGCTGTACGTGCGGACACATCTGGGATGATCTTTTCAGCTTCTTTCGAGGTTAGGACCTATGATTCGGAGTAAGATCAGTGTGGTACTTATGGGAGAGATGGACTCGCTTTGTCGGTGCTTGAAAGCGCAGCTTGGTGGAGCTTTTGCTCCTCTGGGTTGAGTTTTCGCCCGCTCATGATGCGGGGAGTGGATATGACCTGCTCGATCCGATCGATCAAGTGCAGAGTTGAGTTGGACAACTTGTCCACAGACTCATTAGACCGGGTCCGGGTGCAATCCACCACGTGGTTCGCTAAAGTCATAAGCGCCTATTAATAGTCGCAGTGCGCATAGACTCATCGCTTCAACTGACGCCCTCGTCCTCGGTGAGTTTCTACAGCGCCAGGACTCAGTAACGGATATCAGGACATGGATGAAAATCGGGCTACAGCAGGAAATTCGCTAGCTACGGGCTTGGACGACCTTGCTTCTTATCTCGAAAAAAGCTCTCATGTCGTCCTAGAGTATACTGACATGTAAGGTCGTGTTTTTATTGCCATTGCACATCAGCACTAATTGAGATATGGGCAGCATCGAGCACAGGTATGCACGTCCGGCATTAGACAAATTATCCAGATACTTCCAGGATCAGCCGTTGACAGTGGTGCGTCTTACTTCCGGAAGATCATATGAGAAGGCTTCCAACATCTCTTCAGACTTGGCTCACGACGACTCTCACTCTCTTCGCTGTTATGAGTATCCTGCCGGTTCTGTCATTCATGTGCGTTGACAGCTTGCCCTTGACATTACAGAATCTCATGAGATTTCAGAGGCCTATCGATCTTCGCGGTGTGCAGCTCCATGTCCATTGCGCTTACGTTCGGATTCGTGGCTGTCGTCGCATTCGAAACCATGTTCGGTATACACATGTCATTCCCAAATTACGAAAAGTCACTGACCTCCCCGCAGCCACATTTCTCCTCTTGGTACTAGGAGGACTACTGCTCTTCTCTTTCGTCTTCACCACATTCGGCGTGATGGCATATCTCACCTTCCGTCTCGGCCAACACCTCCAATTACAAGGGCACTTTGGAATAGCAGAATGGGCTCAAGAAACAAAGCAACATTTCACTTTCGTTAGTGTGAAACCTGAAGACAACGACGATTCAGACGGGTCTGGCGTATTTGTTGCACGTGAGGCTAACGACAAAGTGAAAAGTGAAGACGGGTCTCCCTCACGCTCCGTGATGGTATCCCCCTGCTCAAATTGACGCAAACGGACTTTGTGTTCATACTTTTCGCATTTCGTTTCTTTGCTGCATAATTCATTTTTTGGCACGCGTTCAAATCACGCCTATAGCTGACCAGGTATACTCACGTATGAGACTGTATCGTTTGTTATTTGCACTTTCATTCTCTGCACCCACTGTGTATTGTACTATAACCCCATCACATGTTGTCGATTTCCTGGACCCGTTGAATCCCCAATGGGCTGCAAGGTCGCCACGATGTCAGGTATTCGATTGTTTCCCCCCTTGCCCGTTCACTGTTACGACTCAAGTCTGCTATTTAAGTGGGTCCGTTGACACACCGCTCACACCTTCGTTGAAATACTTGTATTGGAATTTGGCCCAGACTTTTCGGGAAGCGGAGCAACACCACTAGCGCTTCCCAGAAGAATTCGATGTCAGTGTTTGGTTCGAGACTGGGATGTTAGCCGAAGACAGAAGAGAACAGACTCAATGTAACTATATTTGATATGCAAATTCTTCCCTATAATCCTACAAGGCGCCCATGGACGGATAACAGTTACGCTCTTAGTTTCTTATCTTCCTCAAATGTGTCTTTGACCTGCAAAATGCAGTCAAAATCAAGTTACCTGAAGGACAGGTGACACCTACTTTTTGGAAGAACACGTCGTCAGTCAGTACTCGCATGCCTACAGCTGCGAGTGCCTTCGATACCACCAAACAGGCGTCATGGGATGCTTCGGAACGTGCAGCTTCCGTGAATCCTGGTGTATGATTCCCGCCGTCTGGAATGGTCGGGATGGCTTGAGCAAAACGTTAGTGTCTTGCTGGTTGGTTTGGAACCTGCGCTACTTACAAAAACCAGGGTGAAGACCAGGCATCACTGGCGAACAAGAACGTCATTAGCAAAGGTTGCCTACCCCCCGGTCATGGAGGTTGACACACAGTATGATATGTTCCCCTTGTGGGTCCGAAACATCAGCTCTATCGCACTTTCTGGATGAGCGACATACTCACGAAATCAGTAGAAGCACTCTTGATACCCCATTCATAGTCGATGGAACCATAGCGCTTCAGAACGACATCAGCAAGCTCGTCGCCTGATATCATATTCAGTACCAAGCCACTGCACGCCGTGATTTCATACCAAGTGCTTTGTTTTGCCTGATTTCGTTGCCTACCGATCCGATCGTAACTTGAACTTTGCATCCAGATGCGAGTGCAGCCGCTCTGTGACGAATAGAGATGTCGCCGCTTAATCGATTGAACATGTTGATAATGAAAGACTGACTCAAAGCAGGAAATGACGCGCTTCCTAGTATCTTCCATCTCTGATGTTGTGGGAGCACGGACTAACCACCTGTATTTGTGATTAGAGTGATCGAAGTAGGAATTCCTGAGATCGACTTACTGCATTATAGCATGGTCTGGGATGACTGGTTTCTCAAAGATTATCTTCCAAGTCTGTTTCTACGGAGATAGTGAAAATCTCACTGTTTGGAGCCCAATCCTTGCCTTCAAAGACGCCGTGCACGCGATGGGTAGGTTTGATCTGCTGACGAAGAAGGGAAACGTTATTGTATGCGAGGACGGCCGCATCAAGTGCATTTAGTCCCTCCCAGGGGCTTAACCCGGCGTGAGCGCTTCAAACGCGAAGAATGAGATACCACAACTCGATAGAGAGTATGAAAGATACTCACGTATGGCCTTTATACTCCACCGTGATGCGAGAGATAGCCAAGCAGCCAGACAGACTAATGGAGTGGCGAGGGCCAGGTGCGGGATGGCACCTTCAAAGTAGGTTGAGTAACCCTGGTCATCTGATCTGGACCACCGGTAGAGAAACTGACATGAGGCACACATCCATCTCATCATAAGCCCCCTTTTCATACAGCATGACCTTGCCAAACCCACCCTCTTCGGCTGCCTCGAGTGTTATCCCGAAGCCAACTATCACAAATGCAGACACCGACGCACCAGGTGTACCCAACAGAACTACCTTTCCATCGATATTCAGCCTCTCCATAGCAGCCTTAGCTGCAAGAGCTACCGCCACTCCAGATATCCCAATAAGATTGTGTCCACAAGCGTGTCCGATCCCAGGAAGCGCATCCATCTCAGAGTTGACACCCAAAACGTGCCCTCCTTGTCCATGGGTGTAGGTAGCCACCCACGCAGTCTCAAGATGATAACTCTTAGTCACTGCAAAACCATGTTTTTCCATAAATGCAGTGTATGCATCGTGGGCATATCTGTGATGATGCTCTGAGTGTCTGCGCATAGCTATGGCGTGCGATGAGATCCAACATACTTTTCTTCGAACTTCAGCTCTGGATGGCCTTTCGAAAATGCGTCAATATAAGATGCGTTGAGAAAAAAGAGAAGTACCGCCCTAAGGGTTGATTACCATGAATATCGAGACTTAAAGCCCTCAGCTCGCTGCTTAGTCCATCAAGGGTCGTGTCAATTACGTTGAGTATGTCAGGCCTGTATACCTGGCCCTCCTGCTTCGGTGGTCTAATATTTGGATCATCTTCTGGTCGCCAAACTATGTCAGACATGGCGAGAGTAGAAAGAGCACCTGTGGGCGCTTGATTGATTGACTGATTGATTGATTGGCAATTTCAAGTTGGTACTATTAGGTAGACAGTCCTAGTCATGTCATTGCCGAATACTGTATCAAGCCAACCAACACGATACGAACCGTCTTGTGACTACGATGTCTGGCGCCTGCATTACAAGAGTGTTCACATTGCTGGGCTCATTATATTGGCGGTACCATGGCATTGTATTAGATGACTGCTCCGAGTCTGCCAGTCTGAGATTGGAGTACATGCTTTTGTCAGGTGAACATGATCACAAGTTCAACACAATTGTTGTCTGTGAACAAAGAGTCTCATGAAAGATGCGCCGGGAAAGGTTCGGCCAGCTCGTAGTAATTCTCCAGTTGTTGCTTCAAAATTTCAAATACATGCGCAATTCGACATCAGAAGCCGCGTTACCCACATAATCAATATCAAAATCGCCACTTATTCCTCCATCTCATCACCCCTCCCGTTGCCCGCACCACGCACTGCCCAATTCTCGCTCCATCTCGGGTACACGCGCTTATACAACGACATACATACGGTATCCATCTGGTTGACGGGCCCATCGAAATGTGCCTTGAAATATCCATGAGTCCCAAGCGACTCCCGGATATGTCCCGTCCGCCCATGTTTCGTGAACAGCTGAATAGGCTTGAAATACTGGATATCGTCTGTCCCAGGGAATCTGTGAGCACGGGGGGAAAAGAATAAAGTACAGGAACACAGACCTGGGTTGAAGAACATGTACCGCACTGTAGCGGTTTTTTTGTGCACTTTGAACGGGTGGCCTGTGAGGATGATTCGTTTCGCGATGATACGCGCCGTATCAGGGTTCATGAATGTGCCCATTGCCACGAGCTCCGGCACTGTTCATTTCAATCAGTCAATCGATCGTCTCTGCGGTGGGAGGAAAACGAGCGCACTTTGTGGATCTTTCGTCTCACGTAGGAGCATGCATGGCTGCTTCCCGAACGCAATTGGTGCGTAGACGCTGACGACAGTCGTGGTCCCGTGCCATAAGAACCTCTCAAATTTGTGGACATTGTTCGCGCCTTTTCCGCCTCCGCGGGTGTGTTGAGAGTACACGGGGTTGACGCGCAGCCTGCGGGGTCCGTAACACAAAATCAGGGGGTCCTTTGTGGAGTTCAGTTGCGACCAAGTAGGAAAAAGGCCATCAGACGACGAACCTTTGATTTGACAGAACCTTCGCACTCTGTGTTCCGCTGCACAGTGAAGTGTAGGACTGTCTTCTTGTGCTCGTGTTTCAGCAATCCATATAGGACAAGCGGCAACTGCGATGGCACGCTGGCTTGGTGCGGGACACCTTCAATACAGATTGTTACGCGTGTGCCGGGCTGCAGTGATTGTTTTTAACGGTCTAGGACGACAATCGGAGCAGGGAACTCCCAACCTCAATACCGTCCTCCTCCAACTCGTGCCACATGTCCCTCTCCGTACGCTTAAAGTCCTCGAACTCGAATATCCGCGCGTACTCACCAGGCAGGTTCTCATACGGGTCCCACGGACTCGTGCGGAGGGATCGAAGCCCACGGAACCGCGCGAACCGTGTACGTGCAGGCATGTCTTGTGGAGTATCTATTTCATCTGGGAAAGCCTGGGCGTCTTGCTCTTCCTGAGAACGCTTGCGCCACGATGTAAGCCTGCGTTGGTCCCACAAATGTCACTCTTGCGGAAGACCGGCTTGGAAAAGAAGAGAACGTACTGCTTTTGTTCTTCTTCCATATCCAGTTCTTGGAACGCGACAACACTTTTGCGCTCGCTTTCCATGTCCGGCGAGTCGTCGAATACCATTTCCTCGTCCTCATCCATCTCCCCTCCTCTCTCCCCGTCCCGATCCTCACGTTCCTCGTTCTCGTCCTGGTCTTCATCCTCGCTCTCCTCCACGATCCATGAAGCTTGGTACTCAGTCATACCCTTGGGAATGCGCTTGATGCGCTTCGGCGTCGTGCCCTTCCTTGCATCTGGTACCTCGCCCTCCCCAGTGCCGTGCAGAGCACCCGCCATCTCCTCCTCCGTCGGCCACGTTTGTTCGTTCGCCATATCATTTGCGACGTTTGTGCTCACCAGGGAGTCAGCGGAGGATGGAACGCGTTCAGCAAGGAGCGCGGGCTCAGCTTCCACATCCATACTGCCAGGCCTGACATGCTTCGTGCGAGGCAGGGGAGCAGACATTATCTAAAGCCATTATAAATCCACCAAATCGATTCATCCCGCACGCACAACGCACCTTCAAAATTTGATAATCCCCATAGTTAGGGATATGCACGAGCCGATTTGGGCTAAGCCTCCCCCCACGCACGACACCCGTCACTTTTAACACCCCGCCCTCTTCTTGCTCCACGCTCTCACCCACCACCCACGGCCGCCCTGAGCGCCACTTGACCTCGCCAGGGCAACCCTCCGCGAGCGAACGCAGGGTGTTGAGCGAGTCTGCTGGCACGCTGAGATCGAATATGCGACGCTGGGTGGGGTCGAAGTATTGTATGAAGGAGAGGAGGCTTTTGAGTACTGATGGCCTGGATTTAACATCGAGGTTTTCAAGTGCCGTTGGTGGGATTGCGGTGATAACTGTAGGGAGCCCTTGGGCTTGGAGCATGCGGAGGAGGGTATCACCTGCGGGGGTAACTTCGATGGTTGGGGAGAGCAGGAGAAGCGTGTAGTCTGCGGCGCGGGCTGCATCTAGTGCGGCGAATGGGCGAGCAAATGGCACAGGGAGGAATTGAAGGGATGTTTTGAATCGGGATGTTCTGTATGTTTGTGGTTAGATCAGCGTAAGATGAAGGAATTGAAGGAACGAACTTCATGGTCCATATGTTTTTGTTCTCATTGATGCCCTGTATCTCTTCATCTACGCACTTTCCGAGGGCTTGGATGCATGCTCGGGTATCGATGTCCTCGGAGAGGGGGATGATGGCGACGATGCGTGGGGCGCCGTCGGTGCCGTTGAAGATGCGGGTCGCGGCGACCAGGGAGGCGCGTTTGGCAGCCTGAACTTGCTTTTGGGTGTTGCGCCTGTTTATGCGAGCCTGTGCGACGGTGCTCACTGCTGGAGATTTTGTGCTCTGACGAGCAGTGCGGCCTGTGGAGTGAGAAACAAGTGCAGAACGACCTTGGGATCGAGATCAGTAAGTAATGATTGGAGAAGCGCACCTTTTGCGATGTCTTTAAGAGCAGATTTTGTGGCATGATGGGATTTGAAAGGTTTGTTTTTCTGCAGTAAGATTAGATGAGATCTGATTTCGAATGAATGAAGGACACACCTGCTTGAGGGTTGATCTGTGATGGTGTCCTTCTACAACCATCGTGGAGGTGCGCACGTTCCTGCAAGGCTCTTCTTCAGCGGAGAATCTTTTAATGTCTAGCTCGCGGTGGACGCGATACTGGTGCAGCAGTACTTAGTAGTACTTACTACGCGATATCGCTCGAGCCTCGAGGCCAAATTTTAGGATCTTGCTAAACTCGGACAGTGCCGGGCCGCAAAGCATGGCCTTTCAAACAAATATTATTTTATTGTACGACACTCTGATGTAGTTCCCCATTGTATCCCGTTATATCTCTAATGTGCGATCGGCCCAGTCATACAGTCAAACAGGTCATACATGTGTGTATCGAGAAACCGAAAGCAACAAGAGGATACCAAATGGACGTTGTGTTTGACATCGAAGTCGTGAACAATCAGCCGTGACAAGCAAGGTGCATTGCACCCAGGTGTTGCATCGCAAAACATCGAGTGCACTGGCCTGCGACGCTTCGTCGCCAGAAAGATTGGTAATCTTGACCTACTGGGGAACAAGTGTATGGACAAGCTCAAGTTGGCTGTCGACAGCGACGAGCACCCTGCCTTGTCCTGCGCCCAAATGGCTTTGTCAGATCACCGCGAAGGATGGGGTCACATACGTCTTGATCGTCCGGCGAGGTCTCATCAGAGCCGAAAGTGTGGGAGTGTAGAAGCAGATATATATGTCCTCCAGGCATAGTTCCGGACGCTCGTATGCCCTCATTTATGAGGGGTGAGCTGCATGTAAAGGAATGGAGGTGAAGGCTGGAGTTGGACACAGCCAGATTCTGGAGCGGCGCGGAAATTTCATATCTTGGTGGAGGACATAGACAATGTACAGCATGATCTCGTCCCATGCTGTCCATAAGAGAACTCGCAACTCCGTGCTCGGCTCCTTTGGGCCCATAAAAGTTGGGTGGTATCTCCCTGGCAAAGTAATCTTTCAGGGTGTTGAGAACTGCAAGAGTGAGAGATGAGAAGGAAACACGGCGAGTCTCTTCTGACATTTGAATGATGAGGGCGTTGCACGAGTACTTCCTCGCAATGGGGATAATGACTGGTCTATGACGCGCTGCCGCTGGCAAGTCTGTGTACGATGGTGGGAGCAAGAATCGCGAGAAACTTTGAAGATTACGGATGTCAGCCACCCAGCTCCCCATTCCATCACAAGTCTCCTGTGCTCTACTGCTGCCTGATCTGCAGCAACTCTGTCGGTGCTGACTATAAAACCCTGAGGACCAAGGCTCTTTCTGAGCTCATATAATTGATGGGCTAGGTTGGGATTCGTGGACTCGAGGTTCGCAAGTGAGTCGAGAGGCCAACGACCACTGTTGGCCACGACCCTGCTCCACGAGTTCGACTGCGTGTCGTAGATTGTCACGACGCATGGGACTCTCGTCAAGGTCACGAGAATGGCCTTGGTACTTGAAGCGAAGTCCAGTGGGAGCGTCAAGTTAATCAGGCGGGCACCGCAGTCACTGGCAGGATGTCCATCAGGGCACAAAAAAGACATCACAACGAAGTTGTACGCTCGTGTCTATATCAAAAATGGTGCCGCTTTGACGAAAGTGTAAGAAGAGTGCACATGACGGCCTGTTGTGTGCTCCTGGACAGTGTTCATTAAAGGACAGAGCTCGAGCACGATTCGTCGTAGCCTCGAAGGTGGATGCCTTCATAGAACCCATCTCGTCGGAGGTCGTTGCACATGCAGATGTCATATTCCACACCATGTTCCAATGCCGCAGTGCTCCGAAGATAGGTGCCCTCAGGACAGAGAGGCAGTCCGGCAGACCATGCGACGAAGCGGAATTAGCAAGTGAAGGTGGTGCTCCTCCTCCTCCTCCTTCTTGTAAGCCTCAACGACAGCAGTTGCGATACGGTCCCAATTCCGCACTGCAAGTTCTGATAGGCTGTCGAACACAGCATCGGGTGACGGCATGCTGCACAGCTATGCCATACATGCTGAAGATTTGACGATATTAATTAGGCCAGAAGAAACATCTAAGTAGAGGGGAAATGTGGCTTCCGTAAAACTCTGTCGCCAGCATGAAGTTCCTTGCGTAAAGGATGCACATAATGCCGGTCGTAGACCTGAGCGCTTGGTTTACACAGCAATGAAGCTGTGAAGCGAACACGAGGATGACGCATGGGACGCACCTTAAAAGATGGTTTGAACGAACAGGGCCAACTTCCCCTTCTCCCAACCAGACACCAGGCATCCTTTGACCGCTAGTGATTGAGCACTGAGCTCGTCTGAACGGTGCATCTCGTGAGTGATACTATATGCTCTTCTGCAGGTTAAAGATAACCACTTGCTTACTAAAGCGGCTTCGGCACATACCCACCAACACATTCTGGAATAACAGCGCAGCAAATCCTGGATATACAGTCCCAAGGCTGTCTTCTAGGCGAGGACTGGATTTCCGTGAGTAGGCTTCTCGTGGGCAATGGCTTCTGTGCTTCTGACAAATGTTAACGTGAAAGAAGTAGGCCTCTGGACTCACCAGCAATCATTGCTGTTGCCGGATAACCTGGTCTGATTGAAAAATCGCAGGGGGCTTCTCTCGCAAACATAGTCCCCGATCTGCAGTATGGAATCCCCAGCGCCGACCATGTCTCCCTCCACCAGTAAGAAGCCAGCGATCACGCCACACCAGACGATGCGAGGCCATACCAACTGGGTAACAGGTGTTGTCCATCTGCCCGGCGGACGACGGATAATCACATGTTCGGCGGACGCCTCACTCCGATTATGGGACCTAGAGAGCGGTACGCAGATAGGTGAGGACTGGCGGGATGAGAGTAAGGCAGGAATGTGGTCCATGGCATTGTCTCCAAACGACAAGACAGTTGCAAGCGGAAGCTATGACGGGACCATGAGATTGTGGAACGTCGAGACGAGGAAGGCCATCACCGAATGGACGGGACACACCTATCTTGTGTGTGCATTGTGCTGGAGTGCAGATGGCAAGCGAGTAGCGAGCGGATCCTATGATGGGACAGCAAGAGTATGGGATGTCAAGAGCGGCAAAACAGTCCTGACAATCACAACCGGACACAGTTTGGTGTACGCGGTGATGTACTCGCCTGATAACGAAAAAATCGCAACGGGCGGATTGAACGAGAAAGCAGTCAAAATCTGGGATAGCAAGACGGGCGAGTTGATCACCACACTCAAACACGATCGAGAAGTTTGGAGCTTGGCATGGACGTCGGACGGAAAGAAGCTAATCTCCGGGTCATATGACCTGATTAGGATATTCGACACAGCCACTTGGGAGCAGATTGCCATTCTTGAGGGTCACCCTAGCTTCGTCTACGCCATCTCCTTGTCTTCAAACAACCGCTTCCTTGCAAGTGCATCATGGGATAAAACAGCGCGTCTATGGAATCTCGACACGAATCACCAGATCGGACAACCCCTCCAGCATGAAAATCTTTTAGACTCCGCAGCCCTTTCCGCTGATGGAAAAGTGCTAGTCACTGGTTGCAGAAACGGAAATGTGTACACATGGGACATTCACGCCATCCTCAAAGAAGCTGGCCTTGAAGACCTCCTGCCTATTTCTCATGTAAATCCCATGATTCTTCGGTAACAGCTATACTAATCTCCTACTTGCAGGTCCTAGCTCAAAAATCGTTAACGACCGTATGTGACGTGTTTCTTAAGCTTTTCAACCATTTCAAAGATATTCTAGAGTGATGCTACGCGACGTCCAGCTATTCATACCCGTCAAATACCGCCGGGCTTTTTCGGTGGTGTCCAGGTGAGTCATCTGCTTTTGTTGACCAGGTCTTGTTCTTATATTTGTGCTCTCAGTCCTCCGCAGCGCACGGTACCCATCGCAATTCCTCCACACATGACCCCCGTCGCGCTGCCTTTTCTTTGAATCCACGAACGCTATTCAGCGGCTTTTCATCACTGCTCCGCCACTCTCACTCCGAGACTGATGGAGCAACCGAACTCCAGCAACATTCAAGGCGGACCATCTTCTCTCGCGGACCTCGTATTGTCGACGTTCCTACAGTACAGGACAGAGGGGTAAGTATTCGTTCCCGTGCGTTTCCCGTCGCTGTTGTTCAATGACTCATCTGCAGGCACTGGCTGTTGCTAAACAACCGCGGCCGCGGCCGCAGCAGCAAAGCCAATTGCACGGCCAAAGCCAGGCGTCGTCATCACAAACTCAGCCTGCCACCGCCTCGACTTCCACGACACCCCCTGCACCAGGTACTCATGCTACCACATCTAGTCTAGCAGCTGCGCAGTCACCACCCATCCCATGGTGGGCTCGTCTCGTACTTTTCCTCTGTTGTGTATCTCTCCCACACGCAAATGGGCATTGATACTTGGGCATGTGGGTAATTATTTTATCTTTGTTGCTCTCTTTATATCTTTTGCTACTCCACCAAGTTTGTTTCCTCGTTGTGACACTCATGCAATGCATCGATCTCGATAATTCTAACCGTTGCAACTGAAACATTGTACTTCAAGAGAATGTTTTTACTATCCCATTAATTGTATTCTCTCGTCTGTGAGACTCGTGTATTGCACCGAACTCGATAATGCTGACCGTTGCAAAAGAAACGTTATACTCAAGAGGATCAAGGTTCAGGATCACTGGGCCTGAACTCGAGCTATCAGTCTTTCAGGTAATTGTACAGAGTTCACCCTCAGACGAGCAAGATCCATGTCTCCGTCCATTGTTAATGGCCTGACGATTAAGGACTCATAGAGCACCATCCCGTAAGTGTGAACGCGTCTTCAGATGCACTCCGAGGGCAGACACTTATTGCTGTCTAACCTCAGGCTGTTGCCCACGCTAAGTCCAATATTGAACAGGCGAAAGATACCAATGCTGATTTATCAGAGCTCAGGGATGGTTTGCCTGATGGAAGTTATAGCCATCTGATTATCCTGATACGTCTCGGCAACGGTACGCGACTTTGTGTGTGAAAATCCTTTTGATCAGACCCGCCATGAGCGCTAGCGCCATAATGCCCTGTCGACAGCCTGGATTATAATTAGCATAAGGCAGCTTTTTCGCAGATAAAAAAACGTTACAGAACTTGCCATTCCCCTCGACAAGACTTGGCAGCGCTCATTTTCCCTGCAAGCACCAACTTCAAGGTTCAATTAGGCTATCATGATAGCGTCGGTAGCCCACTTCTCTCGCTTGACCACTTGCGCAATGCGCAATACTACACGCGAACCGATCATGCTGCCAGACCAGAAATTCGATCGCCACACATGAAATGCCGTTCACTGTACAATACGTGTGTGGCGCAAAGTAAGTCAATTTCCTCCCCGCGTGTAGTATACACACTAATCTCACTGGAACATAATATATGTTAGCTGGGTTCCAGGAACTGCTTATAACTGTAATCCTTTCGGCTGACATGCGTTAAGTTGAAGTCCATTTGTCTATCATGTGAGGCCTCTCTAAATTATCTTCTGCAAGCTTACTACAACAAGACAAAAAATGTGTCGGAAGACCTTCAGTTTCCAAGGTCTTTATTGCTTGAGAAGCAGTGAAATTTGTTCAGAAGCAAGCACTCAGTAGTACTCGGCAACGAACTGCTTACATGTTGTGCCATCAACCACACTGCGCCATTGCGAAAGCAGAAACACAACTCACTGTAGTAGCTCAGCCGCCCGTTAAACACAGGTAGACGTATGCACTCTGCCACGCCGGTGAGTGAGGGGATTAAATCCGGGATGAAACCTACTCATACTCACCCCAAAGGCGCTAACGGTCTCCACGCACTCATAGCCAGGGCAGCAATCCGCAGTCACGAGGCAATATTCTTTACATTCAATGTTAGCGCTGACAGATATAGACGTCGTCAAAGCAGTAACAATGGCGAGGACGAAGGAGAGACGCATTGTTTGTGAGATGTAATATGGGATCTCGAAATAATTTGAAGTGGGGATGGTAGGAAGACGGCTTGCTTTTATGTCCTGGATAGTGTTCTGTGCGTCCACCCGAACATGAAACCATTACTCCTTCAAACAGATGACCATTGTCAATGCCAGCAGATTGCCAGCAGATCTCAGATATGACTTGCCCTGTCCCCGATATTCTATTGGCGGAAGAACACTAGTAGGAGATTCTGGTGTTGTACAATTCCAACACGCCGCTGTTGTTTTCGGCCTGCGTTCAGTGACACAAGGATCCCGGAAGGTGAGCTCAGGAGTCTCATGAATGCTGAGAGAATTTAAAGCCTCGTTACACATTGGGGAACGCAAAATTTGGTACCGGGAGACCAGCTGCAGCTGAGGCTTGTGAGATATAAATTCCAAAGGAGTGTGCTCCCTACTAATAATGACACTATTTTCCGTTAATTTGGTGCTCCACCAAAATGCATCTTTCATGGCAGGTACAGACGTGGCACCAGACACGATATACGCGAAAGAGCGCTGTCTTCCTTCCATTGGTAGGCGAGATCATTTTTGATGTTCTTACATGTTGTGAGGACCGGGTGCCCTGGCACGCGGGGACTTGAATCTGTGTTAACTTGAAGTCCAATTGTCTATCATGTGAGGCCTCTCTAAATTATATTTTGCAAGCTTACTACAACAAGACAAATAATGTGTCGGAAGACCTTCAGTTTCCAAGGTCTTTATTGCTTGAGAAGCAGTGAAATTTGTTCAGAAGCAAGTACTCAGTAGTACTCCGTAACGAACTGCTTCCATGTGGCGCCATCAACCACACTGCGCCATTGCGAAAGCAGAAACACAACTCACTGAAGTAGCTCAGGGGCCCTTGTAACACATGTAAACGTATGCGCCCTACCACGCCGGTGAGTGAGGGGATTAAATCACGGATGAAACCTACTCATACTCACATCAATGGGGCTAACGGTCTCTATGCACTCATAGCTAGGGCAGCAATCCGCAGTCACGAGGCAATATTCTGCACATTCAATGTTAGCGCTGACAGATATAGACGTCGCCAAAGCAGTAATAATGGCGAGGACGAAGGAGAGACGCATTTTTTGTGAGATGTAATATGGGATCTCGAAAATAAATTTGAAGGGAGATGGTAGGAAGATGGCTTGCTTTTATGTCCTAGATAGTGTTCACGTGGCACTAGACACGATATACGCGAAGGAACGCTGTCTTCATTCCATTGGTAGGCGAGATCATTTTTGATGTTCTTACATGTTGTGAGGACCGGGTGCCCTGGTATGCGAGGGCTTGAATTAGTGTTGTGGGTAGAACTCTGCGAAAAATGGCCGGCAGAACTAGGCAGAACCCAGGGCTGGCAGAGAACTAGTGAATAATCATATGTACATGTCAAGTACATGTACACGTGTATAACTAAATTTGACAACAGAGTCGCGGACACTCTCGGCTGATCCTTCGTCCCAGAAATCATAGGTCCATGCTGGTGGCCGCTTAGTGCCGTCCCTACAACGATAACTTTGAGTGTCTCGACTCACGACGAGGCGGACGAGCGCAGCCGCTGCAGCCTGTATTTGTGTCAGGGAATGTATCAAGGCCTGGGACATGACTTGTTTGATTTTCTTATGGATTCTGCATCCTCCCATGCGACTGGTGGTGTACTCGATGAGTAACTCCGTATGCTAGTCATTTACTATTTTATATATCAATCCCCCTATTCTGGTCCGATATAATATAAACGAATGAATACCGAGCCTGGGGTTTAAACTTAGAGAGTGAGACCTTGAGAATGGAGGAGCAGACTACTAGGAGAACAAACATATGCATCAGAGCCTTCCCAGATTTGAGGGTTGATTCAATTCGGATGTGACTTCAACCCCAGAGCAGACGGCAAAGCAGGTCGCGTGGACGAGATCTTCCCTTCATTAAAGCTTCACTATACCTTAATTTAAACACCTTATATGGCGCTCTTGGGACCCCCTGTACAGTTGTCGTACTTCGCCGACATCTTTTGATCAACAACGCATGCCACATTTTTCATTTCACCGTAAGGAACCTCAAATATCGAAAGGGGGGAGGATACCCTCCCTCATATACAATTACTATCACTGGTATGCAGGCCTCGCATCTAGATGAGCACAACAACCATTTGGTGTTTACCACCCACTTTCAGAGCACCCCACAAACTTACATCACCGCAAACCGTTCCATGACACCCTTTACAAGCTCCACATCGGGCCTTTTAACCTCGATCACACAGCGCGCACCATCGTCAGTAGCGTCTTACCCAAAACGCCTCGGAAGCACCGCATCAAGGTCGAAGCCCGTCATTCAGCGCGCTGGTGACTGGATGGACTAATTCTGTTCTCTCGTTATCAACAGTTTCGCTGTCTCCCCAAGCGACTCTCACCGTCCACCTCTGGTGACGTCAGAAAAACTCCACTTGTCTTTAGACCATTGGTTCTCTTTATCATTCGCGATTCGAGTAGTTCTCTGCATTGATTTAAAAATCTATCCCAGCAACACGCACCTTTACCCATCTACGAAGTTACAGGAGAGCGCTGAGTTGTGATCCCGAACATTAGGTGCGTCCCAATATCGCGAATCTGTGGGAAAGCATCATTTCATCTCCTCTGGGGATTCATAGAGTTTTCCACTGATAGAACATCGTAAACAGGGCAAGTAAAATCTGAGGTCTGCTGGCAATCTGCTGGCACTGCAACAGTATCTGTTTAAAGGAATAACGATGTAAAGTTCATGTGAATGGACAGAACACACATAAAAGCAAGCCGTCTTCCTACCGTCCTTCTTCACATTTATTTTCGAGATCTCACATTACATCTCACAAACAATGCGTCTCTCCTTCGTCCTCGCTCTTGTTGCTGCTCTGACGGTGTCTACGTCTGTCAGTGCTGACGAGAATTGTCCCGATTTTTGCGACAATGACGCAGATTGCTTGGGCTGCCCGACATATGAAACGTGCATCGCCGTATACTACCCACTCACTGTGAGTATGAGTAGTTTTCATCCAGGACTTCAACTAGACTCACTGGCGTGGTAGAACGATTGGTTCTGGGAGTGTAAGGTTCCGAGCTGAGCTACAGTCAGTCGTGTTTCTGCTTTCACAGATGCAGTGTGGCTAATGGCACGATGCGTGAGTAGTTCGTTGCGGAGTTCTTGCTTCTGAGCAAATTTCACTGCTGCTCGACTCGGAGCAATAAAGACCTTAGAATAGTTTCAAGCACTTTAATGCGTAACATATGATTGACGCACTTTTCATCTTGTTGCAAGCTTGCAGAACAATAGAGCCCCACATGATGGACAGTTGGACTTATCGCTGCCAGCCGAAAGGATTGCCGGGTTCTAAAACCCAGCTTACAGATGTCACGCCCCCGCGAAACCAACTTGTGCACTTATGGTGGATGTTTGGTTACAGTTCGACTTCCCGAGATGCCGCACGGATTTCCAATGTCCGATCGGCGTTTGGTTTCAGTAATATTGTTTCTTCGATTTTATTCAATGTACTGTACCATTTCATTCAATTCGACACCTCCATGTGACTGTGACGTGTTGGGTCAATTCGACATTCCAACACTAACGGATGTGACGTGTGACATGCCTGAAATTTCGACATATGAAAACAAATGAGTGGACTGTGGCACTGTACTTGGCACATTCAACATGAGTGATACGAAGTCCCCTCGCTATTTGCACCCATCCTTCGAACCTCCTGAAGGGGTCCTGTCACAACTTCTACCTGATAGACAACTTTCGGTCCTACAATTCTTAGCCTTCAAGTTTCCTACAATCACAACAGTAAAAAAACACATTCGGCCCAGAAGACTTTTTTTGCTCCGATCAACCGTCAGTCCATGACACAAGAGACATACAGGACATGCCTATTCCTCCCCCCCAAACACTTCAGATGCTTATCGAGTCAAGCATCCACTCACTACACGAAGGGGCACTACAACCACAAACGAAGATATTGAGACGGAGGTGGACCTCTATGATGACACATCATTTGACGATACCAATGTCCCGTGTGCGGTTGTAATTGCTGATATGGTGGGTGCTGGTGTTGCGGCTGGTATTGAGAGGGTGGACAGGAGGCTTGGTTCAAAGACGGACGCAGAGAGCTTGGAGTTTGAAGGGAACAACCATAGCGAGGGTAGCGCTGATGTGGCGGAGGAGTTAGGGCGGGGAAGAAGAAACAAGAAGGCCAATACTCTTTATTCCCACACGTTCTGGCGCCATCATGACGACGGCGAGACTTGAATTTGAGTACCGAGTCGAGAAACATAGTTATGGCGTAGTTAATCATGTATTAGCGGAAGCAAATTCTGATCGATCGATCCCTTCGGAAAAATGAATTCGACAAACTGAAATGTTACGTGTGACATAGGGCTAATTTCGACGCCGACACGCCCTTCTGTGACGCGTGACTATCGAATTGAATGAAATGGTACAGTATATCCCTCAAATATCCCTAGCGACTTTGTGAGGAAAGGCAATCTACATTCTTCAACAGTCCAGAGGGGGTTGTAAGTCGTGAATCTGTGGTTCATTGCATCAATATATACTCATTGAACCACTGACGCTTCAAGCCTTGCTCTAATGCCCAACTTGCAAGGCAAAAATGGGAGAGGTGTTGTTGGTCGTAAGTACATTTGAAACTGGGTTTAGTCAACTCAAATTGTAGCGAACACACACGAGATTCAGCACTCGGACTCAGGAGGCAAGAGGAAGAATCCGGCTCACCCTAGGCTCCTCCATAATGTCTGTTCAATAAGGGCTTCCGTTTTAAACACTCTGCACTTCAAGTGGTCTGTCACGAACCAAGATTCAGAAACCATCCATTTTCATCTCTTGATCAAGGTAGGTTAAGTTCGTCTCACATGCTCTCTGCCCATTCCGTATTTCAGGCCATTGCCCTCTTTAATACAAATCAACATGACGAGGCAATGCTGCTCATCAAAGAGCTAGCTGCCGCTCGCCCGAATGCTGATACCCTCGGATGTCGCATCATGTGAAGTAAGTATCATGCGGCTATGCTCGGTTATCAACACTGATGTTTGCAACTCGCACATTAGGCATATCTACGCGTTCAGCTCGGAACCAAGGCCTTGAATGGCGCACGTTGGTCCAACGGCAAGTTTTCAGTAATGCTACTCAAAGCTGTTATACTGACCCGCATTTCACTCAGACTTCAAGGAACAATGTAGTGCGCTTGCTGCTCGCAATGACCGTATTCTTGGCACATGTACTCCCTTTCTCAATCTTTTCGCTACTGACCTAAGTTATACAGTCGGAGATTCCAGGGCAAGATCAAGATGGTTATGATGCAGAACCTGATTTCTTCCGGGGCATGCATGGTGTGGGTGCATCAGCGTATCCTTCATTTCTCTTTGACACATCATTCATTACAGCATTCTCAAATTTCCAGACCACCACCTCAGCAGCGCCTGGGGCGCTTCAAGAAACTCAGGCTCGCTGTGACAAGGCGCTCTCTTCCTCCTCCTGCGCATGCACCCACATTAACATCACCTACCGCGCTACCACCTGTCGCTGCTCGCTCATTGGACAAATCAAAACGTGATTCTGCAAGGACGTAGGTACGAAATTCTACGAATATTAATCCAGGGTATGGTACATATCGACCAACGAATGGCAAGTACAACCCAACCACAATACGAACGAACGAAAAATTACAACCAAAGGTTCAGATAGAAATACAGGACTCAGGCCTCTAATTCAAGAAAGAAAAAGCCAAATTCTCCTGCTCCAGATCACCGTTAACTTCATCAATCATCTCCCGTGCTATACACCACTGCCTGTCGATATATGCACGCGCTCCTGGAAAGCGATTGAGGTCATGCCGGTTGCTGCATCAGAGTCAGCCACGAGCCGAGCGTGATATTCTCGAACGCTAAGGATGAGGCGTGGTCCCAGCACAAAGGACTGTATGACTTCCAAAGTCTGAACAGCACCAAGAACAATCTGAGTTTCGAGGGAAAATAGGTCCTATAGAAATGATGAACCGTGGTCGAATGCAGAGGTCAGCGAAAGATTGACATACCGCTAAGATCGTCGGAGACAAATTAATTACGAGGCTGAAGCAAGACACGGCAACATAACTAGCGCGTTCAATCATTCAGCGGAAAAGGGAAGCATAATCACAATATGAACTCACCTCGCAAAGTAAAGCACGTGTGATTTTATCAACACCGTGAAACAGTCGCCAGTAATCCCTCCTGCCGAATGTTGTCGCAGTTCACGAAAGTGTTTTACAGCAACCCAGACTGAGAGACACAGCGTGAGGACCTCCCAGACAGTGTTAAGTATCCAAGCAATGGAAGTCAGAAGTGAGGCACTGTCCCCATTGACAATCATGCATGTATATGCGCCAGAGAGAATGAGTTCCTCTGGTATTCATCAATGAGCGCCATGCACGGTTTTCATTCACAATTAAGTGTACCTGCTGAAGAATGCCTCGTTGTTATTACACCGACCGCTACGTCAAAAATGTTGACAGCCAAGCACACGACGACGAGAAATATCAGAATCCTTCTGGATCGTTGATACATGGCATGTAACCGAGTGATCATGATGACTGCGACATGTTTCGGTCAAGTCAATATCATAGGTCTTGTAACTGCACAACTCACCGCACAGCATTGGAAATGCCACAACAGTCGTCCAATTCCACAAGAGGTACAGTATCCGGCCTGAGAAATCCGATGAGTGACGGGCCTTGTGTGGATCACACACTACAAACAGACTCACATCTGTAGCAGTCATGATAGCAAACGAAGAAGCTGGTCAAAATGACACTCACCCCTACAGGGTATCGCGGTTAATTGAGTGGGAATAGCAGACATCGGTGCAGAAGACTCACTGCATCTGTCAACAAGATCGTCGGAACACTGCCTGTATGCCACTGGTCAGAAGAAAGAAAGAAGGTGAATGCGAGAAGACATACCCAGTATGTCCAGGCTGATTGTGAGAGATAGCAGATTAGCACGACACCAATTGTCAAGCCTTCTGAACATACACAGTATTAAAAAATCCAAGATAGCGCACCTAGGATATTGTCAAGTCAGCAGAAATTCACAACAGGCAAGGCACATACACTCAGATAGAGAACCGTCATCAGGGACCAATGTTGCCTCTGTCGCAAATCAATATCGTTCTTCTGGCGTGGAACTGTGCTCACCCAGATCAGTTCGACCTACAAACAAAACTTAGCAAGATGGCTGCTCCGGTCACAGCATCAACATACCTCTTGTCCGAACGTAAGGGCTGTAAATACTTGTGAGAAATCAGCAATTCTCTAATGTTATCATGCTCACCCCAATCATACGTCAATGCAACAAAGGCGGCAACTGGAAAACCACAGTCAAGGTCAGATTGAGACATCAGCGCCGAAATCTGACTGCTCTTCACGAACCTATAAAATAGCTGTTAATACGAAAATAGTTGATCAACGGCCAATAACTAGGGTCGTCTGAGACTAGTGTCATACTGTTAGAGGATGGATGTGAGGGAGCGGTGAACTTGGTGGACATACGACGATGATATTTGTGCTAGATATACCACCACCATCCAGTGCTTGCATGACAAAAATGAGATCGAGGGATGATATTCGTTCCTGTCAATAGATATGATGTCACGTTCGAAGTGATGTAGCGGGCCTTGAATGAAATGCCGGTGATGCGAAAGTGATCGGGTACTGAATGTTCGATGCCAGCGATCAACGCACCCCGCGCCAACGGCAGAATTGTTTAGTGTTGGTGCAGCAGTGTCTTTCCTTCTATCGAGGTCGTTCACTACAGGTACTAGTAGATCTCTTATATTGATCTTCATTCTAATAGCCAGTGTTGCCAGCCTGTACCTAATCAGCGAATAAATAATGATTTCAAGATGTGGGGCTCAACGTACGTAGAACAAGTCAGTCATGACACATTTGCACAGGCAGAACTTGAACACCGCAAAAGATGAAAGAACATCTAGAACTGTTCGTGATTTTGTCACCTTGCATCTGATGCCATTCTCACATGCCGGTCATGATGCATGATGGGCGCAGTATTTTCGAATTTGCATTGTGGGGTGGTAACAAGTATCAGTTTTCACAGCCAGAGACATCATGCTTGAAATTCCGCGATTGATATCTGGTGAAGATACAACACCATCTCTAGCTCAAGATAGCAACATGGGGGAAAAGAAGAGTGGGAAGCACCGTTAATGACCGCATCAAGCCTGACTTGTTGTTCTTGGCCCTAGCTACCAGCGCACACCTTCAACGTTGAATACAATGAAACCCGATGCGAAACGTACCACACTAAATCCATCATGTAGTCGATGCCGATTGGAGTGATAAAGTCGACTTCTACATCCGCTGTTCGTAGGGTAGCCGGCTTGAAGCTGGAATCATAAGTAATTGAAGGGAAGAGTGTTAGCAACGTCTTGCCGAGCGGAACGGAAAGCTCCGTTACATCTGTATCTTTGGCAACCTCACATTCGAGGATGGACTAGAGTGTGCGATCTGTCAGAAAATCCAATAGCACAAAGTCTGGCATCACTTACATCAAGCAGCACACCGTCGTCATGTCCGAAAGTGTGAACCTCAGCGTGAGAGAAGGGCAAACATCATCAATGGGTGGGAAGGACAGATCTACGTGAAGCTCGTAAATGCGCAACCTGTGAACGGCGCGCAGATCACTTACCAAAAGCCTCGTCTCCACGATAACGCAATTCATTCCACGAGGTTTGAGTTTTGTCGATGAATTCCCCATTGCCTGGTATTCGACCGAGCTCGAAGAACGCCCTGATCTCCGGTGTTAATTAAGATGACGGATGTGATGCTCTACAGACGGAAGATCGGTCCTCGGATCACATCCTTACAAGAGTTGTCAACGGACTCTACAGGGTCGCGGCATCGCCCCAGCCTATAGTTTCGTCGGACGATATGGATCTAGTGGTTGATTTCCAACGTCCCCCCAAGTCGACATCGATGGACACGTCGATGCCTGTGGGTATGGGGCCCAGAGGGGTGAAGATCATAAAAAAACTCACTATGGCCATCAAGTCTTGATCGAGCGGCCTTCCAAGCCAACGATCATGGGGACGGAAATGAAGTTCAGTGGGAAAGTTTAGTACAGTAAGGATAGTACAGTGCCAGTTGCTCCGCGCACCTTGCCACGTAGGTATTGTGGCTGGGCAGGTATGATAGACGCTGATGCTGATTCGAAGACTGAAATATGATAGAGACAATGACAATTGCATGGTCTAGAGGCTCAGACTGTCTAATGAAGTGGACAATGTCATAGTCAGTCAGCATTCAGCGAAAGCTATGGAGCGGTCCCAGAGAAAACCTGAAAGAGGTGCGTTGGAAACTTCCTCTCTAGCAGAATCATGATGGCGGCAAGCTGCTATTAGTGAAAATGTGTTGAAGCTTGTTCGGGGGTTGTGGGGGTCTGTGTGAAAGATGAGTATCATATGTGGGATATCATAAACAACTGTCGACAGTCGCATATCATGTGAATCCCGAAGTTTTAGAGTAGAGTGTTCGTTTCTAAGTCTAAACAGATACCGCATCGATAAGTTGTGCGAAGGAGGCACGTGGATTTGTTGTCCTAGTAGCTAGTGCCGCGGATAGGTAAATTAAGCATGCACATGGGGGGGACTTGAAAAACTTGCCTCGAGCTCATCCCTTTCCTCCCGTCTCCTCCTACTTTTACAGTATATGAGCTAGGTCACAGCATAGGAGAGAGGTAGTAGTTGATCGACTTCACTTCACTTGAAACTTGGTTCGGCCAGTTTACGTGACTTTGTTCGATCCCTTAGTAGTTACGTAAGACATCCTACTCGAGTGCACGTGACAATCGAGCCGCAGTTGAAGTGATACTAAGCCACAATTGTTTCTACCTACAACAAATACAAGGAATGGGGGGCTGCATGGTGTAGTGGTACCACCGCCTGCTTGCCTGGGTCAACCAGGAGAAGTGAGTGTGAACTCTCGAGTTCAATCCCCCCCACCTGGAGATTTAAATTTTCTCTAAGTTTTTCCACTTTGGGGGAGGTGGCTTAGTGGACATGCCACCAATCCTGGAACTGCTTCGGCAGGTGCCGGCCTTGTTCAGAGGGTCGCAGGTTTGAATCCTGCAATAAACCACCAGGGGGTTTTAGTGGGTATTGCGTGTCAGCCGAGTCCCACAGTACCTAGAAATAGGTCTGCGCAAATGCATTCCCCCCTGACAGGTTGAAATTCCTGTATCACTGGGTGAAATTCCCGGCACACTAACGGGCCGACCGGGATTGACTTTGTCAGTTGCCAGAAGCCAGTGGCCTCAAGCCACACATTCAACCACAAAAATAAAAATAAAAATAAAATAAAATAAAATCACCTCCGACCTCTCATGCCGGCTTACAAACACTTTCACTTTTGATCACGACTCAATGCCCTGCTTGTGAATGGTATTTGTGAGTTTCAATGTCTCACCCGCAGTTCATTGCTCAAAGTCAGTCGTTCAGCACAACATGATTATGCTCCGGAAACTATTTTCAAAGTCTTCATCCTATGACGGAGAGAGGGGGCCTGTGATCATATTCGCCACGGTCATTGCGAGGTCGTTTGGAAGGTGACTGGAGGGGTGCAATGAGATAAGATGGGTCATCGAAGCTCCCTGAGCGAGGACGGACACCACGAGTGAATGGGGGAGGAGGGAGGGCTGGAGGGAGAGCAGCAGAACTGTAGCCATCCATGGCAGCGCATATGTGACTGCGAGCCACAGCATTGTAGACCGGCTTGTTCTCAGAGCCAGTGATGATTTCGTCAAAATGGAACTCTGGTGGTGTGCTGGCAGTTGACTTTGCGTATTGAGGGAAGAGCTTGATGGTGCGTGGTGCACTATGATCCCATCTGATGTGCGTAGAGGTGGTGGGGCGAATTCTGTGCGTTTGAGGTCTTTATTGCAGAGGGGAGCTCACTGCTGGATGCGGAGGAAAGCGGGCATTTGGGTGTGCAAGGTATGGATCGCGTGAGCTTGCTGGGTGCTGGTGTTGATGCCATGCTGGCGGATATCTCGGAGGAGTCGTCACTGTCAAGTAAGGCGTGAAGTATGTGCTGGCAGATCGGTGCTGTAGGAGGGGATGATGAAGTGTAGCGATGGTGAGATCGATGGTATGGACGTGGTGGGGGTTCTACAGTGATGCTGGGATTTGCAGAGTAGGGGCTGTGATCGTGCTGGATTTGATTTGGGATGGGGGTCAAGACGAGATGACCACCTGCATCTCTAAGGATGCGCTGGAAACCAGCACGTGCGTCAGTAGCGCTGGATTCAATGGTGGCGAGATATTTGTTGAGTTCGTCATAAGACTCGAGAACAACGCGCCTGCGTGCTTCTGCCTCGTCTCTCTGTCTATCGGCATGGGCTACCGTGCCTCTGCTTCTTCGATGACACGACAAGCCTCGCCTGAGAGGGGTGAGGTGATGGTTGAGGTGTTGAATTTGAGGAAGCTGTTGGGGGAGGGGGAGTTACAGTAGTTACAGTCTGAGGCGCCATGTATCGTGAGATGGAAGAAGGTCATAATGGTAAGAAATCATTGTGCTCTGATGAGGATCGAGGTGGCTATTAGTCTAAGGCAGGGATTCAGAGATAAGGGAGGAAGTAAGAATCCAATCACTGGCTGCGGATGTCCTGCATTCAAAGGAACATATCTGTGTCAATAGTGTCAACAACCAAAAACTCGCCAGGTCTGCTGGCATCCTCTACTATCATACAACCTCAAATAATTGAGTGAACTGAAAAAAACTCGGCGGAAGCCCTAGGCTTTGTCTTAACGCGCCAAAACTGAAAGTCTTTGTTCTTTTGAGAACGAACACCAACTGGTCGATCGTATGGAAGAATGAGCGTGATAGGATACTGAACTTCTCCTACTGTGCAGGTGAAAATCAACATCAATTTGCCAAAGATGATGCGAGTGTCGGTCTGCAAGATGACACAATCATATCGTGGCGAGCCATGGAAAGTTGGAGCGCATCGAAGGTAGTCCGTGGACACTCGCCAGTCAACAAATGACTCAAAATTGACTTTAAGGAATTGATATTCCGTGATCTGAGCGGGACTCAGAGTAAAATATAAATTATATCATCCCGGAGCTGACTCACCATGTCGCTCGCAGTGAGTTGGATCCGTCGACCATCTGGAAATGGTATCTGGTTGGCAGTAAATGCGTGGTTCAGAAAGCCGTTTAGCTTGATCCGAAATCTGTCAAATGCTGGATCACCCAAACTACGTGCCTCGATGTCCGCGAATGACATTGTTGCCTGTTTTGAACCAAGACTGAAATGTTGCGCATCGGTTGGTTCTGTCGAATCAACTATACCGTCGGTGTGATCATCTGACTCGGGTGCACTGAAATTCTGAGTGTCAAGGTAATCCAACTTGCTGCGAACATATTCTGCAACCAGGCTGTGATGGTTGTATCGGAGGATCTTTAAAATTTAAATTATCACCCATACATTAGACTTCGATTCAGAAATCACTTACCTGTTCAGTGAAGTTCTTGAAATTTGTACGATTTTGATAAGCATCTTTCAATGGGCCGTGCATTTTCTCATTAGGCTTGGTGCTATACTGTACCTCTGTGTATGGAGGCAACATAACGCGTCACAGGGCCTTGGTTGTGTTGCTAATTTACCCCACTGTAACGCGTCACAGGGAGGTCGGTTGCTAACTGTAGGTACATTGTAGAAATCAAAAAAAAATCCAGTGCAAAATGAATAAAAACTACTTTTTCGCCGCTGCGCCAACTTCCTGCTCGTTTACTAGTGCCCATATATTCTCATTGTCTCCTGCTGCAACCAGTCCGTGCCCGTCACCTCGCTGTACATCATGGACACAAAATTGTGCAGTGTCTGCAGCTGCAACATCAACGGGCCCTTCGATCCCGAAAATATCCTGAATGACAGCACTACAAGGTATGTCAGTGTCATCACCATCAGCCTCAGCATCGAGCTGAGACTCGGGTGGTTCATCCTCCAGGCCGTGAATGATGCCTGTGCGAATTTCAATCTCGTCGCGAAGCTTCGGGTGGCTGCGCAGGTATGAGTTGAGAACCGTTTGTGCCTTCTTGCTTGTAAGGCACTCGGCCGAGAGGTTCCACTCTTTTGTAGTACACTTCTTCCATGACTGCCATAATATGTATGCTTCAGTTGATCCATAAGGCGAGACAGTCAAGAATACCTTTTGTACCAGTTCACGTCCCAATGGACTCGTCATAAAATCATAGACCTCCACACTTGCAGCTACAGATGCATCTCGTAAAATAGGCAATGATGTTGTGAATTTGACTTGGTCTGGTGTTATTCCATCATTGATCTGTTGCTGATGCGAGTCGACAAGAAACTGAGTTTGGTGCTGTTTCAAGCGATGCTTGATAACACGGTTAAGTCCTACATCAGCCGGCTGAAATATTCCTGTGCCTATGGTAGTATTGTCAGTTCTCAACACTATAACATGAATGAAATTTGGCTCGTCACTTACAACTGGCAGGTACGAAGCAAAGGATAATGTGTGGGAAGCCATCAAAGACATATGTACGGAATTCTTGACCTGCATGCACGGGATAACAGTCAAGGTAAATAATGGAGACCTGATCATCATCGAGATCAGAATCTATTTCGATGACACTGCGACGATAAGGTTCAAAAATGTTTTCAACCCACTGGTGGTCTGTGAGCAAAGTTGCGACAATATTATGTAAATTCGAACACGCACTTCTTTCATGGTTTTCAACGTGCTAAAATGACTGCCCTTCTTGTTACTCTTTGCAAACACAAAGTCGAAGCCTCTCTCTTTAGCTTCCATCATTTTATGAGCACCGGGTGATGGTAAAGATCGTTCCGTGCTTCCAGACCAAACCTGTTGAAAGGGCAGAAATGTCCCTTCAGGAGTACTTGCCACCAGTAATGTGTAAGCTCGCTTCTCATCCTTTGCAACAATGTCAACCTGCTGCGAACCACGTTCTGCAAAGGTGGTACCACTGCTCGGAAGGATATAAACACCAATTTGGTCAAAGCCTACCACCAACTGAATGATGATTATATTGAGACTCTCGTGTCTAAGGCTAATTTAACTTACCTTTGGAGGTACCGAATGCCATTTGATAATATATACAAGGCGGAAAAAACACTCTTCGCATTTGTCTTCGGCATCTGCTGGAAGCTTGGCGGCAACACGAGTCCCCTTGCGAGGAGTCCAGTCAAGCACACTCTCGAAAAATGAGCGAACAAAACTCTATGATAAGGTTAGCTTTGAATCACATAATCGAGTATCAGAACCAATACACGAACCTCAGAACACTTGAACAATGTAAGTAAATCAGGAGCTCGATGATTGATCACCGCTAACATGATTGCTCTTCCAATGATGACATTGACTACAAGGCCTGATTTACGCAGTGCCTGAAGCTTCTCCATGATCTCCTTTACAACATTCGGATGTTTTGCCAGCACACCAGACTGCCCTGATCCAGCCAATGCATGATGGCGCTGCACATTTTCAAGGGTCACCTTGGACCATTGTCGCTTCGAGCCCTTGTCTATCCACTTTTGAACGGTGCCTTTGTTCAGATGGGAAAAAAGGGCTGGATGCTCTCGAGAGAGTCCCTTCGTAATGGCTTGCGGAGACCAATCAAATTTACGAGCGGCTGCATCAATATGAATCCAAAGGAGAGGGTGATACCAGTTTGTCCGCTTGTGCCGTCCCTGCTTTGTTCCGCCATGTGTTCCATTTCGCTGATCCTTCCAATGTGAATCTGATCGAGACAGCTCCACCACGTCTAATGCAGTCACAGATGCAGAGTTTTCTTGCAAAGCCTTGTCAAAGGTCAGTCATTGTTCCGTGTGCGTGATTATTGACTTACCTGATTGATAGATGGTTCATTTCGTCTCTTTTCAGCGGCAACAGCAGCTCTTTTGCGCTCACGGTGACGGCGTTGCCGTTCGGCTGCTCCTTCACGTTGGCTCCGTTCTCGCTCCACCCGTTCTTCTTCTTCCTCACTTTGCTTCTCTTCCCAGGACTCTCGTGTCAAGGCATCTAGCCTCTCCCACTGCAACTTCTTCTCCCTCTCAGTTTCAAGTGGTTTCCACCTCAGGTCGTCAAAGGTGAGCTGGGTTGGCACAGTGGTACTCCAGTTAGGAGGTGCAAGCTTGATTTTTTCGGATAGTTCGACCCTCAATTTATGACTGGATTGGATTGGAATGGTGCGTGTTTTCATTTGCTTGCCACTATCTGATGAATCTTCACTGATCTCCATGACCCCCGAAAACGAACCACTTCGTGCAGGCTGCGCACATTGGGTTTTTGCCCATTTTTCCGGACTAGCGCTGACATCCTTATCAATAACCATTGGGTTTTTGCGCCTTATACAGCTTAGGTGAGTTTTGAACAAACTCTAAATGAAAAATAGCTCACTTCACAGGAATTTTTGCACCCTGTAGTTTTGCGGCCATTATCAGTCTCTCGAGCCATACTTCACACAGGAATTCTCGTTCGGAGTCCTTCTCCAATTGTTTGACAGCAAGTTTGAACATCTGGATGAGTGCTTCACACTGCTTTCCTCGTTCGCGGAAAACAATGGTTCCATTCGGCCCAAGCTTGTGAGTCTCAAAGCAGACTTCGAGGTTCCTATTGAATGCAAACCAAACTCCCTCCTCCTTTACAAGTTCAGTGTCGAGGCCAAACCCATATCGCGAACTTGGCGGGTTGAGTGGAAGGACTGTAGGCAGATTTTTTAACAGCTCAGCAAGATGATGGATGCAAGAGATGAGCTCTGAGGATGGGCCCTGTTGAACCATTGTCATTTGGTATGGACTGACAATGTACACTACAGTTAATCAGTAGTCTACTTGTGCTAAGTCAAAATTCTCCTCCGCGAGAGTTTGAACCCGACACCACTCCGACATACTTACGACATTGGTTGTTATTTTGTTCCGACGTCACGGGCAATCAGACAAGGTTGCTAACTTTGCAACTGTGGCGGTGTGTCACGCGTGATCCACGGTTGCCTCCATACACAGAGGTACAGTAATTTCGGGAGACACCTTTTGCCTCGATATCATCAAAGAGATGGGCGGAAAGATGTTTCTTGGGGAAATTCCAGGACTTCTCAAAAATCTCCGCTGTATCTTCAATGTATTTCTGATCAGAAAATTTGAATCAATAAATAATATACTAGTATGAGAGATACATACATCCAACAATTTGGTGAGCTTTGACAAAGCTTCTCGGCCATCTTTTATGGTGTCTTCAGTATGGACCTCCAATGAAGCATAGATATTAAACTCTACATAGCTTCAGATACAACGGAGCAGGAGATATGCCTCCGGATCCACATCATGGTCAAACACATTATGTGCTGCAAAGATAACAAGCTAAATTGATGTGAATAATATGTCAAAAAGTGAATAGTCTAATAGGCTTGCCTTTGATATGTCTTCATATTTTGTTCCATCAGAAAATGATACTGATATAACCTGATCGAAGTGATTCAGGTTTCGCCAACGTGGAAATGATTGAAAGCTGACATCTAAATTAATGCCTACAAAATACAGCTGAGAAATGACTCACAGCGTGTCAATCTGTACAGCAGCCTGTTGACCAGAACGATCAACCCATTTCTGCATTTCAACCCACAGGTGATCACTGAACAAGCCCTCATCATTGAAGTGGAGTTTATCGTGTGATAGAGCCTTGTGAATGTCAGTGTACTCCAAAACATCAAATGAGCTCTGATAAGAATAATAGATTATTAAGTAAAATACAAATAAAAAAGAGACCCACATCGACATCACAAAGGCTCTGGGAATTCAAGATCTGCTCTCTTGCCTGCAATGTAGTAGACTCTTGGGCTTGAGCACGTAATGCCTTGGTATCTGTGGATGTGCGGAGAGGATATACATTAAGTGTATTAGAAAGCTCATCACGAGGCACTAGACAGATAGGGCAAGGAAATTTGCCCATCAAACCACGAATCAATGCCATTACAGCCCTACAACAGTGAAAATATTCAGATGTCAGAGATATCTAATAATACCAAAGGAATCAGAATTATACATACTGTTCTTCATAGTCTGCAGAGAGTATGAGCACAATCGGATAGAAAACATGAATAATGTCGTCCCAGCATTTAATGGCAGAACCAAACTTCGATAGTGGTGCAAGACAGGCAAGAATCATCAGAAACGATTTGTGCCATACCGCATTCTTGAAGTTGACAAAAGCAGGCTTTCCAGAATGCTGCTTATCTTCCTTTACCTGTCAAAGCTCTGAGTGTTAATAATGTCAGCACCATTGGCAAGGAAATGTAGAGCAAACAATAGGTAGCCAACCAACGACACGCCCCCCACCCAAGCCTTCTCCATTCCGAATCACAATAGGAAGATTAGCACAGCGAGCAACTACAGGATAACCTTTCACACGGCCGAATGATGACAATTTTGCCTTGTCAGCATATAAAATAAATGCAAAAGGTTTTGCGTCTGGTGGGATTTTCGACTGTGATAATCCTCAGTCGGTACATGATGCAGACATTTAACAGGATATTAATAAGAGCATGACCTACTTGATATTCCCAGAAATTGTTAGCAGTCCACGGCTCATGAATGAACCGAACGAACTTCTCGCCGTTGAACTTCGAAAGCCTTTGGGCATCGAAGACGAAATGTGGACCTACTTGTGGATCTTGAAGTAGATCAGTAGCCCAGTCCCACAGCGAGCGATGAAATAACGGGAATGTCCTATCAATCCCTTGGAAGCGTACAACCACTTCCTCCTTTGTAAACTATTGCATGAACAGAGTACAATAAGCATACACTTTACATACAAAATTATTGAATATTATATACAGGTGTCATTTTGAATGACACCGCCTCCCACGTATCGCTCACATCCTTGCGATTCCGGAGGGTAAACAATTCGAACCTGCTGCGATGAACGAGTTTGATGAGCCGATCCAGCTGATCATACGAGAGTCCAGCTTTGTGCGCAAGTTCTGCAACCTCGAAGTCGATACAAGTGCGAAACGGTTTCCAGGGCTCAGGATCTGCTTTCGGAGCAGTTGTTGGGGCACCGGTGCCACAACCGTAGTCCTCGAAATGGTAGACTTGGGTAGGGCGACCACTACTCGGGTGGTATTCAACTTTTATATCGTCCATGTTGTGTTGAGGTGCGGGTGATGCGGTTGCAGATAGTGGCGGATGATCTGTATGGGTGTAAGTCACAAATGCAATGATACAAAAAAATCATGAAGACATACCAATCGAATCGGTCTGTCCCACGTCAGCGTCGTCTGTATAGTCTATCTGATTATCAATATCGAAATCAAGATCATCTGAACAATTGATGATAGGTTTCATCAATGTCCAATGAATCAGTATCAATTGAGGACACACAAAGTTAATGATGACTTACGAAGAGTTGAGCCGCTGACAGATGTACATTCACCAATAAACACGCTACTCGGTTGTACCTGCTCTCGCTCTATAATTTAAAAATTAGTTGATGATCATTAGCTCGAAACTGTAATGATGTTATAGACGACGTACCTCGACGGATTTCCCTAGCAAGCTCTACCTCCTCTCGCCGTTGTTCCGATCGCCTCTGGCAGGCTTTTTCATGTGTTTGAAAACCTTGGCGATGGAAGGATTGGCCACAATGATCACAAGACCACTGCAAATCGGCGGGCATCGATGTTGAAACAGGGACAATAGAAGTCCAGTCTGAGTGTAAGGGCACCTGGTACAGGAATGGTGCAATTTGATGGAGAAGCGCTGGCAGGCGAAGCTTGAAGCCTGAAGGATTATCTGAATCAGTCAAGGGACTAATTTTTAGATTATAGTTACCGGGTGGTGATATCTATACACTGTTTGTCTCTGATTCGGAGGCAACTGTAACAAGTAGAGTGGAAGATACTAATGGGGGCTGAAGTTGATGGTGAAGGAGTGTTGAGAGGATGGTGTGGCAATAATCGATTGTTGGCGATGCTGCAGCAATGTTGTAATGGACGTAATAAGGTCGAGACCCAGTATCAATAATACATGTTGGTATCAATGACGTGACTTCGGTATAAATATTTCTACTGGGTATTAAGAATAGAACGTGGGTACCAATACCTTAACTCGGTATCAATATGGTTGAAACCGAGTTTCACAGGCACGCTGTTGCAACCGACTTAGGAAATTTCCGACATCAGACCACCGATAGAATTGCCTAGATGAGTACTACCCATATATAGGCAACCGGTCCCACAATGGACCGGTTCAAACCAGTCTTGGACCGGTCTTTCATTTTTTGCAAAAGTTAGGCAACTGCAACTGGACTTTTCTGGACCTGAGGCAACTGGCAACCGAGGTCCAATTTCAGTCTGGTTGTGGTCTTTTTTTGGTCTTGCAACTGGACTTTCAAACTCTACGTGTCAACGTCGAAGGGAACGGGCTTTGTCTCACGACCGTCGGTATATCGCATCAGGCCTCAAGCACCAAGTGCCGTTAACATTCTTCCCTTATAGGTTATCCAATTCAAGCCGTCGTCGGCGAGCTTTGGGATGTTGAACAGCACAGAGTTGGAGCTGGGGAGCGTAGTATCCATGGTCGAGACAGGGCTCATAACCTCTGAAGATCAGAAGCGAGTGGATCAGGCGAGGGGGCGCTAGTACATCAACAAAAGCAATGCTATCATATATTCCCATACCAAGGCATGGAATCAGTAAAATAGGTACCACATAGTACATACAGGTGCCAGGTTTGCACGTACCTTTAAATGTGCAGATATGTGACTGCTTGCATCAATGCTCGTTAGCAGGATGGTACAGTATAAATGAGATTTTATGGTTTACATGCAATTTCACACTTTGTATATGAGGTCCATCATTAAAGCTAGAGAGAGTCATGCATGTACCATAGCATACTGGGCTTGTCATTATTTCACACTCGAAGACAAAAGATAGAAAAAGCATTTGATTTGATTTGCGACTTCAAGTACGGTACACATTTGTGACAAAGTAACTACAACCAAGTACTAAATAGTACCACCTACAGGCAAACTCGCTATGTCACCCTCGGTGTAAGCGTAAATTCAACCGACATTCTGATATCGAACGCCGAATCAACGCTAGATTATGCACCAGCACAACACACATTAGAATGTACATGTATTCATCAGTTTCAAACTACATACCTGCATATATGCAGTCATTGACTGTGCTTTGAGCCTTGACTGCCTCTGCCCTGAAAACTAGTGTAAATGAGAGAATGGCGAAAGCATGTATTGAACTTCCCGATTGTCGGAAGTGGCCTTTGCGCCATCGTGTCACCGAGTATATGACAGAACCAAGTTAATAAACCAATCCAAACAATGATGATCCCTGACTTACCTGCTATTCACATCATTCATCATTCACCCTTGAAAGCTTGATAGACAGTCTGGGTGGGCAGGGTAGGAGACGACTTGGGTAGCCAGAGCAAAGATAGTGGGCAGGAGTAAGGTCTGAGCGACGCGACACGTCAATATTCATGAAGATCGGAGTTCCAACTGAGTTTCAACCAAGTGTCACGTGAAAACTACGTCATTCTCAGCGGTTTGTATGCAGAATTTTGCCTTAGTGTGCAAAACAACTTGATGGCTTTTTGAAGTTTTGATTGTGTCACTACAATAATTTTTGTTTATTATAGGCCACTCGCGCTGTCCTTGAAGTGCGTGGCATCATCCAACCAACCGCGTCGCTGGTGCACATTGTGCATCCAGATGCATCATCTCTTCGATTGAGCAGAGGTCAGTCTGTGTGTTCATTTCTCTCATCATGCTCCTCACCTATTTTTAGTAGCCCATACTGTGCACGATCATCTTCAGGCTCAGTACCTGCACCCTCTGCTCGTGTTTTCAATCTCTCAGGGTCCAATTCCTCTCATCCTTCTGCAAATTCTGCTCACTCATGTGTGGTGACCACGTCATCTGCATCCCTGAACTCGTCTTTCCTACACCAGAGAAAGTTGAGAGGCAGCACCAAGATTGCAATATGCAAGTTGTGTATCCAATGTACGTGTATCTTTCCAACCCCCATGACACCACTGATCAGGTTGTCTCAGTACGCCCGCTAATTATGTGAGTTCTTCCCTTTGGTTTCGTGAGTATCCCGCTGAGTTTCTTGCAGTTCCATGTGCTACGTCGTCAAATTCACCATGACTTCCGCAAGTCACTCATTATTTTCTTTTCGAAATCACTTCTGTGCCATCCCAATGCTCATTCGGATCTTTTGGAGATGGTTGGCGACACTCACTTCAAACACTATATTCCCGATTCCCATCCTGAACACCTAGTGCCTGCTGAGGAAGTGAGGCGTCACAACCTCTGCACCGGTATGTCGCACCGTTATTTTGTTTTTGAGTGACCTCACTGTGGGATTAGGTCAAGTATACCAGACACTCGTTCAGGAGCGTGACGCCAAGGGCATCAAAGATGTGGTCATCAGCCGCATTGAGCAGATCTCACCTTTCCCCTACGACCTCGTGAGTAAGCTTAGTTAGCATCTACAGTGTTTTACTAACATTTACAGATCACTCCTCATCTTTGACAAGTATCCCAATGCAGATATACTTTGGTGCCAGGTCAACTTTTTTTTTGTCAATTCTTGATATTCCAGCTAACCTGTACGTAGGAGGAGCCATTGAATAATGGGGTGTGGACTTATGTTGGACCCCGTATTCTAACTGCCCCCAATGAGACGCAGTACCACAAAGGCAAATATCTGTACTACGCTGGAAGGCAGCCAACGAGCTCCGTTGCTACAGGTAGCAAAGTGAGTGGTTGGGCCTTTTATCTTCTACCTACTCTAATCCATGCGAACAGGCCCAGCACAAGAAAGAAAACGAGGAGTTCTTAGCCGCGGCCTTTGTACGATGCTCAGTGACCATAATACATATTGTAGTGGCACACAAGCGCCGGTCCCCTCTTTTGATATGCTGGCGTACAAGTGCTTTGGGCATAGCAATCATTAATGTCAAGAGTATTTTCAAGACTAAGATCTAGAGAGCTTAGTGTTAATTAGCATTGAGCATTCTGTGAGGTTAGACAATATTTCACAATTCGCTCGAGTAATCTCACCTGCAGTGTAATTAGTACCATGACCTTATAAAGTGCATCTCAAGCTGGCAGCATCATGCAAACGGCTCAAATTATTTCATGCAAAATGAATGTACATACAAGGTGCTTGCCAGGCTGGTAGAGTCATACAAACACCTCGAATTATTTTACCCTGAATCAATGCACATACAATATGGGTAACAGGTTGGTATCTAGATAGAATCGGTAAATTCCCATATTTGCTCATGAATGATTTTGTCACTTTTGTTGATGTAGATAGAAAACAATTCTAACTTCAGTCTGGTATTGGGACTCGTGTCCATAGTACTGTACCTAGTAGATAGAAAACAATTCTACTAGTAAATTTTAATGCGCAATCATAAATCTAAATGCAATCAAGTACTCACACTTCAGTCTGGTATTGGGACTGAAGTGCTCGTGTGATAAGTATGAAGTCTATAAGGTAAAAATGTTGCTATACTAATATGAGCATTGTGGGGGATCAGGGTGAGACATTGCACACTAGCTCAATGTCACCTGGACATCACCTGTCCATTCCTCAATTGGTCGCGCTTGTACTACGGGGCTTCATCCGATGTCTCCGTTGCCATGGGATCCAACAGGGGGGACTTCCCTGTGAACCCTGTGTCACTGTGTGGCTATGTGCAGTGCCACATACACCATTTGGGTTTTGCTGATGGCGACTGAGGCCGCTTTGGATCAGTGAGAATATATCAGCTATAAACCCTACTCAATAACAGTTTATTTCACCAGTTTATTTGCTGCTCGAACGATAAATGGTGGGAAATAAACTGACAGCATTATTGAATGGCAGTTTATTTGCCAGTTTATTTCATACGCGAAGTTGTCGGAGTGAACTGAGAGTGATCATGATGCCGAGCAGCCGAAGTACGATTGATGAGGAGCAAAAGTATACCAGCATCAAGTATGAGTGACTACTGGAGCGAAGACGGACAACAGAAGCTCACGCTCGAGCTTGCTTCATGGGACCAAATCTCTCTTTTGCAAACCCCCGATTTTTCCGATCAGCTCTCTGCACCCGCTGAACTCAACTATGCTGTTGACCTGATAACTGGGATGCGTCGTTCTCCGCGCAAGCATCGAGATCAGCACCAACACTCACAAAACTATACCCTTCCACCAATTTCATCCCTACTCACCACCAGCACACTGGGTGGCTATCTCAAAGATCTTTACGCAAATTTTTCTCCGAGTCCTAGTTGCATCGCAGATCAGCAAAACCCCCAGCATGATTTGCAAAACTTACTCCTACATCAGCACTATGGAACCCATGTTCACGCCAGTGCCGTCTCTGGAGACACCACACCACTACCATTGAACAGTCCCGCAACAACATTACCCACAGGTCCGAGTCCAACGGAGGCTATCGTGCCTAGCATTGAGAAGCCTCCATCGAAAGCTCCCCGCCGGGCACAGGCGAAAAAGCCCGAGTCCGATACCAACAAGAAGAAAACGCGCACCAAGGGTGCAGGTAGCAAGTCTGGGCCTGCGGGTCGTCGAGACCATGGTGGTTCAGACAGCGAAATCACAAAATTGAGTCCCGAGGCAATCAAAGACTCAAAAATAAAAACTCCTGTGAAGTCAGAGAGCATATGAGGACTCACCGACGACGACAAAGTTAAAGTTGTTGAGTATGTGACGTCGCCAGAGCGCTGGCCTGGTTTTAAAGTTAACCAAGTGCACTACTGGAATAATGTGAGTGGCAGTTGAGTGTCTCGTACATGGAGCTTACCTGTACATCAGATCTCTGGGAATTTGTTGAAGGGCCGGGTGACATCTGAACAGGTCCGAAATTTCTGGCACGGTCAGGCCTGGGAGAAGTACAAAGCAGTCCGTGAAAGGGAGGAACATACTGGTGGAGGAGATGGAGACGAAGATGGGTCAGATGCCGAGTGTAAGCCATCGAGTGCTTAAAAACGGAAGAAAGGTTCTGGTGAATTCTCCGCTAAGGTGTTGGACGAGTTTGCAAAGTCCAAAATTTACCAGTTAATTGATGCAGTGTGTGTACGAAATCCACACAAAGTTCACGCGCTGATGTACAAACAGTGCTCGCAATGACAAGAGTGTCATCCGTCATCGTGAATATCATTCAGCTACCCCTCTATCTGATGAAGATGCCTCACCCATGAAAAAACGGATCAAACGCTCAGAATCCTATGATGGTGACACCTCACAACTGCTACAGCAAGTCATTGGATGAATTGAGGAGCGAGACAAAAGGCAAGCACAGCTCGATGCTAACAATATAGAGCTTGCCCAAAAGAAGGACAAAAGGGATGAGGAGGAACGTGCTGAACATCGTGAGGCTGCAGCAAGGCAAGCAGAACGTGAACGACAGGATGCATTTGACAAACAGTGGGATCGCTGCATGCTGATGGTTGGTAATACGAATCCACGTGTTCGTGCATATGGAGAGAAGCTTCTTGACGAGCTGATGGGAGAAAGAAGTAACATGATGTAATGTGCCTACATACAAGAATAATCAAGGAGGTTTTTTCGACGTAGCAGGCCTGTGCGAAATAAATCATCCCCCTCTAAGCCTGGGTGTTCCTCTGCCTCTCCTCGGACTCCTGTTACATTCTCGTCTTCATCCCCATAAAATCCATCAATGCTTGTTGGGTCAGAGGACAGCTTTCGATTCCAATGTTTGCAACAGGTCACTTCGACTGGGTCGTTGGTAAGGTCGTGGTCGTGAAATGGTCAGATCGAGAACTTGGTGAGAGGATATCCTGCAGTAAATATTACAAATTGTACATGTAAATGACAGCTTGAAAATACCTTTGTCGACGAGGATATATTCATGGGTATTGAAATATTCGCCTCTGTTTCGCCACAGGTGCGAGTTTCTGAACACCCTGCTGTCTTGAACACAGCCTGGCCAACCAAACTCATAGGATGTGAACATTGCATGGTGATCACACGTAGCCTGTACAATAAGCTAATGACATGGCTGGCATATTCTCGTACAAAAATAAATGGACTTACAGCATAGAATTTTTTTCGACAGTAGTAAGCAAAAGGATTCCGCAAAGGCTTGTCCTGGAGTCTGATATAGCTACCATCCCCTATGCCAATACAGCCAGGAAAACCCCACTCGTCCATTGCATCAGACAACTGCTGACGTCAGACAGGACCAGGCCATGTCAGGAAGCGAGAGTGAAGGCGGCGAAATGCCATGCACACACGTTCAGTGTACAGATAAACAGTTCCTTCGGCAATTGCCATGACGGACACTGTTTTCAGTGCATTTTCAGCACCTACACGACATAGGAATGTTGCGAGTTGGTATTTTATAGGGCGCTGGGGTCGACCACCACTCGTGGATGGATAGAACGTGGGATTGTCGCTGATGAGGTCGTGCGAGTGCCAGAAAGTCGTGCGATCCATACTATGTAGTATTATGCAAGTCAGGAATTGAAATATATGAAAAAAACAACTCACCGCAGCCAGACTTTGAACGTCCTGTCTGACGAGACATTAAGGAGGGTGTCGAAGAAATCCTCGGACTTCTGTTGGTCATATGGTCCTCATCTACCACACCTACCATTTCATCTGTCCTGTCGACGGCGGTCCAAGGCCACCAATGCAAGTGAAACAGCAATCAGTTGATCCCCGGAGTCTTTCGCCTCAGCAAGAAGCACAACTGCGAGAGTTTCCAAGAGTTTCGTAGTAGATTCTCTCTTGCTGATCCGTTGGTGCTGACGTCGACATTGTTGTCGATGCGCTGAGCTATCACGCGCCATGAGTGTTCGTTTGCAGAGTCTCTCGGCAAGTTGGTCGGCGGCTCCTATTTCACTCTCCACAACACGAATGCACGTCAAACCTTACTTGACAGTTTATTCCAGTTTATTTCGTCCTGCTCGCTCAAAAAAATAAACTGGCGAAATAAACTGTTATTGAGTAGGGTTATAGGGAGCACAGTTTTTTCCAATTGCGGTGTGCAGCTTGATCTATCTGGGGAGCTGCTCCAGTGCTCTATAACCAACGCTCCTTAAGCTTGTTGGGTAATGCCTGAGGCGCTGAAGAGCTCGAAATCTTTTGTACGTACCCTGCAATAATATTCTTACCTACTACAGTGCAAAACAGATAGCATAGGCCTCTCTGTTGCAAACTCAATTGTGGTGTGATAAGGAAATTTTTGACATTTTTGGTGTGCAACTGGGTCAAAAGATCATGAATCTGCAATAAAAAATATTGGCGTAGATTATGTAAGCAGTCCCAATTTTCACAAAAAAAAAACAATATGTTCGTGTGCCAATCTCCCGTCTCTAAACATGCCGGAAAAACAAGAAGGCTCGGCGGGCCCCTGAGGCTCGCTGAGCAAGCTCCCGACGGCAAATTCTTTAGAAAAGATTATATTGACAATGTCGAGGACCCAGATGATGGACTATATCATCGGTAACGGTGCAAGCACCCATCCCCGACTCGTGGATTTTCACACCTCGTTATATTCATGCGATATAAGTACATCATCATAAACTCGAGAATGGTCACGCGAAACAATTTGAATAGGAATACAGTTGAGTCGTTTTTTTTTTTTTCAGTTCGGTTTCGCGAAATCAAACCATTTTGCTTTTTGTTCCTGCCACTTTCGATTCTTTCAAAGGTTTCACTGTCATGATCCCGAGGTCCTTTTCACTGTAGTTTGCTGTGGGCGGTTTTTCACCGTGTTGGTAGCTGTCTGGGGAGTTTGCCAAGAGTACGATGGCTTTGGCATTCATGGATGCATTTTTTCGTAGTTCCCTGTTATGCGCTGTACCTTTGTATTCATAGGTGCTTGCCGTGAAGAATACGAGGACTGGTGTTCCATTTTCGATTTCGTCGTTGATCTTCGGCAATTTCCAGTAGTCTTCGAGACAGAACGGTTTTTTCCCATCGAATGTCGGAACTGTGATAAGGGTGTAAGTGTTAGATGACGGTGATCATCGTTTGGGTTCAATCTTACTGTGTTCGTTCCATTTCAATAGCTTGCTGCTAGCTGTAGGTGCCTTTTCTTCTTCCTCTTCATCACCTTCGTGAGCGGTGCTGCCGGTGGGCTCTTTTCCAGTTTTAGTAAGGCTTGAGAAGGTGACTCCCTTATCTTGGGTCCAGAAGGCGAGGTACCTCTCATGGCATATTTTGCCTATGAGTGACAAGCCTCTTGGCCAAGTAAGGTCGCAGGGGAGGACCGCAATTTGGCGTTGTTTTTCTCCCTCCATGGTTGAAGACATGACTGAGATGCCGACGATAAAGAATATGGCCGGGCAGTTTGGATAGTCACGATGCGCAATGGATCCGTTCTTTGTGTGAGTGAAATCACCCACATGACCTGTTCCGATGTTGAAAAGGTCATCAACATGTGGCGCAGTCGTGATACAAAGAAGTCGTCTTTAGGTATGAAGTCAGTGATATTTAGGGGAAATTTTTTTACTTGGTGCACGTACTTGGCAACATTCACATCGTGCTTGAACATGATTTGAAAGTCGATACTCTGCACTTTTGTTCCTGAGTGCGAGTCAATCGCCTTGACAGCAGGGATGAGTTTCAAACTCTTCATGATGTCGTGTCTGATGTTGTTGAGGGTGATGTAAACTTAGGGGAAATATCGACGTACGGGGTTTGCTCTGTGTCTTCTTTCGTGGTGTCAGAGTCAACTTCTATTTTCTTTGCCTTGGGTTGCATGGTTTCTTCTGCTTTTGATGTTGGGGACAGACTTCGTTTGGTGGATTTGTGAAGATTCTTCATGGTTGACTATCAAGAATTTGTTATTTTTTTTTGGCGGTGCTGTTGGTGATGTCAATATTTCTTGATGTCGATCATGTAATCTGCTCCTTACTCCTAAGTGTTCTCTGCTCTCTACTCCTAAGTGTTCTTCTGTTTTTCACTATCATGTCTTGCTCCTCACCTGATGATATCGGTGATTTTTTGAGTGTCGTGAGGGATGAGAAAGTCGGTAGGTATCATTTGATGTTGTTTCATTTTCGTGGTGTGTTGATGTGATCAGTATCGGCTGTGCAGGACGTCGAGCATGCTCGGTTGAACTCTAGTGAGAGGAAGAAGTTGCAATTGAGCTTATATGATGACGATGAAATCATTCTGCGTTCTTTTTTCGTACGTAAGAGTATCGATGGCAAGTATGGAGTACTGCTTTGGAGAGATTCCGAGCAAGAAGTTGTTTTTGATGTGCAGGGTTTATTGGCGAAGTTCATGCTGCCTCCATTGTCACGGCAGAGGTATGGGTGCGTAAATGAGGTCTCTGTCAGTGTGCAAGGTGTCAATTGATCAAAGTTCGACTCAGCGCCCATTGCTGCTGAGACAGAATGCAACCTTGCTTGCAGCTACCGATTCATTTGGCAGATCATCCTCGGCACTCGGTCATTTGTTTCGCTTTTTTGAGCAGCAGTTTGGCCAAGGTCAAGTGCGTCCTTGGAGTCCGGTAAACATGGGAGTCGCGGAGGCCATTTCTGCAGATACGCGCTATGTATCACCTCGTTCAGAATTGTCGTTGTGGAGTGATGCGTTACCGCAACTACAGGAATTCCCACTCCTGGATAAAAACAATGTCATTCGAAATTGGGTTGAAGAAGGCAATGTAGCATTTACGGAGGACAATTTCGTTGATTATTCTGAGGTCGTATCTGGTGGAGGGTGAGTTGACAGTTGTTTTAATTTTTAAAAGCCTTCATGCAATTGTTCAGTGTTTCTCGTCGCACACCGGCCGATCCCAGTATCTTCAGAGTGGGTCAGATTGTTGAACTGGGATTGAGTTTGAAAGTTGTTCGTACCCGACAATCTTCCTCGCAATATTCTTTTCTTGTCCATATGGACAATCTGTTATTGTTGAATCGGTCACCGTCGATGGTGTGTCTAATAGGTCATTGTTTTGGACCGCACTGATTTTTTTCACAGTTGTTGGCTAACCTGGAAACTCTCAGACAGTCCGTCAAAGCTCTAGATGTCAGGCATGCGATGGAAACACATGCTCTCCTGCCGAAGAAGCGCCGTGTCAGAGAGGATGATATGTTTGAATTCGAGAAGTTGTTGATTACTCGCCAATTCTCTCGTCTTGCACTTGAAGGATCATCTGGTCAGCCTGAACACTCGTCGGTTTCGGAGTATGAAGTCTCATCCGGAATTTCCCAAATTGTTAGCTCTCCAATGTTATCAGGATTCTCTTCATCAGAGTGCGTTGAAGTCGAAGATGGTATAAATGTCATTTTGAAGTAGTTATTTGTACGACTTCTAGGGTTAGGGTTGTCTAGTCCATTTAAGGCGACATTCTGGAACGTAACCCTAACCCCAAAGTGATGCAATGTAAGCACAATTTTGTGCCTCGCAAACGCATCAGCAAACAGGACAGTGCTATTGTGGAATGTTGGCCAGTCCATCAGTTCTCCACTCCGGCGCATGCGGATGCAGTGAACTGCGTATCGTTTTTCATGGATGGAAAGCTACTAGTCACTGGTTCCTGGGACCTCGCTTCAGACCACGAAGATTGCCAACTCCCTCCAAAAAAGTCCATCCTTAGCTCCCAAAGACGACTTCATCAATGTGGAGGACGTCTTCACTCTGCCAGTGGTCGACCAATTCCAAACGGCGTCGTCTACGATTACCAACCCTTCTTTTCCTGGACAGGCCCACTCCACTGGCGCTAACGCCCCCCTTCCTGGATTCCTTCGCCCCGTCAATGCTAGCTCTTCTCTCACTGGATCCGCACGCCCCATCATGATTGACGCTAACATTTCTCCTTCCGGATCCGCCCACCCCGCTAATATATGAGCCCAAAAGACAAAGGCCGCTGCCTCCTGGCTCAAGCCTCTAACACTTGTCACGAAACACGCCGCCGGTCGACCTACGCAAGCTCAAGCCACAAAAGGTACGGATGTGTTTAGCACCAAACTAAGTATGTCGCTCATATCACCGCAGCTATGAAACTTTGACATAATGCTCAGACACGCTGGACTCTGGACTCGTTTTTGGCTCTTCAGCCGGAAAATCTCAATCACGCGCTCTTCAGCCTTCCGGGCTACCCACTCAGCCTTGCCACCTCGTCTGCCTATACCAGAAGAGTTCCATAACGATATAGACCTCAACTAACCCTCAATGCTCACCAGACACACCTCAGTCACTCTGGTTCCATCAATATCGAAGGAACGCATTCCATGCAGCCAGTCATATGACTTTATCCTTCGCAGGTCAAACAGTCAATGATAGCCTAGAGCAGTCCTATGAGGTATGATAAAATTGCGGACCGGTCCCAAAGCCTTTAAACCAATCGAAACCCTTCGCACTTGATCATATCACTACAGATGCTTTAACCTCGAGGCTATAATCGTACGTCGTTTCATGAGAAGTGACGATTTAATGCTCATATTCATTCTCTGGCTGCAGCAAAATAGGAACAGCTCGAGCTTGATTTCTGGTCGACAAAATCAAAATATGGCAGCGCAACGATGTAGACGGCTCTTGATTACTCGATGTCCTTGAACTCAGGGCAACCGCGGACATCCCCGCGTTGCCCCCGTAACTGCACCATACGGTTACCCTGACGGCAAATATGTGCAGTCTCTGCAAAGCAAGTACAAGTCAACTCATACTTTGTATTACAAATTCACATGCAGCCTCAGAAGCTTAGATGACGGTGGGCTCGACCCATCGAGAGAAACGACATTTACATGCTCATCACCCGAAGCTCCTGCGTTAGATGCGAGACTTGTATGCTTGCCCTGCGGCCTGCCGTTTTGGAGTAATGAAAATAGCAGATGGGGTTTATGTGAGATGTGTACAACTGGCCTCTTTGTTCGGCGATGCGCCCTAATAGTAGAGATGCGTGCTTGAACGATGAACTACGGTTTTACATGTAGTATTGTGTTCAATGTATTGCACGTTCCTCATGGGCTGACAGATTGTGAGATTTGAATACAGACGTAAACAAAGCCGGGATACGCAGCGCTGAGTTAACTCTACCGCCGGTGGGAGGTATTCACCTTCGTCTGAGCGGATCTCTTACATTGTCGGTCCACAGGCGGGAGGGTGACGTGCAATTCACAAATTTCCATGCCCCAGTCAATCGCCCTGAATTGAAATATTGTTGGAACCTTTCATGCCATCAGTCTATAGAACACATGAGATTGTGCCAGCACGTGTCATGCGAAAATAAAGACACCGAGCTTTGGAGAAAGGCAGGGATAGAGACCAACAATATTTTGATGAGCGTGCAGAAGATTACAACGACAAGAGGCCAATGGAGCGCTGAGTTGAGCTGAAAGATAACAGTGAAGAAAACGGCAAGATATTCTTGCTGTGGAGGCGGCATCATGAACTGTCACGTGACTGTTCAATTGACCGGCCAAAATTTAACTTCTTTCTACATTTATGTACATGTACAATTGTACAACTTGTTCAGCTCCGGACTGGCGCAATACATATAGTGCGGCTTGGAAGCCGGCACGGATGTCAATAGTCCGGGAGTAACAAGTTGTACTAGTGCAGTATGAAAATCATCGAAATGCTCGCACTCTGCCAAATGGTACTCTCACATCAAGTCTTATAGTGCGGAGCATATAGATTTACCTGGCACCTTTGGTTCAATTGGCACTGGCTCCTGCCCCGCATACTTCCCTTCCTTGTTCTCGCTTTGAGCGTCCACATAATTGTTGACACCTTGTTGGTGCGAATTCCTAACCCTAACCCTAATCGATATACAGTACCGATCTCTGTGCAATCTGCTACGCCTCCTATGAGACCTACACCAGGGCAAGCAATCAAGTTCCTCCGATTGCCCGGATTACAAAGAAATTAGCCATTCGACTGTTTACTCTGAAAGCCAGGCTAGCAGCAGGAAATGTATATTGATGAGGAAAGTAATTGATTTCCCGGATGTCAGAGAAATCAGAGAAATCATGATTTCCACTGTTTACCCTAACAGCCAGGCTAGCAGCTGTCTTTGTGGCCGGATGAGATTGCTCTCTAGCGAGGGCGGAAATGCCTTGATGTTATGATACAAATGCATGAGTATTTATATGGGCTGCATCAGTGTTAATATATAATGCTGTTGAGTGAATTTGTCAAGCGACATACCTCATGTTGACAGATTGTGACTGCCGATGAGAGAAAAAAGGAGGAAACTGCGGCGCGACCTACCCGGGTTCCCAATAGAACGGTGTGAAATAAATCATATAGTCTCTGATGGATCAATGCTTTTTGATAAACATGGAAACATATTCACTTGCGTACCCAGAGACGATTGGAAAGGTATTGAGTCTGACATGCTAGTATTGGAAAGCGGCCACGGTTGGCCAAGGGCGATTTTCCAATCTGGAACAACTGATAATCTTTTACGAGAATCATCACACGAGGAATGTAATAGTGTCAGGGATGTGTGCATGATCAAATGAAGAGAAACGCTCCTTCAAGAGTGCTCAAGCTCAGTTCTCGCAATCGTAATCACTGACCCAGGTCTTGCATGTTATCCCGAGAACTTCAGCTCTTACTCTAGCTCCAGTGCGAGAACTTCACTGATATTCTCTACATACCGATTATGCATGGTTTTGTTGAAGAGCTCGCTTAACGCGGCGAACACATAGGCCGATAAGGCCACGTGAAAATATGGCTGATGACGAACATCGATGCTGGCGAGTGTAGCATATGCAACTGCCGTAGCTAGAGACAATGGAACTCATAGGATAGTTGGCAAGGCAGATAGATTTGTCAAAGCATGTATGTGGTCGTCGTTAAGGGTGCAGGGAACGAAGAGAGGATGACCTGGAAAGACAATCATGGTTAGATAAGACTGATGACCGAAGTCACGATATATCACTTACCAATGGGGCAGTGAGATACTCCATCCCCATGCTTCGTGAGGATCGAGAAGTTTTTAAGATGTCTTTCATCAAGCTGTATCGTTCCACGCGGAAGCTAAGAGAACTTCTTAATGAGAGAGCATGAGATCCAGTTGAAATGAAACATACACGCTGTACCGAACGAGAGAAGATAGCTTGCATGGCCTCGAGTCCATCTCAATGCTTGCAGGAAAGACAAAATGAAGGACAACTTACAAATGTACCAACTCGTTCCGTCGCTTGTCAGACGCTCGATACCGTCAGCATTTACTACCACTTGGAAGCCGGCGGGAATGCGTCAGAGACCAACTCCGCAGAAGTCTAACTCTCCCGGGTCCTGGGGGTGTTCTTGGTGGTAGCCTATAGTAGTTTACGTCGGTGTAAGCGTAGATTTCTACCACCTACTCTGCATAACATATGATGCTCCGCGTACCATATCGTATACCACCTTGCCAAACGCGCCCCCTCGCATAGCCTACAATAATATCCTTCGAAATGGTCGCGTGAAGACCTCCATTGGACCGCGTCCTGCACAGGTCATCTCACTAGAAGATTTTGAGGAGGTGGAGGAGAGCGTATGGACCCATGCTTGTAGATGCGTATCTTTCATTATTTTCATTCTCTTCTCTACGTCATCATCGATTTACATCTGAATCTGCGCACATTACATAGTGAGCTGATAAATATATAGGATTGCTTGACGCTCATCCATGGTGCAAAGCTGTTCATATTCATTGGTAGGATCTAATATAGGCTGTCCATTATGTAGCTGACCATCATGCAATGAAATACTTCCAGTCTCAAACAGAAGTCTGCATGTAAAATGATTAGCTCCGTGATAAATGATAGATCTGAGCTTATATTGACTGTCTATCATGGACATGACTAAATTTGCGCTTGGCGGCTGTCCTTTGATGCTATGGACTTCAAATGATATGAAAGGTGGGTTTTCTTTCAGTGAACTATGAATCCGAGTTTCATCTGTGATCTCAGCGTGACAAAACGGACATCCGAGAGAGAATTGTTGTGCTGTTTTCTTTTTGATGAATTGAAATAGCCACTCGTCGATATTTTGTGCATCATATCCATGTTCTGATTCCATCGAGGAGGAATAGATGTTCGGTAAGTCTATTTCATGCTGGAATCCGTGATTCTCACTGCATGTAACATCGACAGACAGGCGAAAATAGCTCTCTTTCATATTCATACTCAAAAGGGAAGTGATGTCTAAGATGTCGATTGCTACAGGTCCCTTTCTTGGAAAGTTAGCAGAGTTGATGGATGATAAGTGGTCTCGCAGAATATCACGGCATTCATTGAATTTTTCAGGTATCTCGTTGTGTTTCAGAAGATCGCCGAACAATTGAGCGAGAAGTGCACTCAAATGAGAGTACTCTTTCCATAATGTTCTCCAGTTCTCGTCTGCAGTCCGATACAAGTTATAAAAAGACATGACGAAAGCATCATATGCGCAAGACCAATCTTTGTTGTTCCATGTGCAACCTGAGATCAAAGGCATCGTTCGTGAGGACCTTCATTGTCGGTATGAATCTTTTTCATAGGCTGTGGTGAATTGTCCTCGTCAGCAGGACATTTAGTTTTCTTAGCATTCACTTCAACCGCTGATTCATATACAAGGTGTGGTGGAGTCCAGTGAGCTTCATATTCAGGATCTACGTCTAATAAAGGGAGCACATCATCTTTTGAAAATCCAAAATCGACCATCGTGTTGTGTTGCAGAATCTGTAATCTCTTGTCCTCGCGAAGTAGAGCATCAGGGAGTATTTTATTAAGATCTTTTAGTTTGACTGGATGGATGATGAATAATCCTTCTCTTGTGCGTGCCCTACTTGCTGCTACATAGGCTGCGAATCCTCCTTCTTTAAGATTAACGATGATGTTTGGCAGAGTTTTACCTTGTGCTGATTGGCCAGTCACGGCAAACGCAGGTTGGATAGGCAATTGCTTCCTGGTGATGCGATGCGAATACTGCTCTCCTGATTCGGACGTGAGAAGGGTAGCGAAAGACCAACTTACTGAAGAAATTGGAAAGTGCTTTGGAGGCAAGTCGGGCAGTTGTAATTTGCTGTGCGGAAATTCCACAATACAAGATGTAGCATATGATAGATGTTCAATGGTATGGGATGTATTGATCTGGCGCAGGATTCCTTGAGAGCCATTTGTAACTCCCAACTCTGTGGACAGGTTGCGATTCCGTAAGATGACAGGCATTCCTATGTAGAATAATAAAATACCAGGTAGAGATCCTTCCCCACTGAAAGATGATGTGTCAAGATGTAGTAAAGAGTGCATCTCTTTAGTGTTCACATCATTCGGCTCTATTGAATCAAGAGCATGGCAGGAGATCAGCAGTTTCTGTTCAGATGTGGTTTCAGTATTCACTTTAGCCTTGCGCAAATTTATACTTTCACGCAAGCAATTGGTATTGACAATGGCACATGCATTATAACGCAGTTCATGTCGCATATCAATACCATTTTCATGAGCTTCGGATCGCATCAATCGACTATTGAACAAGTCCATATCTTCTATGGTACACTGTCGGATTCGGAGTCGTCTGACAGCTTCCGCATATTGCACATCATCTTTCATGCGTTCTTGCTCACTAAAAATGACAACAGCGTTGAGTGACTTCCAAGCCAGACGACCTAGCCGTTTCATAATTTCTTTGTTTGACACAGTTTTAGATGAGGATATCGGGATGTATAATGCAGTACCTCCCACAGGTGCATATTGAAAAAAATCACCTGAAGCGATAAAGTGGGTGCCTCCAAAAGGAACATCATAGATTTCTTTAGCGTACCTGAGTGCATGATCCATATCGCATAATATTTGTTGACCCAATAATGAGCATTCATCTGCTAAAATAAAGCCAACATCCTTCCAGTCTTTCCGTAATTGCATGCGATTATTGACGCTGATCAAAGCTTCAAATTCCTCAGCATGTGAGCCTAATTTTTGACTGCGTTTTCCTTTGTCCTTGTTCTGCACGCGGATGCCAAATGCTTTATGAATGGTGGTTCCGTCTATTATAGCTGCCGCTGTTCCAGTTGGGGCAACAAAACGCAGAAGATGTTGACAGCGATAACACGTCATCAACATTTGAAGTGCAAACACGCAATGTGTTTTGCCTGTGCCGCCCGGTCCACTCATAAGTAAGCGCAAAGGCTCATTGGATTTACGGATACCAAATGTCACAGGATAATCTGGAACTACGAGATTCGTGTCATTTTTCATAAGATGTTCAAGGTTTGGGTGCTGCATCTTCAGGAAGACAGATGCGATGATCTGAAAGGTTTTCCATTGAATGTTATTAAGAGTAAATTCTCTGGCGATATTTTGAAGCAATCTCATAGGTGAATCATGAGAAGTCAAAGAGTGAGCAGGAGTTTTGGTGATCTGTTTGATCAAATTGCCATGGTGCGCAGCAGTCGTACTCGAGCGCTTACAATTATTGATGATAGAAGTCATTTGACTTGTCACGTCACTCTGATTGAACAGGCGTTGGTGAACAACCATCTCTTGATGTTTGATAGCGTCCTTCCACTGTTTCATGAGTTTTGGGGTGACCACAGGTAAAGATTTATGATCATATTCTACTGCGAACATTCCTTGCTTAAGTATATTGCCCATATCTTTGTCTGGTGAGAAAGCATCTAGCCAACATGATTCTTCAAGCAAACCGAGTACTTCCTGAAGATTAATCTCTCTCTTTGACGTCTTATGTGCATCTGTAAGGAAAGACAATTCATCTTCCACCCCAACCAAATTGCTTTTATTCACAGAGAGCAGCTGCTTACTAGCTTCTGAACGTTTGTGCAATCTATCAGCATCGCGTTGATCTTCGCACTCGTTGATTGCATGCCAATTGTCCATGATGTCAGTACTTCGGCCGTCAAATTTGAAGGAATGAAATACACCATCAAATGTCTCATCCGGAGCAAGGATGGGCTTTCTATGGCTGAATGGTTTGAAATGTCCCAGTACAAATGGGTAATATGCACTAGGATTGTTCTTAGACGGCACACACCGTCCAATGATGCGGGGAATCAGGTGAGGTCCTTCAAATCCTCTAGACACATTTGTATGCTCTACTAATAAATGCGTGTTCGATTTTGGGTGTGGTTCTTCAAGCCGGAATCTTCGCAAGGCACTCGGTTTCTCCATATCCAGGAATTTAGCATTGTCAGCGGTTTTCCTCTCCAACTTGATGCATTGTACGAACTCGAAAAATGACAGGTTCTCTAAACCTTTGGATCTGAAAAAATAATCGTTGACTTGATCGGAATGAACTATGTCTCCATGCTGATCAATTGTGAGGCGCAACTTAACTTGTTCTTCATCAATTTCATCCCAGTCTGATTGTGTAGGATTAACATCAGACACCTCACTTGGACCGTGATGTTCTCGCAGGTATTTTAACTGAGGACCATAATGTTTTTCAATGTGATTCATGAGGATGGACGATAATATAGGAATGGTTTGATGCGACTGAATCCTATCATCTAGACCTCGAAGGTATCGTACTGCTTGCTGACCATGCACTTGCTGTTGCCGATTAAACTGTGTGAGGCATCTGTGAAGAAGTTTCTTTGCTTGCTCTCTTGCTGGCAACACAACATCGGATGATACTTCCTCAACTGCTTTAGAAAGGAGTGATAGCATCTGGAAAAACTTGAGGTCCATCTTGGTGATATAGTCACTGATATAACACATCGCTCCCTTTGCTGCTCTGCCAGATAAGATACATTTTAGATCATGATTGTGTCGACAACAGATGAGAATATAGGGATTATAATAGTTGATAGTCGCATCACGACACAACAATACAATAGCGTCAGTTTCTGAATCAAAGTGTGATGCATCAACGATCTCGTGTGGAAACAAAAACCTGCATTCTGAATGTCCATACTTGTGACATACGGGTTTACATACATGGCGCTGTAAAATTTCCCCCGTCATTTTCACATCTGTCATGAATACGGACTCCCATTCATTAAGGACATCAATCGCGACATTTGTTGTCTGAGGTGACACAGGAGGTCGTTGAGTTCGAGGCTCATAGCCCATTTCAATGTTGACTTCGACATCGGGTAGGTCATGGTGAATTATGTCTTCAAAAAATTCAAAGAACTGGTTGTCAAACTCCGGAGAGGCACGAAGTTTATTATGCAACTCGTGGGGGTTCAAAGCACCGACTAACCAAATCAGAATATGGCCATGAAGAGACCCTCGTTCGGTATACTCTGCTGTTCCATAGAAAGCCTTGATGTGTCCAAGAATCCCACCTCGGTCTGTTGAACGATGTAACTCAAAATCCCAACCGAATAAGTGCTGAAAGATGCTTCTGATAGAGAATTCAAAGAAGTCGGCAGCAGCAACAGGATCGCGTGCCAATCGAAGGGCTCTTTCATGAGTTGGAACTAAGACTGGGTAACGCTCTGTGAGATCAACTGTTACATCTCCACACATCACCTGAAAAATGGGATTATGGAGTGGGTTCGGATTTGCTGTGAAATATAATGTAGGTAGTCCAAACGAGCCCATGAATCCACGAATTTCACTGCGAATGAATGTTTTGAAAGCCTGAGAACCAGGAATCTTGGCGGAAATAGTGTTGACATGTTGGAGCAAGTGAAGGGCCTTTTTCTGTTGGTCATTCATATCGCTCATGTTTCTTTCGTTCTCCAAGTGATGGGCAGCAGATTGAATGACTGATGGCGACAGACCGACTAATTCCTTGCTAAAGTCCTCAAAACCAGTTTTGCGCATAGAAAATGATGTATGGAGATGTGCTTTGCGTCTCTGGACAATATTTAACACCACAAAAATATATGAGTGATGAAATCGGAAAATGCGATCAGGAATGTCAAAATAAACTGATGCTTGAGCAGCAAAAGACAGCGCGACAGGACGAGAAGGGTCCTCAAACCCACCAATTCCAAACGGAAATAGTGTGGGGTACATACCTGGAACCAAAGCATAGTTATGGTACTCAGGAATCGGATCCTCATCATGATGCAACACTAAGTCTGGTATCTCTTTCTCTACCTTGCGATCGAAAGATGGAATGAGGTTCCTAAATGCTGCAGCGACAAATTGACGCCCGGATGTAGTGTCACATTCTGGATTGGATACTCCAAGCTTCTCGATTAAATCCGGGACATTTTCGCCGTTAACAGGCAGTTGTTGTTCGAATTCTTCAGCGGGATGCAGCGCAAATCCGGCGGTTTCCTCACTCAATATAGGGTGAGCATTTTCAACGCGGTGATGAATAACCCGATCATGAATGCCTGGCAACGGACCATCGTCGGGGAACAACTCCAGTCGAGAGACATCAATGTGAATGTTATCATACAGATGATTGTGCCTCTTTAGAAACACAAGAAATCTGCAAACTTTAGACTTGCGAACACGAAACAACGAATAGAGACGTGCCGGATCGAACTGTTGACTACCAACAAAAACAACAGAAAGTGCGTAATTGACATCTGCTGGAGTCCTCGGTAACACTGATGCAGTTGAGACAACATTCATTCCATGGGCACAAGTATTACCATACATCACACGCGGAGTAGCAGGATCAGAAGATTGAAAAAGTCGGGTTATATGGGCAGTCCCACGAAATATAGCACAGATCATTTCTTCGACCCATGTCAAATCGCCAAATTCAACGGGCAATTTACCACGGTACAAATTGTTGGCTAGTGCAAGACGTGGAATCCGAGAAGCGCGCAAAGACGATTCACATTGTCGGCACAGACATAAAAGATAAGTGCCTTCGTGATCAACTTCAATTCCTTCCTTACAGAACATCAGCCCATCCAGTTCCGACTGTCCATAAACAAATTCATTAGAGAGCTGCTGCACTATACAGTGAGAAATGATAAACTCATCTTGAATTCGCAATGCTTCAATTTTTAGACCTGCAAGATCATCTGGCACGCGCACAATATTGACACTGGCATCGTATTGCGCCCGCGAACACACCGCACACACTCGTCCAGAAGACCACAAGGTTCCGCGACGATAATCTTCCACACACTGCAAAGCGATCTCTTGACTCACTTTTTTTGGCCATTCTGATGCGATTAAGTTCACAGTCTGCTCGTGTTCTTCTTTCGTTTTGTTTTTGAACTCTTTGTTGGTTTTTCGTTGTAATTTCTGAGACGAAAAAGAGGCATTCAGGAGAGGCCGGAAGACTTCTGGTGTAAAATAAAGTTTGAATGCGCAACACAAGAAATCTGCTCGAGAACTTAACTCAAGATCAATATAGGGCACAAAGGTCAGGATGGTAGAAAAAAAAACATAATCATCAGCAACTAGCAAAGAACGGGTGAAATGGCATATGAACCGAAACAGTGCTCGAGCATATCTCGCATTCGAATGCCCTGATTCATCAGTAATGCAGTCTGGACGGATCTTTGCCAATACAGATCGCAGCGTGAAATGACCGAGTCTGCTAAGTCTTGACACTAAAAGATGAGACTCATCCTCATTCAACCAAGGATAATTAGCAACATCACATTCAGGATTGACACAAACATTGTCGTCAACATGGACAGCGCGAACAGCCGTCATGACCTCTTCGCCACAAAGTGCATCAAAATACCTATTCACAGCAACGAGGCGGGAGCGAAGAACATCACCATCATCAGTAAACCACAATGATGAGGCAATAAATTCGGCATTAGATAAAGAACCAAGAAAAGCGATGTGCTCCTCGAAAAATGCAGATAGACGCTGAATCAAAACACACTTACGACTCGCGATGCCATGAATACCCAACTGCATCAAACACCATCGAAGTTGAGCGACACCAAGAGACATGAAAGTGCACCGAAATTCTTCGCAGGACCACGTAAACCAAACGGGTTCTCGACCCACCAAATCACTCACGTCAGCACGCATTCTGCGCAACGCACAGCAATCAAAATTGGTTTAATGTCGTGAACGACAAATGTTTAACGTCCTCGAGGACGAAAATGACGGAATTACGATTCCAAGGATCTGAGACAAAAAACAAGAGCGAATCTATAGATCGGTACAAAAACAGAACTTCCGATTCCGAAAAAGCTCACGGGGTATACACCCTGCACGACAATGACTGAGAAAAAAACAAAGTACCCCATAAAAGCCCTCCTCTTACGAGTCGGGGAATGAAGAAGATTCAGGTTCAGAGAAGGCTGGATTGTCAGCCTACTAGAGCATGGCATCATAGGCCTTGGTGCTGTGAGATACTGGGTGCATGCCCTACCAAAGTTATCCGGGCCTTTTACCGCAAAAAATACCGCTCGCATCGCAAAGTTGGTGCGGGAATCATGACAGAAATGGATACATGAATTACCCTGAATAATTATATGTATTTTATACACTTACAACAGTCCAGCAGAGGCCACAAACATGTTTTTTCTTCGCTGCAAGCAATAGGGAGGAGGAGCGACTACCAAATAAGGAAGGTGGCGGTGCTGGTGGCGTGGGAAGTCCCAATTTGAGACCGTCATTTTTTAAAAATCTAGGAATTTAAAGAAAGTAACCAGATAGGTTTGTCACTAGGCTCGAACAGAGGCGTTTCCACTAGTTTTGGTGGAAATCAGACGGAATGGGGCGATGTAGAAAGGAATCTGTGTTGGTGCTGTGGCGGAGGTCGGTTTTTCCCGTTTTGCACTATACGATACCCTGAGAGAACCATGGTGCTTGGTAGAGCAGGACGATCAAATACGGCCGAGGCTCAATTTGGTTAATTTTAAATTTTCCCCAGTACTACTCCGGACTCCGCAAACTCGTCGAGTCGTTGTGTCGATGAGTCTCAAATTAACTCCGTCCACCCAATAACTTCGGGGACTCGTCAATAGGCAACTAAGGTATGTCTAGGAAGGAAGGAAAGAGGCAATAACGGAAACAAAAACGCACCTCGACACGATCAAATCCTGAGTTTTCCCGGATTCTGCTGAAATTCAGCATCAGCAATCGCGCAACTATCCACCTCCTCCATCAATCTGTTCAGAGGCTCTGCGCATCTGCGACGCATAGCATTGATGTGAGAATTCCCTCATAAGTAACTGGTCTTGCAAACTGAGTCCACCCAAGCCCGGTTCATCACCGCCGCTGTGATCAGATGATGTCTGGGGAAGATCATCAATAACCATGCCGAAGTACATTTGAACTCAGGCATTCCTACCAGTCTGTTTGATGTTGCAAATATCACTCTGACCCTTGCGCATCCATCATCATAGTGGTCCGTTCTCTGTCACTACACGGCTCAGATATATTGAAGTCCTGCGGTTGGTCTATGTTCATCGATAGCTAACTTTTTGTGATTACTGATGGAACTGATCCAGAATCCCCAAAACAGCAAATTTCATCACGAACAGATATTCCGGTGTTCAAATCTTCCGCGAATTTCAGACGCAAGTTACATCAAAGTTCTTCGAACGACGGCTTCTCACTACTATTCCTTTCTACTTTCTGTGATCAATGAAGATTGTGATTCGAGACACGGCCATTGTCCAGCCTCATCACTATAAAAGCGCTGGATGGTGGTAGGTCTGCACGAACTCCATACGCCCCATCCCAATATGACCACCTTCGTCTCAAATGATCCTGCTTATTGGCCACTCCTCAGTTCTGCTCAGTTTGCTGGCTATTTTGAAGGTTCGTAGAGAGAAAGTGGCATGACAATGTTGACGTCTCACTATCATTGACTATGGTTACACAGTTGCATCCCTTGCTGTGGTGGTGTACGATTGGGGTGAGCGAGATAATTCTTTCCGAGGGGATCGTTGATATATAAGTATACGGTACTCAAGCATTAACATCTGCACAAGAGGTAAGTCAATGTCATGACCAGCGCAGCAATCTCATATCTCACTAAGAATGCTCTCACAGTTCGAACTCATCTGGGTGAGCAGAGTCACATATCAGAAGCAAACAGGACAATGCGGCTGACTCGGGGCAGAGGCAACGCTGGTCGTTCATGACCGTTCTTTATATTTCTGTACGTTATTTAATGAGCGCAATTGACGCTGACTTCAACATATGCTAGATCCGCTACATCGGAATACTGTTTTCTCTGTATGTTTGCAAGGCTAACGCGTTAACACTGCGCTGAACTGATAAACCATATCTCACAATCAGCGTCTACGTACTGTGTATGTATCCCCGATACACTCTGTTCATTTCTGCTGACCAGCAGCATGTAGCGTTTCTCCCAGTCCCTTTGACAAACATAGTGGGTATTCTGCAGCGACGCCTGACATTCCCATTCTCATTCAACTACTAACTGCACTCCTACACAGGGGTGAGTGACAATCTCAGACAGCTTGATGGTTAGACATGACTGCAACAGCTGTAAGTTTATTCGAAGCATTGAGTCGATAAATGCACATCTGACACTGTGTTTTCCAGGCAATATGTCTTATTTTATAACGACATTCGCGCCTGTCGTCATCAATGCCATGTTGGGCGGTGAGCTGACTTGCGATACTGTACCGTATTAATACTGACGTGACTCAAATATCATGCAAGTCATCATGATGACTCGTATACGCGCAATGTATGGGGGATCCAGGAAGATGCTCATCTTTCTCGCTGTGCTCTTGCTGGTTTCCACGATCGCCACCGGAATTATGGCGGTAATTGCAAACCTGGGTTATTCAGGGGGTAAGCTTTCATTATTGATAACAGACTTGAGCACACGGGACTCATAGAAAAATTCCAGGGGAGGCCGTGTTGTCTGGTTACCATATCTGCTATTACAATCTTGACACAAATGCGTTAGATCTGGATTATGACATGATCATACCCACTGCAATATGGGAGATCCTCACCCTTTTTCTTGCAGTTTGGATTTTTATAAAACACCTCCATGAACTGCGACAATCGCAGAGTGGATCGACCATTGGAGACTGTTTCACGGTGCTAATGCAAAGTCACGTGTTGTACTTTTTAGCGTGAGCTCAGTCATTTCTATGCCGTTATCTTGTTTTGCTGAAGTTCCGCATATGCTAGCTTTGTTGTCACGGCTTGCTTTTCTCTTGGGAAACTGTCTCCAAGTCTCACGGTGTGCTGACCGTACTGGCATCTGCATCTGACCAGTCCTCATCATGTTTACAGTTCTCATCTGGTTTGGGAGTTGATGTGTATACTGGCATTATCGGCATTGCCCAGGAGTTCCAGATGTGTATACTGGGACCACGTCTGATCCTCAGCGTTCGTGAATATAACGCCAAGCTCGTGGCCAGGTCCGACGAAGGAACACACATGACGTCGATTGCTTTCCAGGCTGGCGGAGATGTGTTGACTGGTGGAGATGTGTTGACTGGTGGAGATGTGTTGACTGGTGGAGATGTGTTGACTGGTGGAGATGTGTTGACTGGCGGAGATGTGTTGACTGGCGGAGATGTGTAACACTGGAAGCCATCCAAGTAATCAACCGGGTATTGGGCACGGAGTGTATATATATATTATTTGAGTTTCGTAGTGGTATTTAAGGGTAGGTGATTTGGAAGATATATGTAGGAACTTCGTCCTGGTATTTATTTTGTGTTCTGGAGGATAAAATCATGTTTGGGCAATGTTATGTCACATTACTATTGGAACTACCTGTCAACTTATGCATGCACGGAGCCTACCGACGTCTCGCAATAATTCAACGAATACGGGTTCGCGTTTCTGCGTCTCTACCGACATAATGATGGATCCAATGCGTGGGCTTTGCAAGGTGCGAGTCGTGATCATAAACGGATGCCGTCCGGGAAACATTGGGATAGTACCAGCGTCGCCCGAAGTCATGAAAACACGAAAAACGCACCTCGACAAGAATATTCTTCCCTAAGGTTTTCCTCATCGTTCAGCCCTTGTAAGCACGCGGGCGGTTCTAAAATAATGCTTTAAGCACTGCATCCGTCCTTATGTGAAGTGCGTTCTGCAACGATCAAGTCAGTCTCGTTCGTTCTGCTCCAGGCCACGTTTCGTACCTCGAAACTGCATTTACTCTGAAAAGGAGACATCCCTCAGTGATGAGAATGAGAAATATGAACGAATCCAAAGCAGCAGTCACTCGACGTACCTTTCGTCCAGCAGCGTTCACCCCAAGCGGCTTTCTAGACATCACAAGATTTAACTGAGTCCTTGCACCAAGATGGACGCGCGTCAGTGAGAGGCGTCAGTGAGAGGATTTAATGGGTGTGGAGAGTTGCTGGAAGACGAGGTGACGGGTGGGGAGTTGTTACCCATCACAAAAATGATCCTCGAGATCATCAGGACTTCTCAGAACGATAAAGAGCCAAGTGCCTGAACGCGCTAATCCCAACGGGAAAAGCCCAACAAAAACGCACCGAATACACCACAAATTACCAAAACATACCCTCCAAAAACCGTGCAAGTTATGGGCTCCATCTGACAATTCGCAAACGTCATTTGAAGAACCATAATACAAAACACGACCACTCACCTCTCTAGACCACCCACCCATTTGCACCCCACCCCCCAGCCCTCTCCAACAACTCTAACCCAAACAGCTCCACCAGCGGGAGGAGCGTTTCAGGTATCATACTGAACACGAGGTGGGACATGCCGAGGCCTAGGTATACCCCGGAGCGGAAATGGGGGTCTAGCAGAGGTATGGGTGCGTGGAGGCCATGCTGCTAGATCAATACATCTAAAGTGGACTATAGTGTAACGGGCGCTCGACGAAGTGAGAGAGGCGAGTGACGGAGAAACGAGTGAGAGGCCAGATACTGGCGTTGAATAGACAAAGAGAAAGGTACAAAGCTCCTAGCCACATATAAGTATCTAGATATGATAATGTAAGTGGAACATAGGAATGAGACCGGATATAGTAAACGTGTCTGTGAGATAGCGAGCCCGTTAATATCCGAACGAGTCATCCCGCACGTATCGTATAGAGTCCGTTAGCTATGTAGAATGGCCGTGAATACATAGATTGACCATGACCGTGACATCATCCCCCTTCTAGGGCGAGTGAGGATGAGTCTACAAGTCGAGCCTTTCGGCAGGACGCGAGACTCGACCCACGCGGGTCGTAGTCTGCGTAGGAGGCACGTACTCAGATCTCAACCTCTGACGTACGGCAGCGGGCGACGGAGGACGGGCAGCGGCAGGAGGGACGGCAGCGAAGGCAGGCGCGGGAGGCACGGACGAGGACTCGTAGGACGGCGAGGGTACCTGGATAGAAGGGGAAGAAATTTCATTAGCATTAGACGGAGGAGTGTGATAGTTTTTGTTGATATCAAATAGATGGGGGCGTGGAGAACGTGGATGACGACGATGGAAACGCTCGATAAGCTCATTAAAAGAAGTAGGAATGTCAGAAAGAGGAAGCCATGAATCGTCTGATTCGGGTAACGACTTCCATCGTACGAGGTATTCGTAGCGATGGCCAGTCTTGCGGCAGTCAAGGATTGATTTGATATCATTGGCAGGATCGTCGGCGAGGTCGAATGGAAGCGGTGATGAATGAGTGTGGAAATCGGAGGGATCGACGTAGGGTTCGAGTAGTGAAACATTAAAGACGGGATGAAGACGGGATAGATAGGAAGGGAGTCGAAGTAAGTAAGCAGAAGAGCCGATTTTGCGAATGATAGGGTATGGGCCCAGTCGACGATGGTCGAGCTTCAAGGAAGGGCGTGTGGTTCTGATGTTACGGCGTAGTAACCAGACCAGCTGATCAGGTTTGAATTCCGGTGCAGCTGTGGCCTTCTTGTTGTAATACTTGGCTTGGGTATCTTGTGCGAATTGCAACTCAGCACGCAACTCTTCGTGAATCACGTCGAGTCTTGCGGCGAGGTCAGTGGCTGCGGGAACAGTTGAGCGTTCAGTGATCTGCGGTTCGAAAGCTGGGTGGTAGGCGTAGTTAGCGAAAAATGGAGTTTGGTGAGTGGAGGAGTTCTCGAGATTGTTGAACGCGAACTCGGCAAGGGGAAGGTAGTCAACCCAATCATCCTGTTGATATGAGCAGTAGGCACGGAGATAGGTCTCCAATGTCTGGTTAGTGCGCTCTGTCAGACCGTCGGTCTGTGGATGGTATGCTGTGGACGTGCGAGTATCAATCTTTAGTAGTGAAGTGAGTTCAGACCAAAATTTTGATATAAAAACAGAACCACGGTCAGAAACAATGGAATCGGGCAAACCGTGCAAGCGAAAAATGCGGTCGAGGAATAACCAGGCAAGGTCAGGAGCTGACAAGGTCTCCTGACATGGGATGAAATGTGCATAGCGCGTGAGACGATCACAAACAACCCAGATCGAATCGTAGTTATGTGACGCTGGGAGTTTGACAACGAAATCCATGGATATGGCTTTCCATGGACGAGAAGGAATGTCGAGGGGTTGGAGTAAGCCATAGGGCTTATGGCGAGGTGTCTTGATGCGAGCGCAGGTGTCGCAGGCTTCTACATAGCGTCGAACATATGTTTGCATGCCAGGCCATGAGTAGTCCCTGGACACAAGTCCGAACGTTCGGTTACGTCCTGGGTGACCTGCAATGACAGCATCATGACGCGAGAATAAGGTGTCAGCACGTAATGGAGAGGGGACGAAAAGTTTTCCTTTGTGGAATACAAGACCGCCGTCGGAGGCAAAGTCTGTATTGCCACGCACGAGAGCTTCTCTCCACTCGGTGTCTGCTCGAAGTGCTGTTTTGAAGCGTTCGAGGAGGGCCGAATTGTCGATGGAGAGGGTTGTGATGGCATTGAGGGAGGTCGAGGATAATGATTCTGTGTGTTTGGGTGTTAGTATGACGCGGTTTTGACCCAATAGGGTCTCATCCCCCTTCTGCGGGAGAAAATCGGAACGACGAGAGGGGGCATCAGCAACATTGCTTTTCCCTGGAGCCCAGGCTAACGAAAAATCAAAGTCAGAGAGAAACATTGCCCAGCGCGCCTGACGACGGTTGAGCACACGCGAAGACATAAAATATTCAAGATTCTTGTGGTCAGAAATGACCGAAATGGGAAAGGGCGAACCAAGTAACCATGCTCGCATGTCGCGAAAGGTATCCACAACGGCAAGTAGTTCTTTGTCGTGCACCTCGTAATTGATTTCTGCGGGGGACAGTTTGCGGGAGTAGAAAGCTACCGGGCAGAGGTGGCCTTCGTGATCCGGCTGTTGGAATACACCTGAAATTGCGAAATCAGAGGCATCCGTTGAAACGGTGCAAGGCTTCTGTGGGTCGAAGTGTTGAAGTATCGGGGACGACACAAATGCCCTCTTGAGCGTGTCGAAAGCACTATGAGCTAAACCTGAAAAGTCAAAAGGGGTGTTTTTTCGAGTCAAGTTAGTCAGTGGTTGAGTGATGCGCGAGTAGCCATCAATGAAACGACGATAAA